ACTAGTTGATTTCTTATTAGTCTGTCATTTATCATGATATTATGTTTGTAATAAAAGGGTAGCGAAATAGATACAATTTAAGTCCTTCTTTAGTTAAAGGTATAAGACGGTGCAGATATCTGATCTGGCACTTAATGCACAATTTGATTTGAGTGATGTCTCTTGAATTTACTATATAGTAGGAAACGCATATACGTACCATCACCTTAACAACGTAATACACTGCTTTTACGTATGATGAGCTCTTAATAATAAAGACGATAAATCAGTCAGCTGTGAACTATACCTAAAGCAAAGCAAAGAGCTTCTTCATTACAGATCATCTATTCATCTTAAATATGATGGTAGTAGTAGATTCCTGGTTAATGACCACTAGGTTGAGATAGTATATAAATAGCATACTACTAGGGCCATATTGATGTTGGTATAGCTAGTTGAGAGATCATCTAAGTCGGTATGCTTCATATATTGTAGGTGGGTTCCAACATCTTTATTACATTGAAGAGATTTAATCTATTGCAGTTCCTGAGGCACCCGTGCACACGGAATTGACTGGACTTGTAATCATCATTGATGTGATGCGATACCACCAACATCATCTAAGTTACTACATTTTGAAAGTGGCTTGAGAACTGCAGTGAAATCAGATTCAAGAGATTTCTCAAGAAGAATAAAACAATAATAGAATACAATAGAAATCAACTGTATTTTATTTGTGTGTAAAATGAACTGAAGATCCTGGAAGCGAGTAAGAAAAAGAAGAGTATTTATACATTTATAGTTACCTGGTAGGGTTAATGATGGCATAGTGCAATAAGTGCTGTCATTGCGATATCTGGCAATTATTGCTTATTTCTGATTTAAAGAAGTAATCAGTGCAAGAGCATTGGCCTTAACGGTAGTCAATTTTAGTAACCTTGATAGGCTTCACTGAGCTATCGCTATAATATTCTTACTTGATGTTGTAACCATGACAGATTGAGGTGGTGTGATATTTGTTTTTAAACTATGGATTGATACCCACTTATAAACAGACTTGATATGAATTATCCTAAGAACTTCTATGTATCTCCTACTGGTTCCATACTTATAGCTTTTGACAGCAATATTAGACTTATTGATTCTTATAAGACAGAATAATGCTACAAATTTAAAATTGCAATTGTCTCTTTCTATGGCGACGTATATATAGTATTTGAGGTTTAGTTTGTTCTTGCTGTGCATTATTTGTATGCATATATGAAGATATTTCTTGCCAATATCAGGCAACTATTCATCGAAATGGCCCATGTGTTGTATACTATACTCAAATACTATGAAGTCAGAGGCATATAAGATTTAAAACCTTGAGCACTGGACAAGGCTCAACAAGCCCTTGTCCGGATTGACAAGCATGCACACGAGATCCTGGTTGAAGAAGAAGAACGACAAGCCTGAAAATCATATCAACAAAGATTCTCACATTCGGTTCAACCGCAAATGAGATGGAACTAATCGTTGGTAAAGATAGGCATACTTATTACTATCAATGAGATCGCAGGCATCCTTCGCAACCAATGAATATTCTGATACAAGTTTTAAAGATATCCTCATTGTATCCCAAAACAATAGTTTTTCAGCCATTAGCAGTAGCCTCGTTTAAACGAGTCAATAAAACTACTGCCTACATGCCACATGATGTTGAAATGTTGCAAAGAATCATGATTAGGAAGTTGACATTACATATATTTTTGACGGTGATGAGCCAAGCTGGCTGGCGTTGCCCGATATGAAAATTCCCAACAAGAGTAAAGAAAGTATCCAGGTTATGCGATAGTCGTCTCGACTTCATGACCCACATTGAATCAGCATCCGAATCATCATTTGTCATCGTCAAAAAGGTATTTTGATCAGGCAGCAATGCCGCCCGCCAAATTCTATTTAAACGCAGAACAATTTTTTTGTCCAAGATTGGCCAAATTTTGCTTTTTTCGATTTGATTAAATCTTTATCCAAAGATTCGACTATATCAATTGTGATGGTCGCCGGATACTTCTTTAAGCTTTCTAAGAGTACTTTTCATTGCGCATCCAATGGTACCAAATAAAAGAAAATTTTTGAATGAACTTATTGAGTTATTCTTAAAAATACGAAATGATGTCTATGATAAAACTGTCGAGATTTTATATATAAAGGTTTCACAGACAAGGTTTCAGGGGTTGCTTTGGATTGAGAGGAGCATTTTGATCTAATATATACCATAGTAGAAGTCTTCATTTTCTTGGTCAAAGACGCGATCGTTTGATTTTCGGTGAAAACCATGAGGGGTACCTCATGCTTTTTGGTCGATTTTTGGCCATGTTTTTTGGGTCCTCAAAAAGTTGAGCAAAAGTGGCAGGAAGTTACTGCTACTCGAGTGCAATTGTTTGGCGTTATTCCGGTGGCTCAGAAAGGTCTAAATGTCAAGATATGAAGGCTCGAAAGATGTCAATTTTGATTATACTCCATGCATTTGCTTGTCAATAGGCGCATTCTTGTTATGATACAAAGGCGTAAAGTCATTGTATGCACTAATCTAGATTTAGAACATGCTATTACATTCAAGTATTCAGCTGAAAATATTAGGTCGAATGGCACTGTTATATCGCAAAATTAGAGCACAATGATACAGTTTAATAGTGAGCCGATGATGGCTGTAAGGATGCATCTAGCAAAAGCCATACCTTAAAATCAGCTCGAACATAGGTTATCTATAACTCGGTAGCTCGAATTATTAGGTGTTCCGTGTCCTATCCGTATATAAACAATCACAGCATCATTTGACAAAAAAAAAAAAGGTTTCCTCTCTAATTTCGTGTTCTTGTTATTGATGTATGCGTTACCTTGCAAGCATCTGTCTCAATAATAGCTCATGATACTTGTTATTGATGTATGCATTGCTTTGTTGGCATTTATATCTGTAAAAGTTCCGTATCACCGATGGTTTCGTTCCTGTTAGTGATATGTGCGTTGCTCTACTGGCCGCCGTTTCTTGATACACAGGTATACTTTTTGCTGGCATTGGGGTCTGGTTAGAGAGCAGAAGGTCCTACACCTTCATGTGGTTGCTCGTGAATAGAAGCGTTTTGCTTTAAAACAAAGAGGGGACTTTGGGTTGTTGTTGTGGTAGTTTAGGTTCTTGATCAATGCACACTCTTGGTACTAGACAATAGAATGAACTGAGGCCAAGAAATCAATTGCAAATAAAATATTAAGACCACCTTATGTGGTGTTTTGTTCGTTCTAACACGCTTGTGTTATGATTTTCGTCGCCACTCTCGAGATGTTAATCAAACCGCTTTCTTCATTTCCCAATCTAAACCACTGTCTAGAGACTAATGCACAGTTGAGTTGAATGTATCGATTTTTATTCTTTCTTTGTTTGTTATATATATTAATGATAACATTATTTCTACAGCCATTTTGCAACAAGCATGTGTATGCAATTTAGACCTTGAAACCACGAGAAGCACGCTTACCACGAGCACGTTCAAACTTACGACCCTTGGAACGGACGAAAGGCTTCTTGTTCTTATGGGGACCCATACCGAAATGCTTGACAGACTCACGAGAGTTCTTGGCACCACGGACGAGGATAGTGTTAGCACCAGTAGGAGCACGGAGGGCCAATTGATCCAAGGTCAAGACCTCACCACCAGCCTTCAAGATACGAGCCTTGGCAGTCTTGGTGAAGTGAAGAGCAGCGACAGAGAGCTTGGGAAGATCCAAGAGACGAGAGTCATCAGTGACGGAACCGACAACGACAACGGTCTTACCCTCCTTGTTGTTCTTGACAATGCGAGAGACAGTGACGGGAGGACGGTTGACACGAGACATAAAGAGACGCTTCAAGACAACCTTGTTGAAGTTGGCATCAGTACGACGAGCGAGGAAACGGTAAAGCTAAGCTGTAGTTAGTATCAACTCTTTGTATAACGGACAAGCAAAAAGAAACTCACCTTGACGAGCAAAGCCAAGTAGACATTGTCAGACTTAGGAGCAGTACGGTTAGAGTTCTTGACGTGGTGTTTCTTGAGATCGATACCCTAATGATTGCATGGTATTAGTCGTCTGGTGAAGTCCTGTATAATGGCCATGTCTATATCTCTCGCTCTTTCAATGAACCCAAATAATTCACAATCATGCATCCTTATCCCCACTCCTGCCAGCATCCATCTAAAATTCTAACATCCATCCCATATCTATCCATTGATTCCATTTCACCTAATGTCTCCATTTCTCCCGTAGTGTATGTGTTGGATGCATTACCATTTTTTATATCTAGCAACCGGTCGTTAGGCTGTGTCCAAGAAGAGAGAATCTTTAAATGGATTACAAGTTTGAGGCTTCTTGTTCATTTCCATCACACACCACACTCCTGCCTCTCGATCGCCCAACCTCCAACGCTTGATTTCGGTCCGGACGGACATTGGAAGTGCACTAAGATGTGTGATCAACATTGGAAGCATGGGGATGTTGTTTACTCAGAAAGAGACTCGTTGCCAATGTAGTAGAGTATCATCACATGTATTAAATCTAGTAGTGAGCATTCGATGATACGCTTGTTTTGCGATTATGCGTGAAATTGCATGTTTAACTATTGAGTCGCTTTCAATTGTAACATCTTCGGACATTGCAAATTGAAATCTGTACTTGAATCAGAGGCAAGAGCATTATTGAGCCAGGGCAACCTGTCAAAAGGGCATTCATTATTGTACTGTTTAATGCATGCTATCAAAAATGACATTGGCAGTGGTGCTCCAGCTTAGAAACTGTTGCCACTCTAAAAATGGCTCAAACGTCATGAAAAGCACCTAAATGCAACGTCGCAAAGGTAAGAAAATCATGCCATATTCACATCAAACTGCATTGGTTTCATCACCAGCGGTGACCGTTGATGGGGGTTTGATTTACATTCATAAACAATAACGGTGTGAACAACCTTTTTCTTACTCTTTGTTCCATTTCCACCAGATACAAGCATGTCTGTTATTCGATCTCTTGCCGCTCGATCCCTTCGCCAAACACCAGCCTTATGTCATGTTACATTGCGTGCTGCTCCTGCCGTCAGTTTGCAAACAATGGCTCGCCGTACATATGCTGCTTCTGCTTCCGATGCCACAGTGTAAGTCATGCTTACCACATCACGTCCATCCTAAAAGACTAATGCCAGCTGCTAGACCTCCAGCAGTTGAAGCGCCTAAGAGTGAAAAGGCATTGCCACCACCTGCTTCGCAAGATCCTCGTTTGGAGATGCTGTATGCCACGATGCCTTTTGTAGCTCAATATGGCTGGTCCATGGAGAGTTTAATACACGGCGCTCGCTCTTTGGGCTATCCCTCTGTGGCTCATGGTATGTTTCCCGGTGGAGAAGCTGGTTTGATTGATGCCTATCTCACTGAACAACGCAAACAATTCGCTCAATTGGCAAAGGAAAAGTATATTAGTGGCGATTTACAAAAGTAAGTGTTTAGACAGTAGTCTTTTTTCTTTGTCTCTGAACCGCGCACCACACCTGCCTCGAAAGTTGTGCTCAACATTGGACATCTTGCAGTAACCAGCAACGCACACAACACGAGTATCAGCTGAATTCAGGGCTCTAAGACTGTGATTTATGCAACAGACATGGTGTATACGTCAGAACTGATAGTGGAGCCCTCAGTGTTAAACGCAAGATGGACTTGTGTGGATCAGGACATACTGATGCGCGGCTTCAAGCCATAGAGATAGAGGACATCTGAACAGGGACACTCATTTTTTTTTTGCGAATATAGCCTATCTATGAATGAGAGAGTTCAAATTTTGACATCACTTCGTTTGGATATGAACAAACCCTATATCCAAAAGTGGCCCGAGGTAAGAAAATTATGCATCCTCACAAGCCGAAATCCAACAAGGAGCTAAACAAGATATAGGCACTTGCCATCATGGCACGTCCATCCAATGTTGCCATGTCATTAAAGCATTTGGGAGATATTGCTGATGATATTTGGTACTATGCAGGTGATAGAAGTCCCGACGTAGGTCCATCTGATAGCAAATCAATGGCAAATTGCTAATTAGTCTGGCTGTAGATGAACTGGTACACAAAACGTGCTTCTCTAGCTGCTGTTTATAGTACAGCCGATCTTTATATGACCAAAGATTCCAGTCCTAATTATGCCGAGACTGAGCGATTCTTGAAAAGAAGATTAGATGAAGCAGCCTGGGTCGGTTCCTCTGCACGTCAGGTACAGTTTTTGTTGTTGTTGTTTACATCTTCCACCGAAATAGTTGAAATTAATCTGTATATTTTTAGCTGAGTACTATGTTGACATTTGGTGCCAAGAGTATGCTAAGCGCTTTAGCCAATGTAAGTTATATAAGCGTACAGACGAATTGCAAGTGAATTTAATCCTTTGTTGTTAAATAGCGCGGAGGCAGATTTTAAATTAGGACATATATATATATATATATTATTATTATATTTTACAATAGTGATGTATGGGTATGTTATATAATGAAATGCGTATAAACAAGTATGCAGTGTATAATTTGAATTAAGGAGAGAAGCAAGAATAAAAAAAGGGTGGGATTATACTAGATTAAGCTGTCGACATTTTCACTAGAGTTGGTATCTGTTAATGCCTTTTGAATAAGCCATTCGGATGTTGCATCTAGAGTGAAATCAAACCAAGCCCTTGAGGTTGTTTTTGATATGCCAATGTAGCTCACCAAGTGACAGAAGGTATCAATTTCCGGCCTCTCCTTTGTGGTGGACACCAGCTTCTTTACAAGATACTCTGACGAGCTTGAAAATAGACCAGACCAAGTGCAAGCTTCGTTGTTACTATTGTTGTCATGCCAAAAGCACCAAACAGTTTGAATCATCATAATCAAGCTATTTGCTAGATTGCGAGCGATAAATGTCATGCCGTGCTCCAAGGCGTACCAAAATCGATGCTGGATCTGTATCACAGAGTTGCGAAGCACACTGTTGTTGGTGCAACTGATTTTCTGCTGTTCTGGTTGTTTCTCCAAGGAGGGCTTCATCAAGCAGAGCACTTTCCCATCTTCAATTGCCATGACAGTGAATTCAAACGTTTCATCGTCGATAAATCGCACACAAAATGTAGCAATGACATTGTATTTAGTCGCTTGTTTCAGTCCAGCACAAAATTGTTGCACATCGTCTGAATGGATATATCGCATCATGGGCTGGCCAACTGCCAGTATCGTGTTTTGCTCATCCGATTGAAATACGGCATCAATGGTACCATACATTGTTAACCGAGTGATAGCCACTTGACTATATTTCTGACGACTGGCAGTATACATGTGATTCAGTTCGGTCATATCGGTGCAGATGATGGTTGTGGTTGTTGGCTTTGCAGAGGTTTTATCATTGTTCACATGCTGACAAATTTCTAGCACCTTCTCGTTGACGGTGGATACAAGGCGTGTGGGTGCTGAAGGAGAGATGTCTTTTTGTAACGGCTGCCAAATGTCATCTAATGATTGTCCGACTGGATTAAACCCTAATAGAGTGATGATATCGCCTGTAGCATGAGTGACAGTTGTCTGTTCATTCACAGTGATCCAGGCCATGGATCTTAAAGGGCAGTTTGTGGTAGAATGAGTATGTTGATCTTGTTGGCGCATTTTGGGGGGGAAAAGAAGAACAAAAAAAGAACATTGAAATGTCCGTAAAACTTAAGGGTTTTTATACATATATGCGGAAATGTCGGTTTCGCAAAAAGATAAATGGCTTTAACCATAAAGTGATTGGCCCGTTTGTCATTGGATTGTCATCAATTACTGGAACAATCATCAAAATTGGAGCATGTGCCGTTTGTTCAATAGCTTTTTCTGGTGAAATCTATAAATCAAATGGCTGCAATGCCTCTTGGCTTATTGTCGAAAGACGCTACAAGTCAAACTACGAGCCATATCGACACAAAGTCAACTTTAAATATCGCCATCACATGCAAAGGACTCTTGGGCATCTGCCCTGTGAAAATGTCCATGATCTCCCATTAATACGTAGCCATAAACAGCCTCTGTCTCACGAGTGCTACATTTAGCAATCGATTTGTTGCTACGAGTGAATTGTGCATGACAGCTGTAAAATACAGAGATGTAAAGAGCATGGCTATCATGATTTATGCCCTCAACTCTAGTAAGACATTTCGATTTTGTTGGGGCGACATTTCATGTAACATTTGGAAATGAAATCAACCTGCTTTTTACCATCAAGTTGTTACTTTGAACTCATCACCTCATTCTAATCTCAATGCAAGGATTATACTGTTTGTCTATTTAGTAAGGTGTGTTGTTGGCAGCTGATGCAATGACATCTGTGTATGTATAAACACACAAAAAAAAAAAAAAAAAAAAAAAAAAAAAAAAAATGGGGTATTAAGGTTCAAATGCGCTCACATTTTAGGCAAGCTAGGGTTACCTGATACCGGGTGCTTATTGGTTTCAACATTGTTTGACCAAGTTGATGTGAACATTATTGTATGATGTGCAAGTACACTATTTTTGGTATATTTTATCGGCCCAGTATCCCTCAGTTGAATTCAACATTAAGGATAAGGAGAAAAGTACACGCAACGATAACCTCTGCTTTGAACATCTTGCTCAAGTCCTTTAGAGCTGGATTGAAGCATTATCCATGACCAGATTGAATTCTTTTGTGTCATTTTTATCAAGAACATCCATAACGTTAGACACTAAGGCAAAGAAATGTTTACTGGTAGTTTTCACTCTTAATAAACTACTGTTTTCTACCAAAGGAAGAGAGAAAATGAACCTGCTTCTGCCACTTTTGCTACACGATTTATTACTATAATAGTAAAAATAAGAAATCGTCTCCATACTCTTAATTGTTTGGATATAACTGGATGTTGAAAAACCGAGACATACAAAATTAAAGCACGTATTAAACTAGTTGAGATGAAATAACATCGATCTCATATTAATTTTACGTCAATGCCATTTGTCTCTTGTTGGATAATGGAGATGGGTAAAATAGCCTTAGCCAGACTTACTCTTGTATAATAATAAGTCAGTGCCTATTTAAGGAATTGCCAAAATACCATTAAAATATGTTTGAGACATAATGGAGCATTGTAGTAAACAAACCATTAAATTATACGAGTGTTTATGTTTCGGATGGCTCTCTATCTTCGCTTCGCTTCGGTGAGAACCAATCTACGCAGCGGTAGCTCACGCTATCGATTGCCTTGGCATATCTTATCAAAATACTGCTACTTTCATTTTGGCCCTCCACTTGCACTTAAAATCCTTCATATTATCTGTGGATCTGATTCTTATGTGATGCTCTACATCCATATACACGTAGTTACTTCATATATAGGCAAGTAGCATACTGGTATCTCCCCTTTTTAGTCCTTAGTGTCTCTGATACAGCGAAATCTGAGTGCATTTGAACTGCGTTTTCTTGCGTTCAAGGCCGTTTTAGATCGTCAGAATAGTACCAAACAATTGCTCTCATCTGGCAGTTACTTTCTGACACCTTTGCTCAACTTTTTGGGGACCAAAAAAAAAGATGGCCAAAAATCGACCAAAAAGCATGAGGTACCCCTCATGGTTTTCATCGAAATCCAAATGATCGTATTTTTTACCTTGATAATGAAGGCTTTTACTAAGGCATATATTAATTCAAAATGATGCTATCGATCTAACGTAACTCCTGAAATCGTCTTTGTGAGACCTTGATATGTAAAATCTCGACTTTTTGGCCAGAAACCTCTTTTCACATTTTCGTGAATTGCTCAATAGGTTTACTCAAAACATTTACATTACTTGATACCATTGGATGCGCCTTAAAAAGTACTCCAGGAAAGCTTAAGGAAGCATGGGATGATCATCATATTTTACTTAGTCGAATCTGCAAAAATAGTTTAATCGAGTCGAAAATCATCAATATTTGGCCAATCTAAAGTAGACTAAGAATTTGAGGTGAAATTAATTTTAGAGGTTTGTAGCAAAAGAATGCTGTAAGGTAAATGTAAGTCGGCCCCGTTTTTTGTATATTTGTGGGCAGGAGAAAAAGATTACTTTATTTAAAAAGATTATGTGGCGTTATTTGCAAAATCTACTTTTTCTTTTTTCTTTCGTATCTCATCTATATAATCAAAGAGCAAAAGCTCATTAAACACCTGGTGAATGCTCATAACAAAGGTGATTACGTTGGTATGCCCCCCCCGCAACGAGATACTTTGTATCGGATTGCGCATTGTAATCTTTAGTCCTGGTTTTGACCCGAGGCCTTGTGGAAGAAACGTCATCTAAGCATATGCTCCCAATTTATTTACTTTATTGCCAGCATTTTGTTACGGACGGCATACTGATGCGTTTCGCTGCCTAGCTTGTAGATATAGAGTACGTTCCTTTCAGTAAGTATTTCTATTTAGTATTTAGTGTAAATAAAGAACTAAATTATGGCTTTGACCCAACACTGTGTGGAAGATGATAACCAAGAAATCTAGGCCTAAAGAAGATAATTCAAGGTGAAGTGTTATGCATATAAAAGAAATAGGAGTCTATAACTTGATATAATGGCTAACAGTTATGGTAGTCGAGTATCTTATCAACCCTGCGAATTTACGAATAATTAGTATTTGTACTTGATAATAGTAAAAATAGTTGAGTAATGAGGTTCCCAGTTCTTGATTCATTTGAATAACACAAGTGATAAGCTTTCGCTATTTCTCAATGGTCGATTCAAGAGAAAGGCAATATAAAATATGCCTTGTGGATGGATAAAAAAATACAGCTAGAAATTAAAAATATTGCCCTGTATAATAAAGACACACTGTAACCCTAATAATATACATATATATGAAGATACTATTGAGTAGTTTTAATTATTCATTTCTGAATAAATACGTTTATCTTTTATTATCATATTATATACCCTCTTTTTACATCAAGGTCGGATAGGCTCCTTAAAACGAGTTTTTGATTCATCCACACCTTTCTCGGTTTTATCAATACGTACTGTATTAGCCAAGGGCCCGCGGCAGCGCGAGCCGTTTGAACGTAGGTCGATTTCCACCGAAGCGAAGCGTAGGTCAGGAAACCACACGAAGCGTCGAAAGGCTCGTATGATTAATGATTTTACAACCAATTAACAAAAACCATTTTTGATTTTACCGTCTTTCCTCTGCTCAATGCTTTCAACGTTTTATTTGAACGAAGACCCGGAGCCTCAGAGATTTAGTCAACGGCTGCGATCGAGACAACAAAACGAACGTACTCGACCATTGAGAAGACCACGTCGTAATAGAAACCTAGGTGACATATTGTTTGAAATATTAAAGAAGGTGGAATTGATGTTTATTTGTTCCAAAGTTGATATTACTGATAACACCCAGTTCAATGAAACTGACCATCTCTTTGAGTCAAATGCTGATTATGATTCAAATTCCCCTACTTAATGCAGACATGTTATGCAGCCCATGAATCGCCAATGTCCAGACTGACGTTATTAAATATAGAATGTAAGAAAATAGCATGATTAACAATAGTGTTATGATTTGCTACCTACTTTCTATATGCTTCAAAAGCATTTATTACTGTATTGCCTTCATGATTAGATGGACATTGAATTTGCTAGCCGGTCCCACCAGCCAAAATTAATTTCACCTCAGATTCTTAGTCTACTTTAGATTGGCCAAATATTGATGATTTTCGACTCGATTAAACTATTTTTGCAGATTCGACTAAGTAAAATATGATGATCATCCCATGCTTCCTTAAGCTGCCCCTGGTGGTAGGGCGAAGTGGTAAAACTCCCGTATGCCAACGGGAGGATCCCGGTTCAAATCCTGGTGAACGCAAGTTGTTTGATTTTTTTTGGCGTAGTACTGATGTCCTCGTTTGGTGTTTTGTGCTCTTATCCATGATCTATATTTTGACGATTTCCGCAAGACTGTATTGGCTCTAGGTGTCGCACCTTATTAGTAGTAGATTTCTTTCCCAACTTAATTCAAAAAATATCTTATTCCCCTTCTTTGCAGACATTGGGTCCACCAACAGTCTTTTCTTTCCCTCAGCATGACATTTTAAGGACTTTAAATAAAACTTGGAGCTCGACTCCCCTACAAAAAAAAAAAAAAAATGCTTCCTTAAGCTGGTCCCTGGTGGTAGGGCGAAGTGGTAGAACTCCCGTATGCCAACGGGAGGATCCCGGTTCAAATCCTGGTGAACGCAAGTTGTTTGATTTTTTTGACGTAGTACTGATGTCCTCGTTTGGTGTTTTGTGCTCTTATCCATGATCTATATTTTGACGATTTCCGCAAGACTGTACTGGCTCTAGGAGTCGCACCTTATTAGTAGTAGATTTCTTTCCCAACTTAGTTCAAAAAATATCTTATTCCCCTTCTTTGCAGACATTGGGTCCACCAACAGTCTTTTCTATCACTCAGTATGACATTTAAAGGACTTTAAATAAAACCTGGAGCTCGACTCCCCTACAAAAAAAAAAAAAAAAAAAAAAAAAAATGCTTCCTTAAGCTTTCCTGGAGTACTTTTTAAGGCGCATCCAATGGTATCAAGTAATGTAAATGTTTTGAGTAAACCTATTAAGCAATTCACGAAAATGTGAAAAGAGGTTTCTGGCCAAAAAGTCGAGATTTTACATATCAAGGTCTCACAAAGACGATTTCAGGAGTTACGTTAGATCGATAGCATCATTTTGAATTAATATATGCCATAGTAAAAGCCTTCATTAACAAGGTGAAAAATACGATCATTTGGATTTCGATGAAAACCATGAGGGGTACCTCATGGTTTTTGGTCGAATGTATCCATGTTTCTTGGGTCTGCTGTTGTATCTGTAGATGCAATATTAACAGGAAAGCTTCAAAAGCAACCAGATACGATAACTAATTGATTCAAACACATCTTTTTTATACGAAATCATTATCGCCAAACCATCAATACATCTTATTGTTAAATAAGTCAATACATCGAATCCTGTATATTCAATATCAACCATTGTAAAGGATCCGATCATCTGTTCAGTCAGGATGATACGATTCACAACCCATCACCGTTATTCACAAGCACAAACTTTCATAGCCAACCATATATAGTTCACTTCTTGTTGAATCTTGCGTCCGAGCATAGACAATGAGTAACAATGTAAATCATGATCAGACTACCGCTGGGTTACAGCTTTTTTGAGGTTATTCATAATTGAAGAAGATTAGGATGGAAACAATGCTAGAAGTATAAAATCGTTGAGGCAATTTCGGAAAACCTTTTATGTATACTTGTAAAAGGGGACTGTATAGATGATAGTAGAATATGGGTCAACGTAATAGCCGTTGGAGGGTGGCGTAGGATATACATTATCTATGCATACATGCAGATTAGTGTTCAACGACGTATAGAATGCCAGTGCTTTTTGTTGTTGTATACTTTACTATGATAACCATTATTGTATTCAATACCATTTATGCTACTAAATGCTTTGTTGTTGTTGTTGTTGTCGCTGTTGTTGTATCCGAGATACTATAGGGATAGATTTAGACATTGCCCATTCATATGTCCTTATACACACTACTGTACCGGCATACTAGTACTGTTTATTTGATAGTTGCAGCGGTTATTGTAATGATTGTTGCAGGGATATTGACGATAGCAAACACGAATGACCTTGTCCTTGTAAAGAGCACCGTTCTATGTCGCACTGGAGCTTAGAGCACATGCAACTCATTCATGCAAACTGACATACATACCTCTGAATCAATAGCCTCTTTGGTCTCCTTTTCGCCTTGGTACTTTAAAAACGCAAACACCTTCTTATACGTGTGGCGATACACAGGCTTACGGATCAGGTGAATATCCAGAATATGGCCATATTTTGTAAACTTGATAAACAAATCCTCCTCGTTGATGGACTCGGGCAAGTTGCCAATAAAGATGGTATGTTTATCCAAGCGACAAGTGGTACCACAGACGCCATACACATTATCATTGTTCAGATAAGCTGCCCACTCTACAAACCATTGCTGATGGGAGCGTTCATTCATGATGTTCTTCTGGGGAAACTTCAACTTCTAAACGTGTCGTGTGAGAGAGAGATATGAACGTCGCTATTATCTATAAATGACAGCTTACCGTGTATGCTCTGATGGCATCATCCCTGAACTTGAACTTGATGATGATGGAATGGAATTTGCCATGAGGCTGCAGTATATTCATATCCTCAATCTCGCCGTATTCAGACAAGATGTTGGCCACATGCTGTGAGCGTCATAGTGAGTCAACGGGTATAGCCGCTCTTTTTTATTTGCACCTACCTTCTTACTGAATGGCTGGTTCAACGAGATCAAACAGATGGAGCGATTGACTCTAGCAGGCTCACATCGAATACGTCTACCATGGATGGAAGTCTTGGGTGCCTCCCTCAATGCTTGTTTACAATCATCGACCGCCTACAGACCATGCCATGTGAAAAATGATTAATGAGTGAATCTCTCGATATATTACATAAGCATATACCTCATATTGGACAAATGCGTAGGGTCGTTCCAACCAATCCTTGAATACTTTGACACTCATGATAGGGCCCCATTTGAGGAAATGCTCGTAAACACTTGTCTTTAGATCAGCATCTTTTAAATCTCTGTTTAAGCTGCTTGAGATATGAGTAGATGTTGCCCAAGGATTCTGTCCAACATACCTTGCTACAAAGACACAGGCTGCAGGATTTTCTTTCTTTTGACTATCACTGCTTACGCCGTGGTTTTCTGGTATCTGGAAAGGCACTACAGACATGATTTTACAATGCTGAAAGAATGAAGGCGAAAAAAGAAAGAAGAGCAGAGAAAAAAATAGCTCTGATGTGTTGTTTTTCATAGAGACAATCCTGCTTTTTCTTTTTTTTTTTTTTTCGTATGATTGACATTTTGATATATTATGATCTGCTTACACACACACACACACAGAGTGTAGACAGGCAGAGAAATCTGGGTGCCAAATGAACCAACTTACTTCATGAGACGCAAAAACAAAAAAAAAAAAAAAAAAAAAAAAAAAAAGAAAAAGAAAATTTTCAACATCTCCTTTCTACCGTAATTAAAGAATGGAAAGCAAGAGAGAATTACCAACGAGACACAATTTCTTAACAGAAGCTGTGCAGAGCTACTTGGAATCAAGTAAGTCTGGCACCACCGTACACACATCAGGCCATTCATCGCTTTCATTTACCAAAAATCGTAGAGAATGCAACAACGGGGCCCACATTCGACATGAGAACAATCCTCACTGTAACTTCAGACGCTTCATCCATACAGCACTTTGAATACCATGAAAACCCAGCACAGGAGCCACCATCCATCATTGAACACATGCCTCACGTCAAGGTGATAGAGCCCATCATAAGCGCTAAAAAGACTAAGAAGGCCGTCATCGTAGACGACGATATCATAGACGACGAATACTACCTGAAAAGACACCGCAGACATGAATTGGATGAAAAAAAGCAGAAAAACCGAGAGAAGGAACGGCTAAAACACGGATACTACCAGCAAAAGCAGCTGGTGGAACGCATCAAAACCATGGACAAGAATCTGTTACGGTCCATTGTATCATCGATTCGACATAGAACGCACAAAAACGAAGACATGAGCGAGGAGGAAGAGGAGAAATATCTAGAGGATTTACATACAAGCTTACTGAGAGAGGCACAAGAGCATTTAGACAGATACGAGACACTGGGCATAGGAAAGAGTGAGGAGGAGCCAGATCAAGCGGCCGCCATGGATCAGACGCCAACTATATCAGATGAATTTACACAAGCGCTCAAGACAGAAGAGAAGCTACAGAGACAAAGGCAAATACGATCATTCTCTGGGCGTGCTGTATTCACTGGTGCTGTAGCCAGTGCAAGAGGATCTCGCCGTTCAACACGTAATATCATAGCATTTGGACAGTTACTGCCACCATTTGAAATTGTAGAATTTGAATTACCAAAGGCGTGGCTAGAGAATAAAAACTGAAAACAGAAAGAAAGGAGAGAGTGATGCTTTTTATTACACATGATATGGAAAAAAAAAAAAAAAAGATATATACACAAAATTATGATTTGTACAAAAGGGATTTAAACAACGAGATGATGGACATTGCCTGATTCTTTGATGATTTGCTTGGCATCCAAGCTGATTCCAGGACACTGGCTGATGTTGAGGGTGTTCAAGCGGCCCCATTCCAGAATGGCTTTGATACAAATGTCTGTAATGCGCACGCAGCCTCTCAGATTCAAGGAATTCATGGAATCAAAGGAGCCGGATTTCAGCAGAGCCCTTATGGAGACATCAGACACTGCAGCACCGCAGAAGCTGGCATCCAGTTCTTGCAAATGAGGCAAGGAGATGAGACCTTCAATGGCATTGTCAGACAGAGCACAGCAAAAACTAAGAGACAGATTTTGCAGTTGAGGTGCAGCGGATACCAGGTGAGAAATGGCTTGATCTGTCAGGAAACTGCAGTCGGTGAGGTTGAGATACTTGAGTCGAGGAAACTGAGTGTCGGCCCACTTGACAAATCCTTGATCTGTGATACGAGTGCAACGTTGTATATTGAGTGATTCTAATGTGTTGCTGCAGAATTCCGCTAAATGGCCCATGGTCATATCCGATAACTTTTTACAATAAGAGAGCGAGAGTTCCTTGAGCTCTGGAAATCCACGCGTCTGCTTTTCATCCAACATTTTGAAAATGCCGATATCGCTGATCTTTCTGCAGTTGGACAAATCGAGCCGGGTCAATTGAGGACAGCTTGCTGCTAACAGTGCCAAGCTCTTGTCTGTCAACAGCCAACATGAGTTGAGATCCAAGGTTTCCAAGCTGGGTAGCTGTTCAATCAGTCGCTTGAATCCGTCGTCTGTAATGTAAAAGCACTGCGATAAATTCAGCTCCTTGATGCGAGCACCACCACCACCATCCTCACTTGCAACCAATGCCATGATGTGATCCAAGGCAGTGTCTGTGATACGTTTGTTGAGATGACTGAGATCGACGTGTTGCATCACTGCATCACTCTTTTGCACAAATTCTCGGCACTTTTTGGAGACAGCAGAGAATTGAAGGATGGAGCTGAAATCCAAGCAGTTGATGATGCGGCTCAGTACGACTTGATTGAGCAGCTCAAATCTACCGTCGCCCGCATACTCAGGAGGCTTCATGGTGGTGTCTTGTTGGTCTGCAGTGCTGATGACGGCATTCCCTTTCAATTTGGATTCTTTGACTGGCTCCTTGATGTTGCGATTGGCAAGTGCCACCAGGTTAGGATCAGACCAGATAGCTACACTGCCTCGTCTTCTTCTGGTTTCTGTGGTTTTCAGCACATTGGCAGTGGTCGGTGGTAGCAGAGTTGGATCTTGGTCACTGGTGGTGCTGCATACTGAGTCCAATGTGATAGGAGGTGTTGCATAGGCGACAGTGGATGAAATGCCGTCGAGTGGTGTATCCGTGGGCGATTCAGGCGGTATGGCAGGTGTTGCTTAAAGTAGGGCACTCAGTCTCTTAAACTGCCAATATGACACACGCTGTGCTTACCTGTTTCTGCGTCCACCTTGGTCAGCAACGATGCCTTGAGTCTCAGATCATTCAGCGAATTTTCAGCCATCATCCTGAAGTGCTTTTGTAATTCAGGAAAACGACTGATAACATCAATGAAATCACACTTGTTCAGCACATACAACTCGATTGTGGTTACAGCTCGGGCATCAGCAGCACGTGGTGCGTTCAAAAGAACTGCTATGTCTCCAAAGTAATCACCTGCGGATAAACGTGCAATTGGGGTCAAAGGGTCTGATGTGGCTGTGTCCATATTAGCCACTTCCACTGTGCCTATCACAGAGCATGTTATTAGGATCCAGATTTCACACTGACATGCTGGACCCAACAATAGCTTACCACTGATGATAAAAAACAGCTCTTTTCCCTGATCTCCTCTCTTTAGAATCAAGTCGTTTGGCGAGTAATGACGGGGTTCCACTTTGAGTGATATCAAGTGCAGAAACTCCTCTGGACAGCTCTGGAAATAAGGAATCTAACGAGAAATATCTAAGTACGCTTTGGGAAACGTCATTATTATGTGTGATATGCCTTACCTTTTGCAACAGATTACGAGCGCTTGTCAGATCTTCAATGTTGCGTTCAGTCAATGGCTTATGGCTGACTTTATCGGCCACACTCAAGTTTTTGCTCTTGTTCAACATGGTCAGTCTCTCTTCGGCTTCAAATCGAAGTATCTTCTCGACTTCTGGATACAATGGCAGGATGGTCTTGACTTCATCGGCTGTGAGGGCTGCAACGATGCATTTGGTGCTTGCAATGACTGTGGCTGTACGAGGCATAGAGTACAGGATACCAATTTCACCAAAGCAAGAGCCTTTGGGCAATGTTGCATAGATACGTTCGAAATCAGCGCTGCAGACATCCACAGACCCTCGCAGCAGAAAGAACATGGCTTTGGCCTGTTCGCCTTCAACGATAATCACATCGCGCGGACCATATGTTCGAAGATGCATGCAACAGGCAAGTCTCTCTAGAAAGCTCTCGTTGTTTGTGCGCTGAAATAAGGAGTGTTGTCTAAGAGATTGCAGTAATTCAGGTGGAATGGAACGATTGTCTGAAAACTCCATCGACGAAGTGGATGATGAAGCAGAAGAAGAAGCAGCAGAAGCGGCGGAATTGGTGGATGAGGTTGGCCACATTGTTTCTTTTTGTATGTCAATCATGTTGTGTATATACAAAGAAATTGGAAAAAATAAATAAAATGGAAAGAAAAGGTGTTAAATCCCAAGGCTACTTTTTTTACGCATTTTTTCACTCTTCCATCAAAGTAGGTGAAACCCTAAAAAAAAAAATGCATCAGCAACAAACCGGAGTTGTGGGTTCGTTATTAAGCAAACCTCTCTTGTCTGGTTAACTGGCTCATTCTTCCTTGTCATTGCTGTTTCCATGACAACGAACCCTTGCAGTAGCATCTACATCTCATGTATCTTGATGGAATTGCACAGTTAGATCGACCTCGATCTAAAAAGATAATCAACAGCTGGTGTTTTGTTGGGTTCAGAAATTACCTTTCGATACAAATCATGTACGGAGAGCTGTGGATGAAATGCCAAGATGTGCATGTGCTATCCACTCTTTCAAATGGTTGTCAATGAATACCCATTGCTAGTTGGTATTCATTCTTCTCATTATTTTCAGCTGAGAGCCGTCTTGTATGGGTAATCTGATGTGTACATATCGCAATGATACGTAATATACACACATCACACAAGATCATGGATGAAACATCTCACTCAGTAGCATGATAAAATTCTGATTACCAAGATATCGATTTTAAATTCATGTGTCATTCCCGAGATTTATAACAAATATTCTCTTGATACACTGGTAATCTAATTGAGGTTCATCTTGATAGCCAATATAAGTATTTCACTTTGATTAGACGTAGAGGCTGGTTGTCATGAAGTGAGTGCCCCTATCAGATAGATCTATCAAAGTCTCAAGTTCCGATTATACAGATGATGGGCTCTTTCAACTGAGGATCCTGTTTAATCTACAATGACTTTATGCGTGCCATTGTTGTCACACATCTGGATACATCATTAACAAGATAATGAGCAATTTTTATCAAAAAAGAAGCATTACACACAAGCTGCACCCATTATTTACAAAAAATCAATGAAATTGGCCATAAGAACACTTTGAACAGCGTGTTTGATTCAAGCACTTTGTTTCTAGATGAAATTGATGTGTCAACTAGAAATTGACGTGCCACTGTGTACAAATTACTCGTATGCACCACATTTAGGCGCTGGTTGTGAGCTGTAGTGCGTCTTTGCATATACATTTGATTACTGATAGCCCTCTGATGGAAGCAGATCAATGATGTTGTGCTCTTACAAAAGGTTGAGTCAATGGTAAAACTGCGGCTTTGTAATCACTCGATGGGCGTACCACAATGGTCTTTAACCTTTACAAAATTGCGCTGTAATTGGAAGAGAACCTCAAGCATACAATCTAAACATACTCCTTATTATAAGCAATGCTATCACTGTGACACTGAAAAGCAAACAAGGGCAGTGTTGCATTGTTGTGCTACATTCAGAGTTTAAAATTCAATACGCTGATTATGCATAGCAACTAGTTGTCAAGATGGTGGATATACACTTTTGAGTGAATGCAACCATGAAGCCATCTAGACCATTTTTTTTCTTGCAGTCCAAATTTCAAGATGATTTGCAATTAGGGAAATCATAATAAGCTGATGAAACCTCACGTTGTATAGTCAATCACTATAAATAATATTGCAAGTTTGTCAAGAAGAAAAAGTATGTTAATAGGTTTGTATGTAAACGCATTTCACTTGATTACGCCTTTCTAACGCAACAAAACCATCTCACAGTAGTACACCAAAAATTAAATCAATTTGGATGGAGAACGATGAATTGATTCAAGGTCATGCTTCTTAAGCGAATGAATGACTACATACATTAGCTTTACAATGCCTTCATCTTGATGATTCATGGCAGTGTACTAATGTTTAGCAAGTCAATAATCCCCTCGTTATCTTGCTGCCTGTACTATACAACATAGATAGAGGTACACACATACACACACGCACACACAAAAATGCTCTTATATGCAGTGAATTGCATATAGACGCTATGCATTATGCTCCTATTTCAGCTGATTCTCTCTTTCTATCACACACATACAGAGCCAATGTATGTGATATATGCTTTCTCTTATTCATGTATAATTTTAGCATCTCTCTTTTCCCTCTTTCTTTGTTTTTCTCATTCGGCAAACCCAAATGTCCCATCTTCAGTATCATTCTCCTCATTATGTCAGCAGCAGCAGCAAAATTGCTCGCCCATCGTCTATTGCACTACCCGCATCCAGTATTCAAGCAACACAAACAATAACAAACAATGGCAGCAAAAAGAAACAAATAAAACAATCTACTTCTCGCCTATCGAAATCACATTCAATGCATCGGCTATTACTACAACAAGACGACGAAATGGAGGAGCCCATGCATCGCAGAGCCCTGTTAAGCCGTGCAACCACTACACCCATGCCGCGGCCATCCAGCTTAATTCAACGGTTCTCAGACCACACTGCCATGAAGCGATACAGTTCACTGATGAACCCACCTTTGAAGCAATCGCTTTCCAATACCACAGATCAACCAGACGATGAATATACCGGTGGTGGGGGTGGCGACTTCGTTTGCAACAACAAAAAGGAACATGATTTCAGACTGGGCCAAAGAGTATGTGTCCCTAGTCATCATGTTGTTGGCACAGTGAGATATTTTGGGGAAACAAAGTTCAAAGAAAAGGGTGTTTGGGTTGGCATCGAGCTGGATATCATAGGCACTGGTAAAAATGATGGATCAATTCAGGGGTAAAATAAGAAACAAACATCAGATTTAAACAATGATAAACTGATCCCTTATTTCTTCTTTCTTTTACTCTCTCTCTCTTCCAACCCCTTGTAGTGTTCGCTACTTCTCCTGTGCTCCTAATACTGGTCTTTTTGTCTTGGCAGCTAAAGTCATTGCCCTGGAAGATAGCCAAAAAAAGAAAATTGTGCCTCGCATTAGCAAAACTACTGCCATTGCCACTACAAAAAAGAGCCATTCCTCCTCCACCAGCGCCAGTACTGCCAACAAGCGAAAGAGCATGATTGTTGCGTCGGCTACCACCACCACAAGCACATCTACATCCACCAATGCCACCTGTAAATCCATTAGCAGCACGCCCAAGCGACATCGATCTGCGACCACTGCAACAGCGCCATTGAACCCAAGTAAATCAGCTCGCACACTATCAACAGCACGTTCTTCCAATGCCCCGTTACCCACACGAAGCACTCCATCCGGTGCTACGAAAAAGATGTCCTCATCGACAAAGACAAACAAATCTGCATTGAAAAAATCATCATCCATGAGTACAAGTAGCACAGATTGTTACCACCACCATCATCGACCGTCGCAGCAGCAGCAGCAGCAGCAGCAGCAACAGCAAAAGAGACTCAGTGCCGATATTGAATTAGAGCGTATGCACGCACTGCTCGAAAAATCAAGACAAGAAAAACGAGCACTTTCGCAGCAAATGGACGGTCAAGAGGCAGCATGGGAGCGTTTGGTCAGCGCCAAAGAAAGCTATGCTGTACGTGTGCAAGAAAAGGACGATGAGATTGCCAAGTTAAAACGGCTGTTGGACAGCTCGAGCCAAGCAACACATGAGCTAGTCAAAATGACGAGCGAACGTGATGCTGCACTCTCCAGAGCATCCATGTCAGAGGCAATGGAGAAGCAGCACAGCAAGGTCATTGAGAGACTGGATTTGCAAGTAAGAACATTGCTGCAGCAGCTCGAAACACAGCAGCAACATCATGAGGCTGCACAGCGTGATTTTGCAGCGCAGCTGGATCAAGTACGCAAACAGTTGACAGAACGCGACGAGGCAGCAGCTATTGTCGAGCGCGAATGCAGCGAGCTTCGTCAAGCCCATGTCAAGACGATACAAGCATTTGAGGCTACTATAGAACAACGTGAAACGGAACATACAACCGCAGTGACTAACAAGGACGCACATATAACCAAATTACAACTGATGGTAAATGATCTCATGTACCCCTCTACTGCATCGCCCATTGTTGAAGGTGATTCCACGCGACATCGATTAGAAGCGCAGCTAGAGCTCACTACATCTGAACTGGACAAGGAACGCGAGCTCATCAAAGCACAAACACTGGAAATCAGTCATCTCAAGGACGAAATCAAGCGACTGCACCGTGTATCCGTGTGCTCTTCATCTGATTTCTATCAATTGCGATCTGAATTGGAGCATGAAATCGAAGACAAGAGGCGCATCATGGAAGAAGCCAATGCAGCGCTGGAAGTGCAGGCCAGATTAGAGGAAGAAAACGAACGCATCAAGCTTACCAATGAAAAGACACAGCGAGATTTAGCAGACGTACTGCGAAAACTAGCCACCACTGAAAAAGAACGAGGGTCTGCTGATTTACTAGCCAAATACAGCCAACTGGAATCAGAGAATGAGAGACTTGCGTTGCAGCAAAAGCAAACAGAGCACGAATGCATGCGTTTGATGGACGAGTTACTTGCTATCGAGAAGGTGGAATCCAGTGCGACTCTGCAGGACGACGATAAAATGTACCGACGCGAGATTGAGCAGCTAAAATTGCAGGTAAACCGAGAAGTCAGAAAGTATCAAGACTTGGAGCAGAGCAAGGAAGCCAAAATTCAGAAGCTGTACAAGGAGTTATCTGATCTGGAATCGTTGGTGGAAAACAAAGTGTTTAATGAAACAGAACTAGAGGAAGCCATTGAATGCGAGAAACGAAAAGTGCGTATGCTAGAGGGCCGATTGAGAGAAGAAGAAGAAAAGAATAGAAGGTTGTCTATTCATGCACCCTTGTCGCCCACATCACCGCAGTATTTCCTGTTCAACAGACAGCAAAATCACCAGCAGCAGAAGAGATCTTCCACAGGGTCCTTTTCTCTCATGACAAGCACCAGCATGGACACTGTATCTGATCATGGCAACTTGTTGGAAAGCATCTACTGCGAGATCTGTGAAGAGTATGGCCATGAAGTGATGACATGCAATGCGTATAAGCAAAAGACAATCTTGGGCAAAGACGATGACCTTTATGAAAGCAGATATTCTGTAAGTTGGAGACATGAACACACACACAAACCAACATGTATACTCACAATACTGTCATTTTCCTTAGTACTATTGTGTCAATTGCGATGTATTTGACACGCATCCCACAGAAGCGTGTCCAAATCAAGACGAAACATTCTAAGCAGTTCATTTTTTGTATAAGATTATTCATGTACATGTAATTTTGTTAATCATCCTCTAAAAAAAAAACCAGTGTATGTAGTGAGAAAAAAAAAAAAAAAAAAAAAAAAAAAAGACAGCACACATGTATACATAGCAAAATAAAAATGTGTCTCCACGCACTTTGCAATATACGCTTCTTTCATGGCACATTGCATGTACATTGTAGTAGATGCACGTGTTCTGATCGTAACTGTATATTTATGTAGATGTATGTCAAAAAAAAAAAGGTATCAGGTCAGCTATGGAGTAGGTGTTGACTGCGCATCTTCATGCTCTTCAGGTACAGTTGCAGGATCAATCATAGGAGGACTACATCATGAGAGAGAAATTAGTTTACAGTGCTGTGGCCACGTCAAGTACACTTTTACTTACCTTGGTCGACGGCCTTTGTTCTTTTGGGCTTCCTGTACTTTGGCAGCTGAAGGGTGTTCCATAGGTGTTAGCAGCTCAAAACTACATAGCAGCTCCTCGTTTATGCTCATGATGGCTCCAAAATTGTCAAATTCACCACAGTAGTTGGGCGCACTGAACACGGTAACCAATGTCCTCTCGTTAAAGAATTGATATCCATCTTCCACCACCATATGAGCTCTGCACACGAGATCCAAATCATGCTTTGCCAAAAACTCATTTACAATCTTTTTGCCAAAGCAGTAAGACACGCCTCGCTCATTGTCCTCCCATTCAATGGCTGTGTCGGATGGATCCGACCACAGCAAGTCGTTCAAGAGCCCGTATTCAGGCACGTCGGTGGGTCGCATGATATTTCGTACATCGTCCATGGTGTGTAGCGAAGGACTGAGACCGCCATGAACACAGAATATCTTTCCTGCTACCAACGCTGCAATAGGCAGTGTATTGAATACATCCACAAATGTCTTCCACACTTTGGTGTTTGTTCTACGCTTGCATTCGTCGTAAAATCCATACACTCGAGTGACGTTGGCACACTCGTGATTGCCTCGTAGCAAAAAGAAGTTTTCAGGATACTTGATCTTGAAACAAAACAGCAGCAGTATCGTCTCTAAACTCTGCTTTCCTCTGTCCACATAGTCGCCCAGGAAGAGATAATTTGAATCAGGAGGAAACCCACCCTAGCATCGCAAAAAGAGGGATAAGTCAGGACTCCTTGCCTCACACACATACTCTCTCTTTCCAACCACTTACCATTTCAAAGAGGCGTATTAAATCATGGAATTGGCCGTGTATATCACCCAGAATTTTGACGGGCGGGTTCAGTTCGATCAGACTAGGCTGACTCAGAAACACTTCCTGCGCTGCTCTGCAAATGGCCACAATCTCTGAATTTCTAAAGCAGATGGATTTTGTAATCTTGTTCTTGACGCCCACCTCCATGAGCCGGTTTATGCATTCATCAATGTCCAGATTCCAGCCAATAGATCGAATGGATGTTGCTGTGAGCTGATTTTGTGATGTAAATGTGAGCTGATTATCTGCAATGGGGCTATGCAATGGTGGTGATATAGGCTGCTGTTGCTGCTGTTGATCCGCAAAGGCGTTTTGAGCTGCTGGTATGGATGTTGGCTTGTTGTTTCGTTGGATGCTTGAATTGACAAGAATCGAGTTGACTGATGTGGCTGTGGCATTGGATATCTCATTGTCTGGCACTTCAGATCGCACAATACTGGGTCTATTATCTTTTCTCTTTTTCGAAATGTTGTTACCCATACTATGACTGAAGGAAAGAAGAAAGGAAAAAAAAGAAAAGAGAGAGAGGGGGGGAGGGGGGAAAAGAAAAAATTTATTGCTGCTGTGTGAATATATATATATATATATATCAACAATGTGTACTACTTGAAGGTGTATAAGCAACCTCACGTGAAGCTCTTTAGTTCTGATCTCTTCAAACAGTGACGAAGAAGCGCCTTTGCCTTTTTAGTGGAATAATACATTTGCTTTGGAACCAGCTCTTCCTGCTTGGCAACTCCCATTTTCACTGCCATGGAAATGCTGGTGGCCTGCATTTCATTGATGTTGGTGCGCCAGACGGGCTGTTTGTCCAAAAATCCTTGCTTGGGCTCGCCATGGTACACAAAACCAAGCTTGTCCACCAGGATGGCGTTGGTCTCCTCTGTCGAGTCTGTGAATTTAATGCAGTGGAACATATAGTCAAAAAAGTAGCAGCTACTACACATAGTCTGATCATGGATGGTCTGTATGATGGCTATCAGGGAGGATGGAACGTCATTCATGTCCTTTTCCAGCAGTTGTACAAGAACTTTATCCAGATCTGCTTGGCCAGATTTCAAAGCAAGAACCAATAGGCCCCAAAGCATTGAATACGACGTTCTGACGCTCGAATGCGCTATTTCCAACTTGCGATTCCAGATTTCAAAACCTTTGTTGCTCATCGTGACAATGTTGGCAGGCGATCCTTTGCACTCGTACAGCAGTGTGCACAGAATAGGCTCCAGAACACGGTCATCGCACAGAAGCTTGTCGAAATGCAGTCGAACCAGCAGGCTGTAGATGCTCATTGCCTTGGTGTAGCGTGCTTTTCTGTCAATCACAATCTCGGGGCTGTTGGCTGCAATGGACAAGATATCGTGCAAGAATCCCGGCGCTTCATTTTCCTCGGGGTGCAGGTATTCAGAGCACATGAACCGAGAGTACACGGACCATGCTCGATTCTCCCAGTAAGTGCGTCTCGAGATATCGGCTATAGGGATCTGTCGAAATGCTACCCAGCAGAGATGCATTACAATACAGGGCGTAGCATCATTGACAGCATCTCCCATGGCCTGGTACACCTGCCATCCGTACTCAAACTGACTGTTGCTGACAGCAACAAATATCATGGTATTGTCATTGTCTGTGCTGATGCGGTCCACCTGCTGCTTCTTGGTCTCGATCTGTAACTGAGTCATTGCCCAATCTTTGGCGCCGTCGCCTTCTTCTTCATGCTGTTGAATCGCTTCCATGTTCTCTTGCCGTAGCTTTTCATAGGCCAACTTTGTATTATGCCATTCCTTATCGCTCGTACTGAGTGCAGACTGATAAAATATCCATAGTTGAAACTGATCTTGCTCAGTCACTTCATGCATCAAGGGCATTTCCATCCGAATGGGCGGGAGATCATTGGGCGCAATGGGATTTGCAATCTCTAAATAAGGTTTACCATAATCAGATAACAGACCCTGTGCTTCTTGACTCTGCTTTGGATCTTGCAAAAGATGAAGCAGTACAGCTGTTCGATAGCATGCTGTGTCCCATTCCCGTCTAGGGAGCGCATACATGGCTTGAAGTGCAAGCGATTTGTGGTTTCTTTCTATGAGTGTGTTGACGACCGCTAAATGAGCGTCTCTCTATAGATGGCACTGCTGTTAAAATCCATAGGTCTACAATACATACATGCCACTTGCCTCAAGAACGTAGCCTGACTCGACCACTTTGGTGAATAATCGCCACAAGACAGATTCCTGGATATCGGGCACTTTGCTATCCTTTTTCGACATTTCATCTACAATGCAAGCAATATTGGGATCGCAGAGTGATTTAATGATCTGCGAGTATATCTTGGAAACATCCCCTTTATCCTCTCCTTCTGTACGAGTCATTTGTAGATGATCAAGTGCTTGCTGTAGTATCTGAATGGCATTGGAAACATTGTCGTTGTCTAATAATTCGCTCATCACTTGTCGCCCTAGTTGCACGCTATTCTTTCGTCTTGGTGACATAGATTCGTCACGAAGAATGAGCGAGGCACGCGTGCTTGTACTTGCTGTCTGGCTGCTTAGCGTGGAACAGCGATCACTCTCATAGTCTTGCTGCTGTTGCTGGTTGCTGATAGCTTGAGGAGATGCTACTTGCTTGTCTTGATTGTTGTTGTTTGAGAAAAAGCCTGACCAGCCTTCAAAGAAATTGCCAAAGATAGGTGGTGGTTCGCTTGAATCATCATCTGGATGGAATCGAGGATGATTCTTCGTCTTAACCTGTGCCATGAGTATAATGAAATAGTACAAAGAAAGAAAAAGATTCGCAATTCATTTCCCTGTTCTAGACTTTATCAAATTGACCGTTTCCAAATTTCATTTGACATGTTTGGAAAGAGATGACCACAGCAAAGTAATATAAATGAAACATGCCAAGAAGCAGCTTGACATCACATAGCAGTATATTCCTGTTGGATCGAAAACCAAACATCAAGTCATCCAGACCGCCTTTTTGAGTTGGTTTTACTATTGATGGTGTAGAATGGTCGATGTCTGTTTCGCAGAGTTGCTATTGTACGAATTTTGCATGATTCGAATACCGAGTGCTTTTGTTGGCTTTACAGCAGTAGGAAAATGCATGCTTGCACCCTTCTATCGTTTAATCATGTCAGAATCTATACTAACCATTATCCTCATTCCATAATAAGTTTGAATAGAATTTAAATGCACATCGAATGATACTACTCATAAAACGAATCTCACAGCTTGTACACAAATGAATCTGATAATTTGAGGGTTTTCAAAAACAAAAAAGTCTGTACAAATCTGTGAAATTTTGCTTGTGCCAGCCATTCATTGCGTAGGTCCAATGTTACCATAGCTTTAGGCCTTAATCGAAGCCGTAGCACCAGTTTTCATGGAGCTACGCTGACGAAAAGGTCAGCCCCAGATCAGCCGCCAAAAATTGATTGCTTCAAGCTAACTTTTACTACAGTGGCCTATATAGTTTCTATTGTTATTAAAGGAAAACGTATTTTGTCGCTACTGTAAACTGTTATTTGAGGGTCAAAAACCGATTTTTGAAAGAACATATCGTAGACGCCCAAACAAAGTCTCATTTTGTAAAGCTAGCAAAGAGAAACAAAATTCAATTAATACAGAAGTCAGGTTGAGTTGACAGTTGATCGAGAAATAGTGTCCAAACATTGTTCTTTTTTATATTGGTTTCGCTACAGTTCCCTCACTTAATTCTTTGACCACCAATGTTGCGACTGAGAATTCCTCTAGATGTTTAGCAACACCTCAAAGTAGACATAAAATGGCTTTGACCTAAATGCCCTAGCATCAACATTGGGCTGGGAGCAGCCGCTCACCCTTTTTCCTATTATGCACATCAAACCTTTGACCCTTTGCCAAACCACAACTAAGGAAGATTTGCCCAAGCGATTTTCAATACAGCGTTTCCCAACACCTAATCCATTAATCTACGACTCGTAATCACTAGTAGCTAATAGTTTCCAACAGGTTCTATACAAGCAGTAGGCCACTGCTCAAAATTGGCTTCTTTTTTTTTTTTCGAAAATCAGCCGTTTCAAACCAACAAATCACCATGCAATCAAGGATTCAACTATACTATTGTTTTCCTCGCAAGATTTTGCTCTAGGAGCATGGTTGGCAGCAGAACATTTGGTACCAAGAGGACCTGGTACCTAATTGGAAAGAAAAGGGTTTATATACTATTTCAACTATTGAGGGAGGACTCGATATGAGGATAAGTGGGATGATAGGATAATAGATCCAATCTATTATCCTGAACATGCCATATATAAGTGGGATCGTAGTCACTGGATCCAGTTTCATGTCAAAGTTTATGATCTGATGTGGTCTGTCCATGAGTTGAGTATTTCTTCGCAATTACAGATTCTGTTTGAAAATGGTACATCAGGTACTACTTTCTGTAGCAGCAGACAACTTTTTGGGAGTATTGTTAACATTTGATCCAAAATACAGAAATAGAAAATGGACATAAGATTCAAAAAAGATTACGTGAGAAGTACTGAATTCCTATTCTTTTTGTGGTCTTCTCAATGCTAAATGAACGTATATATATATCTATAAACTATCAACGAATATTCTGAAGCTGAAAAATAGCAGAAATTATACCTTTCAGCAGTGCTGTAGCTCCGTAAAACCATTAAAACCTAATTTCATTACAGTTTGTTGATATGACTCTTTTGTCATAGGGCTTGTTGTAGGTATCACGAATCTCTATTTGCTCGACTTTGATGCAAAATTTCGTTGTTTGTTCCCCTACCATGCTGACACCAACTCAGCATGTTCGTTATTAACCCTTTTTTCTTCACTGTGATTGCCCAACATCATGGATAGATTTTAAATCTACCTTTACCGCTAAACAGCATGGTTTCTCTGTTGTGGACGACCATCAAAAGTGACCTACTGACCAACCGAGCATCTCCCCCAATCCGAGCAAGTTGTTGGATCCCAATTTGTTGTGTAATACTGACGTTGTTCCACTCTTCAACTTACTATAATAGCGCATCTCAAAAGACAGATCTGAGCCTTAGAATTAGAATAAAAGCGTCTATTACCGAGGAATCGAGTTCCATACAATGCAGAACGTCTGGATCGTCAAGTAGAAATGTGATTTATCTACTGGTTTGGCAATGCAACCTATAACGCCTTACTTATAGGTCGAATTCTGTTCAAATCTAGCCATTTTCAAGCATGGATAATTCATGCCACAAAGCGTTTTGAGCGCTTGGAATAGCACCACACACCTCCTCTTGGCCACGCTTTACTTCCTGATGCTTTATCTCAAAATTTTTTAGGTTTTTGCAAATTCATGAAAATCATCGTTTTTCCATGAGTATTAGCAACGGAAAATTCTTGAAAATCAAACGATCGCATTTTTCACCCCAAAAATAAAGATTTTTTCTAAGATACATATGATATCAAATTGATCGTAGAGATGGAATGCAACATTGGAAACTCTTTGCATGAGACTTTTATATGCTAAATTTTGACATATTCTCAGAAAACCTGTTTTCATATTTTTGGAAATTGCTCATTATTTTTGGTTTAAAAGCTGAGAGTAACCAGTATCATTCGATGCGGCTTCTTTTGCCCTCTAGAGGTATATTAGAAAGTTGGGTATGACAACGACAGCTTTCATAGTCAAATTTAGCAAAAACGTTTAAAGGATGTGAGATCAAGTCAAGTTTGAACACGAAAATACCACTGCACAACTTCAAATTAAATTGCCGCAATTACTGCTGCTACCATACAAGACTGAGACTAAATCTACTGGTCGTGACGTCGGATAAAGTGCTCTCTCGTTTTTTCATGGACCCGTTTTTTACCCTTTTTGCAAAACGCGTTTTAGTATCAAACCATGGTGGTTTTGGACATCGTTTGATTGATAATAACACTCTAGCACCGATAAATCTTTCTTGTACTGTTGGAAGAACTTGATACTGCTTCTTTGAAATGGAATATATTAGGTACCATTTGATAACGAGCACCGGAAGGCGTAGAATTAACACTAATTTAGTTTGTTTATTAGGTTTTAATAATTTCTTGCTTGCTTGAGTGAGTGCTGCTGCCGTTACTTCTCTGTCATCTCTGCTGCCTGATTCTTTGGTTTATCATGTCTGGTGATTACTTCTTTGGCCATTGTCTGGTCTCTGCTGGTGGCGTTCGTTCCTCGGTTTGTTTATGATGCTGGTGTTGCTGCTGCTGCTGCTGCTGCTAATATGGTCTTTCCTGGTCTACTGTGCTAGGTGCATGCTCGTTCTCTGGCCTATATCTGGTGATTGCATATCCTCTGGTCTATCTGCGATGCCGATAAGCAGTTAGTAACTTCTTTGGTCTTTGTCTGTTCTCTACTGATGGCATTCGTTCTTTAGTTTGTCTATGGTGCTGGTGTTGCTGCTGCTGCTGCTAATATGGTCTTTCCTGCTCTACTGTGTTAGTTGCGTGCTCGTTCTCTGGTCTATATTCGGTGATTGCGTATCCTATGGTCTATCTACGGTGGTGGTAAGTGGTAAGTACCTTCTTTCTTCTGGTCGCAATGATATAAATCTTCTTTGAACGTTTATATTATTGCTTGCTTTATCGTGATAATGCATTCGTAATGTTTGCCTTGTTGCGCTTTTTTTTTCTTTCGTTTTGGTTGACTGTGATATGATCAGCTCAACAAATACTTGCAATGTTGTTGCTTCGTATTTACGAACAACAAGCATGATACACTGATATATTATAATTGTATTACCCTTGTGATACTTTGTTATATAACCGTGGATTGTTGTTTGTGTTGCCTTTGTCGCTTCACATGAAAACAGCATTGGTCTTCATGTTGTATTACATACTTATACTGGTGCTACTGTTGCTCCTGCAATTGTGCGCATTTGTGTTCTTTTACATCATCAGGCTGTTATCATGCACATTGCTCATGTATGTATTTTTGTTGCAATAACAAAAATATAATAACGTGAACATTTTTAATATTTTATACATAACATACTTTCCTTTGGCTCACTTCGTGTGAGCATTCTTTTTTTCTTTTGCCTACATATACTACTACTATACTTCTATAGTATTATCATGTTCGCTTCTTTTATTATTGTGTTTCTTTTGAAGCATACCTCTTTACGTTGTGTGGATGTGCCTATCGCCGAAGCTCAACAAGACTCTATCCGAGGCTAGGAGGTGGATAGGCTGCCTCCACTTGGTTATCGCTACTTACTTTAGTGATGATTGATGGTCTCAATGACAGGATTTAAAGCTAGGTGGTGTAAGTAAGGCATGCTCTAGCACCTGGGGGAAATTTGATGATTGCAGCGGCTATATTGCTATTATAGCGGCGCTTAAAATTTTGCCTCACATCAAAACAGGGGGAAACCCTCGCAAATTTTTTTTAGGTTAGCGGAGTTTTTTAGCGATTTGATTGGCTCAGAAGTTCAGAGACCGAAGGATTCCAGCTAGCTGATCTCCTATTGAGCTTTCATCTTAATAAATTTATATTTGTAATAAAAAGGTAGCGAAATAGGTACAATTTAAAGCTTTCTTCTTTAAGAGTATGCTAAGGTGCAAGCGTTTAATCTAGCATCCATTGCATAATAGTTCGACGTGAGGAATGTCATTTAAATATATTTATGCAAGGAAAGTTTTACAGTGCGCGAAAAAAAACGTTCCAGTGTTCTGCCAAATTGCACTCATTGCCAGTTTTTTCTGCAAATATCAAAGCTACTGGAGTGTGCTTTGTTTCCATAAATGTAATGAAATAGCCACCCAAACGCAACTTGATTGAAAACCGAAATTCATCAAATAGCACTCATTCAAATTCATGCTATTTGGATCTATTAATAAAAGCGTTCAAATGTATATCAACAACCATTTAAACATACTAAAGTAAAGATACACGCTTATATCGCACATCGTGTGAATGAATCACTCCTGATTACAGTGTATTCAATTACACTCATGATGGTCGTAATAAGAGACGTTATCTTTATCCAAATAAAATCAAATCAATAACAAGCATATTCAAATATGACAACTATGCCCTGCTGCCATAGTTGCACAATATCCCAGATAAAGGGTTCCATACTTCAATAACAAACATCACACTTTAAACCATCAAGGTCACATTAAATCATGCTATGACGATAGCTCACCCAAGCTCATCAAGGTTACTCAAATCGACCCTTATGACCAGTGCTCTTGCATTGATTACCACTTTAAATCAAACATCAACAAAATTTGCCAGATATCGCAATAGCAGAACCTATTGCTCTCTAGCATCACTAATCCTACAAGCTAGTTGCAAATTGTTGCATACAAGCATGCATCTTAGGCTACATTCACTTTCTCCTCAAGCCACCTTTTACAGTGTAGCAGCATAGATGATGTTTATCGTATCACATCACATCTATGTTTACAAGTCCAGTCAATTGTGTGTGCACAGGTGCCTCAGGAACTACAATACATTCAATCTCCCCAATGTCAAGATATCGAGATCCACCTACACTACATGAAACATATCTACTTAGGTGGCCTCTCAACAAGCTATACCAACAATCCATAAGGCCCCAGTGGCCTGCTATTTATATACCATCTCAACGTAGTAGTCATTGACCAGGGATCTACCATATTTAAGCAAGCTAGATGCCCTGTAATAAAGAAGCTCTTTGCTATCGTTTTAGATACAGTTGACAACTGATTATTATCATCGACTTATTATTACGAATTCATCACAAATGTATAAATACTCTTCTTTTTTTTTTACTCAATTCCAGGATCTTCAGTTCATTTTATACACAAATAAAATACAGTTGATTTCTATTGTATTTTACTATTGCTTTATTTTTTTTTGTATTCAAACCTGATTTCACTGCAGTAACAATTTACTTTGCTGCGTTGACAAAAAGGTTTAAAGCTATGCTGCGCATTTTACAAAAATGGAGTAACAGCTATTCCAAGCTCCATGTTGATGCTAGAGCGTTTATATCAAGGTTATTAAATGCTTACTTTGAGGGGTTGCTAAACATCTAGAGGAATTCTCAGTCGCTACATTGGTTGTCAATTAATTTAGTGAGGGAACTGTAGCGAAACCAATATAGAAAAGAACAGTGTTTGGACGCTATTTCTTGATTAACTGTCAACTTAACCTGGCTTTTGTATTAATTAAATTTTGTTTCTCTTTGCTTGCTTTACAAAATGAGACCTTGTTTGATCATCTGCAATGCTTCCTTTCAAAAATTGGTTTTTGACCCTTAAATTGAAGTTTACAGTGGCAAAATCACGTTTTTTTCTAATAACTTCACAGAAGCATCTATGTGGTGCTCAAGTCCATAAAATAAATTTAGGGCGTGGTATAAGTAATAGCAATGCGCAAAAAGAATTTTATATGCGCCACTGTAGCAAAAGTTAGCCTTGAGCGATCGTTTTTGGACAATAATTTGCTAGGGGCTGACCTATTGGGTGCTGTAGTGCCATGAGAACCGGTGCTGTAGCTTCAAATAAGGCCGCAAAAGATAGGTCAGTTTTAGGTCTACCCAATAACTATTACTATACGTAAGTTGGTAGAGATTTATCAGATGGCTTCCTTTCAAAACCCTCAGAATGTCTTATAATTAAAAAGGATTGTTTGAACTGAAACCATGGGATAATTATCAGGAGTGATACCATTCGATGCGCATTTAAATTATGTACAAGCTTATTATTATGGACTGAGGACAATGGTTACTATTGAAAAAAATTACCTGGTTTTTAGTTTTTTATAGACATTTGCTTGCCGTCTTTATAACGTAATAATGAAAAATTAAGAAAGAGTATTGAGTGGTTGAACGGACAAGGCATCTTTTAATAACGGAAAAGTTCATAAGTTTGATTCAGGGCGGCTGCCACCTTTTTGTTGGTTCTTGTGATTTCTTTAGGTGGTTGCGGATGTAATGGTAGGATTGTATGTGTCGTAGCTATTTACATATTTTGTTACACAGTACAGACCAAATAGTATAAATGCTAGAGCTAGCAACTGTCAAATTTAATAAACATTGTCTTTTAATTTGTTTATCTTATTACTTGTAGTATTATCACGACAGATGGAAGAGAGTATAAACGAGATATCAGACAGTTTTTGTTTTGTTCGTGGTCCCAGGTACAAACAAATTTTGTGTTTAGGATGGATGGCGCTATAGACTTATTCTTGTATTCGTACTTGCGACGTGCTACAGATACGCTGTCATGTACTTGTGTAATCATTGCCGAATCCGATCTGAGGTGCTCATAAGAATTAACACCTCGTTTGACTTTTGGTCGGTATTGAGAATGTTTGCGTATATGTACGTGATGCATGTAGGGCCAAGTTTAAAGTAGGCAATGCCATCATTTAATGATAGTGGATTGGATTTGACATTTTTGAATCTTTAAGGAAGAGGCACATGTTTATGGCCATCACATGTGTAGCGAACACAGAAAAACCAAGAAAGAGAAAACCCGCTAACTTTTGGTATATATAGCTTTCCTTAGATTGAGGATGTAGGATCATTGAGTCGTCAGCAGATATTTCAACACAAGCTAACAGAATATGAAATGAGAATGCTGTGAGCCATTAAACATGATATTTTAAGAATGTGGCATCATCTGGGCACCAACACATGTATCAATAAGGATAAAACACCATCTTCACAAGCCCCAAAAAAAACCATTAGGATATCTGTAAATATGTTGTAAAACTATTTAAACTAATTAAACATATTTAAAAACTCGAGGTATGCATGTTAATGTAGAGTTGACAGAAGTTATGGATATGTATTGTAATTTCTCTATATATCCATATGCGAGTGTACATATACAGTCGAATAAGTGTTGCCTGACCCCACATTTGCATGCAGACACACATCTTGTTTACACAAGTAATGCAACAAAATGGAGTTTAAACCTTGTATTGTATAGCATAGCGAAAGAAATGAAGTTTAAGAGATTTTTATATATAAAAACTTTAGAGTAATGTTAAAAAATCAAGTCATTAGTAAGTTGTAATGGTTGTACCAAACCTGGCAATATTCAGCAACAAATTGGTCCAAGCGCAGTGCAAGGACCGAGACGAAGTATTTTCTCATGAGCATAATAGGTTACTCTAATCAAGTCATCAACGAAATCAGATGGTATGATCATGTTTGTGACGAAAAGAAAGAATAAGGAGTGGGATGTTTGACAAGGCTATTCGAGGTGATCTACAGTCCATACTCACACACTCACACACGATTTCAACTAGTGCACTAACTCGTTCCTGAATTATTTTCGAAAGATGATGTGGCTCATTTGACCTCTTTTCATCAACATAGAGTAAGGCAAACAAATAAAAACGTGTGACTCCGTCGCTGTGTCCTCTTTTCCTTCTTACTCTTCTTCTTTTACAAAATCATTTAGATGGTGTCTGCCATAGTAAACAATGATGTCGATTGGCAAAATTGTCAGGCATATTCGTTCTATACAAAGCCGCTGGAGAAACCTGCAAACGATGACCGTGAATATCGTCTAATTAGACTGTTGAATCAGTTGGAAGTTCTGATCATTAGTGACCCACAGACTGATCGTGCAAGTGCTGCTTTGGATGTGCATGTCGGCAGTTTGAGTGATCCGGTAAGCATGGTGTAGCTTATGATCTAGCAATCAATTGATCTGTGGTATTTTAGGAAAACTTGCAAGGTTTAGCTCATTTTTGCGAGCATCTGTTATTTATGGGCACCAAGAAATATCCCAAAGAGAATGATTACTACAGCTATCTCTCAGAGCATTCAGGTAAGCGTTGCTACTGCGAGCAATCCCTTGTTTACTAAAGAAAATGCATTAGGTCATGCGAATGCTTTTACTGGCACAGAAAACACAAATTACTTTTTTGAAGTGGGACATCAATGGCTGGAAGGAGCATTGGATCGTTTTTCACACTTTTTCATTGATCCCCTCTTCTCCGAAAGTTGCACAGACAGAGAACTGAGAGCTGTTGATTCAGAACACAAAAAGAATCTGCAGTCAGACTGCTGGCGCATTGCTCAGGTAGAAAAGTGTCTCAGTAATCCAAATCATCCATGGCATCTGTTTGAAACCGGTAATCTGGAGACATTGATGGAGAATCCCAAAAAGTTGGGCCTTGATATTCGTCAGGAGCTGCTCAAATTTCATGATACTTACTACTCTGCAAACATCATGAAGCTGACCGTTATTGGCAAAGGTATGCACTCTCTATGTATACAATGCCAGATTATGCACACATTAACGTTGTCTCTCAAAGAATCACTGGATCAGTTGACTGAATGGGTTGTTGAAAAGTTCTCTAGCGTCACTAACAAAAATATACCAGTGCCCTCTTTCCCTGGACATCCATTGACCAAGAATGAAATCATGAAGCAAATCTTTGTAAAGTCGGTCAAGAAGAATCGCACATTGGATGTGACCTTTCCGTTCCCAGATCAAATTCCATACTATCAGAGCCAGGTAAGTTATTGAGCATTTGTACAAATTTTCAGGTCCTCATCACTTCTCTACAGCCTGCAAACTACATTTCTCATTTGACAGGTCATGAAGGCCCTGGATCCATTCTGTCGTCTCTCAAAAAAAAGAACTGGGCTACCTATTTAAGCTCGGGCATGTGTTTCAATGGCACTGGATTTGGATTTTTCCACATCAGTGTTGATTTGACGGAACAAGGTTTGGCTCATTATGAGGATGTCGTGGTTGCTATTTTTGAATACATCGAGATGATCAAGGAGAATGGGGTAAAGAAGTGGATATTTGATGAAATCAAGACATTGGCAGAGATGGAATTCAAGTTTTCTGAGAAATGTCCTCCTTCTCAATACACTTCAGTCCTGGCGCAACAAATGCAAGAAAACTTACCACCTCAATGGACCATCAGTGGAAGCGCGTTGCTGAGAAAATACGATCCTGTCTTGGTAAACCAGCATTTGGCTCTTTTGAACACTGACAATTTTCGTCTGACGTTGGCCTGTCAAGAATTCCCCAATGGTGTGCAGCCTACCAAGGTGGAGAAGTGGTATTCAACAGATTACGAAGTATTGCCCATCAGTCAAGAGCTGACAGATGTAAGTATTGCCGCTTTTGGAGGGATTCTGGCCGCACGATGGAGACTGACAGACACGCATTGTAGAGATTGGCACATTTATCAATGAATGATGATTTTTCTTTGCCTGCCATTAATGAATTCATCCCTTCGAATCTGGATGTGCATATTACTGAGGTACCAACCAAGAAGAGCCAGCCTGAATTGATTCAAGATACAACTATTACTCGCATTTGGTACAAGAAGGATGACACTTTCTGGGTTCCCAAGACAAATATGTGGATATTCTTTAAGAATCCTTTGTTTTATGCTACTCCTCGTAACTCTGTCATTTTAGAGTAAGTGTGGCTATTGTGCGATTAGGGATTCTTACTCAAATGCTATTCCTCTAGATTGTATATAAACCTATTGACTGATTCACTGTCGGAATACTCTTATGACGCCGAAGTTGCTGGCTTGATCTACTATCTCAACCAAGAGCCAAAGGGCATCACTGTAAGTAACCTTTTATCTGCCCATAGTTTACATTGACTGACACCTCAATCAAGCTTCATGTCGGTGGTTACAGCGACAAATTACCGTTATTGCTGGAAAAAGTCATTGACAAGATGAAAAATCTCCAGATCGAAAGCGACAGATTCGACATTTTCAAGGACGAACTTACTCGTAGCTACGAAAATTTCTTTTTGGAAGCACCCTATCAACACTCTGCTTACTACATGACCTACGCACTCTGTGAAAAGCGCTGGACATGTGATGATTTCTTGGCTGAAATCAAGGATATTCATATGGAGGATGTGCAAGGTTTTATTCCTACCATCTTTTCCAACTTGCACATTGAAAGTTTGGTCCATGGCACATTGGAACAAGATCGGGTCGTCGGTATTTTTGATCGCATGTTGAAGGTGTTGCAGCCTCGCCCATTAATGCCTAGCCAGTTCATTGGAGAACGATCTATTCTTTTGCCTACAGGCACCAAGTTTGTGTATGCTTTACCTGTGCGAGACAAGGATGATTTGAATTCGGCCATCAATTACAATAGTCAAATATGTGATGTAAAAGACATTCCGCTTCGAAACCGCCTCAGCATGATAGCTCAAATTGCACAGGAGCCTTGTTTCAATCAGCTTCGTACAAGAGAACAATTGGGTTACTTAGTATTCAGTGGTATTCGCCGTCAGTTGAGTCAATTGGCCTTCCGCTTGATCATCCAAAGCGAACGTGATCCCACGTATCTTGAAAACCGAGTGCTTGAATTCTTGGAGTCACTCAGAGACATCATTGCAGACATGAGTGAAAAGGACTATCAATCTCAAGTGGAGTCTTTGACCGCCGAGAAGTTGGAAAAGCACAAGAATCTATGGGAGGAGGGAAACAAGTACTGGGCAGACATAGAATCTGGATATTACGAATTTGATGAAATCCGAACAGATGTTGAGGAATTGAAGACGATTACTAAAGAGTCCCTGATTGAATTCTACGACAAATTCATTCTACCGAGCTCATCTCAAGCAAGCACCATCTCTGTACATCTTCAATCACAGAAACCACCAGCAATTGAAAAAGAAAGAGAGGACAATATTACGGTAGATCAGCTATACCCTGTCCTGGCCTATCTTGGTTTGATCAACAAAAAAGAGGAATCTGAGGAAGACTTGAAGAGCAAAGTCAAGGACAAGTCCATTCAGACAGAGTCTGGTCTGGTTGAATTTCTCAAGGATTCCATTCACTTGAACCAAGACGACATTGATCAAGTCCTGTTGAAGTTGAACCAAGGTCCCAGTGGTTTGTCCAAGCGAGATCATGCCAATTTACCCAAAGATTGCATTGTTATTCAAGATTTGAATAACTTCAAACGAAGCATGGCGTTGTCTGTTGCTGCTGTGCCATTCTATCCCTTTGCTAATGTATAATAGATTACTTTATTTTTGTGTAAACTATGTTTTTTTTTAATTATTATGTTTATCTACTTGCTGTTTAGAAACCAATAAGCCCCAAATATCCAAGACTTTGCAGTTTTCGGAGCTATTTAGCAAAGACTAATAACAGTGTGTTTTTATATCAATAGATATACTATGTCAATGACGGAAGCGTCGGGAAAACTCCAGTGTTCGCCGGATATCTAGCAGTTTATATTGATGGAATGGGAATAGCGTCCTACATACTACAGCATACTTTGAAAAGCACAAATGCAAAGCCTAAATTCGGAAAAGGAATAACGCTATGCAGGGTAACACGCATGTATACACAATGTTAAACAAACACTGCAATTGCAGTACAGCAATGAATCAATTCGCAGGGCAAAATGTTATTTTGAATGTTTATACAAAAGCTTGACTTGGAAGCTTGTTTATAATGATGTTTACGGGGTACACAAGGCTACTTCAGAACGGGACACATTGGCTAAAGCAGATGCAATAGAGATTATTTGCAACTGAGCGTTACAATCACCATAATAGTTGCTGTAGATCACTTAGCCCTTCCCACCTTGGTGCATACAAGATAGCCTAATTGAATATATCAAAACAAGCATGGTTGTAAATGGCGTATATCAAGTACGGCAGATTCTGCTAATATGTGGTCTAAAAATCCTCGCAAAGAAAAACGCGACTATACAGCTTATTCATAAGCAGCATTTCCAAGATGTTTGATGCGCATAACATACAAACGATGTCAGTATTAAAGTAGCATTCATAGTCGTAGTCGCCTACAGATTCAGTTGCATATCGTCCAACGTAAGGGACTAACATTGAGCATTTTGTAGATCATCTTATGCAGATACATATCTTTCAAAATCCACTTTTGTTATATAAAGATACAGGCATTTCAATGCCAAAGATGGTGGCAAGTTATCAGGGATTACTTCAAGAATAGGGAACCTTGAGGAAACTAGCTAATTTTGTATTTCACACAAAAATTCGAAATTGGAAAGATATTTTGCAACGGTTTAATTCTATCAGATATTTAAATGAGAAGCACCAGTAAAATTCAATAGTATAATTATTCTTTAGTGTCCTTTACTTTGCAATTCCCTTCAAGAACGTCGATTGTCTTCATGAGAAAGACATGCTACGCAGCAGCCAAGACTGGCTGTAACTCTGTTCGATATTCTGCTTCAATTCGTTGATTTTTAATCAAATTGCGACTTGATTGATATATTTTGCAAGGTTCGATTATATAAAATAGGATGATCATTCAATGGTTTCTTAAACTTTCTAAAAGCACTTTTCAAGGCGCATCCAATGGTGCCAACTAAAGCAAGTGTTTTGAAAAAAACTTATCGAGTAACCTAAGAAAATACGAGATAAGAGTTTTGGCCAGAATGTCGAGGTTTTGTATACAAAAGTCTCATAAACAAAGTTTTAGGGGTTGCTTTGGATCGAAAGAAACATTTTGATCTAATATATGCCATAGCAAAAATCTTCATTTTTGCGATGAAAAACGCGATTGTCTAATTTTTGATGAAAATCATGAGGGATACCTCATGGTTTGGAGTCAATTTTTGATGATCCCAAAAAAGTTGAGCAAGGGTCTCAGCAAGTAGCTACTAGATGCGAGTGATTGCTTGGTGCTATTCTGGCACTCTAAAACGGCTCCTAAGACGAGACATTGCGGTTTGAATGCATGCAATTTTGGCTGTGGTTTGCATCCTTTTGAGTAATAAGAGCCAATACAGGTATGCTGATTGCCCGTATATGAATGGTTTCGAGAGATCGAGACGTAAAGCATCGTAGAACGGCCAGATTTCCACTTACAGGTTCTTGGTAGAGGAATTTTGTATGATAGCCGAAAGCTACAAAGCGTAGCATCATTACACACCAGTGGGATAGAATTTATGCACTTGGATCAATCATCATCTTCAAGGATAGGGTTTTGTTGATTGATCTCAGAATCTCAGTGCTCGGTTGATGAAAAACGTTGTGATTTAGGCTGATGTCCTTTCGTTTACCCGATTAATTTCCTTTTCTTTCATCTAAACTTCTTGGGGAAAAAATGACAGAACTTAGCGTGCCTAATTTCCCTTTATTTAAACACATGGTGGAGAATGCCGCCAACCAAAATGGAGTTGCCATTGTCGATATTCGCCTGCAAAAGAGCTTCACTTACCTTGAGTTGATTCATGCTGCAAGCAAATTACGCCTTGAATTATTGAAGGGCAAAAGGTAATTCCGCTACTATTGCAGAGAAAATGAATACACCAATTAACTTGCTACCGTAGCTCATTAGACCAAGAGAGAATAGCCATCTTATGTCCTAGTGGATTCCCTTACGTTGTAGCGTTGTTAGCAATTTGGGCTGCTGGAGGTATCGCTGTACCACTGTGTACCACGCATCCTGCACCGGAACAAATCTACACATTGCAAGATTCTCAAGCATCATTTATCCTTGGTCATCCTGTATTCGCTGATCGTATTTCTGAACTATCCAATGCCACCAAACTACCAAGCATAATCAAAGACGATGACAGCTTTATCGCCATGACTAACGTGGATAGCCTCAGCCGACCCGACATTGCATTATTCGATGCTGATTTTGATGCGGGTGCTCTCATCATCTACACCAGTGGCACAACAGGCAAACCCAAAGGTGCTGTCTCTACGCATTCTGTCATTGATGCCCAAGCATCTGTGTTAGTAACGGCCTGGTATTGGACATCCGAGGATCGCTTGCACCATATCCTCCCTCTGCATCATATCCATGGCATTGTCAATGCGCTCATCTGTCCATTATGGATTGGCGCCACAGTTGAAATGCACCAAAAGTTTGATACTACTCAGGTGTGGGCTCGTTGGGCAAACACAGAGTTGCCTCGCCTCAGCGTGTTTATGAGCGTGCCTACGGTGTATTCAAAACTCCAGCAATTCTACAAGACGCAAGATAGGGAAACACAGGCTGTCTTGACAACAGCATGCAAGCAATTCAGATTCATGGTGTCAGGTTCCGCTTCTTTGCCAACAACCTTGAGAAACGATTGGAGAAAACTGAGTGAGGGTCAGGTCTTACTAGAGCGTTATGGCATGACCGAGATTGGTATGGCACTCAGTCAAGAATATGTGATTTGGGAGCGAGTACAAGGCACGGTGGGCATTCCTTTACCTGGCGTTGAAGCCAGAATCATTTCTGCAGAGACAAATGAGGATGTTACTGAGGCAAGAAATGTTCCTGGCATGCTGCAAATTCGCGGCAAAACTGTGTTCAAGGAGTATTGGGGACGCCCTGATGCTACTAAAAAGGAATTCACCGAGGATGGCTGGTTTATTACTGGCGATGTTGCTCAGAGAGTGGGGCATCATGGATATTTTCAAATCATGGGCAGAAACAGCATAGATATTCTCAAGGTATGTTGAAAGAGACAATAGCTAGGCTAGGTAACTCATATATGTTGTAGACTGGTGGAGAGAAAGTGAGCGCATTAGAAATAGAAAGAGAATTACTATCCTGCGATTTAGGCATTCAAGACGTAGCTGTTGTTGGTATTCCTGATCCTGAATGGGGTCAAAAAGTTGCAGCTGCTGTCGTTTTAGAAAATGGAAAGGTACTGCAATGTGTGATACTTTGATGTGATATTACAGTGTGAAGTGTACTGACAGACAGCCATGAAATTAGGATCTTAACTTGGCTACAATGAGAAATGCCATGAAGAAGCGAGTGGCAGTCTACAAAGTGCCTGCATTACTAAAGATTGTTGATGAACTGCCTAAAAATGCAATGGGCAAGGTGACAAAGAAGGATGTGGTCAATTCATTCTAAATAAACTAGTCGGATTGTTGTTGTTGCGATATCCAAGAATGCTACGTTGAGAGTCTTGTATAAATTCATTGAGTCTTGTTGCCTGATTTCATCTTTATCTTTCTCATTCAACTGAAATATGCTTTATTCAAGCTTGAAATTCTCGGCATTTTTAGTTCTTTCACAGTTTGTCTTGCATTCACAGCAGCAGTGTCTGGGAACCTCCAAGATGCGAGGCATCGATTATACATTTGCATTGGCTCAAGTCAGTAACAATAGTAACCCACTGGGCCCTCAGGAAGCCTGTTACTTTAACTGTGGCGCTCAGATTGTCACTCAATCCTCAAATCGAGGCGATATGGCACGATTGACGTTGATGGACAATGCTGCTACTGTATTGACCTCCTCTGGATTTCTGCTGGCTGGGCAGACGTATTATTTGGTAGGCATTTACATCGAGCAGCATGGTAGATGAGAATGCTCATTGTCGTCATTTGTAGAATCACTTGGGCTTGGAGGAGAATGAAGGAGGTAAGTTGTGTGCTGTGCTATCACGGTAGATCAGACAATAAATTTCCGTACCATGATCAGGCAACGGCATTGGCTGTATCCAAGTGCTTCCGTAAGTATAGTAGAATCATGTCGCAGATATTGCAGGAATGCTTACGATTATGATCAGCGGTAATCGCATTACTCATTACCCTAGAGCACATCAAATATGTCAAAAGGCAAATGTAGCCATTTGTGGATTCTGGGGCAAGGTTTGTTTGCAGACAAAAGATGTCAAGTAGAGTAGAGAGTCTCTAATACATTGATACAGCAATCTATTCCAGTAGATCCTCGTCCAAAACCCTCCATCTCGTCTACTCCTGCAACTACAAACAGGTCTCCACCACTACGTATCGATACCACACTCACTGTCATGACCACAAGCGTATCTCCATCAAGTATCTCGCCTACTACGTCTGACACATCTATTACCACGAGAGCTGGAAGTCCTATACCCACACAGAACCCTCCTTCTGATACAACACCCACAACGCCTGCGCCAAGTCAGACTATAACAACAACTGGAGATACGCCCTCTTCTTCTTCTTCTTCTTCTCCTCCTCCTCCTCCTCCATCTTCCGTTACAACAACAGAGGCAGCAACCCCATTTATCCAAGAAATCTTGCCTGAAATCGAGACCATTTCTGATCTCGCACCTTTTATTGATGAAAAGCTACCCACTGAACAACAGCCATCAAGCACCGATATACTTCATCGATTCAATGTCGAGGGTCGAAACTACCATGTAGTCAACAAGAACGGCAACAGTCTTGCTCAAGCAACTATGAGCTGTCGAAAGAGTCAAACCAACATTGGCGGTGTCACATCAGCCGGCTATCAAGCAGTAACTCGAAATCTGCAATATGTGGTTGACATGACGGGCAATAAGCTCATTATTGGATCATGGAATGGAGACAACTACTCGCTGCGTGGTAATACCTGTCTTATCATGCAGCTGAATAACGGTATCTATTCAGGCGACTGTGCAGAAGCCACTGCTGTGTTGTGTCAATCCTAAATTTATACAGAATAAACCACCATTGCTTTCATAAATACGGTTGTTTATTAGTGGGGGGATGGCACTGCTACTGCTACTCTTGGACCGCTTTGGCCAGTTCAGAGGATGCGGATGAATAGGTAGATAACGTGGGTGATTCTGGTCTAGGTGATGCTCCTTTTGTCTGTTGTTGTAGTTCAGAGATTACTGCTGATGCCACGTTTTTTTTGCTGTAATCCTTGTTGTTTAGGACGAGGCATTTCTCTAATAGGTTCAGGTAACGCTCTTCGTTTGTCTGGCTCCTTGTGCACGCCTTTTCACATATATTTACAAACTTCATGTTCATCTTGTGCATGGATTCAGCATTTGCCTTCATCATCTCTATCTGTGTGTTTTGCTTATCCAGCGTCTTTTCCATAAACACACGTTGTGTTTCCAAGAGCTTCATGTTGAGATCCATCGCACAAAGTCGTTTGGTGTGAAATGTAGTTGCTGCTGTTATCTGGTCAGACGAGTCGCTCTCCTCATTGTCTCTTTCTCTACGTTTACGCTTGAGAATGCAATTCTCGGGAATAGGCACATGGCTCAAATAGCTGTCCATGTATTGAAAATGGTTCCAATAAGAGACAGTGGGTACGGGCTGCTGCAGTCCTTGAGGTCGAGGCATGATGAGAAAGGCTCTCTCTGCATTGTATTTCGCCATGAGTTTCCCCCACTTTTTGATCAATGCTGGTGTGCTACGATTGTCTGCTGTAATGGCGTTGTATTCAGATGTGAGTGCAGTCCAGGCCGCATTCTGTTGATCCATGTCCATAGATGTCACACCGTTGTAGTGTTTGCGATGCAGTTGAATCAAAACGGCGACATTGGCTTCAGACCACACTCTCTCGTACCCAACCACATCATAAGGGCCAGGAAAACTGGGCTGTATAATGATATGGGGATGCATGATTTGCTGCTGTGGCGAGACTCGGGGCTGAACTGGTATGGGTGTTGCTTGCGGCTGCTGCTCTGCAGCTGGAGATGGCACGATGGGAGCCTTGGATGACGATGAAGATGTGGGTATGGATGTACGGCTGGTATGTGAGGATTTAGTCCGTGTATCAATGACTGACTGGGAGGATGCATACGGCTTGATGGCAATGACTTTGGCTTTGGGAGAAGCATCCACTGCATTGGTGTCAGGCTTGCTGTCTTTCTTGGGCTCGCTGGAAGGGGCATCGTTGGTGGCAGCAGTGGCATCTGGAGCAGGATGTGATACGGTAGTAGCAGCGGTTGCCTCTAAGGATGTGGAGGATGAAGTGGGCGTGCGCTTTGTGACATTGACCATCCTTGCACCATTGAATGTCTGCGGGACGAATATGCTGTTGTTGTTTGCCATTGAATGAAATACTGTTCAAGGGAAGCAATCCACTGTTTGATTCGCTCTTTATATATACATTGCCTATATTTAAGTGACGTACATCTATCAATATAAACTTCCACAACAAGAGGTGCCGCACGCGTTGGATTTTGAACGAATGAAAGAGATTTTTTTTTTTTCATTAAAAAAAAAAAAAGATCTTTAACCTTCACTCTCCTTCTTTCTCTTTGACAGCCTTCCTCTTTTCTTTTCTTTTCTTTTCGTGAAAAAATCACTTGATTCTATAGAAAGATGTAAGTTGCCTACTACAAAAGGCATGCGAGATCATACATTGTATTGACTGTTTCTCTTTGCACACATCAGGTCTTCCTCTGCCCTGAAAATGATCAATCCCAACTCGGATGTTGCTAGACGTGGTCAAGCACTCCAGCTCAACATCACTGCTGCCATCGGTCTGCAAGATGTACTCAAGTCCAACTTGGGCCCTAGAGGTACCATCAAAATGTAAGTAGGCACACGAGGCAGCAGAAGCGCGTTCCACATGTCATTGTATATGCTAATCCATGCCATGTAGGCTGGTGGATGGTGCAGGCGGTATCAAACTCACCAAGGATGGCAAGGTCTTGTTGAGTGAAATGGTAATTGAAAACCCTGAGATTGCGATATTTATATGGGTAACTAACATGCTTTGTCATTTAGCAAATTCAACATCCTACTGCTGCCATGATTGCTAAAGCTGCTACTGCTCAAGATGAAATCACTGGCGATGGTACTACTTCTATCGTCTTGTTGGTCGGTGAACTGTTGAAGCAAGCCGAGCGTTATATCTCTGAAGGTCTTCATCCTCGTGTCATTACTGAAGGTTATGATCTCGCTAAAAAGGAAGCTCTCAAGGTAAGTTTTGCTTTTTTTTTTTGTTTGTTTGTATGACACTAGACGCTGATGTGTGAGGAGGGTAGTTTTTGGAAGACTTCAAGACAACCGACGCTGAAATCGACCGTGAATTGCTTGTATCAGTCGCCCGCACATCGCTTCGCACCAAGGTGCATCGCGCTTTAGCCGACACGTTGACTGAAGCTGTTGTCGATGCCGTGTTGGCTATTCGCCGTGAAGGACAACCCATTGATCTCCACATGGTTGAGATTATGAAGATGCAGCATCGCTCAGAAACCGAATCCAAATTGATCCGTGGTCTCGTCATGGATCACGGTGCTCGTCACCCTGATATGCCCAAGAAGATCAAGGACGCCTTTGTTTTGACTTTGAATGTTAGTTTGGAATACGAAAAGTCTGAAATCAACTCTGGCTTCTTCTACTCTACCCCTGAACAGCGTGATAAATTGGTCGAAAGCGAACGTAAACATGTCGACGACAAGGTGCGTCGCTTGGTTGAATTCAAGAACGAAGTCTGCAGTGGTGAAAATGCTGGCCGTGGATTTGTTATCATCAACCAAAAGGGCATTGATCCCCTTTCGCTCGATATTCTGGCCAAGAACGGTATTTTGGCTCTTCGCAGAGCCAAGAGAAGAAACATGGAACGTCTTCAATTGGTGTGTGGCGGTATTGCTCAAAACTCTGTCGATGATTTGACTCCGGAGGTGCTCGGTTATGCTGGCAATGTGTACGAGCAAGTCTTGGGCGAAGATAAATATACGTTTGTTGAGGATGTCAAAGATCCTTACAGTGTCACCATTTTGATCAAGGGCCCCAACCCTCATACCATTGCTCAAATCAATGACGCTGTGCGTGATGGTCTCCGTGCTGTCAAGAATGCCATTGAAGATAAATCTGTTGTCGCTGGTGGCGGTGCTTTCGAAGTCGCCCTCTCTCAACATTTAGTTCAATATAAAAAGGAGGTGAAGGGTCGTGCCAAGATGGGTGTACAAGCATTTGCTGACGCCATGATGGTTATTCCCAAAGTGCTTGCACAAAACGCTGGCTTTGACGCACAAGATGTCATTGTCGCCTTACAAGACGAACACATGGATGGCCACATTGTGGGTGTTGATTTAAAGACGGGCGAGACTATGGATCCCAAGCTCGAAGGTGTTTGGAACAACTACCGCGTACATCGCCATATGCTCCACTCATGCTCTGTCATTGCAAGCAATCTCTTACTAGTCGATGAAATGATGCGTGCCGGTAGAACTTCATTAAAGGGACCTCAACTTGGAGAGTAAAAGAGGAGAAGGGCAAAAAAAAATTAGTATATATTTTATAATTAAAAAAGACTTGTGTGTAGTAGTAGTGCTTTCTGCTTTATTTTGTCATTAATAGATCAAGTCTGAGAAATAGCTATGATTTAAAGCATCTTTGGCTGATATTCTTAATTGAGGCTGGTATTGCAACATGCGATTTAATAGATCGATGCCATGTGCATCAATGTTGGGTAACGTTTGGCCAATGCTCTGGTGGGCGTACCTTTCCTGCGGTTGCTTGTATTCTGGTAACTGAGTGATGCCTGGCCATGTTTGCTCTGTTGGCGTGCCCATCATACGAAATATCTTTTGCAGCTGATCTACGTTGGTGGTGCCTGGAAATAAGGGTCTGCCGGTGTACATCTCAGCCATGATACAGCCAGCCGCCCATATGTCAATTGAAGTAGAATACGTGCGAGAGCCTAGCAACACATCTGGTGCTCTATACCAGAGCGTTACTACTTCGTTTGAAAAGGTGTTGACAGGAATGCCAAACGCTCTCGCTAGTCCAAAATCACCCAGCTTTAATTCGCCATGCTTGTTGATCAACAGATTCTGTGGTTTCAGATCACGATGCAGCACTCGATTTTCATGGCAATAAGCGATACCTTTCAACAGTTGATACATAAATGATTTGATGGTGGAGGTGCCAAGAGCACCGTGAGTCGCTTTTGCATTGGCGTCCATAAATTTCTTGAGATCTTGGTCCATGAATTCAAAAACGAGCATTAGTTTACTTTCAGTATGGATCACATCAATTAGTCGAAGAATGTTGGGGTGCTTGAGTTCCTTCATGAGGGAAATCTCACGAATAGCTGTAGAAGGGGCACCTTCCTCTGCATCCAAATGAATCTCTTTCAGTGCTACAATCTCGCCAGTGATCCTGCTCTTGCCCTTGAAGACCGTTGCATAGGTTCCTTCACCTAGCTTCTCTTGTCGCATGTATCTCGCTTCAGGACTAATACCGTTTTGTGCCATTTATTCAGGTGTTTTGATTCAGGGCAGCTTGTTATTTGGGAGAACTGTTGTCAATGAGTGCTGATGCTTACAGTGTATAGATTGAAATATAGAGAAAAGGAAGGGAAACAGAGAACGAATGATAATGCTGATATTTAAAAAAAGATTGAAAATTGCCAAAAAGGTGATTTCCGACTGGCTCTTAACAAGCATTGGGCTTGGCGAGGCCTTTTTGATGAACTGGTATCGAACCCTTACATAAGCAACATGTTACAGTAAAACCCATTTATTTTCTTTCTATCAATCCACTAGATTCTGTATGTATAGTTTGGTTTCAGTGCAATGTGCTGCTAAAGTGGATGAGTAATGTATGTACATTGCTAATAAGGTCTTCTTTCGGCTGCCATCTTTTCTCTGACAGCAACAATGTTTTGCTTGACCCAATGATCCTTCTCTCTCAGCTCCTGCTCTTCTCTTCGTAGTCTTGCAATCTCTTCTTTAAGTTGCTGTTCCCGAGTCAAAAGAGTAGCAGTGGAAGATTCTCTTCTCACACCTCTTCCTCCAACCTTTTGAGAGTCATCCACGATACGAGCAGGCGACATTTTTGATCTGTGGTAAGACATTGAATCTGCCATTTTGTGTAAATGTAGAATAACAAAAAGAGAGGAAGAGAAACCAGCCAAGATGATTTAGCATGTTTATATATCAAAAAACGATAGCGATGAGTTCCCCTTCATCAAAATTATCACCAGCATCTTTAAAACTAAAATATATATAAAAACCCCTTTATTTTCTTCCAAGTTTCTCTGTTGTAAACGAGATTCAAGCAAGCGCCCCCTTTTCTTTTCCATGATAATCTCTCCTTTTTGTTCTATTCTCGCTGAGAAGCCAAGACTAAGAAATGATAATGTTTTTTTTTTTTTCCTAGCAATCATCTTGCATAAACGATACAATACATGTAACACCCATCTTTATGTAGACATTACGAATGGAGGTGATGGTTTACACTCTATAAATTATCGGATTGCTATTCGTCAGATGTAGGATTCTATACATTGACATGAATATAGGATATCCCATGCGAAACCAATGAAGACTAGATGTATAATATACAGCCTAGACCCTTGATTTACTGTCTTTTGGTTTTTTCTTGGCCTCACTTGTAATAATCCAGCATGAGAACAGGAGAGTGTCTATATGAGCTCAATTGCATACATGTTTAGCTGCTTAATACTCAGAAGGGCCCAATTATCGGACTCGTATTAAAACAGCTTCATGTAGAGACGCTGTACTAGGAGCATCCTTATTATTAGTTTTCAAATGATATTGACTTGATTAATCTAAATCTAACAAGATCAAGAAGCCTTTTCGTACCAGCAAAAGTACGCTCAAATGAACGCTACCCAGAAGCATGTATGTGAGACCATCACCTCCTCCATCAACAGCAACGCCAACAGCTCACATGTCTTTTTGCAAGGTCCAGCTGGCACTGGCAAAACTTTCATTTACAATACTCTTTGTCATTTTGATAGAAGCCAGGGAAAAATTGTTCTCTGTGTTGCCTCCTCTGGCATTGCTGCTTTGCTACTTCCTGGTGGGCGTACGTCGCACTCTCGCTTTGCCATTCCACTCAACATCCACGAGCAGTCTGTGTGTGCGATCAAGAAGAACGATGACCTTGCTGATCTCATTCGAGAGACAGCATTGATAATTTGGGATGAAGTGCCAATGCAGCATCGATATTGCTTTGAAGCTCTTGATAGAACACTGCGAGGCATCTGCAGTTGTGGTGAACGTGTCCTCTTTGGTGGTATTCCTGTTGTTCTTGGTGGCGATTTTGCTCAAATTTCTCCTGTCGTGAAACAAGGTGGCCGTCCTGAAATCGTTGCTGCTTCGTTGATGTCCTCAAGGTTGTTGCCCAGACTACAAAAGCTGAGCCTGACTGAGAATATGAGACTTGCCAACTCCAATGACACAGATAGGCAATTTGCAGATTGGATAGGAAAAATGTCGTATGAACCATCCATGATTGGCAGCATTGCTTTGCCCTCTTTTTTGAGGCAGATGACTGATCTTGATCAGTTCATTGAAGATATCTATCCTCAGCATGTTCTGCAGTGTCCTCTGCAAAATAGTGATTTCTTCAAGGAAAGAGCTATTCTCTGTTCAAAGAACGTCAACGTTGATGCTATTAACAGCAAGGTGATGGAGAACGTGATTAGGGAAAAGGTCACTCTGTACTCTGCTGACACAGCTCAGCCTGATCTGACCAACACGGAGACGCAAGCCTATCCTTCAGAGTACCTACAAACTCTTTCACCTTCAGGGCTGCCGCCAGCAGTTTTGGAGTTGAAAGTAGGTCTTCCTGTCATGCTCCTAAGAAACATCAACCCCGAGAGAGGCCTATGCAATGATACAAGGCTTATTATACAGCAGATTGGACAATATGTACTGAAGGTTAAAATTCTTGGAAGATCAGATGTAATAGAGTTGATTCCTCGCTTTACATTATCAACATTGCCTGGTACATTGCCATTTATTTTGACTAGGAAACAGTTCCCTGTAAAAATGTCTTTTGCGATGACAATCAACAAGTCTCAGGGGCGATCCCTTAGAAAAGTCGCTGTAGACCTCAGGAGTCCTGTTTTCACACATGGCCAACTCAATGTTGCCATCTCGAGAGCAACATCTGCAAATGGTATCACAGTTCTGCCGCCAGAAAATGCGACTCGGACGGAGGATGTAGTAAACCAGAAGTCTTATAATAATATAACGTAAATGCTTTATAAAAAATATTGATTTGTACCTCCAAAGTTCTGACGTTTATATCAAGCTTCATGCCTAATATAGTCATTGTTTAAAATGTACTTTTATTGCAGAGTTTTACTATCTCTTCTAATTTGAAATGCCTTCGGTGAGAGCCCGCAGGGCCACGTCGTCATCGAGCGTAGCGAGATGGATTGGCTAGTCTAAAATATATATACTGGAAAACTATGAAAAAAAAAAGTAGACAAACAAATCATATCCTTTCAAAATTTTATAGAATTGGGTGCCGAACAAGGTGAATAAAACCACCAGCAATGGGGAGAGGGTTTTGGAGAAGAACATAACGCGTCTAATTCAACACTTGATAGCATTGATTTATAGGGGGGTTTTATCGTAGACAAGCAAAGGCGCAAAACCATGGTAATAAGGCGCCTAATTCGACACTTGGTAACATTGATCTATATGAGGGCTTAATTGCATCTACCAAAGATGTGATTCATGCCGTGTAAAAAACTCTATAACAAAGCAATACATAACCAAAATTGACAGCTTTCAAGCCTTCGTATCTTGACTTGTAGACCTTTATGAGCCACCGGAATGGCGCCAAACAATTGTACTTGAGTAATAGCAACTTCCTGACACCTTTGCTCAACTTTTTGAGGATCAAAAAAACATGGCCAAAAATCGACCAAAAAGCATGAGGTACCCCTCATGGTTTTCATCAAAAATCAAACGATTGCATTTTTCACCTTGAAAATAAAGACTTTTACTATGGTATATATTGAATCAAAATGTTTCTATCGATCCAAAGCAACCTCTGAAACCACTTTTATGAGGTTTTCATATGCAAAATATGACTATTTTCGCTAAAAACCTCATCTCATATTTTACCAAATTTCTCAATAACTTCAGTCAAAACACTTATGACAGTTATCACCACTGGAAGCGCCTTGAAAAGTGCTCCAAATATGTATTATGAAGCATCGTCTGAAAACCATATTTCATATAGTCGAATATCATAAGATAAATTAAAGAAGTCGAAAAAAGACAAAATCTGTCCAATCTTGAACAGAAAAAAATAAACTGAGTTTCAATTGATTTTGGCGGCGGCAGAGGCATTGCTGCTGGCTGGCCTAAACGCCTTTTCTGTTGATGACAATGAATGATTGCGATACTGATTAAATGGGGATCACGGAATTGAAAGGACAGTTGCTTAGCGCAAATAAGTTTTTTTGGGTGAGCTTCTCCTCATGGAGTTGTCTTTTGCAATGACAATATCTCAAAAAAAGTCGCTGTAGATCTTACACAAGTCCTTTATTTACTTATGACCAGCTTTATGTCGCCATCTTATCAAAAGCATCAATGACAGCAAACGATATGACAATTCTATTATCAGAAAATGGCAGTTGTGTAAGCAAAAAGGATGCTGAGGGAGATACCTCCTCTTCTTCTCCTGGTGACTTTAATATAACTTTTCTTTTACTAACTAATAATTGGTTGTTTAAAGTCTACTTGATATACCAAAATTTTATGATATCTGATTTATAATGTCTTCAGCGACGACGCCGACATTGAGCGTAGCGAGATAGATCGGCTAGCAGCAATATACGTAAATGGATGGGATGCATAAAGACCATCACTTACCCGAGGCTTTGCTCATTGAGAATACAAGAAAAGACCCTGAATATTTGCATGATTTGTATGCGCTCCATTGTTTTTAGGTTTATATTACTATATTACAACATGGGATATACACATTGTATGTACTAGCGAGTACACAATAAATTTGTCGTTTCAGCAAGCGTATACAACTATCGGTTTGATCCATTGGAGCCGTTTGGTTGCAAATGCAATTGATTTTCCTCAAGGCACCTTATGATTTGGCAGGATTACAACATTTGCGCGAGCATTTCTCAACATAGTATGACTGGAACGTCAGCAAATTAGCTTATTGAGCAACGAAATGTACTTTCAAGGTGAAGCTGTTCTCATTATATAGTGCTCAAACAGATTAATGTCAATAGAAAGCCATAGACGAAGTCTGTATAAAGCACATTTGAGACGAAATGCAACCATATCTCCGCACTATACAGAATGACAATTGACAGAGTTGATCTCCGATGTCAAACGCTAAAACGCTCTTACGCAAAGAACCTGAACTACCAAATGTCTCGAAATCGGAAGTTGTATCCTTTCTATAAAGAATACAGCAGACGCTTATTTACTGCGTGATTGAAAAGTATCTCAATTGAACCTTAAAAGTGCATTGCTAAGCGCAAATACTTACATATCCATATCAGATCCTTGCTACTGTTACACATTGTAATACCTTGTTTGTAAACAAAAGACCCTGAACTGATGTCAAAACAACACCTGCTTGTTTAGCCATCGTGTAATGAAAGTAAAACCAGGCTAATGGTTAAAGATCAGTTGAATTGACATCACATTTGATCCTTTGGGTAATGCGCGATATCCGATCATTGTTTGATCAGCCTCATTTGAATGGAGAAACCCCTTGAGCGAATTTTGCACTGTGAGACTGCATTGATGGCCATGAAATTGACCCAAATGCCCATCCCATGTTGGGTGATTCTCATGGCATTACAATAACCCAATGTTACTAGTGATTGTCCCGTTGCGCATGCAGTGTACACTAACGCATCCTTGAGCCGGTATCGCCGCTTATATCTTTGCAACCTAAAAAGACTGGTTCCAACTATACAAACCAAAGAAAACTTGGCCTATCACTGCATACCTGTCAATGAAAAATTTTATATATAAAAAATGAAAAAACCGACCAGCTTCTTCTCTTTCGAACGACTACCCCTTTTTTTGTTTATTCATACAACACAAAAAAGACAACACTCATCAAATCTAACCAGGAGAGAGTATTTTTTGTTCAAAGTAAACGTTTGAATTTTTTAACCTTTGGTGAAAAAAAAAAAAAATCATAAAAAGTCGCACTCTCTCTAAACTTGCAAAAGTCGACGCACTAGAAAATAAATAACAAAAATCATCATCATTTTTGTTTTTTTTTGGATTAGTCAACACACATATCGTTTTTTTTTCTTTGGTAAAAACCGAAATTATAAACAACAAACTTGCAACAATGATCCACAAGGTCAATCACCATAGCAACAACGACGAAGATCTCGTTCAATACAATCAAGTCGAGGAGGCCGCTGCCAACATCCCCCGATTCGCTACTGAAGAGGAAATCCTGGCTTCGTTTGGCTACAAGCAGGAGATGAACAAGACCATGTCTACCATCTCCAATTTCTCAATTGCATTTGGCTGCTGCTCTATTCTGTCTGGTCTGACTCCCATGTGGGGTGATGCCATGATGTCTGGCGGATCCATTGCCATCATCTGGGGCTGGATCTTGGTCTCTGTCTTCACATTTGGTGTAGGCTTGTCTCTCGCTGAGATCTGCTCTGCGTATCCTGTTACTGGTGGCCTCTACATTTGGGTTTCTCGTCTCGCTCCTCCTGAATGGGTGCCTATCATGTGCTGGTTGACAGGCTGGTGTAACTGGCTTGGTCTGACTGTCGCCATCACCTCTGCCGATCTTGGCCTGGCTCAGTTCATGTCCTCTGTGATTGGTATCACCAACCCTGATTACGATGCTGGTATTTACTGGCAGTACGGCATCTTTCTGGTCATCTTGTTTGTGCATGGTGTCATCAACTCCATGCATGTCAAGTACAATGGTTTCTTCAACCAAACCTCCTTGTACTGGCATCTGGTTGGCACGCTGCTTATTATCATTGTCGCTCTCGTATTGACGCCTAATAAGCCAAGTGCCAAATTTGTTTTCACTCAATTCGAAAACCTCACTGGATTCTCCTCGAATTCTTATGCATTTTTGATCGGTCTTTTACAATCTCAATATACCCTCTCTGGTTTTGACAGTGCTGCTCATATGTCTGAAGAGACCCGCGATGCTGCTCGCAGTGCTCCCCGTGGTATTCTCTACGCTATCGGTGCTGCTGCCATCACTGGTTTTGTTTTTATGCTCTCTGTGAACTTCTGTGTCCAAGACTTCCAACGCCAAATTGTGGAGACAACCATGAGTCCTCAAATGACTCAAGTATTTTTGGACGGTGTTGGCTATAGATGGACCGTGGTTTTCACTGTAATCATCATGGGCGCCATGTTCTTTTCTGGTTCTGCTCTGACGCTGGGTAGTTCCCGCATGATCTATGCCTTTGCTCGTGATGGTGCTACTCCATTCAGTCGCTGGTTGAGTGTCATTAACAAGTCTACTCAAACACCTGTGTATGCTGTGTGGGCTAATATCATATTTGCTGCTGTTGTTGGTCTGCTCTACATTGTTAATGAAACAGCCTTCAATGCCATTGTATCTATTAACACTATTGCTTCATCTCTTGCCTATTTTATTCCCATTGCTCTTCGTTTGACTGTAGCTCGCAAAACCTTTAAGCGCGGTCCCTTCCATCTTGGTCCCTTTTCTGATGTTGTCAACTTTATTAGCTGTTTCTGGATCCTCTTTACATCTATTCTTTTTGTGTGTCCTACGCAGTATCCTGTCACTGCTGATAACATGAACTATGCTTCTGTTATCTTTGTGTTTGTCATGCTTTGGTCTGTCAGTTACTACTACTTCCGCGCTCGCAAATGGTTCACTGGTCCAGGAAAGAGCCTTGAAGATGATCCTCAATTGAATCCGGTTACATTTGATGACTCTTTCGAATCGGTGACATTTGATCCTGGAAGGAAAGACGACTTGTTGGATTCTTACGATTTTAAGAAGGGATCGTCAGCTCAGTGAATGATATAACTCGCCTTTGTATATATATTCCCTACGAAATGGTCAATCATAACAGTGGAATTTCATGCTTGGCAGGCAAAACTCCATCTCTTTATATTATTTTTTCTTGTAATATATCCACTTTAATTTTAATAAATCTTCTTTCCCTACTCTACGCTATTGTGTTCAGGAACAAGTGTTCGAGCCTTATGCAGTTGTGCTTGATTCACCAGGATTGTGCGACAATTTTGGATTTCAGCAGAGATGCTGCAAAGAAACCTCCATAATCGCAAAGGTAGAGTATTGTTTGACATTATGAACTACTTGACATTGATTTAGATAGCTACGGTTTACACTTGCTACTTGTCAATGCAACCAGTGAAATGTTACTTTGGCAATATACATCCAAGGCGTGTAACATTTCAAAAAAAAAAACTTACAATATGCATCATTTCCAGCCTTTGGTGCTTCATATCATCGATGATCCCTCTACAGCCCCACGCGTCAAAGGTAGAGATCATGCATCAAGCATGTAGTGTAGCATGGGTCAAGATTATCGAGCAAACTGTTGAATAGCCGCCAAAAGCCACCCTTGTGAGTGAATTGTGTCGGGCATTGATGGTGAAACTGGCTTAAATAGGCTTCGAATGTGCAAAACACCTTTTTCCTTGATATCAAATATACACTGAAATGTCGGCCAGCTTGGAGATAAAATGGAATGGTAAACGATTTCCTGTCGAGTTTCCCAGCGTCAAAGAATTGGAGCAAACTACAGTGAAAGAGCTCAAGCAAATCTGTGAACGCATTACAGGTATCAGTCCCAGAGACATGAAAATTAATGCCTTTGGAGGTGAGCAATGCTACGATTGTGGCGGCAGTGGCAGTACACTGACAGTGAGCGATAGCCTTAATGAATAATGACGATATGCCTTTGAGCGTGTACGGTCTTCGACCTGGTTGTTATGTTACTTTAAAGGTTACTAAGCATAAAAAATCTGCTTCTCGGGAGGTATGTAACATGATGTTAGTCTACACGCGTAGGATTGACACATTGCAAAACTAGGAGAAGCCTCATCACCATCATGGCCATAATCACCACAAAGAAATGCCCAGCAACAAACAGACTCAACGTGGTCCTCCTCCTCCTCCTCTTCCCAACCGATCAACGCCCACAGCATCTGCTGCAGCACAACCATCGCCAGCACCAACACCACCAGCCGTATCAACTCCAGAATTGCAAGGCGAAGCAGTGTTGTTGGAGCAATTGCAAAAGATTCAAGATAAAATAGACAAGGACATCACACCTCAAGTTAGAAAGTACGAAAAGACAGTAAAAGAGTTTTTGAACCAACCTACCAAGACGGACAAGGAGAAGAAGAAGCAAATTTACATGGGAGCATACCTTGGTGAGCAGCTGATGCATGTTTTGTTTGATTTAGATGGATTCGCTTGTGGGCCAGATAACCTGAATGCTCGTCAAGCTAGAAAACAGGCAGTAAAAAGCGCTCAGTCTTTACTAGACACTGTTGATGAAATCAAATCTGTCGTCAAGAATGTAGCTGTCATCGACCCAAAAGAGGAATAAAAAGAGAGAGAGAGAGGATTACATAGACTTTATTGATCAGGGAAAAAGAATGAAATCATCGCCCATGAGATCATCATCGAGAGAGGAGGAGGAATTAGAGGTAGTAGTAATAGTAGGAGATAGAGGTGGAGAGTAGGGAAGGTGCAGAGAATTAGTGATACAATCAAGTTCTTGGAATACCATCTCATCATCCAGCACAAGCTCTGTCAAATCACCTTCACGAGTAATAGGTGGAGGTGGTGTAACAGGACCAGATGTTGCAGCCGAGGTGAAAGCCAAGGAAAACGAATCCGCTGAGGGCACAGGACCAAACAGAGCGAGATCTTGATCATTTTCCTTGGCCTTTGCAGCAGCAGCAGCACTAGGTTTCTTGTAAGGCATAAAGCGCAACGATGTTGACTTGCTTATACCAGGAGATGTAATGTTACGAGGAAGCGATTGAATTGAGTTATCCGGGGAGTAGTTATCATGAATAGTAGAGCAGCAATTTTCAAAGGTGGTGTTGTTGTTCTCTATTCGTATTAGGGCGGTTGGAGGGGATTTTCCAGGCGAAAATCCGACTGAATGGCAGCCTTGAGAGGGCCCTGGCGGCAGTGATCTTGGGTGAGTGGTGAATTGAGATAGAGAGGGGGACATTGCTTGTACATGGTGGTCTTGTTGGAAGCATTGCTTTTCAAAGTGGTGGTGTTGGTGTTGTTGATGATAGAAACGGTCATTTTTAGCTTTAATAGTCAAAACGAAATTGAGATTACTGGACAGAATTCAACTATGTGGTTTACAGGGTGTTATTTCACAGAATAATGCACCCAAAAGGTTTATAAAGGTTCCTTTTTGTTCAAAAACTGTTTTTTTTTTGAATAAAACAAGAAAGAAAAAAAAATTTATAGAAAGGGGGAAGGGAGATGGGTATCAATTCGGTGATACACCACCCTGAAGATTGCAAATGGGCTGATTGGCCCCTATTATCGTCACAGATCTATTGCAAGAGATGTGTGGTAGATGGCACATTGCGGCCCTTGATAACAAGAGTGTAGACTATCTCCTGTGCTTGTAGACATTACTCTGGTACCTAGGATTGCTGTGTCCATGCATTTCTATCATATAAAACGTCGTGAGAATATCAAGGACGCTGGGGAGACCAAGGGAAAACGGCACAAACAAAAACAGAAATGTGATACCAATTTAATTGCACTATAAATGTTACACTGTTTTGCCCATCGTTGATCAAATGCGCTTTGCCATGCCACTCATTTGCTGCATAAGTAAACTGGTAGAGGAATAACCAAATAGCTCATTTAAATTTTATTGATTTAAAAGAAACTGCATTTAAGCCTTGTAGGAGATGACACCGTCGAAACGTTGCTTGAACCATTCCATGGCTTCCTCCTTCTTGATTTGGTGCTTGACACCAACCTTGGCCTTGCAGTGCTTTCTGCGAGAGACACGGTTGCCAGGACGACCCATAACAATGTAGTAATCCATACCATAGATACCAATGGAGGGATCGTACTTGATACCCAAATCGATATGTTCATCAATACCGAAACCAAAGTTACCGGTTTGAGAAAAGTTACGAGCCTTGAGTTCGTATTCCTTGACCTTCAAACCACGTTCAAGAATTTCCTCGGCCTTGGGACCACGGACAGTAACATGAACAGAGATCTTTTCGTTACGACGAATAGAGAAAGTACGGACAGTGTAACGGGCCTTGGAGTAAACAGGAGTTTGACCAGTCAATTGTTCCAAAACCTTGGCAGCACGAGTAAGTCTATCACCGGATTCACCAACACAGATGTTGAGAACAAGCTTCTCGATCTGGAGGTTACGCATAGGGTTCTTGGTCACCTTCTGTTCTTCGGCGCTCTAGAAAAACGGTCGATTGTGAATGAGTTATACATGTACACACATATAGTGAATCATGCAGTAGTACACTAGTCCTATATAAAAGATGTCGTAGAGATGAACAGGTGTACCAGTCGTTGTTGAAGGCGGTTTACAAGCTGAATAGGCTGCCATAGTCTGAATCCTGCCAATACTGAGCAAGCGTGTGGTACATCCCTTCCATCATCACTCTTACACACATAAAAAAAAAAATCCACATCACATCATCCATCCATTCAATCATCCGTCGTATAGTGCAATCAATCCATCTCTCTTTCATCTCTTATAGGATAATGTACAGTGCAAAATGTATCCTACCATGGTGTTGTCTGACGATATCGAAGTAAAAAGAGGGAGAACTAAAATTTACCATTCTTTGTCTATATGCTTGATTTTTTTCTGCGACAGCTCTACTCTCCTCTTGCTCCCCCCCTCAACATCACCCTCTCTACCTCTCTCGCCCATCTCCACACCCCAAGAAGCTTTCATTTGATAGTGAATAGTCCGGTTCATGTCCGGAAACCTGCATTCCAGCATCTGTCATTGGTTGTAACACACTGATCTGAATAGCTTGATCGTTACGCTTTTGAATTACAGCATCCTTCAAAACCCTTAATGCAACACTGTAGTATGCATTCTCACTAGCCGATCTATCTCGCTACGCTCGATGTCGGCGTCGTCGCTGAAGACATTTTAAATCAGATATAATAAAATTTTGGTATATAAAGTAGATTTTAAACAACCAACTATTAGTAAAAGAAAGGTTATATTAGAGCCTTCAGGAGGAGAAGAGGAGGTATCTCCCTCAGCATCCTTTTTGCTTACACTGATATCAAACGAAGTCTATTATTGAGACGATATGAAAGAAAATTCAAATTTTATGTAGCATTTGTACACCACAATCTCCATTTTCTGATAATAAAATTGTCATATCATTCACTGCTGCCGATGCTCTTAATAAGATGGCGACATAAAGCTGGTCATAAATAAACACAGGACTTGTGTAAGGCCTACAGCGACTTTTTGAGATATTGTCATTGCAAAAGACTCCTTTATTAGGCAAAGCTCCCCAAAAAATGTATTTGCGCTAAGTAACTGTCCTTTCAATTCCATGATCCCCATTTAATCAGCATCGCAATTACCATTGTCATCAACAGAAAGGCTTTTAGATCAGCCAGCAGCAAGCCGCCGCCAAAATCAGTTGAAACTCAGTTTGTTTTTTTTCTGTTCAAGATTGGACAGATTTTGTCTTTTTTCGACTTCTTTAATCTATTTTGTGGCATTCGACTATATAAACTGTGATAATTACCCTATGTTTTCTAATACATTTTTGAAGTGCTTTTCAAGGCGCTTCCAATAGTACTAATTGTAAAAAAATACTTTGACTGAACTTATTGAGCAACTTATAAAAATATGAAATGAGGTTTCTGGCCAAAATGTCGAAATTTTACATATCAAAGTCCCACAAAGACGATTTCAGAGGTTGCGTTAGATTGATAGAAACATTTGGATCTTATATATTCCATAGTAAAAGTCTTCAATATCAAGGTCAAAAATGCGATCGTTTGATTTTTGATGAAAACCATGAGGTATCCCTCATGCTTTTTGGTCGAATTTTGGCCATGTTTTTTTGATCCCCAAAAAGTTGAACAACGGTGTCAGGAAGTAACTGCCAGATGAGAGCAGTTGTTTGGTGCTATTCTGACGATCTTAAACGGCCTTGAACGCAAGAAAACGCAGCTCAAATCCACTCGGATTTTGCTGTATCAGGGGCACTAAGGACTAGAAAGGGCAATACCAGTATGCTGCTTGCCCATATATGAAGTAGCTACGTGTATAAGGATGTAGAGAATCACATAAGAATTAGATCCACAAATAATATGAAGGGTTTTCATGTGCAAGTGGAGGGCCAAAATGAGCGTAGCAGTATTTCGATAAGGTGCGCAAGAGCAATCAATAGCACGAGTTGCTGCTGCGCAGGTTGGGTCTCACCGAAACGAAGCGAAGGTAGAGAGCCACCCCAAGCATAAGCACTCGTATATATAATGATGATACGAGGTCTTGTCGTTGATTTTGAAGTAGTTCTTTGAAATTGAATACGGGATGAGATAATACTTGGTGAGGTCCATTCAGGTCAATTCTGCGACTGCATCAAATATCGCTGCAATGTCACTCACTTTAAGTTACAACAACTGAGAATGCTATATATCCGTATTGATTTGGTTGTTCGTTTGATAATGCTGCAGTAATGTACATCATTTCTCTGGGTACATATTGCTTTCCAGTAAGAGTTTCTGGCATTCATCTGATCAGAATGCTTAAACTAGTAGAGAGCAGATGTTCGCAGGCATGCAAGATTATCAGCTAATATCAGTGGCTATTCTGCGGCGATCACTGATACTTGCATAAGCGTAAATATGCTATCTAAGATGTTCATTCTAAGGTTGTTATGTAAAACTACGCAAAGCCGATGTGTTAGGCAAATACTGAGCATCATACACTTTTACATGAGCTTCTTCTTGTAAACATCACATTCACATGACATCAGTGCTTCTAACTTTGTAATGATGATCACCAAACGGTGCATGCAACGTATAGCCAACTTGCATAAATAGATATGCAAGACGCTGCTTATAAAATACATCGATGCTAAAGCCGCTTTTTTCATGCTCTTTACCCACAATCATGCTCTATACATCCAAAATAGCTCCTCCTGTGATCCCTGATGGCAATAGTTTGTATCATGTTCTACTGGGAAACAACACAAGCGTACCATCAGACAAGCCTATCCTTGTTGACATTGAAGCTCCTTATAAAACACTCACTCACGGACAACTGAAGAAGCAGATACTCGTTGCAGCTGCTGGTCTCAAGCGTGTATTTGATGTGCAAAGATCGGATGTTGTTGCTATTTGCTCACCAAACCACATTGATTATGTCTCCATTGTACATGGTATTATCTGTGCTGGTAAGTTTTTACAAACTCAAGAAGAGAGACCCCCTACTCACAATGGCATAGGCGCTATTGCTGCTCCTTTGCATTATACATCGATGGTCGAGGATATCGTCTATGATATCAGGACCGTACAAGCAAAGTATATGATCACTCATGTCGATGTCATAGACAGGGCACTTCTGGCTGCCAGAGAAGCAGGCATTGATAAGTCAAACATTGTCATATTCGGCGATACTGAGGTTCAAGGCGTTCGTGCAGTGAATGACACCCTTCTCAGAGACAATCAAGAGGCTGAACCGTTGATGTTTACTGCCGAGCAGATGCAAAACGACCCAGCAGTGCTATATTTCACCTCAGGCACAACAGGCCGAAAGAAAGCGGTTATCAGAACACAGAACAATCTGCTCTATAGTGCATTCAAGTCAAATATCGATACATCTGCTGTGGTGGTCTCTTATCTGGACTTTAATCACTCGACATCCCTTGTGAGCATCCTGCTCATGGCACCGTACTATGGATACACAAACTACCTGCTCAACCACTACTCATTCCGCAACTTGTGCGCTGCAATCGAGAAATACAAGCCTAGCTTTATTACTTGCGCGCCCTACGTGGTGTCGTCGTTGATGAAGGACAGTATTGTCAAGGAATATGATATCTCATCTCTAAAGATAATTGGCTGTTCAGGGGCTCTGTTGAAGCAAAATGTCATTTTAAAAGCTCATAAGCAACTTGGCATTGTCGTCCTGAATATGTACGGTCTGACTGAAGTACTTGGTTTGTTCGCTACGACCCCTGAAATATCAGTAGGCCTGGCTGGTATTGGCATGTTGAACAGCAGATTTACAGCGAGAATAGTGGATGAAGATGGACAAGATGTAGCTGTGGGCCAAGTTGGAGAGCTCTTGATCAAGGGCCCTACATTAACACCCGGGTACTACAGAAGCTCGGAAAGCATCATCGACCCAGAAGGCTTTTTCCATACAGGCGATTTGTTTAAATGCAATGAAAACGGCGTGTTTTTCTTTTGTGATCGCTTGAAGGATCTCATGAAGTACTATGGCACTCAGATTTACCCAGGTGAGATAGAGGGCGTACTTCTGAAGCATCCCAAGGTGGCAGACTGTGCAGTTGTGGGTGTCTATCAACCAGATGTGGCTGCCGAATTCCCTCGTGCCTACGTGATGCTGGTGGATGGTGAGCCATCTACGCATGAATTAATTGATGAATTGCAAGCCTTCTCTGACAGACAATTGCCTAAAAAGAAGCGAGTGCATGCAGGCATCGTTATTGTGGAGTCGCTCCCTCGTACATCATCGGGTAAGGTTCAACGACGTCTTCTCAGGGAATCTGCCAACAGCATTCAAGCACTGGCTTGATCCTATTCATCACCCTATCATGTTTGAGAAGAACAGCTTATTAATAAGGCACATACACACACGCACAATAAAGAATTCGTTTCCCCCCTTCTTTTTCATTTTCCACCATTTTACAATCATGACAGAAACCTTTTCTGAAATATACGCTCAATTTCTTTCAAAACAAGAATCTAATCAACAAGATTGCTTCACTGCAGCGTGTATTCTCTTCCTCAGCTTTGACCGTACTCGAGTAAACTATCAAGCAGCAACACGCATCATGAGCAGAATGAGGTACTAAAGTATCTACAACTAGGCGCCGTCGACTAGATTAGCCATTTTATACGTATTGTACAGCTGCTATGCAACTGCACCTTTAGAAAACAACCCCTTTTTAACATTCTTTCTACAACTGTTGGAAGAATTGCCTGACAAGTCTGCTGAACAGCATTTTGTGTACTGCATTCTAGAGGAAACATTGTCCCGCGTGAGTTGCGTCGATGATAAGGGGACGATATGGGCTGTTTACTAACAGTGTGTAGATTGGCGACGACTTACCGCAAGATGTCTGGAATGCGCCTGACAGTAAATTACCAGCGATTCAAATGAATCAAAGTTTGGTGGACTCTTTGCGGTTAAAAGTAGCACGATTAATTGATGATCCGTAAGTGAAAAAGGCCCAGCCCAACATGTTTATGCTGAAACAAATATAGCGATATAGTCATCTTGAATGAGCAGACCAAACAGCTGTTGTCTGATGCATGCTGTCGGATACTTTCGTTGGCAGAGAATGAGGTAAGCAAGCATACGAGTGAACGACATGGCGCTAATGAACCCATCAGACACTGCGAAACGAACGACTGTCAGATTACCCGTTAACAGACTACATCCCACCACACCTACTACCGAGCCTGATCGATTTGAACCAGTTTCTTGCATTAAGTATCGTGCCACTGTTACTGAGAAAGGATCTTGCCAGTGCATACTTGCAAGCGATACTGGAAGCACCCATCACACTCAATTCCATAGAGGTGGTCCATCATGCGCTCATCAACAACATTCACGTATCGCAAGAATTTTTGCACTACTTTATTTCCAAGAGTATTCGATCTTGTGATGAAAAGCCGAAACGAGACCGAAAAGTGAAATTGGTAAGGCTTGATGAGCTCCATACAAATTGCTCCTGTCGGCTCATGTAGTCACTGCGTAGGTGGCTCGATTTGTTCAATCGCTGGTGGAAAGGAATATTATCGCGATGAAAGACTACTTTATTGAGATACAGGCGTTCTGTGTTGGTTATATGAAGCTGAAGGACATCACAGTTCTGTATCGATTGGCATCAAACGAAGCTCAAAAGCAAATCGTATTGAACCAGCAAGTGGGAGCAGTGCCGCGCTAAAAAAAACAGGACATTTTGGTAAGCAAGTAATAAATCAAAAAAGGAGGCGCCATGTAAGACAAGGCGAGGACCATTTTGCATGCGTTTATCAGGCACATACAACAGTTTTTTTTTTTTATTGTTTGATCAGAATCGAAAGTAATATACAACGCATTTTCTAAATTTTATGTTTTTTAACCTCTCAATGCCTTCAATTTAGCAGCGGCATCAGGGAAATCATTGGCAAATCGAGTTTGAGTCTTGGTAGCTTCCACGTAAGAGATGGCATGCTCCAATTCAGCTTCAGTTCTGGCTAAATTGATGGCCATTTCATAGTACTTGAGAGCTTCTTCGGGTTTGCCTTGTTCCAAGAGGATTTGAGCAAGAGATGCAACAGCGGCATCACAAGCAGGATCAACTTCTAAAGCGCTTTGACATAATTGAGTAGCTTCTTCAATGTTACCCATCACTTGATACATTAACATGGCCTTGTTGATATAGGGAAGAGGATTCTTGGGGTCCAAGGTCATGGCCTTGCCAAACATGTCAATGGCCTCGGGCAATTTTTGTTGATCTACCAAAAGCTCACCATAGTAGTTGTGAACATCAGTGCTGTTGGCAAACTTTTTGAGCGTGTTGTTGAAAGTAGACATGGATGAGGAAATAGAACCGAGCTTGTATTGAACGACACCGAGTTGAATGTGAGCGTACACAAAGGAATCATCCAACTTGATGCTTTCGCTATAATCCTTGGCAGCAGCGTCGTAGTTGCCACTGATATAGTTGACTTGACCTCTGTGGTAATAAATATCAGGATCACTGGGGTTGATGGCGACGGCATCTTCAAACTGCTTGAATGTAGTCTCCACATCACCTAATAAGTACACAGGATCAATATCTCATCCATTGTGTCTTACACACACACGCACGCAAAAAAAAACACATACCTTGTTCCATGTAAATGCTAGAACGCTTAATGTAACTTTGAACATACTTGGGATCAGCCTCAATAGCCTTGTTGAACCAAGTCAATGCATCAGCTGTGTTACCCTTCAAGAAAGCAAAGGTACCCATCAAATTCAATGCATAAGCTTGATAAGTCTTGGAACAACCCAACTCGACAGCCTTTTCACATGCTTCCAAAGCACCGCTGTAATCCTTCTCGGCAATAGCACGATAAGCCTTTGCATAATAAGCATCGCCAGTCTCCTCATCAGGGATACTGGCTAAATCTTGAACAACTACAATTGCACTCTGTTAATCACTGATTCCCAGGGTACCATCAATGTATGCGCCTTACCAGGACGGAAAGAGTCAAGATAGGCACTGACAAAAGTAGGAGAAGGCAAACGAGGCTTCTTGGTCTGTACACGCAAGACATCAACATCAAGCTCCGTAGTGCCTATGAAGACTACTTACCTTCATAATTTCCTTGGCTCTGTTTTCTGAAACAAGCTTTAAAACACGTTCCATGGCCTTACTAGCAGCATCATTCTTGAAAGCATCGAGGATACAGACACAGGTGAAATCTAACACCACAAGCATCAGTCAGTCTGGCGACACGCTCCTCTTCTTCCTCTTCATCACTGCTTACCATAGAGAGAGTTTTCCAAATCGCCCTTCTTCTCCAATGCATGAGCACGTCTGTTCAATGCCTTGACGTAGACGGGATCCAAGCGCAGAGCTTCATTGCAATCCTCAATAACGCGATCATTGAAACCTAAATTGGCATAACAAGCAGCACGGTTGGAGAAAAAGATGGGATCTGCCTTGTATTTGAGAGCCAAAGTATACAATTCAGCAGCTTCTTCATAAGATTTGCCACTGAACTTGGCGTTACCCTTTGTCTTGAGAGATTGAGCAGCTTCAGCACGTTGCTATGTTCAACAAGATTTCAATTGATTGATGTGTGCGTCTCTGAAAATGTGGCATGTCTACATACCTCGTCGGTTAAAGCAGCAATTTCAGCCTCGGATAAAGTGGCATAATCAGGGGCAGTGGTGGTAGTGGTGGTTTCGGTAGTAGTGGTGGTAGTGGTGGTAGTGGTAGCATTTTCAGCTGGTGTGGTAGCAGTAGCCGGGGTGACAGGGGCTTTTCCAGAAGATGTGGTGCTGGTTGTCTCCTTTTCAACTAATTAACAGTGGTCGTTCATGAGATACACGCTCAATAAACTGACTCGGGCGACCTAAAAAGCTTACCTTCTCTCTTGGATATAGGCTTTTTCTTACCCTTCTTGCTACTACCTGAAGTAAGGTAGTAAGCACCAGCGCCTGCAAGGGTCAAACCAGCAGCGACAGCGCAGTAAAACTTCCAGTCCTTGTCTTCGAATGACTTTTTGATCTTATCCAATGTAACGGAAGATGCTTTTTCAGTGCTTTGAACAGGTGCCATCCTTAAGATATGATTATAGACTATACACAAAGTGAATAAGATGTCTTGAAAGAAAAAAAAAACAAAAATATACAAAATTGTCTGATATGATGATATTTATCCCTGCTACCCCCAGACCACACATCACACACACTTCACAATGGTATCACAACCTTTTTTTGTAGCCGGACCTAGTGTCATTGATTGGTAAATCCAGCCGAATCAGTATGGAGATGGAAGAACTTCATTGAAACGGCGAAGATCTTTAGTACAACATGTTCATACGTCACCTAACGCTATAACTATCTAAAAGATATAGTAAATGTACAGCTCAAATTCTCGATTTGCAGTCAATAACTTAATTGATTCATGATATGCTTATAATAATGCAAGAAGTGTGATCATCTAGAGGCAACAATGGCATATGCTTGCCTAGTCCTGCCAAGTTTGATCTTCCGAAAGTGCATTTCATCGTTTAGATGTCCGGCATTATGGTATGTCTACATCTCATGAATTATGTTGCTCATTGGGCTTGTATGGCGTATGTTGAAGCTTCTTGTGTATCGAAACTATTGACACAGCGAGATGCTGGTAGTGGCCAGTGTATTACCGAACTCAAGGATCTTATCCTGAAACGTAGGCAGGCCACCAGCATTCTTTCAGCGATTCGAAGGGCAATTCATGCTTAGCTTTGCATTGCATTAACCATTTCTTTGTATAAGCCAATGTAGACCCATTGAAACCAACGACCTTATCGCTGGCAGTGCACATCCAATAAATTTACTATATCGCACCAGCATCTAATATATATCTGCTGAATTACAGTCTACTGATGGCCATTAAATCATCTTTAGCCTACTCCTTTCATGTGAAAACTGTTCATCATCAATCGGTGACTATGGATCTGTCTCTATTAACATGTTCTATGTTGGTATCAATGGAAACAGCTCGTATCCAGATAGATAGCATACTGGCGTTACCACTTATTATTGGCCAAGACTATGCACTTTGTAGCGAAATTTGGATGCTTTTGAGTCGTATTTTCTCGCCCTAAACGCCGTTTTGGACCGCCAGAATAGCGCCAAACAGTCTCTTTCACCTAGCATATGCTTACTGACACCTTTGCTCAACTTTTTGGGGACGAAAAAAACATCGCCAAAAAATCAACCAAAAAGCATGAGGTACCCCTCATAGTTTTCATCGAAAATCAAACGATCGCGTTTTTGATCTCAAAAATGAAGACTTTTACTAAGGTATATATTACATCAAAATGTTACTACAGACTCTAGGCAGCCTCTGAAACTTTGTGTTTGAGATCTCTATATGTGAAATCTCAATATTTTTGCCAAAACCCTCATTTTGTATTTGCTGAGATCTCTCAATAAATTTATTCAAACCACTCCTTTTAATTAACACTAGTAGATACGTCTTGAGAAGTACTTCAAGAAAGCTTAAGGAAATATCTGATGATCAACACAGCTTATATAGTCGAATCTCGTAAAATAGATCGATCAAGTCGAAGAGTGGTCAAATTTGGCCAATCTTGAACGATAAAAATTAATCGAAGATTCAATGAGGATTGGCCGCCCAAATGTCTTTTTGATGAAGACAATCAATGTTTTTTTAAGGTAATAATATGAAAAAGATTGCCAATAAAAGTGTATTATATCTTAGCGTAACTATCTCGCTCTACTTTTCTTGCCCATATATATATTTCGGATAGCTTTATTTTTAATAAAACGCTTCCAAATGCTCCTCCAAATGACAAATGTGAGAGCGTGACCTAAGCCAGCATCGCAAGTTCATTCCAGTTCGTTCATATTATCATACGCAGAATATTGTACTGTGCATCGTATTGTAAGTTTCAGTTGCATGCTTTATGTATTATGAGCAACTGTGCTTCCACATCGAGCCTCATCTCGGATGGCATCAGCTTTTCAACACAAACTCCTGGTTAACTCATACCGTCAAGGACAGCTAGCAGGACAATGTTACAAACGACAACAAAGAAGCTCAGCCATAATAAAAGAGAATTATCCAGGTCATATTTACACTCTAGTGCTTGGAATTTTATTACAATAGTTATTATATAATAATGCAAAAATCAGATGAAAAGGAAAAGAAGGGAAACACAAATCCAGATTTGTTTTGTCGAAAAAAAAGGGGAAGGTTATAATGTGTAAATTACAAATGTGTGTGAAGAAAATGCTTGGAGGTGGCATGGAAATCAGCCCAGGATGGTCTTTTCAATTCTATCCCAATTACCCACACGAATTTGAGGTTTAGCAAATGGTGCTGCAATATCATAAGAGTTGACCAGAGGGTCCTTTGAGTCCCAGAACAATGTAATGAAATCAGAGATGCAATCAGCACGGGCAGGCATATGGGCTGTGTTAGTGCTAATGCCCTGTTTGAGGCCGAAATCCTCCATGTGTTGCTTTGGACGAACGAATGTGGATGCAGCATGGCTCATGCCAGAGACCATCATTGAAAAACCAAGGTCTTCACAATTCAGTTGACTATCAACGAGTTGATGCAACTTGGGTTCGAGCAAACTAATCAAAATGTCAGCTATCATCAGGCCTGTATACTGACATTTGAAACCTTACCAAGTATAACTGAACAAATAGTCTGATCTGATAAACATACTCTTTGTTAAAATGATGCTATAAGGAGCTTTTCCAATCAACTTGTAGGTGGCGTCTTTTGTGATGGAATCATAAGTATGCAACCGAGGAAAATGACCTACAACGCTATCTTTACGAGAACGCCATACCTATTCAGGATTAGTCAATAAAATCATACAAATAGAATCCATAGCCACTTACAGAGAACGTGAACTCTAAATCTTCCAAGTCGACATAAATATCATCATCCATGATATACACAGCGTCGGTCTTTAATTCATCAACAGGGTTGAAACGATTGTTTAAGGAATCAAAAGTTTGACCCAGCACCTTGACTCGTTCGTAGTCGTTTTCGCTGATATCCTGATACAATGAAGCAGGTACTTGCAAAGCTGGATTGTGCCATGTTATAAACACGGTGTGCACTTGATCAGACTTGAGTAGATGTCGGATAATCAGTGAGAGATGCTCGATACGCTCAGGGTTGTAAGTGCTGATCATGACAGAGAACTTATCGTGGACAGGGAAGTGATTGACATTTGTAACTGATTCTAAATAGGAATCGCAGACCATACGCTGTCTTGCCTCATTTACCCAATCTTTTGTAGCAGCTATAGATATATAAAAAAAAAAAGAAATGTTACTAAATTTACATTTTTTTGTTGGGGGGGGGGCAGCTTTCTTACAAGGATCAAGCAGATGTCTAACGTCATTACTGATACGGCGCCATTTATAGAAGCCTACAGGATCATAATGCTTCTTCCAATCGATATCACTGTAGGCATGAAAATTCCAGGGCTTCATGGGAGCAGAATACACATGAAGGCTCTATAGGGATGATGGTGTCAATATACGGTTCCTGTCTGCTCAACATCCGCGTTCTTACATTTGCAATCTCTTTGGGTGGGATTCTCGACTTGTATTCGAAATATGAGTCTTGCAGTAATTCAGGGAGAGAATAGTTGCCTGCAGATGCCTTTCGGTAGTGTCTAACAAGACTCTCGAATAAATGTGGGTTTGGCTCTAGTACAAAGAGTGGGGTATCTTGGTCATCATTCAGAGATAAGGCTGAACCGGGCAAGTAGTTGAATAACTGATCGACATTCTAAAATTATGAAGAAGGTTAGAATAGCGCTTTAAAATTTTTCAGCAAGCTGTCGTATATATGACATACATTATCAAATACAACATCAGGTGTAAAGTAAACAATCTTTTGATAATCAAACAAAGCCCACAAATTGATAATTGTATTACAAGCATCATCGTCTTGATGTGAGATTGATTGAGGAAATGCAGTCTAAATAAAGGAATCAGTGGTTTTTCATATGATTCTATCAGTGAGTAGACCTTACTCGAATGACATGTGCGCCAAGCTTTTCCAGACGGTGGATGTCTTGCTGCTCAAATCGAATGGATTCAGGAATAAGCACAATAACATCGGTTTTACTAGAAGGCTTCTTTGCAAAGGCAGTATTGAGCGAGTAGATTGAGACCAAGGTTGCTTCCATCTGTATTGTGGAGGATGTGAGTTACACTTGATGATTTCTGTGTTCACAACAAAATTTTACCATATTAGGGTCACATAACATTGTGGCCAATGCACCCTTTCTATTGAATATCTTGAAGACCGAGTTCCTTTCATCTCTGGAGGTGTGTGATGTCGATGCAAAGGCTCCGGATGATTGCCTCAATGACGGATATAATGTGAAGATCAACAAACAGCATAAGAGCGAAATCAGCGTCAGTATGTAGAATCTTCTGTTCATGATGGGGCGAGTTCAGTAGGAAAAAGAAAAAGTGATGTAAAATGGAAAGAAAAGAAAGAAGTGAGATAAAATACCTGCTCTTTTTAAACAGATTGCAGTTTTGGGTCTAGAAACATTCAAATGTGTAAAAACGGATAACTTCCAACTGGTTCATCCTATCCAGAAAAAAACAAACTCCATTTAACCCACTTTCCATTGCTATCTTTCCAAGCTGATGACCACATTGCTGTAGGCCGCCGATCTGTCCGAATATCATTACAATGGCTTTTTCAGGGCAATCGCTTTCACTCACTGCTCAAACAGCGTCTATTTCACCCTGGAAATGGGGTTCTTTTTTTTTTAGTTTTCATTCATTTGAAACATAAAGGATCGCCCAACATGTTCAATTTGTATTAATAAAGTGTCAAATGGAGACTATAATGGTGTGAGACAAAATCATATATTTTTATTTTCAATCTGAAAATGGTAACCTTAGTGGAACCCTCCCAATCATTGATTTCAGCGTCCTGACCCATTCCTCACTGTCATCCAAATCATCACTGACGCAATCCAAATAATAGTCGGAAAACGTCAATCTAAAGAACCCCTTTGTGTCTGATGAGTGAATGGAATCTGTAAACACTTTGGAGGTATCTTCTTCCATCAGCGTGATGATGACCTTGTCCGCTGCCGCACTTAATTTCAAGACGTCCGCTATATTGTAGTGATCCCAGACCTGTCGATCACTCCCGTTGTCTTCACTTGTATAGCCAATTAATTGACTGCCAATTAACCGATAAAAGTGTCTTTCCCAAATCTAAAATGTACACTTTGAGTAACCAAACTGCAATCATATTAATTTATCCAAGTTACCTTGTTTCCTTGGCATCTGGTGGTCAGGTAGCCACTTTGCCAGCATGTATCGTGCCACTGGCGAATCTTCAATGTCAAGTCGCATTCACGCAAACTTCTTGGCACTTGCTACACATACAGTAAATCTGTTAACACACGTGCAACCCTCCATAATGCATATGGCACACACTTACCACAGAGGGATTAGACACAGGCAGATACAGCATCTCTACATTCAGTTTACCCACAATCTTGAGAAAGTCTTCCTCGTCTCCAAACTGCTCTCTTCTCGCACGCTCTCTGTTTGTTCGGGCATACCAGGAGTTGAAGCAGTCGAAATGAGCCTCATATGTCTTTTTGTAGCATCCCGGCACCATATGATCCACTGCAAATCGAGTTTGTCCAATAGCACCATCATCCGGATGCACGTAGCCACTGAGATGCTCCTTTTGCTTACGAATGGATGTAAACCAGCGACTCCAGCCTGTCCTTGGCTTTACATGATAGTCGGGTCGAACATGCAAAGAGACGGTGATAATCATGCCAGGCTTGGTATCTATAACGCACTCGTAGTCCATCAGAATCTGGTGTCCCAGTATCTCGTAGCGCGACATGTATTCGTATTCTCCATCACTGATAACACAGCGAACATAGGTGATTTCCTTGGGCAGAGGTAGCAGCATATGATGGGCCCCACTGACCCCAATATACATTTTGCCATACTGACTGGCTTCCATGGACGACATGGAGATTTTGCCTTCCTCTATTGCTTGCATGTTGCTCATGAAATGCTCATTGACTTCGTGCGCGTTAGGGATGCCCCGAATAGGGTTCAGCTCTGTGGTTGGCAGCGCTGCTTCCGTGTCCAATTGCGCCTGATCTTTGGTGGCAATGGCTCGCTTGACAATGGCATCTTGCTGCTGATCAAGATCAAATACGGATCCACCTACATCTCTGCTGTTGCTACCAAGAACAGGCAGTGCGTTCATGTAATGAGAGATATCTTCAACGCGAGGATGATTGGGGTCGTGAGGCACAGATGCCTGTACAGTCCCTGCATCAGCAATATCGACAGTGCGAGATGGTACCTTGTAGAGTGAATACGTATCGTCGTTATCGTGAATCTCTGTTTTGACAGAGAGAAAGTCTCGTTGCGGTGCTGGTTCACTGGTGCTTGAATGCAATGAGTTCATGGATTGATTGTGAGCTACTACTTGTTCAGATGACTGATGGAACTGATGATTCATAAACACGGTTATCTCTCCCTCTTGTTCGTGATCATCTTGGTCGTTGTCGTCATTGTGTTGATAATAGCTGCTCATTCCTTTTGCCTCCGTACGATTAGAAGGCGATGATGGCTTTGTATGCAACATGGTAGAGTAGTAGTCGTCCTCCTCGTTGTGACCAAGCGATGCTGTGGACGTAGTGGCTGTTGCCGTAGTCAACTGGCGCGGTGGTGCGTCTACTGTTGGTTCTCTGTTTGTATGTAAATGAGTAGAATAGTAACTATCGTCTACATCTTGGTGGCTGTCATGCGTGGTGGGGGCTTGGCCTTGCTGTGAAGGACTTGTGTGTAGATTTGTGGAATAGTAGTCGTCCTGGATAGCATCATCTACATGCGCTGATCCATGAGACATGATAATTGGAGATGCAGCTGTACCATGTACTTGATGAGCCTCACTATGATTCGGCAAGGTTGACTGCACTGGAGACTTTGTTATATCATCGCCATCACTAGCGTGCTCTATCACTGCTGTAGCTATTATAGGATGAGGAATTGCAGTAGTGTTCAGTTGACGAGAGCTTGTCTCTGTATCGGCAGATTTCGCATGTAGATTTGTGGAATAATAGTCTTCTTTTTCACTGTCGCTATGACGATCAATAGTTGCAGTAGCAATAGCATTGTTAGAGAGTGTTGTCGTGTGCAGCTGACGTGGTTGAGCATTTTGCGTGCTTGGCTGTGGGGGCATTGAATGTAAGCTGGTGGTATAGTCATTGTCTTCTTGGCCATCATTAGATACTGAACGCAAAGATGGAGGCAGCACATCAATCACAGATTCTCTGCCATCAAATCTTGACGGAATAGCATGTCCATCAGTCGAGTAATAGCTCTCTTGTCTTTGTTGCTTGTCATTTTCATCGTCATTACCATCATAATGTACGTGCTCTTGTTGAGATTGGCTCGTAATGTGGTCATATCGCACTTGCTGTTTGTAATAGCTGTATTCGTCGCTATTCTGATCATCATCATCGTCCTCTAATCTTGTATTTTCAGTCAAATCAGAGTGTTTGTAAGAAAATGCGCTGGAATCGTTGGAGGAATCACTCTGTCTGTTTGCTTTCATCTGGGATTGTCTTCTAGAGTCCACCGTCCAGTCATCGTCAGGATCAAACCACTGTTCACTGCCTGTCTCGCTCATGGATTGAGCAGCCACACTGCTAGCAACAGATTCTCTCTTTTTAGCAGCGGCAGCAGCGTCTACCATTTGAATGCCTGTAGACCAGTAGTTTCTCTGACTACCGCTCTGTCGTTTCTTCGCAGCAGCAGCAGTGGCACTCTTACGGTTATCTTGTGTCCATTGATCAAAATGTTCTTCTTGTTGCATATTAAAACTTCTAAGAATGCTTGTTTCGTTGGTGTCAGAGCAGTAGGAGGTTCTATTGTCTATTTGGTTGGTATCATCGTGAAATTCAAAGTTGTCTCTCTGATTCAACAAAGCGTCAAGCTGCTTTTGTTGCTCTGGTTGAGGATTGGCTAGCGTAGGTGTTGTCGCTGAATCTTGATCTTGATCATCCTCATCATCACTGCTTGTAGTACTAGCTGTAGTTGTATTAATTTTAAGGCGATTATTAAAAGTGTCTAAAGGAACAACTGTTAATCATATAATTTTTCCTTTTTTGTAAATTAAAGATACAAACCTAATTTACGGTCTATTATTGTCGTTGATTTCGTAGCGAGTGAGAGATCCTCCTGGTATGTAGTTGTAGTAGGTGTAATAGGTGTAGAAGGTGCAGTAGGTGTAGTAGGCGTAGTAGATGCAATTGATGTGGTAGGTGTATTAGGTACAGCAGATACGGTGAATGTAGTAGCTGAAAATTCTTCCATCATAGCATTGTTTTCCACCTTCTGCTGATCCTTGTGCTCTTCTTTGTTCTCGCGTGATTTTTCTTCGTGGGCCACTGTTGAGAGTGACACCGATGTCAGTGCAATTGGGAGCGTATGATCTACAATATCATCTTGTGATACACGGCGATGCTCTTTCGTGGACGCATCTCTTGGCATGCTCATTAATTGTTGCTCCTCTTGTACCTCGGGAGTGTTACTAACATGGTTGATTGATCTGGAACCTGCCAAATTAGGCTCTGTCATCTTCTCTTTATCCGTAGAGCCTTGTCGATCTTTGTCGGAATTAGGCACAGCAGAACTTGTGGTATCCGAATGAGCTTCTTTCTTTGCAGAGATCGCTCTACTCGTAGGCCTAGATTTGCTCTTTGCAGGCAGCGATGGCTTCAAAATCTTATTGTTACCATCACTAAATGCAGTCGATTTGTCTATAGATATTCCAATAGATTTATCGATAGATCTGTCAGTAGGCTTTTCAGTAGGGTTGTCGATGGATTTTTTGATAGATTTGTCGGCGGATTTATCAATGGTGGGCTTGTCAATAGCTTTGTCAATGGGCTTGCTAACAGATCTGTCAATAAAGTTATCAATAGACTCGTCGATGACTACAGGTTTTATACGTTAGTCATTACTTTATACTCTTCCCGCCAACAGAAGCTCACCTTTTGACGCCGCTTCCTTATTGACGATCGACTTTTCCTGCTTTTCTTCTACCAACTCGCCATATTCATTCTTCTTCCATACTGAAAAGACTTTGCCAGTAGAGTAAATTTCAATAGCTTCCTCGTCATTCAAATGTTCATGCACATTGACGATTTGCTTCACTTTGCTAGAGCCAACAGTATCTGTGGCTGCACTGGTTGATTTGACTTCTTTGTTTGCAAGGGATAATTTGCCAACAGATAGTGCCTCAATGTCATTTTCGGCTGTCTTTGTCGCGGTTGCTGCGTTATTTGCATTGCTGGCTACTTTTGATACAGGTGTATCAAGTTTGACATCCTCCTTGGAGCTCTTGACTGACGGCTCTTCCTTAGTTACTGCTAAGCTGTCAGCCTTGGTTTCATTGTTTACTGCAGAGGTTTCAGTTTCAGGTGGATTGTTTACTGCGTCAGTAGTCAAACTGATATTTTCCTTGGTTGGCGTAGTGATTGCGTGCTTGTCCTCAATGGGCGATTTGCTAGACTCTGATTTGTTTTTTAGTGGCTCCACTGCTCCTTCCTCCTCATTGTCGCTCACATTAGGCGATGTTTCTCTAGAAATCGATGTTGTTGGTGCTGACGACCCAGCTCTTAGCTGAGCCAAAGTAGGCACCTTTAGTTCATTTTCATTGTTATTCGGCCCTGCAGCAGTATCTGATTGTTGACGAAACACACTTCCCGAAACGTAGGATCGGTCCTTTAGCGAATTGATCACTCGAGAGCTACGACGGATCTGATCTGCAGCGCCCAACAGTTTTTTTCTATCACGAATGGCAGAAACAGCTGAAATGACAGGCTTTCCTTGTTGCTGCTGTTGGCCCTGTGTTTGCTCCTCAAACTTTCTGAACAGTGGGTTGTTTTTGACAGCAGATCGCTGTGCAAGCATCTCCACTTCTTTCTGTCTCTTGAGTCGTTGTTTTTCCAATTCTGCTTCCTCTTCTTCACTGAGCACTCGACGCCTTCTTTCCTCTAGGTGCCCAGGGCGGAAATAGCGGCGCGTTGAATTCTGTCTTTCAGAAATGGGCTTGCTGCTGTTGGCGTTGGGTGATTCTGCTAATTCACGCAATCGCTTGAATCGGTCTGATGCATTAGCAGGGATGCGTTCCTTATTAACTGCTGCTGCTTTTGATTTGCTGATCAAGAGTTTCACTTCTGGTTGCGTATCTTCTTTTGTTGGCTTGTCAGATGCTGGTGGTGCTGATGTCGCTGTTGAGTTCACATCATTTTCTGGTGTAACTCCAGCGTTGGTATTTGTAGCATCGTCCCCACCCGTGGTTTGCTTGGTGGGCAAATGTCCGGATTTGTTTGGTATATTGGTCAAGGCACCTTTATCCATCAATTGTTGCGTCAACTCTGGCTGATTGATCAAGTACGCAAGGTGCATTACTGTGTTCTGCTCTTTGCCCCACAGACATGTATTGAGCTCGTTTCTTTTGGTGTGCTATCGTTGCATGTTACTTAGCACATGTGCTTGCAAAATTCTCTAGCATGTCAAACAACAAACCTTTAGAATGAAATCCACCAATTCAATACGCTCAGGGGCCCACTCGTCTCCTTCTAATCCGTAATCAAACAAGATGTGATGAAGTGCATACACTGGACGTATCGATGTGCCCAGTAACTTGAAATCTTCCAGCTTGTTTATGAAATGAGAGAAATCATTCTCAAGGTGTGCCAGAGGTTGTAACGGTGTCCACAATAATTCAGGTTGCATGTCAAATATCTCTTGAATAGATATCAGGTCGAGTGCCTCGATGGCTGTAGTCCAGTCTAATATGAGCTCCTCTTCTATTGCTGTCGCCATATTGTGTTTTGAGTTGAAAGGGATGAAGAGAGTATTGTGGAGAAAAGAAAAGGATAAAAAAGAAAAAGGGGCAAATAGAATTAATGTGGTGTGTGTGTGTGTGTGCTTGTATGCTTGTGCACTAGTCGCTGTAAAAAATTTGTTGATGTTCTTGGGCAACTTTTAATTTGGCCATCAAGCAAAGCAAGACAGGTTTCCATTTCAGGTCTCTGGTTAATTTAAGCTCTATCTAGTTATCACCACAATATTGGACCTCATTAAAGTGCCGAAATTTGCTCTTGATGTTCTTCTCGCTCAGCATTACCTGAACTAGTTAATACGGCATCTATTGTTGTGTCGCCTCCCATCCTTTGGTCGGCACGCATTCACTTTAGCTAGGATGTGCTTTTTGAAATGTTTAAGAGTCTGCACCATGTCGTACTTGTTACTGACGATGGTATTGTTGTGTAACTTTTGATTTGATCACTAATTCACTCATATCCTGTTGATTGCAGTGAAACCAATATGTAAGATAGGCATCATTTCATGCAAGCATGCCTCTCCAGAACATGATGATCGGCAAGACAAGTCAGTCAACCATCAAAATAGCTACAAATGGACGCTCTTCTAATCAGGCAACAGGTTCTGCAGCCTTAACCCTCATCTTCACTTTCACTATATACTGTAAAACATTCAAAAAAGTAGACAAGCCAATCATACCCTTTCAAAATTTTATAGAATTGTGTGCCGTACAAGGCGAATAAAACCACCAGCAAAGCCGGCAATTGGAAGAGGGTTTGGAGAAGAACATAACTCGTCTCATTCAACACTTGATAGCATTGATTTGCGGGGGGGGGGGGTTACCGTAGCGAAACAAAGGTGCAAAACCATAGTATCTAAGCAGCAAATTCGGGTTTTCATTTCCATTGTTAATAAGCTTACCAGCAACATAGCGCATCAAAATTCGCATGAATTAAATTTACCAAAATCAATATGCCTCCTATTCAAATTAAATATTGCTCAAGCTACAGAACTTCCCTTCCAGAAAACTTCAGCTACTAAAAATGTGATTCATGCCGTGTAAAAAAAAAAACTCTATAATAAAGCAAAACATAACCAAAATTGACAGCTTTCAAGCCTTCGTATCTTGACACGTAGATCTTTATGAGCCATCGGAATGGCGCCAAACAATTGTACTTGAATAATAGCAACTTCCTGACATCTTTGCTCAACTTTTTGAGGATCAAAAAAACATGGCCAAAAATCGACCAAAAAGCATGAGGTACCCCTCATGGTTTTCATCAAAAATCAAACGATTGCATTTTTCACCTTGAAAATAAAGACTTTTACTATGGTATACGAGCCTTTCAGCACTTCGGGTGGTTTCCTGACCTACGCTTCGCTTCGGTGGAAACCAACCTACGTTCAAACGGCTCGCGCTGCCGCGGGCCTTTGGCTAATATCCCAAAATTAATAGAGCTAAAATGTTAGAAGAGGAACCCTGATTGTTGATTGATATATAATCACTAATCATATGAGTGTTTATGCTTCGGATGGTTCTCACCGAAGCGTAGCGAAGGTAGAGAACCAACCTGCGCAGCGGCAGCTCGTGCTACTGATTGCTCTTGCGTATTTTATCAAAATACTGCTACTTTCATTTTGACCCTCCACTTACACATAGTAACCCTTCATATTATCTGTGGATCTGATTCTTATGTGATGTTCTACATCCATATACACGTAGCTACTTCATATACGGGCAAGCAGCATACTGGTATTCCCACTTTTTAGTCCTTAGTGTCCCTAATACAGCAAAGTATGAGTGCATTTGAGCTGAATTTTCTTGCGTTCAAGGCCGTTTTAGATCGTCAGAATAGCCCCAAATGGTTGCTTTCATCTGGCAGTTACTTTCTGACACTTTTGCTCGACTTTTTGGGGACCAAAAAAACATGGTCAAAAATCGACCAAAAAGCATGAGGTATCCCTCATGGTTTTCATCGAAAATCAAACGATCGCATTTTTCATCTTGATAATGGAGACTTTTACTATGGTATATCTTGAATCAAAATGTTTCTATCAATCCAAAGCAACCTCTGAAATTATCTTTGTGGGACTTTGATATGTAAAATTTCGACATTTTGGCCATAAATCTCTTTTCATATTTTTACAAATCATTCAATAAGTAAATTCAAAACATCTATATAACTTGGTACCATTGGAAGCGCCTTGAAAAGTACTCCAGGAAAGTTTAAGGAAGCATGGGGTGATTATCATACTTCACTTAGTCGAATCTGCAAAAATAGCTCGATCGAGTCCAGAATCATCAAAATTTGTCCAATCTGGAACAGACTATGATTCTGGGTTTGAATTAATTTTGGCTGGTGGGGCCAACTGGAAAACTCATGCCCTTTTCATAAGGCAATACAGTAGTAAATGCCCTTGAAGCGTATAGAAAGTAGGTGGAAGGTCATAGCACTATCGTTTACAATGATATTTTATTGCATTCTATATCGTTCATAATGACATTTTATTGCATTCTATATTTAATAACGTTAGTCTGGACATTGACGATGCATGGGTTGCATAAAATGTCTGCAGTAAGTAGTGAAATCTCTGAGGCTCTGAGACGTCGCTCAAATAAAACATTGACAGCATTGAGCAGAGGAAAGAGGGTAGAAATTACAGTGGTTTTTGTTGATTGATTGTAAAATCATTATTCTCATATGAGCCAGGTCTGATAGATGCCTTGAAACTCAGGTTCCATATTAGGATTGTAAAGTGCAAAAGTACTGAACATTTATTATGTTATGATATTGAATCAAAATGTCCCTATCGATCCAAAGCAACCTCTGAAACCACTTTTATGAGGTTTTCATATGCAAAATATGGCTATTTTCGCTAAAAACCTCATCTCATATTTTACCAAATTTCTCAATAAATTCAGTCAAAGCACTTATTACAGTTATCACCATTGGAAGCGCCTTGAAAAGTGCCCCAAAAATGTATTATGAAGCGTCGTCTGAAAACCATATTTCATATAGTCGAATATCACAAGATAAATTAAAGAAGTCGAAAAAAGACAAAATATGTCCAATCTTAAACAGAAAAAAACAAACTGAGTTTTAACTGATTTTGGCGGCGGCTTGCTGCTGGCTGACCTAAATGCCTTTCTGTTGATGACAATGGTAATTGCGATGTTGATTAAATGGGGATCATGGAATTGAAAGGACAGTTACTTAGCGCAAATACATTCTTTGGGGAGCTTTGCCTAATAGAGGAGTCTTTTGCAATGACAATACCTCAAAAAGTCGCTGTAGGCCTTACACAAGTCCTGTGTTTATTTATGACCAGCTTTATGTCGCCATCTTATTAAGAGCATCGGCAGCAGGGAATGATATGACAATTCTATTATCAGAAAATGGAGATTGTGGTGTACAAATGTTGCATAAAATTTGGATTTTCTTTCACATTGCACCAATAATAGGCTTCGTTTGATATCAGTGTAAGCAAAAAGGATGCTGAGGGAGATACCTTCTCTCCTCCTCCTGGTGGCTTTAATATAGCCTTTCTTATTTTCTTTTACTAATAATAAATTGTTTAAAATCTACTTGATATACCGAAATTTTATTATATCTGATTTAAAGTGTCTTTGACGAGAGCCCACAGGGCGACACCGATATGGAGCGTAGCGAGATAGATCGACTAGTGCAAACATACTCAAATGTATGCAAATACAGTGGCTCTATTATATACCATTGTGCATTTTACTTCATGACAGTTTATTCCATCTTATACAGACATTACGCTAGATTAGAAGTGGGTTCTCGCTTTCTCGCAGTATGATCAATAGTTCATGAGCTTTAGGATAGCGCGGCTGCGTCCGGATTACGATATAAGAGTACCTTAAATTAAGTATGTTGACAAGGTATGGCTCTCATCCTATATAATCCATCGAACTTTGACTTTTTAACTCGTTATCGATATGTAAAATTCTTCCATAATGCACCTGTCATTGCAAATATGTCTTTTCCACAATGCTCTATGTTGGTATCAACGGAAACAACTCCTATTCAGGTAGATATCATACTGGCATTACCACTTATTAGCCAAAACTATGCACATTACAGCGAAATTTGGATGCTTTTGAGTCGTATTTTCTCGTCCTAAACGCCGTTTTGGACCTCCAGAATAGCGCCAAACAGTCTCTTTCACCTAGCATGTGCTTACTGACACCTTTGCTCAAAGGTGCGACACCTAGATCCAATACAATCATGCTAACTTGTCATACAAAGATACTGGATGAGAGCACAAACACCAAACGAGGACATCAGTACGGAAGTCAAAATAATCACCAACATGCGTTCACTGAGATTTGAACCGGGATCCTCCAGTTAGCATGCTGAAGTTCTACCGCTTCGCCCTACCACCAGGGACACTTAAGGGAGGATGGTATGATTAGCACTGTTTACATAGTCAAATCTGATAAAAAAATTTTTTTTGTAGGGCAATTGTATTGCTTTATTTAAAGAATCTGATAAAATAGATCAAAGAAGTCGAAAATTGAACAAAAATTCCCATTTCGAGTGAGAAAATTTTATGCGTAGATCAAATTGATTTTGGCTCGCAAATGTAGAACCATGCATATCATGATTGCTTCCGTACGCTCACAAGAAGGGAACTGCATACCAAAGAGTACAAAAACTTGAACTAGATACTTGGTTTACTTCTGTTGCGCATTTTTATACTTTATACAAAGATTGAATCGTTGGGAATTGCTCATCCAAATGATAATTGTCACTCCTATCCAAAATTGCACCTGCTGTTGTGAGCATAAACCCTAGTGTAATTTACCTAGTAGATATCGATTTTTATTACATTAAATAAGTATAAATGAAATAGGTTGTATTTGTATGCGCTATTGATTATGGGTGATTACAATCCAGAAACCTGTATACGTGTTTCAGGCTGGGAACAGCTTCTTCATCAATGAATCAATTTGTGTTTGCTGCAATTTCACTTGCTCCATCAAAGTAGCAATCTTCTCGTCCTTTTCTTGAACTACTCTTTGATGCTCTTCTCTGGTCACATAATCACTGCTGTTGTTGTTAGGGACACCATAGCCAGCAAGCATTGGATAATTTGCTTTACTTCTCCTCTCCTCTACCATATTGATGTATTCTTGAGACTCGCTAATGCCGCCTTTACGTGCAATATCAAAGTGGTGGTATGCTTTGTCGAGGTCAACGCTTGTGCCCTTTCCATCCAAATACAATTCACCTAGGTTTTGGTGGGCTTGATGGCTGCCTTTTTCTGCGCCACGTTGATAGTAGTGAAACGCTTGCTCAAAGCTCAACATGACGCCATGTCCCTTCTCATAAAGGTAGCCTATATTGCACAAAGCATCAGGGTAGTTCTCCTTTGCGGCTTGCATATAATAAGTGAACGCTTTAATGTAATCAGGTTTTGGAGTTGCAAACAAACTAGTCGTAGCGTCTCCCAACCCAAATTGATACATGTAGCCCGCGTTGTATGAAGCCAAGACATGTCCTTGTTCAGCTGCTTTTTCGTAGTGTTTGCGAGCTCGAACAAGGTCCACTGATACGCCCATTCCCGTATGATATAAGCGGCCTAAACGGTAAAATGCCTCTGCATTCTCTTTCTCAGCAGCTTGGAGGTAGTGAACGTAAGCCCCTGTATAATCTTTAAACAGTCGACCTAGGCCTTCCTCACTCATGATGCCCAGATTTAACTTTGCTATCGTACTGCCATTTGCAGCTGCTTTTGTATACCACTCAATGGCTAGACCATAATTATGCGGTCCGCCGTAGCCCTCCTTGTAAAGATCACCTACTTTACATTGAGCTTCGACATGGCCAAGTGTTCCTGCTTGTATAAAGTACTTTAGAGCCCTGTCTTTCTCTTCAAAGCTGTTTGCAAAAACGTTATTATATATTGCCGTAGCCATTGCAAAGAGCGTGTTGGCTTCATGAGATGTTACTTTGGCAACACTACTCCCAAAAAGGTTTGTGGCTGGCTTATAGAAATTGGTGTCAGAAGCAGGCTTTCCAAAGCAAACTATTATATTTTAAAAAGAAAATCATGAGTATTATACTATGCTACGGCTCCAGGCATGATCCACTTACGCGCTGATCCCGAATATGTCTGAGAAGGTACCGAAGATGGAGCTGGAGTGCTTCCAAATCCTGGAGCAGAACTTTCATTTGTTGAATCAAGGGCCATTTTTTTTTTTTTTTGGTTTGATGTGTTTCAGATAGATCAAGAAGAATAGGTAAAATGAAAATAGCTACCTTGAAACTGATTTAAATATACATATTTCAGTCGCACAAAGCAGGATAGTCTCAACCGCAGCAGCAGGCCAGCCAAATGTCTATAAAGTAGTACATGGATTGAAAGTAACAATTACCAAGGTCCTTGACATCTTATTCCGCGCATCTTGATAGAATTGAGGAACTGAATATCAATTATATTGTTTACTGCCATTAACTCTTATTCGTTGGACATGCAAGATCAATTTCAGAGCTTGACTTCGATGTAACGCCCCATTCGTTTTATTTTCATCATTATGATGGATCATGATATTGAATAGACTCTTAAGAATTCTACACGTTATGGAAAGGAGTTTTGTCATAATGCAGCGCCATTGTATCGTGTGCGAATCAGTTTTTTTTTTTTTGTGATCACATCAACGATAATGATGGTATCATTGTCAATGTAATGACTCCCTCGGCTAATGCAAGTTAATTCCATATTTAGCATTGCACAGCCAAGATCTTGCTCTCCATTCGAGTGAAGAAGCAATTGCTGCTACCCAGGTCTTACTCTTGTGGTGTTTCTTCACTTGATCGCGCAGACCTCATCTTTTCTAGAGTTATTCTGCAATCGGCCAAACTGGCTCATTGTTCAAATCAATAAGCACAGATTGGAATGCCCCAATCCTGTATTTATTGGGTGGATTTCTGATTCATAAATTCTAATTGCGATTTAATACAAAGCATGGGAGCCGTGCCACGAAACATGGCTTGACGAAAGTTGAGTGTCCATTAGGTAATGCAACTTTAATCCGGACCCTGCGTTGATTTGTGGTATCATTTTGATCATTGAACATGAGTCATTGAAAATAGACTACCCACAGTAGTGCGGGTGCTGATTATATACAAATTATGACAAATATAATAATGTCATGTATATAAATATACAGAGCATTAGACTATGGAACTTTCTGTCTTTCTGTGAATGAATCTTTTTTATTGACAGTGTCGAATGGTATATTGTAGGATGAATAATGTCACAAAAGAAAGAATAGATGTCAGCTATGCTAATCATGTGCAACAAAAAGTATTTAGGAAATAGAAGATTAGATGTGATATAATAATGAGCCTCCATCTTGGACTGGAATGGCTGCATTTGTCAGATAGAAATCAACGCATGGACTTATAGCTATAGTGTTGCGCTGATACAACTGCGATGCAGCATTAACTAGAAAGAAAAACAATGCATTAATAAAATTGTCGAAATAATAGAATGAGGAGAAACTTACCGAATAGATTGGGTAACCAAGAGACTGGGCTCACTTTCATCTCAGGAGACTGGACACTTGTATCCAGAAGCTGTCTCTCCATGTCACTGTATTCAACGGGATTCAGCATGGAACCAACAAGATCAATGGGAGTGCCAATGCTAGATGCCATGCCTACACTTGCTCCAGCTTTAAGCAAGAGTTGGATAATGATACTTGCTTTTGAATGGCAGCCAAAATGAAGAGGAGAGACACCATTGCGATCTTGAGATTGAGCCAAGGCAGGGTTTCTGGAGATCAGGAAAGCAGCCAGTGTGGGGTAGTTTAGATAGGCGGCAAGATGAAGCAAATTTTGGCCCCCTAAAGTGGTTTGAGCGAGACAAGAGCTATCAAAACGGGCAGAAGACAAGACATCTAATATGTCAAGCTCAGTGTTCTGCTGGTAAACTGCATTGAAGTAATTGCTCGATGCTTCACCATGAGAATCAATGGTATAAGATGTGGCAGACCTGCTCATGGGTGAAGATTGCTGACTAGGATTTGTTGACGTGGGAGCTTGCTGAAAATAGCCACCATTGGGGTTTGTAGTAGCAGCAGATGGCGTGTGGGTACCAACGACTCGATTGGATAGATTAACCATATCTTGATGTGAGGAGTTGAAGTAATCAAAGAGTGGAGGCACTGGGCTTGTTCTGATCAGAGGGTGCTCCTTGAATGATACGATAACTGGGCCATTGTGTTCAGCAGGAGGAAGGATACAAACAATGGAGTTGGAGTTGCAACTCACAGTGGTTGCAGCACGGTTCCCAAACATCAAGGTTAAGCCGTAGTGGAAGTTTTCACCCACAATTGTCACTTCGACGCCGCCTGTAGTAGGGCCTTGCGATGGCACAATACGGTCTAAAGTAGGTATGATAGAAGGGTCGGAAGACGCAACAGCAGTGGGAGACACAGGGGCAGAAGAGGTCATGGCGTAAGGCGAGTAATCTGAGGTAGTCAATGATGGTACGGAAGCGACAGTAAGCAGAGATGGAGAGCATGTATCGGGAATCATGATGTCTTCCATCATACGTCGGCGGCGAGGGTTAGGAGGAAGATCGAAATCATTATTTTGCAAAAGGATAGGATGAGATAATCTTATGGATGTTGGCGTGCTTTGTGTACAACGATGATGTAAATTTGACATATCATTCGCCGGGAGTTGAACGGAACCGTAAGGCAGCATGTTTTGCCAAACGGAGTCAGATGTCGCTGTGGTTGGCGTTTTGGGAGATGTGGTTAGCATAGAGATGTTCTCCTCACTCGGTGTGGGCAATGGAGAGGTAATGAAATGACCAAGCACAGATGGTGTATTACTGCTAGTAGTCTTAGCTGATGCAGACACAAAGTAACCGGGATCCATGGTGGCAGCAGTAGAAGCATTGATAACGGGCGTATCATGCGGACTCTTGTCGTATTCGGGCTCACTTCCGCAAACACTGGTTTTTCTTGAGGAAACAGGGGTGGCCAATGCGTCGAATTCGTCTTCAGATTCAGATGGCACGGTTCTACGTCTCTTTCTGGAAACCGAGAGGGAGGGAACACGCTGCTTGGGGCTCTTATGATCGTCAGTGATCATGATTGGAGGGGACTCTCCAGTTGCTACGATCATGCCTTTGTCATTTCTCAAAGCAAAACGGACTCTAAAAATATCAGAAACAATAGAGAGGATTAGCTTCCAAATCAATGTGTGGTCTAAAATAAATTTTACCGAAATCCAATGCGTTCATTGTGGTGGCGACAGTAGCAAGTGATACGGGTGGGTAAAATGGCATCACCAATGCTGAAATTCACAAGTGGCTCGCAATTGAACAAGAGAATACGCTGGCGGTCTCTTTCAAAAGCTTCATCCAAGACATCAGCGTTCATTTGATGGAGAGACGGCTTTGAGTCCTTCTTTCTTTCGGCTCGTTTACGCTAGAAATTACGAAACGTGTTAGCTATGACAGATAAATGCCGATTGTGCATATGGATGCATACCTCTCTGCGGACACAGCCTTGACACATTTTGATCTTTTTGTTTTCGTCGCTTTCACAGACGACACGAGCCTCCAAATCAAGGACCTTGGATTCGTCAGAGACCATAGCAGCAGCACTGCCATCAAGCAGCTTTTGTTGCTGACTTTTTCGCAGTTTTGATCTTGCCAGCATTGAATCAGGAATTCTGATGTACGACCAATAAGGAGCTTTCATGCCATCCTTTGTAGTGAGCGACACACAAAGTTTGATTTGAGTTTCTACTCTGGACTTTGCACCACTATCGGGAATGCCATCCACGCGGATTTGTAACCTATCACTAAATGGAGAATGAGTTTCAAGTGACAGACATGTAACACATGCAAGCATACTTTGAAGTGATGATGGCTGTAGTTTCAGATCTATCCCCAACTGGGTGATACGTGCTTTGATTGTGGTGGTGGAATTCATATGATGGTCTATTTGAAGGGTTTGGTGTTAATTCGACATGGCTCTGATTCGGAGTTACCCTCAATGGCAGTATGTGGTCAAAGCGGTATGTATGTGCGTCTCCATACTTACGGTTGATAGACGTTTGAGTGATTCAATGCATAGTGTTGATGTTGCTTTAACTAGATGAATTGACAAAGCTTTAGAAATCTACCAATGACAAACAGACACTCAACACTTACGCTATCCTCTAGAGATAATAATTCGTTTTGCAATTGATAAGGAGAAAAGGTGTTCTGATCAAGGGGCGATGTGGGTGGAGACATTGATGATGAGGATGAAGATGCTGCTGCAGGTGCCAAGGCGTTGGTTGTACCAAATTGAGACATATAATAGCGAGTCTTGGAAGTCATGGATGCCAAGGGCAATGTTGATAAGAGGAGCTATAGTAAGATGAAGGAGCAGAACTAAAGGAACTTTATTGAAAATAATGCCTCTCTTTTAAATGTATTTTTTGAAGCTGGAAAAATCGAAAACCAGAGCGACGGAGGCGAGGTTTCTTATTCATATTAAAAGCGAGCCATTCAAACTAAACTTTAATCAAAGATATTTTAAAACATGTCAAGATGGCGGGTGTTCATCAACACCATTTCTTCTGAATCTCTCGTAAGATAATTCTAAAACCAAATGTACCAAAAAAAAAAAAAAGCGGTCGTTTAACAGCTTGTTTTTGTTTTGGAAAAAGAAATGCAACCAAATGTTCCAAATCATTCAGAAATCCTGTATCATTTCAATCCAAGAACATCAAAAATATACCGTGTGCTTAGAGCGCACGTTTTCTCCCCAGCGTATATGATGGAAAATTTGATTCTTCCACCGCATGGCTCGTATGGTGCGTGTGTCATTCATGTCCTTGGATACCTAACATGTAGACATTTCATACAGTCTGCGCAGGGTTTGGAAACAAATGAAATGCCCACTACATCTTTTACTGAAATCACTACGTTCCTGACTGTAGAAATGCGTATTTGGAAATCAATCATATCAAAAGAGCGAATCCAATACAAAGCAGCAAGAGAATGTATCCATTGGCATTGCCTAATTGGCATCCTTGGCGAATTGGTCACAGTCTTTTTGGTGGCGAAATCATAAAACACTATAAATTCCCTGTGTAATTTTGTTTTGTAAGACTCTATATACACAGTGGAAGGTTTCAGACTGTTAACAGTGAGTCCTGGATTAGAAGAATCCTGCAGCATTCCCTTTGAATTTAACAAAGGTTTCATGCAAAGCTGTACAAATGCGTATATTTCCAGGCGGTAAACCATGCAATTTTATACATCATTGCATTATACAACTCCAGGCCAGACCTGCCATCAGAATGTTCTCGCTCAAGTATTTTTACCATATTAGCACTTTTGTATAATGGGTATCAGCGTGACAAACAAAATATTTGGAAGCATAAGTTGCACAGACCATCATGTTCTTGGATAGGCAAAGCACAATTTGGCAAACAAGCCTCCGTGTATTCGCACTTTTGTGGTATTCATTCATGACAGCCTAGGTTAAGCTGCCATAGCGTAATTCAATATATTCAGTTACTATGGCGCCTGTTTGCTCTCTTTTATCCTGCTATGCCTAAAAAAAAGCATCACATTGTTTAAGCTATTGGATAAGTTATTCTTCTGGCGGCATTCATTAGAAATACACACATCTCCTTATAAAAATCAATATGAAGCGTTCTGGGCAATCATCCATCATGTAATAGAGTAGCTGTGTATTTAGCCATGATGTATCTCATAGCGCATCCATATCAGACGCAATCTTCGGCTTGTACAGATAATTAGCTGTGATCTGTACCGGATCAGAAAATGTGGAAATGGCATTTTCAGAGATGTTTGCATTGTATTTCTTTCTACGTTATAACGATCGAGTCAAATCACAGATTAGAGTCGAGGTCAAAGTCTTGGGGATAAATCTAATGCGTCCGGGTTTTATATTACCAGTGATTTGAATTGGGCCCTTTACCAACAGAATGCCTAACTTCTAGGGTATCAGTGACATGGATATAGCTGTGCCATCATGAACGCATTTGTTCAAGAGCAAATTTGCTGAATCAGGGTGTCCTGAATAGATTGCCCTGCTTAATATCGTTGTATTGGTTTAATCCTAAACCACAATGTTTCATTAATACTACTCATCAGTTTCGGTGCATTCATTGGCTACATGCGAAAACGATGCTTGATCGATTGCACACCAAATTGCAGAAATAGCACCTGTGATGATTTGTGATATCAGAAATCATCATCAGCGTCAGCCACTCTTCAATAATAGAACATTGATTTTTCCGAAGAATGTAGGAAATATATGGCAATGATCCACATTAGAATATAAAGCCCTTGACATTTGGAAACGAGTAAATGAACACAAGTGCACATTGCTGTGGCTAGTACTCATCGATAAGAATGGCAGTGTTTTTTACAATAGAATACTAGAACACGATAGAATATTGCAAAATTTCAACTTTACTGCGCATTCGAAAGTTGTCTGCTTGATACAAAGAGAGAAATTATGTAGAATGTTTATCCACGCCAAAAAAGGAGCATCATTATTTGATGTTCACCTAACACTCTATTAATGGTGAGTTGCCAAAAAATATGTCCATGAGACAATGAGACGTGGCAAAGCTAATCATAAGTGATCTCCAAAAGCGGCATTCAGAGGCGTTCTGGAACGTGTAAAGACGCTTCAACTTGGCAAGAACGATATGAAACTATCAAAAGACTCTATCAGGCCCCTTCTTCTATAATTTCTCTGTTTGATGGTCTAAAATATAGTCAAAGATCTAAAAAAAATGCCTTTGTATTGCTTATGCTAGCTTTGCCTAATAACGGGTTTTAAAAAAAACCAATAATTTCCATGATATTGTGCACTGTAAGTCTATCGTTATCTAATTCTTGCTTTTCAGTCCAGAAGCCGTGATAGACTGTGGGCGCAATAATGTTTGGGAGCATCTGAATACATAATTACTTATTGATGAATCCTCGTGTCTCCTCAATCACATAGGTACATATTGTAGCTCGTCTATCCTTTGCACCCTTATAATAGAAGGGTCTTTGTCCACTGCTGAATTCAACGAGCTGGCTAACTAGCCGATCCATCTCGCTACGCTCGATGACGGCGTGGCCCTGCAGGCTCTCACCGAAGACATTTCAAATCAGAAGAGATAGTAAAACTCTGCTATAAAAGTACATTTTAAACAATGACTATATTAGGCATGAAGCTTGATTTAAACGTCAGAACTTTGGAGGTACAAATCAATATTTTTTATGAAGCATTTACGTTATATTATTATAAGACTTCTGGTTTACTACATCCTCCGTCCGAGTCGCATTTTCTGGCGGCAGAACTGTGATACCATTTGCAGATGTTGCTCTCGAGATGGCAACATTGAGTTGGCCATGTGTGAAAACAGGACTCCTGAGGTCTACAGCGACTTTTCTGAGAGATTGACCCTGCGACTTGTTGATGGTCATTGCGAAAGATACTTTAACCGGAAATTGCTTTCTGGTCAAAATGAATGGCAATGTACCAGGCAATGTTGATAATGTAAAGCGAGGAATCAACTCTATTACATCTGATCTTCCAAGAATTTTAACCTTCAGTACATATTGTCCAATATGCTGTATAATAAGCCTTGTACCATTGCATAGGCCTCTCTCAGGGTTGATGTTTCTTAGGAGCATGACAGGGAGACCTACTTTCAACTCCAAAACTGCTGGCGGCAGCCCTGAAGGTGAAAGAGTTTGTAGGCACTCTGAAGGATAGGCTTGCGTCTCCGTGTTGGTCAGATCAGACTGAGCTGTGTCAGCAGAGTACAGAGTGACCTTTTCCCCAATCACGTTCTCCATCACCTTGCTGTTAATAGCATCAACGTTGACGTTCTTTGAACAGAGAATAGCTCTTTCCTTGAAAAAATCGCTATTTTGCAGAGGACGCTGCAGAACATGCTTGGGATAGATGTCTTCAATGAACTGATCAAGATCAGTCATCTGCCTCAAAAAAGAGGGCAAAGCAATGCTGCCAATCATGGATGGTTCATACGACATTTTTCCTATCCAATCTGCAAATTGCCTATCTGTGTCATTAGAGTTGGCAAGTCTCATATTCTCAGTCAGGCTCAGCTTTTGTAGTCTGGGCCACAACCTTGAGGACATCAACGAAGCAGCAACGATTTCAGGACGGCCACCTTGTTTCACGACAGGAGAAATTTGAGCAAAATCGCCACCAAGAACAACAGGAATACCACCAAAGAGGACACGTTCACCACAACTGCAGATGCCTCGCAGTGTTCTATCAAGAGCTTCAAAGCAATAACGATGCTGCATGGGCACTTCATCCCAAATTACCAATGCTGTGTTTCGAATAAGGTCAGCAAGATCATCGTTTTTCTTGATTGCACACACAGACTGCTCGTGGATGTTGAGTGGAATGGCAAAGCGAGAGTGCGACGTACGCCCACCAGGAAGTAGCAAAGCAGCAATGCCAGAGGAGGCAACACAGAGAACAATTTTTCCTTGGCTTCTATCAAAATGACGAAGAGTATTGTAAATGAAAGTTTTGCCAGTGCCAGCTGGACCTTGCAAAAAGACATGTGAGCTGTTGGCGTTGCTGTTGATGGAGGAGGTGATGGTCTCACATACATGCTTCTGGGTAGCGTTCATTTGAGCGTACTTTTGCTGGTACGAAAAGGCTTCTTGATCTTGGAGATATGACATTTCATTGAGTATCAATGAATTGCGCTGTATGCCAGTCATTCTGCTTATCAAGCCATTCCAGTTGAAGAGAGGCAGAGGCAAATTGAACTGACCTAGAGATCTGTCTTGTGCACCAAGAGATGTTTGCAACAGATATAAGCCGTAATCAAGACTACGCGTTCCACGGTAAAATTCAGCATCAGGTTGCACGCTGAGCAGCTGCGAACGCCCTTTTTGCACGATTGCATGCTCAAGATCATCACAGAAACTTTCACGGAATTGATTCCAAATCTGAACAGGCGATACCAATGAGTTGAACATGAGCGCAGAGACAAACATTGAACGCATTGCGTAGCCAGAGGCAAATGTAGCAGCTTCTTCAAAGGCTCTGGTCCATTCTCCATCATCTTCAACCAAATGCAGCATCATACAGGCCTCGCGAAAGGTGGCGTACTCGTGATTATTGACAGTTCTCAGATGAGAAAACGACGTGGCTCCTCTGACAACTGTGAGCAGCAGACGCAGATAATACCTCTCGCCGGCAGCAGGATTGCAGTAATACATGCGTCCAATTGACATTCTACTCGAAGACCTAGGCTTCCACTTTTTTGCGTTCTGTTGCCAAGGTTGCTCGTTTTCAAGATGCACAACAAGTGGAGTAACAGATGGGCTTTCCTCATGCATTGGGAATTCAAACAACCTCCATGCAGCTTCAACAGGACTAACATAGCGGCCATTTAAATACTTGGCTACTTCGTCATTCTGAGTTGTTGCTGTGGTAGTGGCATTTGCTGTTTCAGTGGCTGTGGTGGTGGTTGTAGTTTTGAGCGTTGTCTGATCAGAGCCTTTGTAAATATACTTGTTGTTGATGTACTTAATTGCCTGGACGCTACCACATACTTCGACATTTACATGGGCATTGTACTTGTTTGACAAATAAGGGTTGTATGGCACCACCCACTCATTCGTCATGTGGAAATCGCGGTAGACACCCACCTTGTCCTTGACGCGCACCTGATGAGAACGACCATCTCTTCTTCTTCTATAAGTAGGATAACCATCAGCACTGGTCACCGTTACTGGCTGGTAGTTTTTGGGAAATATCTTTGAGCATACATCATTGCCAAAAGCATCTTGTACCATACACGGAGACTTTGAGTTTAGCTCGCCACATGGGCCATGCATCATACTGCGAGTGATGATTGCATGCAATTCAGGTTCTTCTTCAACATTTGGGATCTCAGCGCAAATGATCTGATCAATCCTCTCTGGCGTATCAAATCTATCTGTTTCTGCATCCAAAAACAATAGCATATGGCCGTGAGGGAGGCCACGCTTTTGATACTCAATAGTCCTTACAATACCTTTATAACAGCCAAAGACCTTTCTGTCTTTCAAGTCTTTAAGCAGCTCTCGGTGCTTAAGGTTGAATACGCGAGCAACCAAGTCGGGGCGATCAGCGGCCGTTTGGCCTGGCAACAAGTCATCTTGGATCTCCGTCCAGTTTGGGTTGGCAGTAAATGTGATGAATAATGTCGGCTTGCCAAAGAATCTAGAAATAGCCATTGCATTTTGATATAGCTGCATCATGAATCGCGGTCCACCAGTGAAGCTACTGGGCAAGATGAACGTCTTTCCCACCTGTTCGAGGTCTGAGTCAGCAGCAGAGGTAGCATCAGCAAGTCCCTTATACACATCAGCGCGAAGATTCGTCTGATTGACTTTGATCCAGTTCAGTTTTGTTTGCTCACAGATTGCCCAGGCATCAATCACATATTGTTGAAATAGACGTCTTGACAAAAAAATGATCTTTGACTCGTTGCTTCTAACATGCAATCGAAATCTGTAGAACACGCCCTGGGTAAGTCGGCCATCTGACACTTGTTGTTGTTGTTGCTCTGCTGGTGTCTCATCTTCTTCGCTCTCAATAATCATGGCATCAACAGTTTGCGCTGACGATTGCAGTCGAAGGCACCAATTCCACCCATATTCACCTCTAGGAAAAAGCAAAGCATAATGAAGAGGCATATATGCAGCATGTGTCTCATTGATACGCTTAAACTGGCCTTGAGCCCTGGCCGAGGAGTTGCTACGATATGTGATCAAAATATCTCTGAAACACCTGTCAGAACACTCGTTTGGAATGATGGCAGCAATCTCGTTGACAGTTGGCAGAGTTTGAGTGCGTCTGTCCTTGCCAACAACCAATTCCATTTGCGTCTGAGGACTGAGCCTGATGTGAGCATTCTCGCTAACACCATCTTGAGCTTGCCTCTCCTCTTCTTCTTTCAGGATTTCGTGAGCATGTTTGTAGATGCTTACAAATGGATTGCCACAAACTACAGGATCAGCAATCATTTCACTCAGTTGCTCAATGATCGTGTCGTCCAATCCTTGATTTCTGGGGTCTGCACAGCGAATCGCAGCGGCATACTCTGGGTCGTAAACGTACAGCTGGCTATACTTTGGGACATTGCTCAAATTTAGTGGTGCTTGCAAGTGATAGAGTTCCCCATGAACACGAACCGGCGTGATGCTGCCTCTCATCTCATTCTCTCTATCCCTTTGGAGCTGCTCAGGCGTAGCATCGGTGCCAAATGATGTAAATGCGAACAAAGTGTTGTATTGTCGCATGTGCTGCAAAAAATGAGAGGACCGAGGATGGCTTCCGTTGATCAAGCTATTTAAAGGCTCGGGAGGCTTTTGCAAAAGGGGCAAGACAGCTCTACCTTTTTTGCAGCAAGCATGAAAGCAGTTGTCGTTTACTCGCTGTTGAACAGCCCTCTCTGCGGCCCAATGCAAAGCTCCACATCCATCACATTGGTTGTCCATTCTGCCCAAATCTGAACGTTGTACTCTTCCAAGTTCTGATACAAACGCTGCAGGTGCTCTTGGTGTTCTTCGATTCGCTGATCTTCTTTGCCTGGCGTAATTTCGCGCTCGTTCCTAAATTTGAGTAAAAACAAAATAAACCATTGCGTCTCAGGGGTTTATTAGGCGCTAAAAGCCATTTTACTTACTCGACATGAATCACATTTCCGATAAGCATAGTCTACTGGAAGAGCAGCTCTACAGGTCGTGCAATGTCTTGTTTGAATAGTAGGAGGCATATTACGTATAATAACAAAAAGCTTTGTATCAAAATTTTTTGGTACCGTATATTCTTGGTGGAGGGGCTAAGCCCCTTCCCCGAAACGCCCTCCCCATTGCCGGCTTCGCCGGTGTGGTTTTATCCACCTTTGTTCTGACTCCCAATTACTATTAAATTTTGAAAGGATATGATTGGCTTGTCTACTTTTTTTTTTCAATAGTTTTCCAGCATATATATTAGTGATACATGCCTTCTCTGAAATACATATTCAAGTATTATGCCGTCCCAGTCTAGGAAGTTTGCTGAAATGCTAATATGTTTGCATTCAGAAACATCGTGGTCATAGAGAGCATTTTACTGACAGCTCTTTATAGAGCAATCTGGAGTTACTGGTATTATTAGTCTTGTTTTCAAATCACATCTAACAGTACGTGCCATTCTGTCGAGCATTTCATCCTGAAACTAACAATGTCCTGGTAGATCAAAGTCGCTCTTTTGAGAATTGAGTGCTGATGATATGATTTAGTCATCCTTGAACATGATCAAGTGCATTCCATCAGTTCCAAAGCTTATGCTACGACTCGGTATTATTTCAAATTCATTTTACATCATCTTTTTGAGAGATTGCCATATAATATTAATTTTTCCAGGAGTGTTTCATCATTCACTACTGCCCCCTCTAAAAAGTAAAATTCATTAGTTTCATGTTTTAAATCATTTCATTATATATTCTGTCAGTTCCCAGGATGGTGGATCAGTAAAATACAATTTAAAGGAACATCTCTAGGCATAGATAAATAGAGGTCATCACTTTTTCCAGTGCTGGGTTGAAACGTAGCAAAGTGCAATGCTTACCGGCAGTACATCGACTACACTATAAATCAAGCTCTGTGAGCACATGCATGGCATGGATGCTTCCTCACAATGAAGATGCTATTTCAATTTAAGCTTATTAGGATCCATGCTCTTTCATGTAAATAAGGTGCTGATGTGATGTACTATTCAGCCATCTTCCAAGATTTTACAGCTACTTTTATGAATGTAATACAAATGGTCGAATTTGTAAAGAAATGGAGAGATATCAGATAAAGAAGATGAGAGCGAGAGCGATATGTCACACAGCACACACATGAATATGAGAGGGTATTGCTGGTTTTTAGTCATAAATGACCCTATTTCCCACGATTCGCATTAAAGAAAAGGCAATTCGCTGTTGCTTTCACATGAGATGTTTAATCAAGAAATGAATTTACTTTTTCTTCCAGATATCAAATTACTTAATGCTATTTAGCTATAATCCAATGTGGGGTATTTCTATAATTTTTTCTTTTTGTTTTACAGCGCTCTTCTTTCGTCTCTACAGAAAAGAAACAGGTAATGTTAATAATAATAATAATAAGACCACAAAATTGCAAGTAAAAATAGCCTTGACTAAAAAGCATGATCAAACAATTAGATTCTTGGAGTGACTCCTCTTAACTCATCCAAACATCCCATCTATTCACGACAAACGCCGAGATTTCAATTTCCAAATAAAACCCGCATCTTTTTCAACATGTCCCACTCTCCTTCCAAACGTTTAAACCAAATTAACCAACACATCAACATGACTAGTAAGTATATGCTGTAATCTGCCCGCCAGCACGCACGCAGCGCAGTATCGTTGACCCTTTGAATACACAGATACTCTCTCTGTTTTCCAAGAGGTTCCTCAAGCTCCTCCAGATGCCATCTTCAATCTCACAAACCAATACAAGGCCGACAAGGACCCCAAGAAAATCAACATTGGTGTTGGTGCATTCCGTACTGATGAATTGAAGCCTTACGTGCTTCCTGTTGTCAAAAAGGTGAGTGAGAGACATGCTTATCTTGTTTTCCATGAACAAGATGGTTAACCTCTCTTGTGTATTGTATAGGCTGAGGCTATCTTATTCAATGATGAGACCCTTGATCACGAATACCAGCCCATTGCCGGCCAAAAATCCTATACAAATGCTGCTGTAAAGTTAATTTTGGGTAAGGATAGCCCTGCTATCGCAGAAAACCGCTATGCTGGTGTCCAAACCATCTCTGGTACCGGCGCAAATCACACTGGTGCTCTTTTCCTTTCCCTATTCTACAACAAGAGCAAGAAGTGCTACATCTCCAATCCTACATGGGGTAAGATTCTAGACTATAAAATTGATAATGAAACTGAACCTGTTTGTTTGTTTACCTTCTTGTAGCTAACCATCGCAATATTTTCAGTTTGGTTGGTTTTGAGGTGGAAAACTATGCCTACTGGAACCTCGAGACTCGTGGTTTGGATTATGAGGGATTAATACAGTCAATGCGTGATGCACCTGAAGGCTCAATCTATGTCCTTCATGCTTGTGCTCATAATCCAACTGGTGTTGACCCTACTCGTGAACAATGGAAGGGTATTGCCAAGGTAATGCAGGAAAAGAACCTCTTCCCCTTCTTTGATTGCGCCTATCAAGGTTTCGCTTCCGGTGATTTGGATAACGATGCTTGGGCTGTTCGTTATTTCGTCGAGCAAGGTTTCGAGTTGTTTGTATGCCAATCATTCGCAAAGAATTTTGGTCTTTATGGTAAGTTCGCTTTTTTTTTTTTTGATCTGATGAGAAAATCTAGGGGGGAATGAGGTATTAAGTGGGTTTCACAAATAGGTGAACGTGCCGGTAACTTGACCATTGTTACAAAGTCTACAGAGGAAGCCCAACGTGTCTTGTCTCAATTCGAAAAGCTCCAACGTTCTGAGATCTCCAACCCTCCTGCTTTCGGTTCCCGTATCGTAGACATTGTATTGAACGATGCTGCATTATACAAGGAATGGACCGAAAATTTGAAATACATGTCAGCTCGTATCATTGAGATGAGAAAGGCTCTTTACAACAATTTGATCCAGCTCGAAACACCTGGCACATGGAATCACATCACTGATCAAATCGGTATGTTTTCATTCACCGGATTGAAGGCATCTCAAGTCAAGGTTTTGAAAGAGAAATATCACATTTACATGACTGAAAATGGCCGTGTTTCCATGGCTGGTGTTTCTACTACCAATGTCGACTATTTGGCCAAGGCTATTGACGATGTTGTTCGCAATGTCAACTAAATTAATAAATCATTCATGTACTTACCCGCCCTTTTGCTTAATTATACTGTTTTGGCCTTTTGAATTCTTGCATGATGTATTGTCATTTAAGCTTTTTGCTTCATTTAATACATTGGTAGGATATAGCAGCAGAAAGGCCGCTTTTTTATTTCCGCGAGTTTGGAAATGGTTGCAAACATGAAACCACATCGTTGTATACAAGGTGAATCAAACCATGCATTTACCTCGAATTGACGCGAGGTAGACCTTTTAGCCATTCAGATAAGCAGACTTACAGATGTGTCTCAGAATAATCAATTCGTTTTTTTTTTTCTTTTTCTTTTTTTATAAAAAACATGATGCCGACTACTCTCGGATGCAAAGAACTGTAAGAATAATATATTTCAGCAGCAGTTCTAAAGCAGTAATAATCGAGTTTGCAGAAGGCGAAGATTATTCTCTTACTAATCAGAAATTAATTCGCCGTGCTTATAAATACATCTTGGACATGGCAGCTCTAATTTAAGCATGCTCAGAGTTGAAAGTTTTCCAAGTTTCCATTATTTGACTGACAAATCCAAGAAAGGACTCTTCTGTTTGACATTTCTTCTGATTCAAAGCGGCTTTTCTCATTGAGGGTCCTCCTCTTCTCCCCTGAACATCACAAAGAATGAGATCCCGTCCTGTTCATAATGCCACGGAAATCACTTCCAATCAACCAAACCTTTAAAGCGTATCAAATGCCTTTGGAGCATACTACAGAGCTTTCCTGTAAGTCTTGTATCAAATAAATCCCAAAAGATCAGCTTATTCAAGATTTGAAGGATTTAAAGTTGCACAACGAATACAATTTGCATTAACACTATGAGCTTTACCTCAAACACAGTTGGCATAATTCTCGAATGGACTTTTGGCTGTACTTTCAAACCTCGGAAATGAGATACTATTCAGCTGGTGTCAAACTAATGTGCGTCATGTTTGGTAAGAATACATACTAATGGATAATGGTACCCATACCCGCGTCAATGTATCATTTGTTTGCAGGGTGTTTGTAAATACGGAATCTTTTGATAGAATCTGTAGGTACGTTCTATGAAATACTTTAGAAGAGGAACCCGCCACCTTTGTTTTAAACTTTATTGCTCGGTTACGATAAAGAACATCCGTACGTACAAGCTTGTCAGCGTTTGAGACCAGTGGTGACATCCAGATTGGATGAGCTCAAACATTTTAGTGATTTCAGGAGAAACATGCAAACGGGAACCGTTGTTTCATCAATGACCATATATCCTATTCATAAAATAAATATAGACTAGAAGATGGCGTGTTGAAGTCATTTACCAATATAGAAATATTGCTATAAGGGCTCAAAAGAGCACTTCTTTCGCACTAGTCATCTTTCTGAAGGTAGTACTTTCAGATGCTGAAACCTCGAATGTACCGTTGAGATACACTACTTGCAACTGAATCATTTGATCTTTTTACCTATCACTGTAACTGTAAAAATAATTGGAGTCGCAAGATGTGCTGATTTTTCGCTCTTTAACTTGTTGCTAATACATAAGAGCCTTCTGTAGCCTACTAATAACAATGAATCTGGCTCTTCCAGGCCGCTACACATTTGTATTATCAGGAACAATTCATACATAGGTAGATAGCATAATTGCATCGTCCCTTACTACGCAAAATTATGCAAAACACAGCGAAATTTGAATGCATTTGAACCGTGTTTTCTGGTGCTAGTATCCGTTTTAGGCGGGCAGAGTAACACCATACAATTCCTGTCGTCTAGCACTAACTTTCTGGCACTTTTGCTCAACTTTTTTAGGATCGTCGAAAATCGACCCAAAACCATGAATGATACCTGATGGTTTTCGTCAAAAATCAAACCATCGCGTTTTTGACCTCAAAAATATAAGCTTTTACTATGATATATATTAAACCAAAATGTTTCTATTTTCTCAACGCAACCCCTGAAAGTTTTTTTAAAAGACATTTGTACGTGAAATCTCAACATTTTCGCCTAAACCCTCACTTCTTACTTTTGCATATTGCCCAATAAGTTTATTTAAAACGCTTCCTTTAACAAGCACCACTGGATGCGCCTTGAAAAGTACTTCCAGAAAGCTTAAGGAAGCATTGGATGATCATTACATCTTAGTCGAATTCTACGAAATATTTTTTTTTTTTTTTTGTAGGGGAGACGAGCTCCCTGTTTTAATTCTACGAAATAAGCCGAGCAAGTCAAAAATCGATCAAAAGTTACCGATTCGAGATAAAAAATACGAAAACTTGAATCTTGCAAGTATAATAATAAATGACAAATTAGTAAAGCAGTCTTGAAAAAGCCAGATTGAGCACATTATCTTGAAGACTCAAGCGTCCGCTAATGCAGCACCGCTGCCGTCCCTTTTCTCGTTTCTGTTGCAGAAAGAGGTGGTCTTGGAAATAATGCCAGTGTTGGATTGACTAGGTTTTGGATTGAATACAGGCAATGGCTGCTTGAACAAGAGAATGGAAAGCCCAGAGACAGCAATGGCCAAAGCAGATGTCTTGTCTCTACCTTGAATGGCTCTGTGATTGAGAACGGACGCACAGGCAGGATTCAAGCACAGGAATGCATCATGAATGGACCTTGTCTTGGTCTTACCATCTTTTGCTTTGGTGGTTTGTGTGGGATGAGAGGTGGGCCCAAAGCAGTACATGCAGGTGAGAGGAGAGAATTTATTATGCAGTGACAAGTGATATTTGTATTTGTTCAGATTCATGCCAATAGCTTCTGTCATTACAGCCAGCCCGTTATCAGTACCCGAAAACACCATTGAATCGAGATGTTGGTCAGAAGGAGGAGGCTCGTAATTTGATACAAGAGGGATGTCTTTGTTTCTATATTCAATGGCTTTCCTTGTCAAAAAGGCACGAGTTCTCATGTTGGACAGCTGTTGCTTGGTCTGTTTGATGGCGATGAACAACTGGTATCTTTGAGCCTTCGGCTCTTTGATTTCTTGGTGTTTGCTACGATCAGTGTGCCATTGCTTCTTCGAGTCCTTGATCCTTGTAGAATACTGCTCCTTCTTGTGGTCCTTGTTTGCAGCCTTCAGCTCATCAAACACAGTCTTGTTATCGATTTCCAGTTGGCCAGTGTCTTTCTTCAGTGTTTGATTAGTTCTGGTTTGAAGCTCTCTCACGGTATCCCAATCAATATCTAGAGGTTTCTTCGCATTGGAAACTGACTTGTTAGAACTTGGTTTGGTACCCAAAATACGGACAGAGGTAAGACCAGGCAGAATGGTAAGGTTGTGAACAAATGTCAGACCAAAGGACTTGCATGCTTGCGTGATGGCACGAATGTCGAAAAAAGAATTAAACACGGCATCCTTGTATTGTATTGCTATTCCAACGTTTTCTATGACAAATCCTTAAAAGTCAAAGATATCCATTTGATCATCACCTCTGGTACATAAGGCATACAGAGAGGCCGCGTCCACACGCATTGCATGTAATGAACCACAGGAAGAAGTTGGACACAGATCCACGGCAAACTTGTGGTAGCCAACAGAGCAAAAGATATCATTGGCCAACAATAAGAATGGCAACTGGAAGCCAATGTAGCTATAATGATCTCTAGTAGGTAAATAAGGCAGCAATAATTTTCCCAGAAGCATGCACACGCGATTCTCTTCTTCCGTGATATCGGGACGTTCCTTCTTGAGCTGTGTATGGGTAATAGACTTTCCAACTTGCCTCACCAAGAGATTTCTCAGGGTAGCTTTGAGAACCATAATTCGTCTTCTAGGCAGATCACGGGTGCCTTCCTCTTCTTCTTGGTCGTTTTCTTCATCTATCAGTTCAGAAAGAGGGAGCAGTTTGTCAATAGGCATATCAGCACTATCAAGATCAAAACTAGCATTGGAGGCAGTAACAGCGTCAGAAGTGCCAGAGGGAGCGGTAGGAATAGATACAGTTGTAGTAAAAGAGCCTGAGCCAGAAGCAGATACAGCAGCTTGATCAAGTGTAGTACCAGAAGTAGAAACAGACTTGACAGGACGCTTGGCATCAGCGTACATGTGAATTATGCGCTTTTGACTATTTCTGGCCAGCTTCACCTAGTTGTTGTCTTCTGGTTTGCCCTGTGCCTTTCTTTGATATCTTTGAAGTTTGTACTTCTCTGATCGGATGGCGCTGCGAAACGAGTTTCTGATCGACTTGACAACTTGCTTGGGTTGCTTCTTTGCTTTGGTCTGCTGAAGCTCCCAGTAATGCGACTCTCGTTTTGGAGCGAGATGCACGCGAAGAAGGATCTCCAGTAGCTTGTTCAGTGATCTGTTAAATGCCTTATTACTTGCCCACATGTTTTCGAGATTTGTTCTGTACAGTCCTCGAGCCACCATCATGAGTTCATTAGCAGGTTGAGGCGTATCCCTTGCGATAGCATCGAGTATTGGCTCATTGGCGGACGACAGAGCAGCAAATGTAGGATGCGAGATCTTGGTACCTCTTTGGCCAAACAAAGCAGTATGCAGGCAATCAATGTGTCTGCTCTGGAAAAGATCCTTGACACCGTTGCAAAAAGCCGTAAACTTCAAGTCATTAGAGGGTAATGGAGGAGCAGATGTAATGACATCAGTTTTCATATTGTAGCCTGCTGGGAGGATGCCTTGTATTTGGAAACCACGAGCTTTCTTCAGCTGAATATTACCACTATGAGCTACGAGCTGCGAGGACATCATTGAGAGCATCAATGTGTATACCACCAATTGCAAGTCTATAACATAGTCGGATACATCGTGCAATGCAGTATTTAGCTTCTGCAAAAATGACTCGACAAGATCGTAAGGCACATCCTTCCGTAAAAGGCTCTTGAAAGACACGGTACAAGTGCGGTATTCTACATTGTCTGGGGGGAGCTTCAACCATGGATATATATCAGAGGGATTATGCGAGATTGAAGACATTGCTGCATGTGAAGGGGCGCCAGACACAGAAGACATGTCGGATGCCATGTCCATGCCAGAGAGGTCGCGATGAAGAAACGCTACAGAGTCAGAAGGAGTAATAACTGGTGTAGCTGGAATGGATGCACTTTCACCAGTGGATGTAGGCGTAGTGGCCTGAGGCTGTAAAGATACTACAATAGCATCGAAATAATCCTTGACGTACTCTTGAAAGTACTGAAAGTTTTGCTTAGTACCATGGTGTTCAAGATGATTTTTCAACTCATCTTTGGCACATTGACAAATCTTTTCAGCAGTAGTAATAGCACCTAGGGGTAGTTTCTTCACCGAGAGTAATGTATTTTTGAGCGCATCCAATTTACTGGGCTTGTCAATGATGGGCCTTGCTTTGTTTTCGATGATTTCCCTCATTGCTTGAAAAAAACTATCCATCAAACGCTGCAGCGAGACACCGAATGACTTGGGCCTTTTGACAACAGGCTGGTAACCTGATGTGGACATGGCACTTGTGGATGCTACAGCTTCGTATTCTCTTTTTTTCCCCTTAGCAGCGACTTTTCTTTGGGGAGGACGGCTGGTTTGAGTGCCAGTAAACGGATCTCTTTGCTCTACTTTTGTTCGCGCACTAGACATTTGACACAGAAAAAATAACTAGACAAGAAAAATGTGAGCATTTGTAATGGTACAGCAATTGACCAGATCAATACATACTGTAATAAGAGTAGCGCTTTATAGATTTGGTTATAAATAAGAGCTGTCAAGACACAAAAATATGACGAGAACTAAGAAATGGTTTTAGGTAGTGTTGATGCTACGCAAACAAAGAGTGTAAAGGAACAAGAAAGAGTGGAGAGAAGAGAAATACATACTGAGATTGGCTGCAGCTTTTGTGAAGGAGTACTTCAAGCGTTTTAACAGGTTAGGCATCAATATATCAGATCTAGAACAAGTTTGGGGTGTCTTAAATAATGTTGTCAATAACTGTTTGACAGATGAAGAGATATGCCGCCACATATTAGACAGCAGTTATCTTTACATTATTCAAATGTTACTTATCATGTCCTGAAGAGAAGACATACAAGCTTGATCAATAAAAAGTTGTATAAAAAGTAAACAAAGCATTGTGCAGTTCAATAAGTACAAATACATTCGTTAAGATTACATTGAAATATTGGAAGAGCGTACACTTGCTTTACAACTGCTCCACAACTGACACCAAGTATCTGCCTGTGAAGCAAGTATTTAGTTGTGCAAGAGCTCTGTAAACTAAGCTGTGTGTACGTTTGATATTCAGTATAATAGACTAGCCGATCAATCTCGCTACGCATACAGGACTTGTATAAGATCTACAGCAACTTTTTTGAGAGGTTGTCATTGTAAAAACACCGCTATTATAGGGAAAATTTCCAACAAATGCAAAAAAAAAGGGTATTCAAGCTGAGCGATTGATCTTTCAATTTCATGATCCTCATTTAATCTGCATCACAATCATCATTGTCATCAACAGGAAGGCATTTGGGCCAGCCAGCAGCATTGCCGCCCGCTAAAATCGATTCAAACTCAGTTTGTTTTTTGTCGTGTAACACCATATCAATGGTATAAAGATCCAAGCATCCACATCAATAAACGTCAGTCTTTCTTCTTCCTACATATTATAGTGGTCCCTTTATTCCTGAACAATACATGGTGAGGCTCCCTAACTGAATTCTCGAACCCGGAAACCACTAGATATATCAAAGGCTCACACTCGACTACACCAAATCACACATATCGCAAGATCACACATATCGCAAGATCACAAAACATCGCTCCAGCACACAGCTGCAATCACCTACTCGCAAACAGGCCCGAACAACAGAACCAAAAAACTACTTCACGCAGCAAGTAAAATTTATCGCATCCCTTCGAAAGGTTTACACCACAACAAACAGTACCTCGTCTATCACATCATCTTATCACACCACCCCACAGTCCGTTAACATGGCCGATTCCAACACCAAGGAGTTCATCCAATACATGAACCTTGAAAAGGTCAAGTCTATTGACATGCCACGGTATGAATTGCATTCTAGCTTACGTACCTACATCAAAGAATTTGAATTACAGGCAAATTTCGTAGGCATTGAAAACATGGATATCTGTACCGTCCAACTAGGTCGCTTCATGCCTCCCGTCATCAAAAACTGGTTACCTACCTTACCTTCCTCAGTCAGACAAAACTGGGCCAACGTAACTGAACAAATGCTGTTACAATTTGGTCGTCCTGCCGACGAGGAATATCGAGAGTTCAAGTCCAATTTGAAGCGATGTCAACAACCCAAGCAGGAGTCCATCAAACTACATAGTGCTAAATGGAAACATTTGCTAAGTCTGCTGCCGGATAATCATATCTCGGATGCTCATCAAATATCTTTATTTACTCAATCGCTACACGACAGAGGATTACGTGCTACATTAACAGCGTATGTAGAACTCGCTAAGGTCACAACGGTGCAAGAAGTTATCACGAAGGCCATCGATTTTGAACACAAGGCTAGGCTCAATGATAATACTGATGAACAAGCACACTTTTCGGGATCCCACACTCAATCCACGATGGATGACCCAATGGAAGTTGATTATGTTAATAGCTCAAACTCGTACAAAGACAAAAGTACTAAAAGACCATTCAGAAATAGCAAAAAGTCATTCAATTCCAAACCTCGTTCACGATTTCCTCCGGATCCTGTACCTCGATTATACAACAAACAAGGACATCCTGTCTGCGGTCACTGCTTCGGCGAACATCGAAATTACGAATGTCCCACACAGGCATCCTCTGTGCATCAGACAGACACTATTGAACACCCAGAGGATGACTCAGGATTAATGGAATTGGGGTCCCCGGTTCCTCTTAATCACATTCGTGCTACTTCCATGCATGCTATTCGAACCACTCAACATGACAGTTTCACTCCCACAACTAAAATCGTCATTGGAGATCACACTATTCATGCATTATGGGACACAGGTTCTGCTATCACTGCCATGGATTATGACACATGCGTTACACTGCAGTTGACAATAGACAACAATCAGATCATCAGTTACACAGACGTGAACAATCGTACAGCACAAACGATGGGTATTACTAAATTGAATCTTTTTGGTTACGAAACGAAATTTCATGTTATACGCGGTTTGGCTCGTCAGGCTATCATCGGCTGGGATTTCATGTGCAGATTTCAGGTCAATATGAATACTAAACTCAAAATGTTCACACTACAAACTGACAATCATCTTATAAACTTACATTACGAGACCACGGCTACGAGGCGTTGTAACATCCAATTAACCGATTCCCAAGACGCTCGGATACAAGATGTATTACAAGAGTTCAAAGAATTATTACGCAAAGACTCGGACAAGCCCTCAGTTACTACCAAAATGGAATTCACCATCGACACGGGAGACCATCCTCCCATTTACATTCGACCAAGACATTACCATCCTGACATACAATCGAAGATCGACGCCAAGCTCTCTGAACTGGAACGCAATGGAATTGTCAGCAAAGTCAACTTCACGGATTGGGGCTTCCCAGTAACAGCGGTCCCTAAGCCAAACGGCTCTCTTCGCATATGCGGAAACTACGTCAAACTAAATGCGATCACAAAGACTATCAAGTATCCGTTTATCAACCTCCATCATGCACTGCAGTCTCTGGGCAACGCAAAATATTTTTCAAAAATAGATCTCCTGTCAGGCTATTTTCAAATTCCCATTGCTGCTGCTGACAAGCCCAAGAGTGCCCTGGTAACACCTAACTCTACATATGTTTTTAACACGATGGCCATGGGGATGAAAAATGCCCCAGCACACTTTCAATTATTAATGGATCAGGTACTCGGGGACATGAGATACAGAACTGCTATCGCTTATCAAGACGACACCATACTGTTCTCTGATACCTTTGACAATCATGTGCTCCAGTTACGCAAACTCCTAACGAGACTGAGGGAAGCCAATTTGACCATCAACATTGAAAAGTGCCAATTTGGGCTAAATCAAATCAATTTCTTAGGTTTCATTGTCTCTGATCAGGGTGTCCATGCTGACATGGATAAAGTTACACCTATCACTAATCTACGGGCTCCCACAAATATAAAAGAGGTTGAAAGGTTACTCGGCATGGCAGGAGTGTATTCCAAGTTTATATCCAAGTATCAAGTAATGGTGGAACCAATTCGACGCTTGAAGATCAAAGATGTACCATTCGCTTGGGAATCCGAACAGGAGCACGCGTTTCAAGAACTCAAAAGGTCTCTCGCTGCATTACCTTACTTGAAACAACCCAATTTCAAACTTCCATTCGAGCTTCATTGCGATGCTGCCACCTCAGCAGGCATTGCTGTCATACTCTGCCAACGGTACGATGACACACCTTACCCTCTCTCCTTCGCATCCCGCAGTGTCACCAAGTTTGAAAAAAACTACTCCATCCGTGAATTGGAAGCTTTAGCCATCATCTTTGGGGTTAAGAAATTTAGAATGTATCTTGAATGCAACCAATTTACCGTATTCACTGACCATTCATCCCTCCAGTGGCTTCTTAATACCGATGCGGACAAACAACCCAGACTTTGGCGATGGTGCCTCTTTCTACAGGCTTATGATTTCAAGGTTATATACATACCTGGAAAGGTGAACCATGCTGCGGATACACTATCTCGTGCTGCGATTCATGCAATTGCCTCTCATCATCCGGACATCGATTGGGCCAAGGAACAAAGACTGGATCCCATGTTACGACCATACTTTAACAACACGAATGTCAAGTACTCCAAGCATAAAGTCGTCGATGGCATAATATACAAGGTAGAAAACAAACAGCACAAGACCATAGCCACAGACATGTACATAATGGTACCTAGCCATCTGGTAGCGAATCTGATCAGCAAACATCATGACTCCAAGTTTGCAGGACATGGCGGTATCGCCAAGACCAAGGCTTCCTTGGTAAAAGCGCACTTGTACTGGACCAACATGACTCATGATATCAATGCCTATATTCAGAAGTGTCAAATTTGTCAAAGAATCAAGGGACATGTTGCTACTAAGCATAATATGACCACTACCCATGGAACAGCTCCGTTCATCAAGGTCGCAATCGACTACTTTGGTCCTCTGCCAACGTCAAGCGCGGGACATCAATACGTGTTGGTGGTTATAGACACATTCACAAAATACGTAGAACTATATCCTACCAGGTCTACAGCATCTCAAGAATTGGCTTCCATCATGTACACTCAGTTTATATTGCGACATGGCGTTCCCAACGAGATCATGTGTGATAACGGAAACAGCCTTGGATCACAATTCACCCAGCAAGTAGCAAGATATGTAGACATCAACATCGTATACACACCGCCGTATCATCCATCATCCAACGGGATAGTGGAACGATTCATGAAAACACTACGAACAATGATTTTATCATACACGGATATCAACCAGATTTCTACAAGATGGAGCAGCAACTTGAGGATAATTCGATTTGTATACAACAATATGTATCACCATTCTATCAAGACGTCCCCATTTGAGTTGGTCCACGGGCGCACAGCACGCACACCATTATCAACGATAATACCAGAGAAATTACCGGATTCATACAATGAACAAGACACCCCGGAATCACACTTCGCGAAACAGTTACAAATCAAGCTTCAAGTTACATTTGAACATGTACACAAACATTTGGAGAAAATATATGATAATCAAAAACTAACACCACAATTTGAAATCAATGACAAAGTATACATTTTCAACAATCGTATTTCCACTCGCAACAATCCAAGAAAACTACAAGTAGATTGGATAGGTCCTTGCACAATACAGAAGGTCCTGTCCACCACAAGATACGATGTAATCAATGATGCCACAGGTCAAAAACACAAAAACACCCATGTGTCTTTTCTGAAACCATCTCACTGATCAACTTCTACCTATCATCAAGCTTTTTCCTATATTAGGTTTTTTAACGCGATTTTCATTCATACATTTATATCATAGTCCTTATTTAAATTCTATATCTTATCACAGCGGTGGGATGTCGTGTAACACCATATCAATGGTATAAAGATCCAAGCATCCACATCAATAAACGTCAGTCTTTCTTCTTCCTACATATTATAGTGGTCCCTTTATTCCTGAACAATACATTTTTCTGTTCAAGATTGGACAGATTTTGTCTTTTTTCGACTTCTTTAATTTGTTTTGTAATTTTCGACTATATAAATTGTAATGATCACCTTACGCTTCCTAATACATCCTTGAAGTACTTTTCAAGGCGCATCCAATGGTACAAAGTAAGGTAGATGTTTTGAATAAGCTTATTGAGTAATTTGCGAAAATATGAACAGAGGCTTCTGGCCAAAATGTCGAAATTTTACATATCAAATTTCCACAAAGATGATTTCAAGGGCTACGTTGGATCGATAGAAACATTTTGATTCAATATCTACCTTAGTAAAAGTCTTTGTTATCAAGGTAAAAAATGCGATCGTTTGATTTTCGATGAAAACCATGAGGTACCCCTCATGCTTTTTGATCGAATTTTGTCTATGTTTTTTTTGGTCCCCAAAAAGTTGAGCAAAGGTGTCAGAAAGTAACTGCCAGATGAGAGCAACTGTTTGGTGCTATTCTGACAATCTAAACGGTCTTAAACGCGAGAAAACGAAGCTCAAATGCACTCAAATTTTGCTGTATCAGGGATACTAAGGAGTAAAAAAAAAAAAAAAAAAAAAAAAAAAAAAAAAAAAAAGAAATACCAGTATGCTACTTGCCCGTATGTGAAGTAGCAACTTGTAGCTATATCAATTTTGCAATATTAGCCAAAGGCCCGCGGCAGCGCGAGCCGTTTGAACGTAGGTTGGTTTCCACTGAAGCGAAGCGTAGGTCAGGAAACCACCCAAAGTGTCGAAAGGCTCGTTCTGATAATGAGATGTATTGCGATATCATATGGTGATGACCAGTTCTGGTGAAGCCAGCGTAGTGGTGGCCTTTCTATAAACTCATCTTTAATAGAGTACCTAGATGCAACAAATTTACGCTGCATCTCCTCAGATCTCAATAGTCGATGCTAGTGAATTGCTGAGCGACGCATTCCATGTATAGCTTGGCAATAATCTTTTATCCGCCTATATCGAGTTACTACTGTAACATACTACGAAAAATGATCTAGATTTATTTGGACAAATCACAGGCTTAGATTTAGTTGCCCTTTTAAGATAGAGTTACGAATAATGCGTAGTTGCATGTGTATACCTCATTGCATCCAGTGACACGCTGCAAAACATCAATATATTGACCAAGAGTGATAAAATTCATAGCAATTACAAAATGAAAAAAAGGTAGTAATAAGTATAGTATTCCCTCCTTTTTTTTTTTGCTATTTTATTTATTAAACGTATATATACCTTATTCCTAAGTATTTTACTTTTTAAAACTTTTAAAACTATATATTTCCTTTCAAATGGACAAAAAACACAACCATTGCCTTTGTTTTTTCTGTGATATTTTTTTTTTGTGATTTTTTTGGTGTATAAATACTGCTTATACCTTTTTTTGATTTTTTTTTGTCTGTTTCGGTTATGTAGATATTGTGCTGTAGTTGATAGTGGTAGTGTTGTTGCTGCTGATTTGAGGATTTTGTACATATGAGGGAGAAATAATAATAAAGAATTAGAATGCTGTAAAAGAAAAACAATGGAATATAATAATAAAAAAGAATAGTGCAAAAAAAAAGAGAGAGTAATTAAGGGAAGCGTTGTTGGAGGAGGAGATTGTTGTTGAGATAGGATATAACAGGAGAAGGATCCCAGGGCAAAAGGCTATTGACAGATACGTTTATTGATTGTTACTGAAGAAATGTCATCATCGTAATATTGTCTTTTGGTTGATCCTCCTGTGGTTGTTGATAAAGGTTGAGAAGAGGGTGGAGAGAATATATCAAATGATACGCCAGAATCAGATCTTTCATAAGTTGTGGCCATGTTGCACTTTTTTCTTTGTTGCTCTTGTTGCTGCTGAACAGAACAGGGAGATGGTGGTGACATTGGTTGTTGATGATGATGAGCCACCAGCTGTTGTTGTGGTTGTTGTTGTTGACCATAAGCTGGATTATTCGTTTCATCGGGAGGAGGAGAAGGATAATTGCTATCGATACTAGAGGTCATTCGTTGGTGCTGATAAACGTTATTCATGTTGTTCAACGACAGGTTGATGACAGTCGTTGGTGTTGTTGCGGCCGAGCAATTGTTGTTTGAAGGTAATTCGGATTTAGCATTGTATCCCTTCTGAATGTGTCCATGTAACTGAGTGTACCATCTGTCAAATGTGGGTTTACTAACGTATAATCGATAGTCAATCAATTTCAAAAAAGCCATTTCCGCAGCATTGATCTCTTTGATATCAAGTCCGGTGATTTTGGACCAAGCTTTGTTGTGGTAGTTTTTGTCATGAAGATATTTCGAAGCAAGCATAAGGGAAGCCAGAAACATGCGTCGTCCGCAGCACATGAGATCGTCCATCTGAGTAGTAGTTGAACAAGTGCTTGTCGGCATGTTTCCTGACTGCTGTTGCTGCTGTTGTTGTTGTATACGTTGGTAGAGTTTTTCGTGAACGACCTTCTTGACACGAAAGACATAGAAAAGGCTGATTTGCAATGTTGAGTAGGTGGTCTTTGATCGTTTCAAGATTTCATTGCAGAATCCTCGAGTTGGCATGACTTTGACTTTCTGGTGTTCGATCAAGAATTTCGGATGCCAGATTGAATCAATGGCATTAGCAAAGGTTTCTATCAGGATAAAAAGAAAAGAAATCAATACATGATTTCAATCCGACCAAAAGGGCATGCTGCTAAAACGAGCAGCAAAAAAAAAAAAAAAAAAAAAAAAAAAAAAAGAATTCGCATACACATTTGTAATCGAACAAGGGCATGTACATATTGCCTGATTGGGATCCAAATCGCTATTGCCAATTTCGTATGCGCCTTTTTTTTTTTTTTTTTTTTTCCTTGAAGATAAGGGTACTTACCAACCAGTTTTTCAATCATAAAAGTGCGTTCTTGACGAGAGAAATCCATAAATTGACGGTATTTTTCACAAGGGAGTTCTTCAGAGTATTTACAATCATTTGTCGATAAGGGGGTTGGGTTGTTGTTATTGTTGTTGATGGTGGCTACAAGAGGCCCAGCAAAGTGAGTTGCTGCGGACGGTAAACGTCCATTTTCAGGTGGTTGTAAATCATTTGCCATTTAAGAGTGTTTGTTAATAAGCGTGCGTTGTTCTTTGTATAGTTAAAAAAAAGATGCTTGGTCTTTTTTTTTTTCTTTTTCTTTTTGGTGGATGTGTATGAAAAAAAAAGAAATGAATTTAACTTGCAAAGATTAAATGTGTTTGAAGAAATAATTTAAAATAATGGGGGAGGGAAGGGCTGATGAAGAAGAAAAAGTTTTTTTTAAGAGAGTTTTTTTTTTATAGAAAGAGTAGTGAAAAGAGTGAGATCTTTTTCAATGTTCAAATGTATTTAAGCTAAAAGGGGGGAAGAGAGAAACGAAGAGAAAGAAAGAGTGTGGAAATTTAAAGGAAAAGAAAGGTCTTTAGAGATGACTAGGATACATTTAAAAGCGGGAGATTGGAAATGTTAGAAGATGTGTTGTAGTTGCTGTGGTTGCTAAGGTAAGTTGAGTTGCGTAGTTGAGTTGCGGTCGATGTGTTGTTGATTTGTAAGTAAGCGTTCTTTTTCTCTTCGTAAAAGCGATGAATTTAAAGGAAAAAAAAATTGTTACGCAGTTCAAGGAGGGGATAATTGATTCGTTTTGGCCTTTTATAGTCCCCCATCTCAACAGACCATAACGAAAGGGGGCCTTCTCACTGGTTGGTGATACAACCAATAATCTCGTGGCGCAGCATCTCTAGAATGGTCAAGATTCTATTCATTTCATGTTTAGAAATGGCCCACAGTGACGTGTGATAAGCTCAAAATGAACATTTAACCGAGTGAAGAAGCTCAGTGAGAAAAAATTGATAATGCGGCACTCCATTTAGAGCTTGGATTTGAGTAACCATCAAGTATACCAGTTGTGCACACACATATATATATATATACACACACACACACACACACACACGCCGACTCACAATATATCCTACATGACTGTATTGGTAAGAGATTGTCCTTCTTATTCTCGACATCTTGTCTACATTTCTTTAACATCGGTAGTCATTATTTTGCATGTTCTAAATTCGACAGTCCTTATCGATAATAGTGGTTTAACAAAGGATAATCAAAACGCATATATATATATATAGTGAGATCACATCAAATCAAATAACCTTTCAAAAGATTTGTATCTCGTAAGAACAATCGAAATGGCTTTGGAAACAAATGCTGGTATGAATCACAACGTACATTTTCAGAATCTCGTAAACATTGACATTTCGTGATTTGATATCCATAGCCAAGCATGTTATGAATGCTCCAGAAACCGTAAGTAGTTGCAACCATGTATGTTCAGCACATGCTGATGAATGTCATCTATAGCTTGTATCTGATAGTATCAAAGGCCTATGCTATGCAAATCCACATTTGCGTCTACTTGAAAAAGAAAAAGGTACAGACATGCTCACATCTCAACTATCAGGCCTCGCTCTTAAACACATCTGTATATAGTTGTCTACTACGCCAATGTGGATGAAATGGCGTTAAACCAAGTGACCCTTATTTCAGGTGGTGGTTCAGGTCATGAACCTGGTTACGCAGGGCTCATTGGTGAGAATTGTCTTGCAGCCAATGTCTCTGGCCATGTATTTGCATCTCCCAGCTCTAATCAGGTACTGTCTGCTATCGAACGAGTCCAGTCCCCCCATGGCACGCTGGTCATTATCATGAACTATACTGGTGATTGCTTGAATTTTGCACTGGCTGTGGAAAGAGCGAAAACGAGAGGCATTAAAGTAGATCTCATTGCTGTTGGCGACGATATTGCTGTGGGTAAATCCAAGAACAAGAAAGTAGGTAGACGAGGCATGGCTGCTACAACACTCGCTATCAAATTAGCAGGCGCTCTGGCTTCTCAAGGGGCCACTTTGGAGCAAGTGAAGGAGATCACTCAATACGCTATTGACAACTCTGCCACTATCGGCGTGGCACTTGATCATTGCCACGTACCTGGGTCCTCCAGCTTCTCTCAACTAGGACCTCATGAAATGGAGATTGGTATGGGTATCCACAATGAAACTGGTTTTCTCAAGGCAAACATGATGCCTGCCAAGGAGCTGGTTGTTAAAATGATGGACATGTTGGTAGATCAACATGATAGTGATCGATCCTACTTGAATTTATCGGCCGACGAGACCAGTGTGGTGTTGCTGGTCAACAATTTAGGTGGTATGCCAATGGTGGAATTGAATCTCGTAGTAAAAGAGGCCGTGGATTATATCACTTCTCACCAACTGAAATTGGAGCGCGTCTATGTTGGTCCGTTTGTAACAAGTTTGAATATGCCTGGCTTCTCTCTCTCGCTATTGGTTGTAAATCACGATAGAAATGTGCTGCAATTGTTGGATCAACAAGTGCACGTCTCTGGTTGGCCGTCGACTGCTGCTCAATTCTTCTCTGATGCCATCCATGGCGATAATTCTGCTGCCATCAAATCCCCTGAACTTGTCATTGAGGGACAACACGGCCAAGGTATAGAAACAAGTATTTACATGTGAAGAGGATGATTTATTTATTTATTTGTTTGCTTGTTTCCACACACACACACACACACACACACACACACACACACACACACACACAGTTTCGAATCCTCAAGTTATTAAAAATGCTATTCGAGGTGCTACCAATGCTGTAATTGCAGCCGAACCTCGTATTACAGACTACGATACCATTTTAGGTGATGGCGATTGTGGACAGACACTGAAAACTGCGGCACTTGGTAATCATCACATTTGAAAACAACACGTACACATTACTCATCTCACTGTCATTTCAGCTATTCAAGAGGCCATGCCTTCTTTTGACCTTACATCGGCGCCAAAGACTATTTTAGGCATTGCTAATGTGATTGAGCATTCAGTTGGTGGCACATCATCAGCAATTTATTGCATTTTCTTTAATGCATTGGCTAGTGGTTTGTTGGAATATGCAAAGCCTTCAGTTGATGCATCTGTGTGGGTTCTTGCAGCCAAACATGCTCTCTCTACTTTGATGACCTATACGAAGGCTCGAGTGGGCGATCGTACCTTGATGGACACTCTGTGCCCATTTATCGATACATTAAACAAAGATGCAGCCAATGTTGATCAAGCCGTTCAAGCTGCTCGTGAGGGTGCTGACAGCACATGCAATCTGTCTGCAAAAGTGGGCCGCTCATCTTATCTTTCAAACAAAGAGGTTCTTGAATCAGGTATTCCTGATGCTGGTGCATATGGTTTGGCAGAACTTTTAGATGGTTTGGTTGGAAGCCTTTAATAAAATGATGTGTGTGTGTTATATGTACAGTATCAGGTCTTTGTGTATATATATGTGTGTGTCTGCGCAATGGCATGCTAGGTATCTATTGCCAAGAAGTTGCCTATAATTACAGTCTATTCAGAGATGTCAGTATTACGTGCCATGTGTGTGATGGCTGCATGCTTCATTCTCTTACTGGGCTACAATATATATAAATTGTGTGTTATTTAAAAAAAGATGAACACAAGGGAAACGAGGGTAGACACTTACATGTTGAATTTATCTCTTCTCACGGTAAATGAAAAGCAACAGGACATGGGAATAAGGTCTTTCTTGTTTGTTGTCTCTATAATCTTATCAGCATCAGCAGTATCACTGTTTTTTTGTCGATACAGTAAACATGAAGTCAATACAGCCTTTTGCTTTGGATCAAATGCGATGTTTCCATATTTCTAACAGGGCAACAAGGGGCACATTAGACATCACATGATATCATTTTCGAATGTATAACCGCATTTATATATATATATATATAATTACCTCCCAGTAATTCACAATGGAGTCCTCAGCCATAATTTCATAAATACACAGTTGACCCTACATCATTCACGGCTGGGTTAGCTCACAGTATACCACGATACAAAGCAACCTACATCACGCAGTTTGTCAAATGGCACCTTGATTAGGTCAGCAAACTCTTTGTTGCCCTTGTATATTTCACCTGTACGCCTCCATAAACACGCAGGAATTGCCATTGCACTAAACACTCGGTCGTAATCCAGCAATAACCTCTCAAACGATTCCTCCACCAGTATCAGATCAATGTCCGTTAAAGACTGTGCTACATCACGGAAAGTTGGTCGGAACATACCCATTACATTTAAAATACGTTGTCGACTGTCAGATGACATACTGTAAGAAGATTACATGAGCATCATATATTCCTCACGCATGGGCTGCTGTAAATAAACTCTAATTTGAATACTTACTATTGCTCCATGTAGCGTTGCAGTCTGGCATATCCATTGACGTAGTTGTAAGGCTTTAAAAATCCTGCTTGATATTTCGCATTTATCACTTCGTTCAATCGATCCTCGATGCGGCCATCTTTCGGATCTGCAGCTGTAAGGTAGAACTGATCCTGGACGTTGGCCTTCTTGGCTGCTGAGGTGGGCATGTCTTCTATGTATTCGCTGTTTGTGTTGAGATGGGTTAGTGAGGTATTCAAACGTGTGTCATCACATAAGCTCGACGTTACTTTAAAATATGGACATCGCCGCCACCGTCTTCATTGTTGCTATTCGAAGTTGAATCTAACATGGTGAATGCTAAAGCCATGCAAATGTGGGATTCATAAAATATGAAGGTAGAAAAGAGAAAGAGAAAGAGGGAGAGAGAAAAGAGTGCAAAAAAGGCAAATTAAATAAAGCCAAGAGAGTGGTGTGAGAAACTAGGTGCACAACACTGCATAAACGACTTGCCCCATGCTTTGCTTCCATTTTCAATGCTATTATTCCTCTTTCTTTTGCCTGCAAGTTTTGCCATTGCGCTTGATCTTGATTTATGGCCATCATAGCACTTGTCCCCTCTATTTCTTGCCAAGCATTGCTCGCAAGGTCGACCTATATTTGTGCTTGTTGAGCCTATAATCTCGCTGAAACAGCTATTAAACAACTACCATGATCGCCAGTCAAATGAGATTGTCTACAGTGAGCGCAAGCTGTTGTTTTATATGAATAACAACCACAAGTACTATACAGTGTTTCCGACTCTAACCTAACGCTTTGATATTATATTCAGCTGAATTCATTTGAGTGCTATGGCAAAGAAAGAAAGAAACAAGGAGTTCATTAATTACTGAGATGTTACATGCTGGATTTTGTTCAACCCCTAAAAAGAAGTAGCCTCTCCTCTCCCCACATTTAGCAATGTTGCACCAAGACAAAGCTATGGTTTCGCATCAGTTAATCCAGGTCAACTCATTACGCTGCATAAATAACACCGCTTTTTTTTTTCCAGGCAGAATGTTCGTATGGTCATGATTGATCTGTGATGTCCATGATCCATTAAAACCTCAAAATTCGACATATATTCAGGTACAAGTTTTGCCAACATGTGTGCATGCAAAAGGCTCTCGCTTGAAATCAAAGACCAACCTAAAAAAAAAGCACTGCTTGTGTATCGTGTCATACGTCTCTTTTTGCAACAAACATTTGTTAATTTCAGGGGATTTTCAGCTTTATTTTGTTGCCAATGCTTCTTGCTCGAGTGGTACCGACGATGGATCGTTTTCTACTTTTTGTTGCGGAGACGTAGAGACAGTTGTTGATGAAGAAATAGAGGGAGAAGGAAAACAGAGCACCCTGCCTTTCAATAGAGGCTCATATCTATTGGCAACTTTGACAACAAACGGTGGAGAAATGCAGAAAGCAATAGTCCCCGTGGTCTGCCCATCCTCATCATACATCAATTGGCCGTCAAAAGGCTGCTTTCCTTCCCTGACATCCACAGCAGTAATGCACACCTCTTGCCCTTTTATTGCTGATCCCAAATTCATTGTGAATTCCACTAGGTCGCGCAACTTTTTACCGTACTCGTTCGCCACAGCCATTGCCTGCTCACTGGCCGTAGTATCTGACTTTTTCACCAAGTAGGTTGGATATGCTTTTTGTAATCCACGATATAGATGATTCCAGTTGCGATCCACAAATTTCTTCCAAGTCTGTTGAATATCGCCGGCACCGCTGTCTGTATTATTCTGAACAACTATCATACTAAGTTCCTGACGCAATCTCGTGGAAAAGAATGTTGATGTATCGTTTTGATCGAACCATTGGTGTAATACTAGAAAGTCGTTGTTGCATGAGAGACCTGGGAATACATTGATATTGAGGTTCTGAACAAGCACATCCATCATGAATTTCTCTGTCAACATTTGAATGCGCTCTGGAGGCAATGGCTTCCCTAATTGATCGATGGAAGCGCCGAGATTGAGCCATAGTGTGCTTAGCTTCTCAGTAGCAACAACTGGTTCTGCATGAGGCAACAATTCGCTGGCTAAAGAATGGATCTGTTGTCGAAGCTGAAGTAACTTTGTGGCTATTGTGTCTGATGTATCATCGCTAGAGCGCACAGAACGCAAGTGTGTTTGATAATTTTTTTGTAAAAGATCCATGTCGTGTGAGCGTTGCTTGATCTTTTCGTTCATTTTGGATAGTTGCTCTGTGAGGGTTGTCACCTCCTTAGTATAAAATTGCTTTTGTGAGTCCAAGTCTCTTAGCACTTGTCTTTGCTGCTGTATCATTTGCTGGATATTCATGGATCGATTGCTTCTGAGCGACATGTTTCTAGTCAGCTTGGAGTTGCTGGAGGCTATAGCATTGTTTGAAAATTCTTTAGTTTTTAAACGTTCCCCTCGTTCCCCTGGATTTCTCCAATATCTTGGTAGTAATCAGACTCCTCTCTCGGCCACCTCCTCTTCCCTCCATGGCCTCCCCTCTTTTTCTCTCTCTCTCTCTCTCTCTCTCTCTCTCTCTCTCTCTCTTTTCGGTGAGTCCAGCCAGCTACAATCATGCACCTCTCTAGTGTCTTACCAGCATCGCTATTTATTTGAATATTGCGAGTGTCCAAATATGAATTTCTATCAGATGCGTCGAGATATTGCTGTTGCGGTGGAACACTGATTTGAGAGCTTGCTATACTGGATGAGCTCTGATAGGTCGATTGCTTCGATAGGCCTTGTTGCTGTTGTTGCTCTGATAGGGATACTGAGGATATGGAAGGGGCCAGACTACTGCTCTTCTTTTTAGGCTTCTTTTGGAATAACCTCGATATCCTACCAACAGTTTTGTTCTTTGAGTGCAACTTTTCGTCTTTGTTCAGGTTGATAATTGGCTCCTCGTTCATTGTGTCGGTATGTCTAATGTTCCTTGGTAACTGAAAACTTCTATTGAGGAATACAAGAGAGAAAAAAAAAAACACAATAAAAGAGTAGATGGAAATTTAATAAACATTTGGATTAAATCGCCGTCGACTATCTCTGCCATATCCCCATTCTTGGCAAGCTAAAATGTGCAGTGCACCGCATCCTTTGACCCGAAAACAATCCGTTCAATACAGTGAAAACATAAAAAATACGGCTTTGCAGAGTGGAATATAACAAGAGGGCGATGAGGAGTGTTTTATTTGATGTTTAATGACTATTTTCTCTTTTTTCTTTATACTTTACATGAAATCATAATCATCATATCCATTGTCAGCGTAGTTGTCATCAGCCGTAGAGTTCTTTCCTGCAGCAGCCAATTGAGGTCTACTCTTTCCTTTACCCTTCTTTGTTGCTTCCTTGGCAACTCTTTGTTTCTCGTTAGCGATAGTAGTCAGGGATGAGGCAATCTTCTTGACTTCAGGGTGGTTCAAAGGTACAGCAATGTCACGCAATAACTCGTCGATAAACCAACCATAATTGTTCCATTTCTGCAAATGAAAGACATCAAATAAATGTCAAATGTATAACCAAACCACAAGCACAACTTACAGCAGTAGGAGTGATAATTTCGACTAGGCGCTTGCGATAAGCATCCATCTCTACACGGTTTCTAGGATTCCATTCCTCCAAAGGCTTGTCCTTCATATCGGCTACATAAACGAAAATTTTTAACCTTCAAATGGTTGATAAATCCTTACTCCTACTTACTGACAGACACACCAGAGAACAGGTCTGTGGCACTCGCCATATCAGCCTCCAACTCCAATTGACGCAAACGCTCTTTACGTGCAAAAGCGTCTTCCTCTTCCTCTTTATCGTCCTCACCGGCCAACTTCTTGGCTTCCAATTCCTGTCGCTTCTTCTCCTCGGCAGCTTGCTTTTCAGCAATCTTCTGCTTCAAGGGAATCTTCTTCTTCAAAACAGGTGCAGGCTTCTTCTCCTTGGCTTCCTTTTCGTCATCAGAATCCTCCCAAGATTCTTTAACTTGGTCCTCGGCATCTTCATCATCCCATTGATTCTTCTTGGGGATAGCAATCTCTACTTCGACATCAAGCTCGTCCTCTATTTTGTTCAGGTTATGAAAGAGTTAATGTATGTCAATACACCCTATTTCTCTCTTTTTCTTGCGATTCATCTTATGTTGCTTTACCCCAATCACTCATTATTTCGTTTTCGTTTGTTTGTATAGATAAATCAGAAGAGAAAAAAAATCTTTACTTCATTTGTACGCGATATGTAATAAATGTGACTTTGAAGAAGTGTTTAAAAACCATCATCAAGGTCCATGATCTGATCTGTAGCTTTGTAATATAGACAACAATCTTGCATCTATCTTTGATACATAAAAGCACTGCATAATTATTATCCTTGTTGTAGCGTAGAACGAATCTGATGAAACTTGACATTCTGGAAGACGCTGCCGAGTTGAGCCAAACATCAGATTATCACAATGAGAAGCATCGATCCAAATCTTGAAGAAAGTGCTTGTCATCCTGTTCGCTTTCTTCCACTCTCTCAAATAAACTTCCAGTTTATCATATTGCATGCTTTTCAGCTATCGTAAAGTCATGTCTCTTTATTTACAGCCTCCTATATACTTAAATGCTCCAATTATAAAAATCGCATACTTTCCCATTGTTTGTGAATTTAGGTTCGAAAGTGCATTGGAGAATCAGCCTGTCGACTTGAAAATTGCTGTTGCTCTCGGATATATCTCGAAACTATACATTCACATAGCTTAGACTCATATAACTCAGTTCATATAAAGAATTGTTAATCAAACACTTCTTGGTGGCTCATCCGCTTAACAAACTGCATGCGTCTGTAGATCAACATTCGCTATTCAGCACCTCATCTCCTAAGTGACAAACTGTTAATTGACGATTGTTGCATATAAAATTGCCTGTGGATAAGAGTTTCACAAAACACAACATGGGAAATCCATTCCACGTCGCTCAATTCTGTCTACCACGCAGTCCAATATGACTTCAAAACAGGTAATTCCATGGCAGGGGCTATACATTGGAATCTTCGCGTGTTGCCTTTTCTCTATTTTCTGATTTCTCTTTTGATTTCTCTTTGAATTTCGATTTTGAAATTCGAGCTTTGAAAGTAGGATATTATTATAGCGAATTTTTTTGGAGAAGACGATGGTGCAATTGGATTTTAGATAGGATGCATTGATGATGAGAAACTGGCGAAGTTTGAAATTTGCAAATTTTTTTTTTTTTGTAAGGAAGAGTTTATCTCTTCTGTTTTTATTTAAAGTCCTTAAATCGTCACTAGATATAAAGGAGAGGAGGTAAAGACTGTGGGATATAAAGGGAAGCATAAATGATAGTATCAAAGGAGAGTTGTGAGTCGAGATGGTGCAGTGCACGATGAATGGAGTGGATGATTATTGACGGAATGAAAGGAGAGTGTTGGAAAACTTGGCAGTAATGAGCAGACCATATGGCCTGTTGAATGCAAGCAAAGACTTGGAAAACGGATAGATCAGGAAAAAGTTCATGAGAAGATCGGTCAAGAGTAAGGCGCAGGTGAAGGATAGCTAAATATTCCTCGTAGGCGAAGTGGGCGAAGCGAGGGGAGATGTAGAGAGAGAGAGAATGGCGCCAAACTTCCAATTTGAGGGGACAGGAGAAAAGGAAGTGCTCTGTGTCTTCGATGGCAGGTGGTGTGGTGGAGGATGAAGACTGACAATGAAGGCAGTACGGCGGAAATTGGTCGCGCATGCGTTGGTGGAGTAGCTGCCTAGTAGTAACTTTTTCATGAAGTATCCGAAACCAAGTATTGCGAGCATTCAAAGGTATCTGGAGGGCCCAAAACTGCTTCCATTTGGCAACACCTAAAGGAGACGAGAAAGAGGACATGTTAGTATGTAGAGGAAGGGATTTATACCCGTGTTTAGTAGGGAGAGACATAAGGAAGGAATGGGACTCAAAGGAAAATGAGGATGACATTAAGGAAATGAGAAGAGTAGAGATATGGGTGATACTTTCGGTATAGCTGGTGATGGTAGAGAGGTCGATGTGGTGGATGACTGGACGAGGGACGAGAAGAAGCCGGTTGAAATGAACGAAGTTGGCGAAGAGTAGTTGTTCAGATTGTAGGAGTTGAAGGGCTCGACGGCTGGTTGTAGGATGAGGGAGGCCGCGTGTTGAGATTCGAACTTGGAGGGCTTGAGTTGCTGGGTCAAAGGTTAAAACATCGTTACCTGTGAGGGTAAGAACGCCAGGACAGCGTACAGTCACTTCCTGTGGGGGGCAGAATGTAGCCGAGAGGCTATGAGATGATGGCAGGCTATGTTCGATTAGGGTTGCAAGCGGGAGGCGCAGACAAGTACTAAAGGGAACATGGCAGACACCAAACTTGCGGGCAATAGCATCGACGGCTCGAAGGAGGTTGTAGAGTGGGGCAGTGATAGCTGTTGAACGGGATGGCCGGCAAGCAGGGGAAAGAAGGGACCAGTGGTAGGTAGGATAAGAGGGAGTAGCAAGAAAGAAGTTGAGAATGACACGTATGTAAGGAATCGAGGTCTTGGTAGGAGGAGTGGGGTTTGCCGGATGCAAAAGAGGGTGTAACCATCGCCACTGAAGAGCATTGATCTGTTTAGCGGGATCCAACAGATTTAGACCACCTTGAGATCTAGGTAGACAAAGAGTGCTGAAAGAAAAACGGGTTAGTTTGGCCTGGTTATTAACAAATGAAGCGCCCAGATGTTGTAGTTTGCGGATATCGGTAGCCGAGAAAGGAAACAGACGGGCGACATGCCACACTTTTGAAAACAAAAGGGAGTTCAGCACCGTAACCCGGCCACGAAGGGTGAGGGTACGAATGGAATGGAGACGACAAAGATCGCGTAAACGAGATAGTAAGTTATTGACGTATGAAACCCGTTGTACCGGCGACGAACAAACAGGGTAGCCGAGATATGTAATGGGACTAGTCGCAGTCTTATCATGCCACGAGGAGATGCCTGTCGCTCTAAGACCGGCGATCCAGGATGCATGTGAGGCGCCAGAGAGAGACAATGCTTGCGTTTTGTGGTAGTTGAGGGAGGCATTGGACGCATCGCACTACGGCCCAACTGATGTTCTCATGAGAACATCGAGGTGCTCATATAAGAATCTATTTTATGTTCTCATTCGAGAGCATCGATGTTCCCAAAAAGTGGAAAATGCTCTCATATGGGAACATCGGCGTTCCTAAAGATCTATTATAAGTCGGCCGATGTTCTCATAAGAACATCCGAGATGTTCCCATATGAGCACATCCATGTTCTTAAATAAGAGCAAATGTAGCTGTTTATGAGCGCATCGATGTTCTCAAATCAAAATATCGATGTTCTTAAATGAGCAAATCCATGTTCTCAAATGAGAACATTCATGATCGCGCATGAACCTATCGATGAGCTGAAATGGGATCATTGAAGGTCTGAATCAGCTTAAATATTGGTAGCTTTTATTGGCCCATAATTCGTGGTTTAAATATTGGCAGCTTTCATTGGCTCAGAAATTGTGGTTTAAATATTTATACATTTATTATTGGTTAATTTTAATGGGTAAACGAAGGCTACGTGCCAAAAACGTGCAATAGTAAAGCCTTGTAGTGGTAATGGTCATGCTGTAGGCTATAGTAGAGTCAAAGATAATTGAGAATAATAGCCTGGATCAGTATGAACTGTTTCGTGTTTCCCAATATTATCAGTTTTTAGGGCAATATAAAAGTGATGTTTCCAGGCGAGATCCAGAGAGAGCATAGAATGAAAAGGTTGAAGCCATCAACAGTGTTCCATGTAGAGCAACGAATTGTACAAAAGCCAGCATAATATCAAAGATGTGCATGTACCTATCAGCAAAGATGTGAACTGAATCAAGTTAGTAAAGCGTTCCAGCAAAGGCGTGATGACTACAATACCTCTTTCACAAGACAGATAGAAAGTACAGCACACCACCAGGCAGCGACTCATTGGGAGCAGACATTCTTGAAAAGAAAACATCGAACGAATGTTAATGCGTCTTATGCCGTCAGAAGTATCAGATGTATAGACCGCATCATTCAACTATGAAGCATCTGCCATTGTTCACTGGATGCAAAAGGGGATCCATAAAGTATGCAAGAGATGTGCTCAGTTATCAAGCCAAACCCGCCAGACCCACTCGACGCTGGCACTAGTTAACTTATCAGGTGAGTAACGACTGATTTTTCCTGATGATGCAGCAAAAGATGACTTACTACTTGAACAGTGATAGCAAGAAAGCAGATAAATGGAACCAGCAGGATGGAGGGAAACGGTTAACCAAATGGCATACTTGCGACATCGAAATTGACCTGGCAAAGTCGCCTTTACATTTCTACAAGATATTTGTTAGCTTTTATATGGCAAGAAGCATTGGACATACCATAAATTTGTTGTTTCGAAAGGATGTAAATGAAGATTCCATCCTGGATACTATGGCAGGGATATGAAGCTTCCCACGGCGCACATTTGAAATGGTATTCCTTCTTCAATGGCATTGAAACCTAGCCTCCACCTTTAAAGCCATGGACGGTAAATGCTGCCTCTTCTTCTTGCTGCTACAGAGCACATGTCTCTTATGCTGATAGAATTAAAGTGAAAATAGATGAAAAATGAAGAAAAAAGAGAAACAAAAGCACTTTTTTCTCAAGGGATGACCTAAATATACAAAGTTTCGATCTAAAAATATAGAAACACGCTCTAATCATGCACAGTATCAGACTGATGTAACCAAATCAAGTAACTTTTTAAGCTGAAGTGACCTATCAAATGTGATTTTAAATGTGGCATCGCAGCTAATCCATCATCTCAAATCCCAATAGAGCAAGGCAGCATCAAATGTACAAAAGCAAAGTAATTTTATTTTGGATGAAATATACAAGATCTCACAAACGCACACACCATTACATATTGCTAGTAGTACTAAGGTTGTCATCATCCTCAGCATTACCAACACCGGCAGTTTGAGCAAGCTGGGCAATATCACTGTCTCCAACAATTGCTGATTCAGTCTCCTAAAAGCATTTGAAATGTTTCCAATACTTAGATGTTAGCCATGGCCAAAACAAATAATAGGAGCTACTTACCAGAAGATGGCTTCTTGCCTCGTTTTCTTGCAAAGACACATTGGCAGCAGCATTGGCAGCATTGGCAACATTGGCAGCAGCATCAGCAGCAGCATCAGCAGCAGCAGCTCGGTTTCTGCTTGCTCTATTTGCTTTGAAGGCCTGGGAGAGCAACAACCTGGCACACCACTGCTTCTTGCAGAGACAAATCATGAGATTGTCCCGTTGCAGGGCCTGCTCCTCCAGTGCCAGGCTGTAATATACCTGTTCATCCTGCACATGGTCCAGGGCATTCCAATGCGAGATATTCGGATGCATCACCAGTATAGCCTCCAAGACCCTCTTTGCTGTGCGGTGGAGCTTCTCCCTGCGCGATTTGAGCTGCCCTGGTGTCAAATCGGGTACAGATGCCCCATTGCATAGTTTGTGTAGATGCTGGAGCATTGCGTTGTATCTCTCCACAGGAGAAGCTCTGGCCCTGCCGGTAGGGTTTGCTTCAATTACCCGAGGACCTCTTCTGTTGCTGTTTGATAGTACCTGGCTTCTGTAAGTGGGATCCAGGATGCTTCTTGTTGCCAAATCGCTGCCTGCGTCTTCCAATGGCGACATGAATTGCTGTCGAAATCCATCATTCAAGACGTTCAGTTGTACGCCTTGTTGGCTGATTTCGGATCTCATTGCCATCATTTCTTGCAAGAGTCTTGCGGTGAAGTCAATACTGGCAGCGTTGTTGTTGTTGTTGTTGTTGTTGTTGTTGTTGTTGTTATTGTTCATGGTTCGCGCTGATAATAAAAGTTTAGTAAGCAAAGAAAAGATATGTTCAGAGTTGTGTTGTACCGTATATCTCGTTGCGCACACACCACCACGTTGTTGAACGTCATTCGGTTCACAGGCTTCATGCAAGTAATGCTGACCTCATTGTACGCCCATAGTATAAGCATATGTGCACAGTGAATACCACTCGATTTGACATGATGTTGAAAGTGAAATGACGTAGAAGTAGCCTGAGGCGACATATCACATCATAGGAAACACGTTCCTTACTTGATCTTGGACTTTGAGTTACCAAACGTTATATGCAAGACTACGTATCACTTGCTTGTAAACGATGATAAACGCATTTGTTGGCGAGCGCAAATAAAACTTGAATTAGTATATAAAGCTGCCACTTGAAATTTGTTTTTACTTGCCTATTTTTCTTGGTTTCTCCAAACATGTCATTCTCAATCCGTATATCACGAGAAACAGAGCCATCCTTCTGTACAAATTGCTATACCAGCTTTGACAGTGCCCGTGCTCTACGCAACCATCGCCGAAACTGTCGTGCTCCCATTTTGAATGAAGATCAAGATGTTGAAATGGAAGAGCAACCTCCAGTGGAAACAACGCTGATACAGCCACAATCTCCCCCCAGTGCGCTAGTCACAGCCAATTCAGATCATGCAAACCAGCTGCATGATGATGATGCCATGAGTGATATTGAAGAAATGATTCCTGCTGCTGACGATGCTGATTATGACTACGCAGGCTTTGAACAGACGCCGGGTGCTGCTGATCTGCTGCCTATTGTCGATAATAATGGTAAGGAATTGCAGCGCTAAAGTAGATGTATATACTCACAATAGCGGATTCCACACATGCGATAACAGGAGACAATCCAGAAGAACCAGGGCTTGAATTTGATTTGCTAAATGTCAAATACAAGACAGTTGGAGTAGTCGACCCAGATGCAGAAGATCAGGCTTGCTTCTACGATTGCAGATCCCTCGAAGACATCAACCAAAATACATATACAACCACAGAACTGGTTTCGATTGAGCTGTATGATATCGTCAATGATTTTGCTATACCACGGGATGCATACAGAAAGTTGGTCAGGTTGATGAACACTGTTTTGAGAGATACAGAAAAAATTAGTCGAGGTAATTCGCATTGCAATGACATGTCATTTATACAATAACTCACCAGCTTCCGATCCTCCCCCCATGAACTGATAGAAAGCAATCCGGAGATCATGCATGGCCCTCGTGTGCAAAGCATGCTTCAGCGCCAATCATCGTTGACATCCCATGAATATGATGTGTGTATCAATGGCTGCAAGCTGTACGCATTGGAAGTAGACGACGAGGAGACAATTTGTAATATTTGTTCCCATGAAAGATACGATGCACGGGGAGATCATCGAGCCCTGTCAACAATGAAAGTCATGTCAATTGGAGACATCGTATCACGATTAGTTGCGAATCCAATAACGAGAGAGGAGCTTCGGTACCGACATGCCTACGACAACAGAGACCTTGAAGAGAATCCATCCGATGTTATCATTGCTGACGTATTTGACGGCGCCACGTACAAGTCCATCAAGAATACGCATTTCACAAATGACCTGGATATCGCAGTTGCGATCATGAATGATGGCTTTGTAGTTGAAAAGAGAGGTGATCGGCTATTCACAATTATTCATCTGATGGTGTTCAATTACGATCCACACAAGCGTTACAAGGAGGAGTACACGCACGAGCTTTGTATCTTTCCAGGAAAAAAGAAGCCCAAATCATTTGACTCGTTCATTTCCATCATCTTGGCAGAGCTCCAGTGGCTTTCTACGTATGGAATGGTAGTCGAAACAAATGATGCTGGGCCAATTCGTTTGAAGGTTCATCCTCTAATTTGTGGTGGTGATACTCCAGGTAAATATCCTGATTGATAAAGCAACTAATCAGCATCCACAATGGCTAACATGAAATTGATTTACCTACCTGCTTTATTCTAGCCGTGTTTGACTGGAGCAAGTGTGCTCATCATGCATCTGAGTATGGCTGTCGTTGGTGTCTTTCGCGTGGTATGCACCCTGATAATCGCAGCCATGGGATGTACTTTCCAAATGCTGGAAGCATGCGTACGAATGAAGATTACGAGAGGGCTGAGTCCAACCTTGGATTCAACGGTGTCAGCCTTTTCAATCAGCTATCGTCATGCATTGCACCCCAATGCTTTGGATTCGAAGAAATGCATACATTAGCACGAGGTGTTGGTTCAGAACTCTTCGAGATGCTCACTGTCGACCTGTCTCCGAACAACACAAAGTTCTTCTACACATATCCAGATGGTGAATTGGAGCGAGAAAATTATCCATTTTTCATTCCAAAGCAACGGCTGTTCGAGATTGGCAAAGCAATTGAGGACACAAGATCATATATACCAGTTGCATTTGATGGAAGCTTTTTGAATCTGGTGGAGAAGCTACGAGGCACCCGCAGTGTTGACTATCTTGATAATTTGCTGGTAAGATCAGATCCACTGTAATCTGCAAACGTACACATGTAAGGCGTGAATTAGGATCTGATTATTCTGATTTGAAATAGACCATCATACCTACTCTCTTTGTCCCAGAATTAGCCAGTCCACAGGCTAGGAAAGCAATCATGAAGCTGGTTAGAGGCGTCTGTCTTGCATTGCAATGGGAGTTCACTGAGTCTAGGTTGGCAGAGATTGATGAATGCATTGACTTCTTCATTGACTACTGCAAAGCTCAGAGAGATGCCATGTGCTTGTCACTTTCGGTCTTCCGTCCCGTAATGCATCAGCTTACACATGTAGTGTGGATGATAAGAGAAATGGGGCCAATTGTAGCCTACTCCTCACGAAGTCAAGAACGGTTAGTCATCTATACATGCTATGTTTATCACACACATCCAGTTACTTACATAACAACATCATCCATTTTACAGAAGCATTGGAAAGTTTGGTGATTTGATAACTGGCAAGTCAAGGACAGGCAAGCAATCTTCCAACTTGATTGAAATTGTTGCAATCAGAAACCAGCTGAAAAGGATCTTCGACTCAAATGAGTTCCTCCAAGGCATTCGACCGCAGCCATATGCATCCACCACATACCTCAATCATCCAGAATCTCTAACAAGCTCACAGTTGTGGGAACCTGATCAAGAAGAGACAAATTTGGATCATCATTTTGGCTTCGATGGTACTGATCGTGCTGAACTCCATGGTGTTCCAATTGCAAGATTCAAGCGTGCTTTGTCGAAATACTATTGTAGGATATTCTCTCTTCAAAGGCTGAACAACAGTCCATTGTCAATGACGATCAAGGTTGCCCATCGTGCTCTAATCGGTTCTACTGTCATAGGATCAGAAATATACAGAGAGAAGATGCATGAGTTTCGTAGAAGCAACCATCTGGTCATGTTTAGGTCAACTCACCTCAATCGACTTAACCACCCTGTCTCCTGTTGGTTTGTTTCGCGAGTGATATTCTTTTTCCAACATGTCTATGATGGGTCGACCTACTTTTTGGCTTTCGTTGAAACCATGAAAAATCATGGTGTTGCTTCTCACGACAGGTCTGTCCCTTTTGTTCGTATGAATGAGCCTGTCGAACAACAAATTGCAAGAAGGGTGCCGAGAGTGATTGATCCCAAGTATGCTGTCATTTCTATTGACGATGTTGAGATGCAAGTGGGATTGGTGAAATCTTTGGATAACGACTTGCACTTTAGCGTCATTGCAAACTACCATGCGTTTGAACAAGATATGTCGATCGATGCTGGCGATATTCGCAACCTTTAACGAGGATTGAAATCGCAACATACAGATTTTTTTTTTTGCTTTCGCGTAAAACTACCCACTTGAGGCTACGAAATAAAAGATAATACATTTGTCAATACAATACATAGCTACATTCATTAATCATACTTGTATACCTCTTACAGCTTTGTTGTCCATGAAGGCATGCGCAAAATAATTATAAAAAAAAATAATAAAAGAAAAGGATCCGCATCACTGACCATCAAAGCATTTTGAGAAAAGCATAATTAACCCAGCAAGGTTAACGTCCAACGAAGAAAAAACGAGTTTGCTCGGATTCGAACTGGCGACCTTCAGTTTGTTAGTCAGGAATATTACCACTTTGACATAACGACTCAAAGTAACCAGAAACTCGGGTCACGTGATTTTTTCTCCTGATTTGTTTCAAATTGAGCAAGTTTGGAGGCTTCTAACTTCGTAGATAATGATGCTACGAATTGGCGTTCGGTACGAAAAATAAACAAAAGAACTCAAAAAGTCTGACCATACCATTTAAAAGCGCATATCTGATAACTATCTTCACAGTGTAAAGCCAAATGTTCTGATATGGGAACATCGAGGTGCTCACGAGAACATCGATGTTCCCAAAAGAGCGCATCGATGTTCTGTGAGAACATCAGTTGGGCCGTAGTGTCGGCATACCTACTGACTAGTTGTTGAAGCTGGTAAAATTCACCAAGATCGTTGAGGAAGACGAGAGTGTCATCTGCATACGCAAGAACTTTGACTGGATCGGCTACAGGAACGTGATGAGTAAGTGGTGTGGGGAAACGTGAATTCGTGTTAGCAATATAGTCAAAATCAAAGCCCTGAATATCCGGATGGTTGTTGATAGCACGAAGGAAGGGATCGAAAATGATGTTGAACAATAGCGGACTAATGGGATCCCCTTGGCGCATGCCGCGGTGGGTAGTAAACGGGGCGGACAGATTTCCATTGATGTTAACCTGTACCTGAGTGGTAGCCAACAGCGCAAGCAGTGATGATGTTAATTGAGGAGGCATGTTAAAGGCAGTGAGTATAGCGGAAAGGTAGTCAAGATTGACCCGATCATATGCCTTCTCCTGATCTAACAGTAAATCAATGGACGTGGATTGAGTGGCCGTGGCAAGAGATTGGGCGCAATGTAAAATCATAGCTGGTTCACCAATGAAGCGCTGAGGCATGAAGCCAGATTGAGAGGAACTCAAGCGGGTGCGAAAGTGTTCCATGAGACGAGCGTTCAATAGCCTGGTGAAGATCTTAGCATCACAACAAATGAGACTGATGGGGCGCCAGTTCTGTAACAGTGACAGGTCGCCTTTCTTGGGAAGCAGCACCAGGCAAGTTTCCTGCCAAGATTGTGGGAACAGACCATGTAACAGAGCGTCAGAATAGACTCGAAGGGCGACAGCAGCTGTGGAAGTATGAGTCAGTAGAAGTTGAATGATGGCGTAGGGTATGGAGTCAATGCCAGGACTGGATTGTTTAGGGGCCCGTGTAGCGGCGTCGGCTAAATCATCCAAGGTAAAAGGCTCACATAATGCCGGGTGTTCAGAATCTGGAATTTGGTCAGTAGCAGGAATTTGGTCAGTGAAATGCCGGATCGCGTCAATGTCCACCGCATCAGCAGTATATAAGCGGTCGTAATATGCGACTGCGGCTGCCTGCTTGTCAGTTGTCGTCTCACAGGTGGTGGTCGAGATGGGATGTATCAAGGTGGGGATGGCCCGTTGTTGAGTGCGTTGGGTGGCCAACCGCTTGAGGAAACCGGCGGATTTCTCACCTTGTTCTCGCCATTTTATGCCGGACCGTAGTGCTTGGATATCGGTTAGCTCCTGCTGAAGGTGGCCGATCATGGCTTCGATTTGTGGGAGGCGATCGTTGCGTATCTGCGTCGTCTTGTAGAGGCGAAGGTACTTGTTGCGTTTGCTTTGGAGGCGACAGAGCAGACGACGACGCCATTCGGCCTGTCGACGACTACAACTTCTTGCGACTTGACGGGTAATTGCTTTAAGCTGATCCCAAACTTCCTGAGGCCTGATGCCAGCGGATTCGGAGGCTATTTGATCGTGGAACTCGTCAAGTTTAGCAAACAGACGTTGTTGAAAGAACTTGTTGTGAGCTAGTTGGGGGTTGATTCGCCATAGACCTTTACCAAAATCCGGGTTCGCAAATGTCAGTTGTGTAGAAAGTAGAGCATGATCGGTCCATTCAGAATGAACAAAGTGATCGGTTCTGAAATCTAAAAGTTGAGGATCCATAAACATGTAATCGATGGTAGAGAGTGTGGTGTTGCGGCGAAATGTGGGCACCAAAGGGTTCTGACTTAATTCATGCGTACTTTCCTGATAATAATGGGTAAGCACCGAGTGGAAAAGCCATTGTGGATGAATGTTAGTGGATGCCACGGTGGGTGGTGGGCGATATTGGCGAAAATTATAGTTGAAATCACCTAACACAATAGAGGGAGCATCAGGGACGGTGGCCAGGTAGTTGTTATGCATCCCATCAGCGGTGTGCATGTTGTTGAGAAGGGCTTGAAAGAGAGGCTGCTGAAGTAGTTGGTCATAAAAGGCATATCGGTCGGAATGAGTGGCAGGTGCGTAGATATTCATGATCTTTAAAGGGGGAAACTTGTTAGTAGAATGGGAAACATTGCAATATATAACTCGACCGCCCTCGGAAACAAAGATAGGATCTAGAATAATGTGAGGTTGAAGACTTACTATCCCGCAGTGGGATGTCCAAATGGATGATTGAGCTTGTAGTTGTATGTTGAGGCGGTTTTGGATGGTGGGTTCGTGGGCGTGGGTTTCTTGGAGGCAGAGAATACTGGGAGGCGGGTCGTATGAATGGCGCAGAAAGCGACAAAAGGATTGACTGGCGGGGACGTTGGATGGTTTGGATAAGCTACGACAATTAAGACTACGAATAGACAAGTGAGTGTGTTGAATATTATTTGAATTAGAAGATACCGAGGGGACAAAGACATTAGGAAGAGGAGCCGAACGATTGACTAGAGGAGATAATGAAGGCTCACTCATTGATGAGATTCTTCGGGGTCAGTCGAGTGTGCACTAGGGTGGAATTCTTCGGTGACCTCCATGAAATCGGATTCGACGACATTGCCAAAGAGATCGTACAGCACAGGTTTGCGTAATTGAGATGCTATGCTGGGCTCAAGTAATAGTTGACCGAGGTTGGAGTGAATGTTGGGAGTACGTTTGGGAGGGCGAGGAAGCAGTTCAGCGGAAAGCGCTTGAGCTTTGGCTGTGGAAATCCAATTTTGGGAAATGAAGAACTTGAGAACACCTGGAACAGTATGAAGCTTGACAAAGCGTACTGTGCGGACGCATCTGTCGGCGTGAAGAGCGGCGGCGATACGAACCAATTGAGGGGCAGGCATATCAGCAAATTTGGGGTCGGCAACGTGTTGAGCATCGAGAGGGTTGAAATCAGGGATCGCTGTGAGCCCACCTTCAGTCAAACGGCGAAGGATGTCGTCTCGGTAGTCAGTGTGGATCAAGATGGTAGCGATATTGCGAGCCGGGAAAGTAACGTCGAGGATGCGCTTACTATCGATGCCAACGGCAGCGAGAGTGGCACGGTATTCGGCGTGAGACATACGGTGAGCACGGTGGAGATGAATAACATCATAGGCAGGAGTGTCAGTAGGAGTGCGTGGTGGTTGAAGAACACGGATGGCATGTTCGCGGCGGCGTTTGGGGTTGGCAGAAGCAGGACGTTGAAGGACTTGTGTCCATTGGGGTGGCTGGGTACCTGATGGGTGGGGTTGAGGCTGTGGAGCTGGCGTCGTAGAGGCATCCGAGTTGACAGTGTTGGGAGGGTTGGCGGGAGCGGTGGTAGGAGAGCGGACGAGCTTCTCGAGATTGCTGATAACAGAATGAAGGTTATTCACATCCTGTCTGAACTGATCATTCAGGGCCTGTTGAGCCTGTTGCGCTTTTTCAAAGACATCGAGACGAGAGTGTAATGCCTTCACAGATTCCACAAGAGCGAGAATGGCGGATTGGTCGATCACGATGTTTGACATGTCGATCAATCGTTACAATGTTTATTTGTTGTTTGCGATCGCTTTTTCAGGGATTTTTCTTACAGCGAGGATCAAACTATGTAAAATTTGAAAAGCGAAAGAAAGGTGATTTGCAAATTTTAGACAGATGCCTTTAATAAAACTTTTTAGAATACGATATTATGAATGTGGGCTGTAGGTCTATTAAAAGTTGTAGAGAGTACTTTGGTTGACTTGAACGTGATTTATGTGAGATTATTGAGGGCGATACCGATGAGTAATGAGGAAAGATAGTAAAAAATGATCATTTTTCAAAGGGCTGTACCGCTGGATTCTACTAAGTCAACGAGAGCTTCAAGCTTAATAGCTTCTGTTTCTTTTTCAATTCTCTATACGATAGTATGGTTATTATAGATATATATAAAAAAAAAAGTTGAATGTCTCCTGCTTGTAGCTCATAAAATATATGATTTTGAGCAAATTTATGAAGGGAACGTACATCTGGTACTTAAAACCCTTATATTATAATGGATATAACATAGAGCTATCGAATGGTCTTTGTTTTGTGTGAATCTAGTGAGTATCTGTCGAGATATGGTCAAAAAAGAGTATCATGCAAAATCATGGATTTTTCTTCAAAATCTACGTGTGATAGCAAGCAAAAAATCTGGTGACGATTTTTTGGTCAGGACAATATTTTCAATATTTCATGATAGAGTCATGTCAGAGCTTCAAGCAATAGCTCATTCGATAGGAAATTTTTTGGTCTACAATGCTTAGTAATGCTTGACAAAATGTTTTGATGGCAGATACTGATTAATCTTTTGAAAACAGTCAAAAAATCGCAAAAACAATCGTATCAAATATCAGGTGAACAATGTACACCAGAGACTTGATATGAGTACCATTGTATTCTCCTTTGAATTCTCTACAAGTTTCATATAAGTTTGAAGGGGTGGTTACTATCAAGAAACGCGTAATTTTAAAGTCGATAGATTTTGGAATCCCATGGATCATCATTCAGAATATGAGAAATTGAAGCTCCGTTGACCTTCCGCATGTGTACACCTCACAAAGATGAATTTGACCAAGCATTTTATAAATTGGAGGGTACGAAAAGGGCCATATTAACTTGCTAGTTTTAAGTTATCAATAGATACATGACATGTTGAAGAATCTTGTTGTTGAGACTAGACAACTGTAGCATGCTTTATTCAAGAATAATAACTTTTCTAATTTAAAGTATGTCTATTCCCCTGCTTAGACATAGCATCTCCAATGTTGATTATCTCATGAAGTATGCATTTCCAATATAATGTTCCCCCTAAGAAGCTGCTCCAATACCATTATTCTATTTTTTTTGAATAACTCTACAGGAACATCTATGTAATGCTCAAGCCTGTAAATTAAATTTACTGCGTGATATGAATAATAGCAATGCAAAAAAAAATTAAATACGCCACTATAGCAACAGTAAGGTTTGGGCGTTCGTTTTTCGACGGTTTGGCTGGGGTGCCGTAGAGCCACGAGAACTGAGGCTACAGCTTTGAAAATGGCATGTTTCTATGACAGAACTTTGAGAGAAAAAGAATGGTGTAACTGGATTTTAGATTGGATGGGTTCGCTGCTGATAAATAGATGGTGTTTGGCATAAGGTAGCTTTGAGTAATGAGATTCATATAAGCGCGCATAAAAATCCGTTCATTTCGTATGATTACGCGTAAAAGATCGATAGTTGAGGTGTTGCAAACTGACGAAATTAGCGTAAAACGTTTTAGAAGATGTTAACGGTCACAGTTGAAACCAGTATTGCTGTAGTAGCTTAAGGAGCTAGGAACTTGTTAAAATTTGCTACTGCAAATGGAATATGCGGTACTTGCTATTCTTTTGTTTATAAGGAGGGGAGGGACCAAAAAATTCCAATTCATATTGTCGAAATATTTAAATTGCTGTGTAATGATTTACGTTACATAAGCTTCAATTGGAAGGATTAAAACATTAGTTTAATATATACCGTATACATGGTCTTCTTTTTTGACAGGTATTAAACGTTAGTGAAAATATTTCTCATTAATACTTATACTTCTAAATATATCTATCATTAGTCCTAATACCATTACTTGTCCAATAATATTTACATTTTGTACATTGTGAGTATTGTTCAAAGACCTACGAATAGTAACACCAACCTCCGCATCCCCAGTATATCTGTCTTTCTGTTACAATATCATTATACTCTTATTATACGCTGAAACGTTGCCATTATTGGATAGATCAGAGTTACTCTCCAAGAAGATTGGAAAACAACAGAGGTATGTCGACGTGATTCTTAGTAATGTCATAAGCGTCTGGCCATCAGTATTTAGCATACTACATGCGTTTCCAGGTTGTATTAGGTATTATTACAGGAAAAGCCTGCTGGTTATTATTTTTATAGACGAATCTGTTTTATTTCACTAAACTATGCACACTACTTCCATTGTCGTGTGTATAGATATAGTGTTACAAAGTGGTTTGTTATAGTGTGAATAGTAAGAGTGGAGATAGAGTATATATATAGATAAACAGCCAAAGCAGATTCGTCTATAGAAATGAGCATCAGGTTTATAGTTGTCCAACTAGTAAAGAATATAGAAATAAGGAAAGGGATGTGTAAATAAAGTGATAAAAGTAGATAAAGTACAATGAATTTAGGTGTTAATGTATGCAAAGGATTCAAGGGATCTTATAATTGAAAAGTTCAATAAAATAACAAAGACAATGAGCTATAGAGCTATATAGATATGGATCTAGGTAGGAATAAGATAATATTTTATTGTTTGATATCATTTGAATATTTATATTAAATTGATTCTATGAATTATGTGTCCTGAATTCTGTCTCTATATGCTATAATTTGTAATGAAGGACTGGCCCTTCTATAATTAATTTTGATACCCTTAATAATCCTAAATGCTTGAACAGTTTTTATAGCTGGAAAGCTATATTTGTTGTTGAAAGATGGTGAATGATGATATTGATAATGTTACTAGAGGATGAAAGGATGGGTAATGTGGAGTTGCGTCCCATTTGTGTGCTTCCATTAGTAAAGAGAGATGTTTAAGAGTTTGAATTGACATCTGTCAAAATAATACGAGACTGAATGGTAACTGACTTGTCATTCTTGAGATAGGGTTCAGTGTATATTTGAACATAGTGCAGTGAAATCAGGTTTAATGGATTTCACAAAAAAAATAAAGCAAAGGTAAAATACAATAGAAATCAATTGTATTTTATTTTGCGTATAAAATGAACTGAAGATCCTGGAATTGAGTAAAAAAAAGAAGAGTATTTATACATTTGCATCTGGCTTGTAGGATTAGTGATGATAGAGAGCAATAGGTGCTGCTATTGCGATATCTGGCAAATGTTGTTGATGTTTGATTTAAAGTGGTAATCAATGCAGGAGCACTGGCCATAAGGGTCGATTTGAGTAACCTTGATGGGCTTGGGTGAGCTATCGTCATAGCATGATTTAATGTAACCTTGATGGTTTAAAGTGTGATGTTTGTTATTGAAGCATGGAATCCTTTATCTGGGATATTGTGCAACTATGGCAGCAGGGCATAGTTGTCATATTTGAATATGCTTGTTATTGATTTAATTCTATTTGGATAAAGATACCATCACCTATTACGACCATCATGGGTGTGATTGAATACACTGTGATCAGGAGTGATTCATTCACACGATGTGCGGTATAAGCGTGTATCTTTACTTTAGTATTTTTAAATGGGTTTTTGATGTACATTTGAGCGCTTTCATTAATAGATCCAAATAGCATGAATTTGAATGAGTGCTATTTGATGAACTTTGGTTTTCAATTAAGTTGCGTTTGGGTGGCTATTTCATTACACATAGGAAGCATTTACGAGTGTAATGTCAAATTGTAATAACAGAAGTAGGATCCAATATAGTAAGTAGTGAAACGTAGTTTATTCGATAGTGTAGGCAATTTACAACAAAAAAAGAGAGATTCAGTTACAAAAGAAAAAAAAACAGTAGTTACTCCTAGCAAAATGTCTACAGGCACTACGCTTGCAAAAAGTAGTAAAAAAGATGCTCCCTGCCAGGATCGAACTGGCGACCTTCAGATTATGAGACTAACGCTCTACCGACTGAGCCAAGGAAGCTATTTGATATTATGTCAGATGCTAATACGTAGAGATAGTATATGCAATCTGAGATCTGATCGAGATATAAATGGAAGTAGATATAGAGAGTGTGCAGGAAGATGTTATAGCCTTTTAGTTGAATGGATAAAAAGGTGCTTTATTAATATTAGATTTGAACATTGATTTTATCCAATATAGTTTGTGTAATGTTGTGCGCTATCCAGGTTAATCGCTGTTTAATGTTCCTGGTAGCTGGCGCTCTAGGTTTAAACCTGCGCTTCTTATTCTTGTTTGTGTTTAGTCTGTCAATGATATCCTGCAGATCTAAATCACTGTCAGAATACCCTTCAACCCTGACATCACCCCCCTTCGAGACAAATGTTCGACCCTGAACATCACTTGAACTTGATGAACCAGTGGCAGTGTTTGGCATATGAGAAGAGAGATCGACGATTTTTGCAGGTTGGGTGGTCTCATTTTGCGTGTGGATCTTTGGAATGGCAGGAGTTTTGAAGACAAAAGTACTTTTTGGTGGCCCAGGACGAGAAGTAAGTGCAATGGGAGTTTGGTTTGTAGCAGCAGGAGGGAAAAAATTCACAGTAGTAGTGGAATCAGGTTCTGGAGTAGCTTGAATAACGGAAGGTGGGCTGGCAGGAGAAACAACATGAGGTTCATTTCGAAGACCTGGCACCATTTCTGTGTTTTCTGGCTCTGATACACGCTCATCCAGTTCAAGACCTGTATCAACACTGACTGTTTCATTGATTATTGCTGCATCACCACTACTTATATTCGATACTGTAGACTGAGATGACAAATAAGACAATTCTGTAGAAGGAGATGGTGGTGGAGACATGGTATGTGGTGGGGATAGTGTTGGTGGTTGATCTGTGTCTTCAATATCGCTATCAGTAGATGACAAAAAGTCGTATCCATCCATGATTTGACCCAATCCACGTTCGTTGTCCTCTGTTTCATCCATCACACTACTCCCATGTAGAGAGCTATCCTCATCTGATATTTGTTGTGTAAGTATGTGATGATATTGAGAGTGAGTTGGCGGTTTATTAGTGGTAGTAGGTTGTGTAGTGGAGCTGTTGTTTGGCGTGCTCTGATCAGAAATTGGCATGTCGATAAAATCATCTTGAGGTTGATTTAGACTTGGGTTTGATGAGAAAATCGAAGGTGATGGTGAAGAGGAAGTAGCAGTGGTACCATTGGGGTCAGTGGAACTAGTATTTGAGGCCATACGAAGAGAATCGGCTTCACGAACAGCACGACGACTAGTAGTAGGATCATACCATGGCTCCCTGGGTTTGTCACCTTTCGCTGCTTTCAATCTGTCCACATGTACTAACGATTGCAATGGTTCACCAGCAATAGTTTCCAGTTGATAAGTACCAAAATCAGGGAACACCTTTGTCACAATGTAGGGTCCTTTGTAGCGAGGTTCTAGGCCAAATTTGCCTTCATGAGTCAGCATAACCATATCACCCATTTCGAAGTGCGTGGGTTTAATCTTGGCATCCCAACGCTTCTTGTCCGCTTCGCTCATGGCTTTCAAACGAAATTCAGCAGCAGCACGATGTTGACCAAGTAGTTCTAGTTCACGCGAGGTTAGGTCAGCTACCGTTCGTTTGTCCAACAGCATTTCCTTGGTGATATAGGGTCTCAAAACATCTCCAGGCAGTCTAGGTTCACGTCCATACACCAAGTAATAAGGGGAAAAGCCTGTTGTTGAGTGCACTCGAATTCGACTTGCCCACAAAGCCGCATTCACAAAGTCATCCCAGCGATGAATAGCACCATTGACATACTTACGAAGCATTTGCTTGATCACGCCATTGTATCGCTCTACCTTGGAGTTGGTGCGCGGGTGAAATGCCGAGGTGAGCTTGTGATTTATTCCAACACGTTTGGTGTAAGTGATGAATTCGTAATAATAAGTCGATGATAATAATCAGTTGTCAACTGTATCTAAAACGAAAGCAAAGAGCTTCTTTATTACAGGGCATCTAGCTTGCTTAAATATGGTAGATCCCTGGTCAATGACTACTACGTTGAGATGGTATATAAATAGCAGGCCACTGGGGCCTTATGGATTGTTGGTATAGCTTGTTGAGAGGCCACCTAAGTCGGTATGTTTCATGTAGTGTAGGTGGATCTCGATATTTTGACATTGGGGAGATTGAATGTATTGTAGTTCCTGAGGCACCTGTGCACACACAATTGACTGGACTTGTAAACATAGATGTGATGTGATACGATGAACATCATCTATGCTGCTACACTGTAAAAGGTGGCTTGAGGAGAAAGTGAATGTAGCCTAAGATGCATGCTTGTATGCAACATTACCCCCACCCAGCTTTCGACCAGCCACAAACTAGGATATCATACGAGCCGAATGCAATAATCGAGGATACAACACAGAACGAAGAGACAGAACCAAGAAACAAGAAGGCGATACAAACAGGTAGACAGGCAAAGCGATGGAAACCAATATGAAGTAAAAAAAACCGAGATGGTGCCAAAAAAAACAACATACATGGGGTATACGAGGAGAGGTTATCAGAAGATGATAGCAGCAAAGGGAATAGCAGATCGAAGAAAAACCTTGTAAAAAAAACCATATTCAGGCCAAAAAAAACAAATCAAGGACAAAAAGATCACGGCTATTGCTGAATGTTGTGGTTACGAGAGTTTGGAATCGACGGATAACGCAATGTGACGGACGGTCCTGCATGCTTACGACGACTATAAATCTTGCGCTTATTGACAGTGTTGGGAAGGAGTCGATTGGGATTCTTGTGATCCGGTGCAATGCGATCCCAGTAGTCGCGAATAGGTCGTTTGGAATCAAAATCGCTTTCATATTGCCAGGTATTGTCCTTCGAGGACGGATAACCTACCCAATTGACAAGAAACTTCATTCGACCAGTCTTTCTTTCAACGCGATGATTGACGATGGCTTGCACTTCATAGTGGCGAGGAAGTAAGCCTTTTGTAACATGATTGTCCGAGAAATCGACAACGCGAATGTGCTGGGTAGGCACATCACGGGGCAGCAATTCACCAGTAATGTCGGCTAAAGTATAACTACCATTGCGAGTATAGTTCTTGATGAAATATGGACCGAGCCATCTGGGGTGAAGTTTAGTTGATCTGACAGGGTCGAAGAGCATGACCTTTGAATTGATGGGATACTTCTCTTCAATGATCTTGTGATGCTTTTCGAAGCGCTCATGGTCGCGCAATTGTGTTTCTTTGATACGCTTATGGATGGCAGGGATTACCACATCCTTAATGTTCTGTAAGCGGGCATCAATGACTTCCTTGGTAGGATCCTCGGGTGTCTGGTCAGCATTAGGCAATTGAGTGTAATCCTGGAAGAGATTTGGGGCACGCCCAAACATGATAGCAAACGGCTGCGATTGATGCAATCTAGCGTATTGAATGTTCATGGCATACTGAATGACATCGAGATACTCATCCCATGCCTCAGGTTCTGCAGCATCGTGTGTCAATGATTTAATGATAGATCGTTTCGAAATGCCCACATACGCTTCGACAACACCATTAGCTTGTGCAGCGTACGGCAACGAGGTCAAGCGATCCATGCCACTAATCTGACTGAACTCTCTCATAAATGCTCCAACAAATTCAGAGCCATTGTCACTAGTGAGTCGCTTGGGAAATCCAAATAGACAACATACACTAAGCAATGCTCTTGCAACAGTGATTGGACTCTTATCAGGAAGAGCTCGTAGAATGGTGAATCGACTGAAATAATCGACAATGACTAGCAGGAAGTTATTGCCCGAGGTGGAAGTCGTAGCGAAATCACCTAAATCGATAGCTATATGATCGAACACATTGTCTGGCAACACGCTACGAGGAGGATGATATCCCACTTGGTAGATACCATGCGATTGACAAGCATGACAATCCTTGGTTACTGTGGCGATGTCATTGCGCATGTTGGTCCAATGTACCTTGTAATCATTGTGCAAAATCTTTTCCATTGAATTGATGCCCACATGACCGAGTAAATGCACTCGCATAACAAGCTCTAGACGATCCTTCTTCGGAGGAGTCATGTAATCAGCATATTTCATAGCACGTGAAATAAGAGCATTACAATCTGACTGTCCACCAGATGAACCATTGTATGAACTTTTGGCATCAGCAATCAGTTGATTCTTTAAATCTTGAGCGCTGACAGATGGCATGTTGTAGGTGCTCGCATCAAAAATATCAACATTGCTATCATTCAATTCCTTGGAATAATAGTGTGGATCCAATTCGGTTGGCATCCCAAAGGAAAGCTGCTGCAATTGCTTTCGATTGTTGAACTGCTTCTTGCGTTTGAACTGCGTACGATTGGAGTGATTGGGCTTAGCAAGAGAAAATTGAGTGACTTGGGACTCTTTGGCGTTGGTGAAGCCATGTTTGTTCTTTCGCGTAGGTTTACGCTTTTTTTCAGGTAGCATAATACTTTGATTGTTATAACGATTACCCCCACCCAGGTTATTGCCACCCTCGTCATCGTCAGAGGTGAATAACCGACTGAGTGCATCAGGTAATAGGTTACGCGTACCAGGGATATGAACCAGCTCATACTTGTAATCAAAGAACAGTTTTTCATACCACGTCAACAGCATCCTGTTGGGCGTACTTTGCGTTTGAAGCCAGATTAAAGAGCGATGATCTGTGTGCAAGACAAACTCAATACCGAAAAGCCATTTGTGGTATTTGGTAAGCATGTAGACAATGGCAAGCAACTCACGTTTGGTGGTAGAATAGGCCATTTCAGAAGGGGAAAGCTTACGACTCGCCATGACAACGTAATGAACCACGCCATCCTTGATGTAGTAGATGATACCACCGATAGCAGTAGCTGAGGCATCAGTAGCGACGTGCAGCTTGTAACGAAAATCAACTGGGCTGAGAGCGACTGGAGACGACAAAGCATTCTGCAACGATTTGAATGCCTTGGTGTGCGCATCAGTCCACAAACCAGAAAGGGATTTACAATTGCGCAATGCATCGAGAGGTGCTGCCAGTTCGCTGTATCCAGGGATGACATTTCGAAAGTAATTGCAAAACCCCAAGTACTTCATCAGCTGCTTACCAGTGGTAGGTATAGGCCACAGATGAAAATTGGTCAATTTGCGAGCGTCAGGCACAAGGCGGTTCTGAATGATGCTCCAACCCAGCACATGAGTACTGCGCTGAGCAAACACAAACTTGTCCTGGTTAATTTGGAGATTAGCCTTGGTCAGACGACGGATCACCTCAGCGACTAACGCAACGTGCTCATCCAGAGAGTCAGTGTACGTAAGGCACCCTAAATCGTCGATATAAAGTGACACCTGATCAAGCATGTCGGTAAACAAATTGGATATCAAGCGCATAGCTAAATTGCCCATGAAATTTACTCCAAAGCAAACCTTCCTGTGGACCCATTGCGTTTGCGTGAATGGATCGGTAAAGGTTAACTTGTGGCGATGACGTGGATCGACCAAGAAACTCGTGAAGAAACTTTTGATGTCGATGGAACTTGTCATGACAGCGCGGCTGTGACGAGCATGGATCTCATCAATGCGAGGCATAATGTACTTGTCAGTGGAGACCAAGATTTGGTTGAGTAGGCGAACGTCAGCAACAATACGTGGCTTGTCAAACGAATATTCACCATTAGAATTCTTTTTGGCAACGACGAGCAAAGGAGAATTCCAGCCATTATGACTTGGACTGCGCTCAATGACACCATCTCGTTCCCACTCCATCAACTGCTTAGACACAGCTTCCTTATAGACAACTGGAATAGGATAGGGAGCACGATAGGCAACCTTACCAGGGATTGTCTCGAGTTGGACAATCGCACCAGGCAAGTTACAATGAGTAGTGGCAAGATCAATGGCAGCATTTTCTACCAATAACTGTTCAATAGGTTTGAAAGCCTTTGCACGCTCAGCAGGTGATCCGTATGGATCGTTATTAGGCTCGATGTCAGGATCAATGGGGTCGGGAAGTCTGGGTCCAAGCTCTTCAAACCATGTTGAAGCAAGGCCAGTGATTCCAATCTGTAGATCAGGCATGATATCCAACCCAAGCAACATGGGGCAATCATCCGAATCAGTAAAGAAATCAAATATCTCAAATGTGTGAATAAAACTGCGTTTATTATACGAGATTTTAAGTGAGCAAGTGCCAATACGAGGTTTAACACTGTCTGTATGGCCTAACTGGACCTGACCATGAACAGAGCGGTTGATTTGAACACCAAGCTGGTTGGCGAAACGAGGGGAACAAATTGAAAATGTACATCCCGTATCTAAAACACCATATACCTTGTGCGATTCTACGACAAGCGGAATAAGAAGTGAATTAGACTTATTGACAGGCAAGATGGAACGTTGATTATCCTTACATTTGTGTGCATGAACTGCAGTATGTAGATCAATGTCCATAGGCTCAACAGCCGAGTGGCAATCACTTTGATCGTGACGACTCTGTTTAGCAACAGCAGCGGGCACCAACAACGAGGAACCAGATTCACTCGAGTTGTTGTTACTTTGCTGATCTTCCTGAACAACAACAGAATTACCAGTAGTAGGTTGGGCTTGAGGAGACGAAACAGACGATGACAACAATGCGGCACTGCGGCCACCATTGGTCTCAACAGCAAGACGAGATTGAGAACGCGGAGGGTTCTTTTTGATCACTTGCAAAAGCTCAACACAGTCGTCAGTGCTATGGGTCTTGCTATTTGGATGGTATCTGCAGAACTTGGCTGCACCAGCCTCAGACAACGAGCCCACAGTAGGATCAACAGCAGGAGCAGTTGCAATAGCAGTGCTACCAGCGGTGGTAGCAGACGACACCACGCCCTCTTGAAGGCGCAGCATACCAAAACGATGTAAAGTACTAGTAGGAGCATCACCAGTACGCACAGCCGTGTTGCACTCATGGGGACCAGCAGAGTAATTGTGGGCACCACAAGTACGGCATCGATCTGATGCCTTGGCATCCGCAAGCGACATCATGTAACGACGACCCGATGCTTGGTTGCTGGTTGGCATTGAGTTGGCACCACCTTTGTTTTTCAACTCTTCCAAGAAGAGCTTACATTCCGAGGTGTCATGGTTGTGAGGCTTTCCATGGTGGAAAGTGCACGACTTGGTAGCCTTGAAGTGAGGCTTGCCCACGCGGCCAGAAGAGACACCAGCACGAGACACAGCGGCAGGACCATCAGTAGATGAGGATGATGCCTTCATGGTATGTGAGCGGCGGGGGGACGCAACTGGAGCCCATTGTGATGCAGCAGATCCAGCAGCAGTGCGAGCAAAAGCGGGTGCTGAGATGGCAGCAATCTCATTTGCGGTCATAGTTGATAGTGATTCACGAGCGATACTGACGATAATGTCAACATCGTAACTATCAATGATGCCCTTGGATTGACGGATGGTGTTGATCTTATCCTTGACTACCCAAGGAATGGCATCCAGGAACAACTTAGCCAACAAGTAATCGGATGGGGCTTGATCCAGGGATCGACGACGCAAGTCAGTAAAACGATCAAGAAAGGCCTTCACGTTTTCACCGGGCAAAAGTTGAATGCTCAACAAATCAGACGCACAACGTTGACGTTCTTCCAATACGCTAATGCCATAACGAGCCTTGATAGCCGACTTGAAATCATTCCACGATGCAGGAGCAGTGCAAGCAGAAGTGAACGAGCCGTACCAAGTACGTTGTTCTGGAGACAGCATAGGTGGTACTAAGCGAGCATATTCCTTGTCGAAATCCATCTTGTAAGCGAACATGACATCCTCAAACTTCAACAGACAAGCGTCGACTGTAGGAAATATAGGGCTTTTGGGGTCGAATTCATCCATACCAACCCACTGAAATGCAGGTAAGTTGTTGGGAAAGAAAACCGGAACAGAGGCGCTCTTGTTGGATTTGACTCCATCGACTGAGGATGGGCCAAACGAAGCAGCAGCCGAAGAAACGAGGTTATCATTTGCAGTAGCTTTGGATGCAAGCAAACAATCTCGAATCTGTATGATACTTTGAATGGACGTATTCAACTGGATCAACCGAGCTAGGGCCTGGGCTCTGGCCTCCTCACTTTGCTCGAGGAGCAAGGTCGTAGAGAGAAGCTGAACTTCGGCGAGCTGATTGTCAACAATTAGCTTCAACTGATCAGTGCGACCTTGAAGGTCCACATCACTAGAAGATGAACTAGCAGAGGAAGGGGGATCGAGGTCCATCGCATCACTAGCAGTAGTAGTGGGAGCTTCGCCAGCTTGACCACCCAATTTCTGAGACGTTTCAGCGAGAAAAAACTGAGAAGGGCCAGTAATATCTACAGCCTTGGTGGCACTGGCGTCTGAAGGACGCAGCTCAGTGTTTCCAGCAGGCTTAGATTCGGAACTGGGGGATGTGGTGGTACTTTGAGCAGACATCAGAGTATACAAAATTGAGAGGTAGTAGTAGTAAGAGTAGTAGTAATGATACAATCAAGGTTTTGATTAAAAAAAATGATGAATTCGTAATAATAAGTCGATGATAATAATCAGTTGTCAACTGTATCTAAAACGAAAGCAAAGAGCTTCTTTATTACAGGGCATCTAGCTTGCTTAAATATGGTAGATCCCTGGTCAATGACTACTACGTTGAGATGGTATATAAATAGCAGGCCACTGGGGCCTTATGGATTGTTGGTATAGCTTGTTGAGAGGCCACCTAAGTCGGTATGTTTCATGTAGTGTAGGTGGATCTCGATATTTTGACATTGGGGAGATTGAATGTATTGTAGTTCCTGAGGCACCTGTGCACACACAATTGACTGGACTTGTAAACATAGATGTGATGTGATACGATGAACATCATCTATGCTGCTACACTGTAAAAGGTGGCTTGAGGAGAAAGTGAATGTAGCCTAAGATGCATGCTTGTATGCAACAGTAAGCTGTTACAAGACCACTAGTAAAATTGGCACCTCGATCCGTCACAATTTCAGAGGGACAACCAAATCGCATGACAATCTCCTCATAGATAAAATCCGCTACCGCTTCCATAGATGCTACTGGTACTGATCTTGCAATAGGCCAGTTTGTGAGGTAATCCACAGCCGTCAACAACCATTTGTTTCCGTTTCCAGTTGTAGGCAATTCACCCACAAAATCCAAATGCCAACGATCAAAAGCTTGAGGTATTTGCAGAGGATGCATGACATCTTGATGAACCTGATCACAGCGACTATTCAGCTGACAAGCAGTACAAGTTTTCAGCCAGTCTTGAATATCCTTTCGCAAACCTGGCCACCAGTACCTTTCAGTGAACATTTTTAGCATAGTCTTGATACCAGCATGGCCAAAAGCTTCATGATACTTGAAAACCAAATCAGCACGATCCGAGAACGGAATAAATTTGACTTGCTTTATGCTTCCATCCTCCATCTTGACTAGTCGATACACTGTTCTTTGGCGTACCACAAACTGATCCTCCTCTTTTTCCATGCGTTTTCGCAATGCATCTGATTTCATTTTTTCGTAGTTCTTGTCGACATACAGAATAGGCCAATCAGTCTTGATAGTATCAGACAACTGATTCCAAGCAGCATATAAGTATTCAGGTGCCAACGAAGGTATATTCTCTCCATTTTCCACAAGTAAATCTGGTTTTCTTGAGAGAGCATCCGCCACTTCGTTGTCTTTTCCAGCTTTGTACTCGATATTTGGCGAGAATGCCTCATAATCTGCAATCCAACGAACAAGACGAGGTGTTGGGTTCAGTTGAGACTTGAAGTAGATCAGAGGCTTGTGATCACTATACACAGTATAACCACCTTGACAACCGTCCACAAAACATCGCCATGTTCTCAAAGCATGGATGATAGCAATCAGTTCACGTTCCTGGGCAGGCAATTTTTGTTCAGCTTGAGATAATTTCTTGGATTCATACGCAATTGGCAACCAAGTAGAAGAATCAGGATCCTCCTGTAAAAGCACGGCGCCTACTCCAAAGTCACTTGCATCGGTTTCAATGCGGTATGGCTTGCTCATATCAGGTAGTTTCAATAAAGGAGATGATGTTAGCATTTGTTTGATAGCTTTGAAACTAACTTCACATTGATCATTCCAGACAATAGCACGTTTCTTAGCACCATTACCATGAGTCAATTCAGTAAGAGGAGCAGCCACAGAAGAGAAGTTCGGGCAGAAACGGCGATAATGCTGTGCTAATCCAACAAATTGACGCACCTCTTGCACATTAGTAGGTCTTGGCCAGTCTTGGATAGCTTTCACTTTCGATGACGATGGTAAAATACCATTCGCGGAGACCTTGAAACCCAGAAATTCTAGCTCACGCTTACCGAATTCACATTTCTTCAAGTTGACAATGAGCCCTTCCTTTTCAAAGATGGAGAGTACTTGACGAACGTGCTTGATATGGTCTTCTAATGTCTTGCTAAAGATGCAACAGTCGTCCAAGTAAACCAAAGCGAATCTGTCAATGCAATCTTTTAAAACTCCGTTCATCCAAGTTTGGTAACTGGGTGGAGCATTTGAAAGTCCGAAAGGCAGCACGAGCCATTCCCATTTACCATATCGGGTATTAAATCCAGTAAGTGGGATATCAGAGTCTTTTAGCCTAATTTGGTGGTAGCCGGAACGAAGATCCAGGCAAGTGAACCACGAAGCGCCTTGCAAACGATCCAGGCATTCATCAATGCGAGGCAAAGGGGTAGAGTTGCGAATAGTGACCTTGTTCAGAGCGCGGTAGTCAATGCACATTCGCATTTCACCATTTTTCTTCTTGACGAATAATACCGGAGCACCCCATGGTGACGACGATGGTCGAATGAGGCCCAGAGATTGCAGTTCGGTCAGTTGACGCTGCAATTCATCAAGTTCAGCTGGACTCATACGAAAAGGAGGTCTGTTGATGGGATTGACACCTTCAGGAACGTTGATCACATGTGAGAAATTTTGTCTGTTGGGTGGTAGGCCAGGTAATTTGTCTTGAAAAACCGTTGGAAAATCCTTCATCAGTTGATCTGTCCATACCACATTCTCTTGAGTAATTCCAGTACTTGCGCCATCCTTCTCTCCTTGATCCATCATATACAAGAAACATGCATTTGTGCCTTCCTCCTTCAACATTTTCTCTGCTTGAAGATGAGATACCAAGTAATTTAATTCAGGCGGTTGTTGAGTTGGTGTGCTTGACACACAGGAAGACGACGTGGGTGAGATAGTGGTTTTACCAGGACCACAACAAGACAAGGTCCACGTATCATCAAACCAATCTGCAACAGGCTTGTGTTCCTTGAGCCAGGATCTACCAAGAATGACATCGAACTTTGTATCAAAGACGAATGCTGACATTGGGCTTGTATGACCTTGCAAATTCAAATCGTAGACAATCTTTTCATTAATAGGAGATACATTGCCACCTGCAGTTTCAACCTCTCTTCCATGGATCACGCTACGATGGCCTTCAATCATGTTTGCAATTCTACCTGAGATGTAGTTTTCACTAGCACCATTGTCAATTAGGCACTTGACTTTGACTACACCCAGAGAATGTTTGAGTCTGACGGTTGCTCCATACAAAGGTAGAGTTGAGGTATTTGCTGCATTCAATAAATTTGTCAGGTACACAGAGTCAGTGGTGAGGTCAATGGTGGTTGACGTATCCAAGTCTTGAATGATAGGAGACAATTCCACAGGACGACGAGTATTTGAGTTCGCAACGACAGGGTTTAAATTCACCACTGGATTGTTGTCTGGCACAGGTACAGAGACATTATCCGGGGTAGTAACAGGCACAGAAACCAAAGCAGGAGAAGACGCAACAGAGGAATCCATCATGGCAATGACTTTGTTAAGCACAAAGAATAAAAGGATTATTATTTGTAGCTTATAAAAAATGTTCGATATTATAAAAACAAGAAAAGACTTATTTGAATAAGATCAGACACAAAAACTAAAGATTTATTGATGAAGACAAGAGTTATTCTATTTATACTAAGTTCTGAATGCCAAAGTAGCAATTTATCTTGTACAACGCTTATCACATCTGGTGAACCTCAGTATTTAGATAGCTGAGATGCACTTCACTTATCATAGCTTGTCCATGTTGTTGCACAACACAGACATATCTACCCATCAAGAATACCTTAATCTTTATAGACAGTTGTAGCCCTTCTGGCACAACATTGCCCCCCCAGATTCAGGTACTTCTTGTGGACATTTCGTAATCCCAGATTACAAAACATCATGACAATATAGCACATAAAGCACTTTCCAATAAATAATTACCAAATGACACTGCATCCGAGATCAGTCAGTAAAAACCTTGTGTAAAAACCTTTCATAGGACAAAAATGTAAGGAAAAGACTTGATCCCATCATGCTAGTAGCCATTTAAGACCTGTTTGATCTACCGCTCTGACCAATTTCGCGAGTAGTAGTAGTTCGCCAGTTAACTGTTTGAGGAGCTAACCTACGTTTACCAGCAGCCTTTGCACCTTCTCTTCGAGCCCAATACAGCTCAATGTGTTTGGCCGAATCAAAGTTTTTCACAGGCTCCCAAGTATCTTCACTAGGATCATCGAACCCTTTCCATTTTACCTTATACTCATAGTTACCAGGAGATCCTCTATGATCAATCACAGCTTGAATTTCGTAATGCTCTGCAGAGAATTCATCAATTGTGATTGGCTGAGGATTCGCAGCGACTTGGTACTTGATATGATGGGTAGGCACATCTCGACTAAGGAGTGCACCCGTCTTGTCAGCCAGCACATAGGAACCTTTATCGGTTATACTATGAATCAAATAAGGTCCTTCATACCGTTCATCTAACTTATTTTGACGATGAACATTTTTAATCATAACCTTACTACCAATAGGATAGGGTTCGGCAATGACCTTATGTTTCTTCGCAAAGTTAGCATGATCAGCATTTTGTGTATCCACAATACGCTTAGAAATAGCCGGGATAAGAACATCTTGTACAAAACGGTATCGTTTGTCAATGAGTCTGTTATCAGCTTTCTCCAAACGTTTGGAATAGTCCACCTTTGAGTAATCAGCCAGACCATTTGGTTGACGATTAAACAAAAGTGTATACGGACGAGATTTATGTAGCCGAGCATACTTGACATTGATGCAGTAATTCACCCACGGAATGAAGTGCTCCCATTGATCCCTCTTACCTTTTAACAACTTGATAGTCGTTAACTTACATATTTTGATAAATGACTCAGAAACCGAGTTACCCAATGGATTGTACCCTAATGACAGGCGATGGTCTATCCCACTGATGTCCATCATAGCACGGACCACCTCATTTATCCATTCCAGGCCTCTGTCTGAAGTCAACTTGATTGGCCATCCAAAAAGTGAGAAAACTTGAAGCATTTCCCTGGCAATTGTCGTAGCCTTCTTGTCTGGAATGCATCTTATCACAGTAAATCTCGTAAAGTAATCAGTAAGGACAAATAGAAAGTTGCTGCCGAAAGAGCTAGTAACACCCATATCACCGAGATCCATGCACCAATGATCCAAAGGTTGGGCTGCATTGACACTACGGAAAGGATGATATCCCTCTCTAGCGATATTGTACCTGTTACACTCGTCACAATCAGCTAATATTCTTTCTATGTCTTTCCGAATGTTCACCCAGTGAAACCCTTCATGATGAATTGCAGTTTCAATATGTTTGATCCCAAAATGTCCAACCAGATGCTGAGCAATGATCATATTGTCTCTTTCATTAGCAGGAGGAGTGATATAGTCAGCAAACCTAAGCGTACGCAATATGAATTCCTTTTGCTTTTGCGAGACAGCTGTGGTGGTGCCATCTTTGATAAGAGTAGCGTTTACCGCAGTGCGTGCATAGTTGCTAGAAGAATTAGATCGTAACGCCTTAGTTGTCCTGACCAAAGTACGTTTCATTGGAGGCGAAGGTGTGACAACCTTGAGTTTGTTTTTGGAACCCTTTTTCTTTCTCTTTACACTTTCACCACCATCAGCATAGTACCTGCCCCCCAGAAGATGTCGTGCTGAAGCATCAGCATCCGAATCTTCGTAAAGTCGAGATAAAGCATCAGGAATTACGTTAAGGACACCGGGCAAATGCACAATATCGAAAGTATAAGAAAAAATGGTCTCCCACCATCCAAGCATGAGTGCATTGGGGACTTCCTGTGTATTCAAGTAGATCAGACTCTTATGGTCCGTATGTAAGGTAAACTCTCGCATATACAGAAAACGATGAAACTTAACCAAGGCATAGCAAATCCCTAGCAATTCCCTTTTCGTAGTACTGTAGTTACGCTCAGAAACAGACAATTTACGAGATACGAGACCTACATATCGAATTTCATCGTTGACCACTTGATATAAAACCGCGCCAAGAGCAGTTAAACTAGCATCAGTAGCCAAGTGAAATCGAATCGAAAAATCAGGAGGTGACAGCACAAGTGCCATCGTAAGTGCATCCTTCAAGTCGGCAATCGCTTTTGTATGAGACTCATTCCAAACATCTGTTAGATCCTTGTACTGTTTCAAGCTATCAAGATCTCGAGTCAGACGAGAATAACATGGAATGGCAGCACGAAAGTACGACATTAAACCCAAGAAAGATGCCAATTGACGACCAGTGGTAATAGTCGGCCAATCTGCAATGTTGGTAAGTTTTCTACCGTCAGGCAGTAATTTACCATTAATAACACTCCATCCCAAGAGATAAATACTACGCTGAGCGAAGACGACTTTCTCAGGATTGAGCACCAAATTAGCATCGGTTAAACGACGAATTACCTCAGCAACCAACGCATAGTGATCTTGTAGGCTCCCATTACTACTGCATAAGATGTCATCTACATAGCAGGAAACCGAGTGATCACCATCAGTAGGAAACGAAGTAGAACTAGAGCTTGTATTCAAATCAGAGAGCAGTGTTTGCAATGTGCGTACAACCACCGATCCGACATGGCGAATTCCATAAGCAGCCTTTTTATGGGTGTATTGGATATTCGTGAAGGGACAAGTAAATGAAACTTTATGAGCTTGCTCTGGATCCAAACCAAAGCTAGTAAAGCAAGCATGGATATCGAGACAAGTATGAATCATTTTTGTACCAATGCTCTGATGGATATGAGAGATCAAAGGTAACTGTTGTTTGTCATCCACTTCCAAGATAGCATTCAGCTTACGAACGTCACACACCACTCTAGGCTTAGACATTGTGTAATTACCATCAGCGTCCTTTTTCTTTACAACCAACAATGGATGATTGAAACGTGTATGACTAGCAGATCTTTCAACAACACCCTCATCAAGCCATATCTGAATTTGTTTGGCAACAGCATCACGATAAGCTTCAGGCAAAGGATATTGAGCTCGCCAAGCGACAGCACCTGGTTTAGTATCAAGCTTAATAATCGAATCCGGCAGATTACACTGAGTATTCTTCATATCAATGCGCGAATTCTCTTCTAATAACCCCTTTAGTGCAAGTAGAAACGGCTGTCTCTCTTCCTCACTACCAAAAGGATGTGCGTTTGGAGTAATACCATCATCAATAGGGTCTGGTACACGAGGACCTGATTGAAAGCCATGTTGACTCACCAAGCCCGTAAGACCAATGCCAAGCTTGGACAAAATATCCATACCAAGCAACACAGGTACGTTTTCCTCAGAATAGAATGGAAATACTTCAAACAAATGGTTTTTATTTGATTTATTGTAGCTAATGTGCAAACGTACCGCACCTATTCTAGGCACAGTCGTTACTTCATGAGCCATTTGAACAAAGCTCTCATCATCATCATTAGCCTCAAATCCAGCAAGAGAGGTTCCTCCTAAGAATTGAAAGAACTTGTCAGTGACGCACGAAAACGTAGCACCCGTATCCACTAAGCCAAAGCAAATGACATTTTGAACCACAATAGGAACACAAATAGCATTGGTGGTCATAGTAGGTGGAGCACTAAATCTAGCATCGAACTTACATTGCTGAGCAAATATATTTTGTAGCGTATCGTCGTCCACAGACATGCTACACTACGGCCCAACTGATGTTCTCACAGAACATCGATGCGCTCTTTTGGGAACATCGATGTTCTCGTGAGCACCTCGATGTTCCCATATCAGAACATTTGGCTTTACACTGTGAAGATAGTTATCAGATATGCGCTTTTAAATGGTATGGTCAGACTTTTTGAGTTCTTTTGTTTATTTTTCGTACCGAACGCCAATTCGTAGCATCATTATCTACGAAGTTAGAAGCCTCCAAACTTGCTCAATTTGAAACAAATCAGGAGAAAAATCACGTGACCCGAGTTTCTGGTTACTTTGAGTCGCTATGTCAAAGTGGTAATATTCCTGACTAACAAACTGAAGGTCGCCAGTTCGAATCCGAGCAAACTCGTTTTTTCTTCGTTGGACGTTAACCTTGCTGGGTTAATTATGCTTTTCTCAAAATGCTTTGATGGTCAGTGATGCGGATCCTTTTCTTTTATTATTTTTTTTTATAATTATTTTGCGCATGCCTTCATGGACAACAAAGCTGTAAGAGGTATACAAGTATGATTAATGAATGTAGCTATGTATTGTATTGACAAATGTATTATCTTTTATTTCGTAGCCTCAAGTGGGTAGTTTTACGCGAAAGCAAAAAAAAAAAATCTGTATGTTGCGATTTCAATCCTCGTTAAAGGTTGCGAATATCGCCAGCATCGATCGACATATCTTGTTCAAACGCATGGTAGTTTGCAATGACGCTAAAGTGCAAGTCGTTATCCAAAGATTTCACCAATCCCACTTGCATCTCAACATCGTCAATAGAAATGACAGCATACTTGGGATCAATCACTCTCGGCACCCTTCTTGCAATTTGTTGTTCGACAGGCTCATTCATACGAACAAAAGGGACAGACCTGTCGTGAGAAGCAACACCATGATTTTTCATGGTTTCAACGAAAGCCAAAAAGTAGGTCGACCCATCATAGACATGTTGGAAAAAGAATATCACTCGCGAAACAAACCAACAGGAGACAGGGTGGTTAAGTCGATTGAGGTGAGTTGACCTAAACATGACCAGATGGTTGCTTCTACAAAACTCATGCATCTTCTCTCTGTATATTTCTGATCCTATGACAGTAGAACCGATTAGAGCACGATGGGCAACCTTGATCGTCATTGACAATGGACTGTTCAGCCTTTGAAGAGAGAATATCCTGCAATAGTATTTCGACAAAGCACGCTTGAATCTTGCAATTGGAACACCATGGAGTTCAGCACGATCAGTACCATCGAAGCCAAAATGATGATCCAAATTTGTCTCTTCTTGATCAGGTTCCCACAACTGTGAGCTTGTTAGAGATTCTGGATGATTGAGGTATGTGGTGGATGCATATGGCTGCGGTCGAATGCCTTGGAGGAACTCATTTGAGTCGAAGATCCTTTTCAGCTGGTTTCTGATTGCAACAATTTCAATCAAGTTGGAAGATTGCTTGCCTGTCCTTGACTTGCCAGTTATCAAATCACCAAACTTTCCAATGCTTCTGTAAAATGGATGATGTTGTTATGTAAGTAACTGGATGTGTGTGATAAACATAGCATGTATAGATGACTAACCGTTCTTGACTTCGTGAGGAGTAGGCTACAATTGGCCCCATTTCTCTTATCATCCACACTACATGTGTAAGCTGATGCATTACGGGACGGAAGACCGAAAGTGACAAGCACATGGCATCTCTCTGAGCTTTGCAGTAGTCAATGAAGAAGTCAATGCATTCATCAATCTCTGCCAACCTAGACTCAGTGAACTCCCATTGCAATGCAAGACAGACGCCTCTAACCAGCTTCATGATTGCTTTCCTAGCCTGTGGACTGGCTAATTCTGGGACAAAGAGAGTAGGTATGATGGTCTATTTCAAATCAGAATAATCAGATCCTAATTCACGCCTTACATGTGTACGTTTGCAGATTACAGTGGATCTGATCTTACCAGCAAATTATCAAGATAGTCAACACTGCGGGTGCCTCGTAGCTTCTCCACCAGATTCAAAAAGCTTCCATCAAATGCAACTGGTATATGTGATCTTGTGTCCTCAATTGCTTTGCCAATCTCGAACAGCCGTTGCTTTGGAATGAAAAATGGATAATTTTCTCGCTCCAATTCACCATCTGGATATGTGTAGAAGAACTTTGTGTTGTTCGGAGACAGGTCGACAGTGAGCATCTCGAAGAGTTCTGAACCAACACCTCGTGCTAATGTATGCATTTCTTCGAATCCAAAGCATTGGGGTGCAATGCATGACGATAGCTGATTGAAAAGGCTGACACCGTTGAATCCAAGGTTGGACTCAGCCCTCTCGTAATCTTCATTCGTACGCATGCTTCCAGCATTTGGAAAGTACATTCCATGGCTGCGATTATCAGGGTGCATACCACGCGAAAGACACCAACGACAGCCATACTCAGATGCATGATGAGCACACTTGCTCCAGTCAAACACGGCTAGAATAAAGCAGGTAGGTAAATCAATTTCATGTTAGCCATTGTGGATGCTGATTAGTTGCTTTATCAATCAGGATATTTACCTGGAGTATCACCACCACAAATTAGAGGATGAACCTTCAAACGAATTGGCCCAGCATCATTTGTTTCGACTACCATTCCATACGTAGAAAGCCACTGGAGCTCTGCCAAGATGATGGAAATGAACGAGTCAAATGATTTGGGCTTCTTTTTTCCTGGAAAGATACAAAGCTCGTGCGTGTACTCCTCCTTGTAACGCTTGTGTGGATCGTAATTGAACACCATCAGATGAATAATTGTGAATAGCCGATCACCTCTCTTTTCAACTACAAAGCCATCATTCATGATCGCAACTGCGATATCCAGGTCATTTGTGAAATGCGTATTCTTGATGGACTTGTACGTGGCGCCGTCAAATACGTCGGCAATGATAACATCGGATGGATTCTCTTCAAGGTCTCTGTTGTCGTAGGCATGTCGGTACCGAAGCTCCTCTCTCGTTATTGGATTCGCAACTAATCGTGATACGATGTCTCCAATTGACATGACTTTCATTGTTGACAGGGCTCGAAGATCTCCCCGTGCATCGTATCTTTCATGGGAACAAATATCACAAATTGTCTCCTCGTCGTCTACTTCCAATGCGTACAGCTTGCAGCCATTGATACACACATCATATTCATGGGATGTCAACGATGATTGGCGCTGAAGCATGCTTTGCACACGAGGGCCATGCATGATCTCCGGATTGCTTTCTATCAGTTCATGGGGGGAGGATCGGAAGCTGGTGAGTTATTGTATAAATGACATGTCATTGCAATGCGAATTACCTCGACTAATTTTTTCTGTATCTCTCAAAACAGTGTTCATCAACCTGACCAACTTTCTGTATGCATCCCGTGGTATAGCAAAATCATTGACGATATCATACAGCTCAATCGAAACCAGTTCTGTGGTTGTATATGTATTTTGGTTGATGTCTTCGAGGGATCTGCAATCGTAGAAGCAAGCCTGATCTTCTGCATCTGGGTCGACTACTCCAACTGTCTTGTATTTGACATTTAGCAAATCAAATTCAAGCCCTGGTTCTTCTGGATTGTCTCCTGTTATCGCATGTGTGGAATCCGCTATTGTGAGTATATACATCTACTTTAGCGCTGAAATTCCTTACCATTATTATCGACAATAGGCAGCAGATCAGCAGCACCCGGCGTCTGTTCAAAGCCTGCGTAGTCATAATCAGCATCGTCAGCAGCAGGAATCATTTCTTCAATATCACTCATGGCATCATCATCATGCAGCTGGTTTGCATGATCTGAATTGGCTGTGACTAGCGCACTGGGGGGAGATTGTGGCTGTATCAGCGTTGTTTCCACTGGAGGTTGCTCTTCCATTTCAACATCTTGATCTTCATTCAAAATGGGAGCACGACAGTTTCGGCGATGGTTGCGTAGAGCACGGGCACTGTCAAAGCTGGTATAGCAATTTGTACAGAAGGATGGCTCTGTTTCTCGTGATATACGGATTGAGAATGACATGTTTGGAGAAACCAAGAAAAATAGGCAAGTAAAAACAAATTTCAAGTGGCAGCTTTATATACTAATTCAAGTTTTATTTGCGCTCGCCAACAAATGCGTTTATCATCGTTTACAAGCAAGTGATACGTAGTCTTGCATATAACGTTTGGTAACTCAAAGTCCAAGATCAAGTAAGGAACGTGTTTCCTATGATGTGATATGTCGCCTCAGGCTACTTCTACGTCATTTCACTTTCAACATCATGTCAAATCGAGTGGTATTCACTGTGCACATATGCTTATACTATGGGCGTACAATGAGGTCAGCATTACTTGCATGAAGCCTGTGAACCGAATGACGTTCAACAACGTGGTGGTGTGTGCGCAACGAGATATACGGTACAACACAACTCTGAACATATCTTTTCTTTGCTTACTAAACTTTTATTATCAGCGCGAACCATGAACAATAACAACAACAACAACAACAACAACAACAACAACAACGCTGCCAGTATTGACTTCACCGCAAGACTCTTGCAAGAAATGATGGCAATGAGATCCGAAATCAGCCAACAAGGCGTACAACTGAACGTCTTGAATGATGGATTTCGACAGCAATTCATGTCGCCATTGGAAGACGCAGGCAGCGATTTGGCAACAAGAAGCATCCTGGATCCCACTTACAGAAGCCAGGTACTATCAAACAGCAACAGAAGAGGTCCTCGGGTAATTGAAGCAAACCCTACCGGCAGGGCCAGAGCTTCTCCTGTGGAGAGATACAACGCAATGCTCCAGCATCTACACAAACTATGCAATGGGGCATCTGTACCCGATTTGACACCAGGGCAGCTCAAATCGCGCAGGGAGAAGCTCCACCGCACAGCAAAGAGGGTCTTGGAGGCTATACTGGTGATGCATCCGAATATCTCGCATTGGAATGCCCTGGACCATGTGCAGGATGAACAGGTATATTACAGCCTGGCACTGGAGGAGCAGGCCCTGCAACGGGACAATCTCATGATTTGTCTCTGCAAGAAGCAGTGGTGTGCCAGGTTGTTGCTCTCCCAGGCCTTCAAAGCAAATAGAGCAAGCAGAAACCGAGCTGCTGCTGCTGATGCTGCTGCTGATGCTGCTGCCAATGTTGCCAATGCTGCCAATGCTGCTGCCAATGTGTCTTTGCAAGAAAACGAGGCAAGAAGCCATCTTCTGGTAAGTAGCTCCTATTATTTGTTTTGGCCATGGCTAACATCTAAGTATTGGAAACATTTCAAATGCTTTTAGGAGACTGAATCAGCAATTGTTGGAGACAGTGATATTGCCCAGCTTGCTCAAACTGCCGGTGTTGGTAATGCTGAGGATGATGACAACCTTAGTACTACTAGCAATATGTAATGGTGTGTGCGTTTGTGAGATCTTGTATATTTCATCCAAAATAAAATTACTTTGCTTTTGTACATTTGATGCTGCCTTGCTCTATTGGGATTTGAGATGATGGATTAGCTGCGATGCCACATTTAAAATCACATTTGATAGGTCACTTCAGCTTAAAAAGTTACTTGATTTGGTTACATCAGTCTGATACTGTGCATGATTAGAGCGTGTTTCTATATTTTTAGATCGAAACTTTGTATATTTAGGTCATCCCTTGAGAAAAAAGTGCTTTTGTTTCTCTTTTTTCTTCATTTTTCATCTATTTTCACTTTAATTCTATCAGCATAAGAGACATGTACTCTGTAGCAGCAAGAAGAAGAGGCAGCATTTACCGTCCATGGCTTTAAAGGTGGAGGCTAGGTTTCAATGCCATTGAAGAAGGAATACCATTTCAAATGTGCGCCGTGGGAAGCTTCATATCCCTGCCATAGTATCCAGGATGGAATCTTCATTTACACCCTTTCGAGACAACAAATTTATGGTATGTCCAATGCTTCTTGCCATATAAAAGCTAACAAATATCTTGTAGAAATGTAAAGGCGACTTTGCCAGGTCAATTTCGATGTCGCAAGTATGCCATTTGGTTAACCGTTTCCCTCCATCCTGCTGGTTCCATTTATCTGCTTTCTTGCTATCACTGTTCAAGTAGTAAGTCATCTTTTGCTGCATCATCAGGAAAAATCAGTCGTTACTCACCTGATAAGTTAACTAGTGCCAGCGTCGAGTGGGTCTGGCGGGTTTGGCTTGATAACTGAGCACATCTCTTGCATACTTTATGGATCCCCTTTTGCATCCAGTGAACAATGGCAGATGCTTCATAGTTGAATGATGCGGTCTATACATCTGATACTTCTGACGGCATAAGACGCATTAACATTCGTTCGATGTTTTCTTTTCAAGAATGTCTGCTCCCAATGAGTCGCTGCCTGGTGGTGTGCTGTACTTTCTATCTGTCTTGTGAAAGAGGTATTGTAGTCATCACGCCTTTGCTGGAACGCTTTACTAACTTGATTCAGTTCACATCTTTGCTGATAGGTACATGCACATCTTTGATATTATGCTGGCTTTTGTACAATTCGTTGCTCTACATGGAACACTGTTGATGGCTTCAACCTTTTCATTCTATGCTCTCTCTGGATCTCGCCTGGAAACATCACTTTTATATTGCCCTAAAAACTGATAATATTGGGAAACACGAAACAGTTCATACTGATCCAGGCTATTATTCTCAATTATCTTTGACTCTACTATAGCCTACAGCATGACCATTACCACTACAAGGCTTTACTATTGCACGTTTTTGGCACGTAGCCTTCGTTTACCCATTAAAATTAACCAATAATAAATGTATAAATATTTAAACCACAATTTCTGAGCCAATGAAAGCTGCCAATATTTAAACCACGAATTATGGGCCAATAAAAGCTACCAATATTTAAGCTGATTCAGACCTTCAATGATCCCATTTCAGCTCATCGATAGGTTCATGCGCGATCATGAATGTTCTCATTTGAGAACATGGATTTGCTCATTTAAGAACATCGATATTTTGATTTGAGAACATCGATGCGCTCATAAACAGCTACATTTGCTCTTATTTAAGAACATGGATGTGCTCATATGGGAACATCTCGGATGTTCTTATGAGAACATCGGCCGACTTATAATAGATCTTTAGGAACGCCGATGTTCCCATATGAGAGCATTTTCCACTTTTTGGGAACATCGATGCTCTCGAATGAGAACATAAAATAGATTCTTATATGAGCACCTCGATGTTCTCATGAGAACATCAGTTGGGCCGTAGTGCTACTCATCTCTTTTTCAAGAAGAATAGACTGGGCACGATTCACCAGGTCAGTATCCTCAAAGATACCATGAGCTTCACTCATCACAGCATCTTGGTCAACATCAACATTGTCACTACCACCAGAAGAAGGAGCAAGGACAACATCATCCACCGATTGTTCAGCAGAGGAGAGAGCAGGGGAAGAAGCACCTTTCTCAGCTAACGCACGATCAACACGAGCAGAGAGAAAAGCAGCTTGGATTGCAGCATCCATCGAATGTTTGCCACCACGTTTCTTAGTCATGGCACGCAAAACTTTTTTACCACCATTGCCCTGATGGGTGTTACCACCACCAGTACGAATAGCAGTGTTGCAGTGATGCATCTGCCCCTTTGGTCGAGGACCGTTACATTTGGAGCAAGTCCCTTCAGCAACATGTTCAGCAAATGTTTTGCCAAAACGATTAGCACCAGAACGTGGAGAGTTGGACGAGGGACCATTGGATCTCGACGAAGAGCTGCTTTGCAGAGCGTTTCCACTAGAAGAAGGTGCGTACCGAGACTTCTTTGCTTCGTTCGAAACAGGTATGTCAGCAGCGCGTTTTCTTCCATCAAAAACAGAGCCCAAAGATTCTTGACCCGTCTCAATAGCCATCATATCCATCTTGCGCACGAGAGAGGACACATAATCAATGTCATAAAATGACGATTCTGGTGCCTGACTCATAGCAACCATTAGCAACCTAGCGGTAACCTTGGGGAAAGCGTCAAAAAACACCATCGCTACGACACCCTTATCACTGATGTCAGCTCTATTTCTCAACGTCTTAAACCGCTCTACGAAACCATCAACGGATTCTTCGTTTCCTTTAGTACAACGAAGAAACTCCCTAATTCTTTCGAATCTGAGCTGTTCTTTTGGTGTACCAAAACGACCGATGATAGCTCCCTTCAAGGTAGCCCAAGACACAGTGGAGCCAGATGCTTTCACAAACTCATCAAGCCAATTGCGAAGATCGCCGGGAAGACAAGGAGGAAGTAAACGATACCAGTGTTCGTCAAGATCAAGCGTGCAACTGCTCAACTTATCGGAAAACCGGCGACAACACTCCTCAATGTTGGCAAAAACTTCCTTTTTTTCATCTTTGACACGTCCAAACCATTGGAACAAAGGAAGATCATCAGGTACAGTTGAACTATTAGCCGCACCTTGACTAACCACTGTTACTTGGGAAGGACTCTGGTTAGGTGTGACCATAGAGAGAGCTTTCTCTATAGCCTCCAAGTTAGAGCACTTCTTTGACAGGGCAGCCTTCAAAGCGTCGACCTCTTCGTCCGACTTGTACCCACTGTTCGCAACTTCAGCGATCAACCCATGAACCTCCTGACGAAGTCGCTCTACAGCTCCTCCGTATGAAAGCTCGCTTCCAACAGCTTGAACATCTGAACTCTTGTTCTGTTCTGCAGGAGACACAGTAAAATCATTCATAGTCATATTTTCGGTTTAAATTAGATAGGTAGGTTAAAATCTGGAAGATTCTGATTTACACGATCTTAAAAAATGTTAAGCACAAAGAATAAAAGGATTATTATTTGTAGCTTATAAAAAATGTTCGATATTATAAAAACAAGAAAAGACTTATTTGAATAAGATCAGACACAAAAACTAAAGATTTATTGATGAAGACAAGAGTTATTCTATTTATACTAAGTTCTGAATGCCAAAGTAGCAATTTATCTTGTACAACGCTTATCACATCTGGTGAACCTCAGTATTTAGATAGCTGAGATGCACTTCACTTATCATAGCTTGTCCATGTTGTTGCACAACACAGACATATCTACCCATCAAGAATACCTTAATCTTTATAGACAGTTGTAGCCCTTCTGGCACAACAGACTTGATTCAATTCATCCATCTGTGCGTTTCTTTTCTCAACCGCAATTTTATCACACAGGGACAACAGGTAAGAGGAACCGCTAGCTTTATTACTACTTTGACATTGGTTGCAATCACAACCATGGTTATCCTCTTCTCTGTATTCAACATCCAAAATACAGTTCAAAACACCAACATTCTTGAAAAGCTTGCGTCTAGTGTCCAGATCCAACTTGTCAAATGCATGCATAATTTCAGTGGCACGGGAGAGGCAATTCTTGGTGGTATGTCCAACTTTCTTGCAGTGAAAACATGTGAGGCTGGAATCATACCTATTACGGCCGCGATTATTGTTGTTTCTCCTGTTGTTATTTCTGTTTCTGTTGTTGTTGTTGCTGTAGCTGTTACTGTTGTTGTCGTTGTTACGATGCATGATGGCATCTAGGTCCATAGGCTGTACATCACCGTTGTTGTTATTGTATCTAGTGTTTGTCTGAACACCAGCACTGATCTCCGGATGGTGGGCGAATTCATGAGCCAGAGCATCAGAGAACAGCTTCTCCAACGTACGTGATTCAATAGGCATGGCGCGAATTTTGGCAATCAATTCCTTGTCCTTTAAACCTCTCATGAAACGATCACATTGCTCACGTTCACTAATATCCTTGATGGGAATGACAGCATCCATAAAACGATCCACATAATCCCGAATTGAACTGGTTTGGCGAATGGTGACCAAAACATCACGGGCCAAATCTTGATCGTTGGTGGGACGGAAATTGCTAATCAAAATGTCCTTCAGCTCCATCCACGTTGTAGGTGTGGTAAGATTACTGTCGGGATCTTCATAATGGGCAACAATAGTGGCAGCACGTCCAGATAGCAAAGAAGAGGCAAAATTGTAGGTGCGTTCTTCATTCCAGCTGTTGTGCAGCTTTTGTTTGTCAATCAAACGAATCCAGGCATCAATTTCACTTGCATTGCGAGTGCCACTGTATGTAGGTGGTGTTGGCAACTTGACAGCAGGTGCTTGATTTTGTGCCTGAATGAAGGCAGTCATCATGCTGGTGAGCATGTGTTGGTTTTGTTCCATGAATTGAACATAGTTGGGTGGTATTTGTGGTTGTTGATTGTCTTCAGCCATGTTGTTTTAATAAAATGTGGTGAGAGAGACCAGAGAGAGTGTTGACTCGAGATTTGTGTGTTTGTTTTGATAGTTGGATTATTATTTGGGATCTCCGAGTTCGTGGAATAGGAATCAACAGCGAACGAGATGGGGTAGGTAGTGTTCACAGAGAGGAACTATGAACAACTGTAGTAAAGAGGGTTGACTATTATGATTCAGTAAATGCAAAGATCTAATATAGATGTTTCGATCTTTCCCTTTAATGAATACTTAGCCGGCGTGCCTTGATGATCGACTTTTGTTTACTATCTGTTATAGGCGACAAATAGAAAAAAAGGATTTAAAAAATAACAGAAGTTGCTACCAATTGTCAGATGCTAATACGTAGAGATAGTATATGCAATCTGAGATCTGATCGAGATATAAATGGAAGTAGATATAGAGAGTGTGCAGGAAGATGTTATAGCCTTTTAGTTGAATGGATAAAAAGGTGCTTTATTAATATTAGATTTGAACATTGATTTTATCCAATATAGTTTGTGTAATGTTGTGCGCTATCCAGGTTAATCGCTGTTTAATGTTCCTGGTAGCTGGCGCTCTAGGTTTAAACCTGCGCTTCTTATTCTTGTTTGTGTTTAGCCTGCCAATGATATCCTGCAAATCTAAATCACTGTCAAAATACCCTTCAACCCTGACAATTATGGCCTTTTAAAAAATTTAATATAATTGTAAAAAATAAGTTTTTGGTCACGTGAGCTGTTTTTTTACAGCACTCTTGCAGGTATTGTTGAAAGCCATAATATCATCAATATGGTGCCAAAAGTCAAGATACTAGTAGTTCACAATGCATTTTTTTTAGTATTAACTAAAGTTTTAATTTCAAAAGCGTAAAATGCTCGTTTTATGGACACGGAAGGAAGTAAAACCGTTCTAATGATTATAATTTTGAGTAGATTTTGCAGCGTATGTAAAACAATATTCACCGGCTCACAAATACAGTTGGCACAATAGATGAGATATCAGCTCTTCTTGTAGTGTTCTATATAATCTATTATGAAATAATACGCATTCCCGGGTCTTGGGCTTTCTGTTGTCACTCAATGGATGCAATATGTCAAGTATTTTCTTTGGTAACCTACTTTATCCAGGTCGAGTTTCACTGTAGCCATTGTATGTTTTGAAGTCAAATATTTTAAAGTATATTGTCATCGCGAATAGTCTTTTGAAGAAGGCAGTGGCTAGCATTGTATGGCTTTTGACTGTGGCCAGAATAATCTGACCATATGTAGGCAGCGATCAACTAAATCAAAATTCTGTAGAATCCATTTATTTGAGAACATTAAACGACAAATTTTATTTAGATATGTAATTTTTTTTTTGGAGGAGAGTTATATACTATTTATTTACTAATGATAATGGTGATTCTGACCGCGCGATAAAGTAGAGACATCATGCTTACCATCGCAGCATTGTCTAATGTTCACCATATCATCTGAATCGTCAGAGTCATACTGAGTGACATCCAAAATATGAGGAATACTTCTATCAGATGTTTTGGTATCAATTGCTGCAGAGTTGACAGATTGTTGATGTCCAGCATTTTCAACACTGCTGTCTGATGTGAGTCTTGGTTCCTCTATTATTTGGTTATTGGTATCGTTGGGTCGGTGTAATAAGAAAGACAAGGACTATTCGTGTGATTAGATGCATTGAGTTTTGTTCATGGAAAACAGTACATTACCTTGAGCCATAATTCGTGTCGTTCTAAGGATGGTGCGGTTATCTTGAGATCTCTCTTGGGAGTGCGAATCAAGAGACTCATTGGAGATGCGCCAGTAGTGTCATGACTTGGCACAGCAGATACAGATTCAATGAAGGCTAAATAATTGAGCAGTTTGTTAGTCTATAAGAATATACATTTGAAGAATAATCTTACCACTTTTTGCTTTGGCACCGTTTCCTTCAAAGCCTGGTTCCACCGAGCTCCAGTATAAAGTGCCTGTGTAAGGGTGCACCCAAAAGAATCTTTGATGCTTGTTCTCTGATATGCCACCACCTACATAGCGACGCGTATGCTTTGACATCCATTCACCAATCATTGTTTGCGTAATAGCTGAAATCACCTGGATATCAGTGCCACCATTGGTAGAAAATCCACTGAAGCTCTCGTCAGATCGCATAGGCATTGGCATTCTACCATGTGTGTTTTGGATATCATCAATGGAAGACATCGTAGAAATAGAGGTAGAGCTGCTCTGTTTGTTGGAAAGGTCTCGTAAACTGATGGACGATTTGGATTGAAGACGATGTGAGCCATACTTGGTGCTCTCCAGAATGCGGAAACTGCCAAACGTATTTGATGTGCTGTCTGTGCTAGGACGTTGGCTCTTCTGTATATTGTTTTCCTTTCTACCAGACCCTAATCGTAACGAAGACACAGAGCTTGATAATTTCAGCTTGCGGCCAGTGTTTGTAGGCGTAGAGATGGATGGAGCAGGCGATACGTTAACAGACGGAGTGTTCAATCTTGATGTAGACACGGAACGCTCAATAGACTTGGGCGCTTCCAATTGGTCTTGTGAACTGAATCTTGTAAACACAGGACTCTCATTATTCACGGTAGTCGGCTTGCTCTTGTCGTGCTCCAGTAATGCGATTTGGACAGCCTCTTTAGTATTTTGATCGGCTTCTTCCTTGCTGATCATACGCTCTTCTTTTTCACGTAATGCCTTTCTCTCCTTGGCCAGCACCAATGCAGATTCTGCTCTCTCTTTGTCTACAGCCTCTCTTGCAGCAGCCTCTGCTAAAGAATCAGCTTCCTCCTTGCTGATCAGTTCCTTTTCACGAGCAGCCATTGTTTGACGTTCCTTGACAATGGCATCTGCAGCAGCAACCTTGGCGAGGGCTTCAGCCTCTGCCTTGGAGATCATTTGCATTGCTTCTGCTTCTTCTCTCTCACTAGCCTCCTTTCTCTCTGCCTCTAATGCCTTGGCCACTTCATCTTGCACCATACGTAAAGCGAACTCTCTTGAAATCATACCCACTATAGCCTCAGCATGCTTTTTATCAGCAGCCTCTAACGCATCTGCCACAGCACGTTTCACCAGCACATTGGCACTGTCTTTTGTAAGCATGGTCTTCATTCTTTGAACGTTTTCTTCTGATTCCTTCTTGTAAGCTTCAATGTTCTTGGTCAAGGTATCAATTTCAGCTTGCTTGGCAATATTTGACTCTTCTTTTTGCTGCTCAATTTCTGCGATTCTTGCTTCAATTTCTTGCTTTTGCTCATCCAACTTGACTTGCATGGCTGCTTGGAATTCCAATCGTTGCTTTTCCAGTTCAATAGTCTTTGTAGTTTCAAGCTCTCTCTTTTGGCCTTCCAAATCTGCCTCTTTTCGAGCTTCCAATTCCAAAATCAACTTGTCCAGTTCAGACTTTTTGATAGTATCCATCTTTGCTTGCAGCTTTTCCAATGTCACTGCATTCATTGCTTCCAATTGCTTCATTTCAGATTGCTTGATTGACTCAAATTCGGATTTTTGCTTTTTCAATGCAGTTGCAATTGCCGTATCGACCTTGTTCTTCTCAGCTAACGATGCTTGTTGCGCCATTTCTTCGGCGTCTTCTTTTGAAATCATATCAGAGACTAACGCATCAGATTCTTGTGTCTTCTTTTTGATCAGCTTTCCAGTCGCCAAGGCAACAGCTGCCAGAGCCATTGAGTCTGCTTCAGTCTTTGTCACCATTTCCTTTTGAGCTTCCACGATTGACTCTTGGCGCACTTTTTGGATCAGAGTGTCCACCACGTCCTTTGGCATCATATTTTTCTGGGCCCGAACTGCTTCGGCACTGGCCTTTTCTGTTGCTTTTTGGACCACGGCGTCCACCTCTGTTTTGGGTATCATAGTTGCTGCTACTTCTTTCTCGAATTTGATTTTTTCTTCCTGCACTGAAGCTGCAATGAGCTGTTCGACTTTAGACTTGTGTATCATATCGACTGTCTTTTCAATAACGGCTGATTCAATCAGTTTGTCTACATCAGATTTAGGTATCAATTGGCTTTGAGATGGTTCGGTATGCTGAGGCGTTGATGATGGCAGGTTGCTGGCATCATTTCTGACTGGCTTTGATGTGGAATTTGTAATCGAGTCGTCCTTATTGGGTAATAGCGTCTCTATTTGTTCAGGAGAAAGAATGAACTCTGCACGCTTAACTATTTCCTGTCTCTCCTTGATCAATGCTCTAGAAATTTTTTCCTGAATGTAAGTTTCGGCGGGTAATTCTGATAGTTTGTTTGTATTGTCGCCTGCATTGGCTGCTGTTACTGCTGTTGTAGCACCATTTACACAAGGCGTCTCCTGATCATTAAAATGAGGAACATCTCTGTCTTGTACGACAAAGGAGTCAGAACGTGTATCACTTGTCTGGTGTTCATGTTCATGCTTGACAGGTAAGGACGATGAAACCACCAAAGTAGAAGGCGACAGCAGCGAGTCAGAAGAATGGCCATGAGCACATGGCTTGAATTCCATAGGGTCGGTATTGGTGCCTGCATCAATCACTTGTACCTTGGCTTCCAATTCAGAGGACAACGGCTTCATAGAAATTGAAGCAAATGGAGTGCTGTTCGCAAACATGCTGTCCAGTGTGTTTCCAGTAGCGTTTCCAAAATAGCTCATTGGGTCTTCCTCACCACTTTCATAGTCGTTTTCCTCCTCGCTATCTACTGGTAATTCCTCCTCTCTATCGCCCTCCTCCTCATTCAACTGGAGTTGCTGATCTGTATCTGATTCGTTAGCAACAAGACCCCTGGGTTGTCTTGCTACGCCACCTCTTTTCTTCTTTGTCAAGGGCTTCTTTTTCCCATTTGCTCTTGTACGACCATGGCCACCATTTTCTAAGGAGATGGTATTGTTGGCATTCCAACTAGACATTTCCTTGCTCATTTGCTCAATGGTTTCTTGACTATCAGACAACATCTTTTTGAGCTCAAACTTCTCTAACTTTTCCTTGTGGTAAGAGCTTCTGAGATTCGAGATGATGCGGTGTGCATGTGCTAAAGATTGCTTCAACGTTTCAGTTTCCATAGCTTGGTTGCGAGATTGTGGTGAAACAGTTGCTGTAGATGCTGCATTGATGGTTTGATCGGATTCTGAATCTTGATCCTGAATGGGCTCTGCGTTGGGCTCGATTGGATTCAGCTCTTCAGCAGTGCGAGATGTTGAAGCGAGTTTGATGGAAAGTTTGGCTTTGCAGATTTTAAGCTCTGTGTTGAGTGCCTCGACCTGCTTTTGTAGTTGCGAATTATCGCGTTGTGCGCTGGCTGCGTGTCGTCGAAGATGATATGTCTCCTGTTCATGGCGAGCCTTCATTGCCTCCACCACAGATGCATTCTTCTCCTCTTGTGCTTTCATAATGTCAATCTGCTCAGACTGGGTCTTTAGTTGCTTAGTCACTCGACTGAATTCTGAGTTGTGTCTGGCCACTGCTTGGTTTGATTCTGACAAGTGTGCACGCAGCTCTTGATTTGCAACTTCAAGATTCCAATTCTCTTCCTTTAGTCTCTCTGTGTCAAGCTCAAATTAGTCCTTGTTGCCATCAGGGTAGCACAAACATAAGGACTTACCCTCCACTTCTTCTCTCTGCTTCAGATGCCTCAGTGATGCCTCTTGATTTCGCTCTTTATCAGCCAGCGCCAACTCCAATTGCTTGATGGTTTCATCTTTTTCTTGAATATTCACTTGCAGTTTGCGTACTTCAATCAACAGCCCTTGACCAATTTCAGTTGCGAACTCAATATCAGGATTTCGTCTATTTCCATTTGCTACTTTTGTACGCTGCTTTGATGGCGAAGAGTTTGTTGGAGCAGGAGGTAGCAAGAGAGGAGACGCATTCATGCTGTTGTCTTGCAAACCAGTTGACTATGAGACAGGATTAGAACAAGTCCCGTTTGGATAACAATCATAACTTTACCTTGGAGCTTTTCAGGAACTGTACTTCATTTGCCAGACCTTCCAGCTTGAGTCGAAGATCATCAGGCAGCTCATCTTCTTGCTTGAATCGATTTAAATCCAATAATTCCTTGCGAATGACATCTGTTTGTTTAATCAGGGCATTTCGGCTGATTTGGCTTGTTCCGACTCTGCTTAGCATCTTTTCCTTGTCGTTAAGTTGTGCTGTGAGCTCTGATTTCACTTGATTCACATTCATTCCAAAGAACGAAATAGGTCTCTTTTGCTTGGACATGGTTTCCGAGAGGCTGTTTGTTGCTGTTGGTTTTGACATGTGCCAGTGCAAAAATAAATAGCCAAAAAGAAAGAGAAAAGAAAGGAAGAAAAAGAGAGAGAAAGAAAGAGAATATACAATCTATATATATACCATACAACTTTTTTGATGTATAACAAAACAACAAGAAAACAACGTGGTGACTAGAGCGTCACACAAGCGAAATACACTTGGTTGGTGGCTCGAAATAGAAAGCTGCCTGATGCTTCTGCAACTCCTTCACTCCTACAACATCTTACTCTACATCGCCAATAAGGGAAACCTCCTACCTTGTGTCGGAATGCTAGTGGCTCTGTTGAAACATTTTAATATAAGAGTTATGGTAGGCATTTGAACCTTGAAAAGCGCTCGTTTTTATATTCACTGATCTAATGTGCAATGACCTGCAAATGCGTGCGTGTGCGTGTGTGTGTGTGTGTGTGTGTGTGTGTACATGAGGCCAAAAAGCACCTTCTTTTAAGCGTATTCATTGTTTACCCAAGTCTTTTGGAACAGAGATGTAAATGACATAATCTATGTAGCCCCAATGTGCTCCTGATTCTCTGCTTTTCATAGCTTATTTTTCTGATAAAAATGAAATCATGCAATGTTTTTTATACCATATGATATGACATTAACGTTTATTACAGATTATATTTACAAAATGGTTGTATCAATAGGTCTCACGGCAACACCTGATTCCTTCACAAACTTCTTGACAGATTGAAGAGGAACCTCCTTGCGATGGAAGATACCAGCAGCCAAGGCAGCTTCAACACCTGTCTTTTCAAACACCTCAACGAAATCTTCCACACGGCCAGCACCACTAGAGGCAATTACAGGAATCTTGACAGCATCTCTAACGGATTGAATCAGCTCAAGCTCGAAGCCAGAGTTGGTACCATCACGATCCATACAATTCAACAAGATTTCACCAGCACCCAATTGCTCACAGGCAGTGACTAACTGAACTACATCCAAATCACGACCCTCACGACCACCCTTAACGGTACATTGGTACCAGCAGTATTGCTCACCATTGGGGCCAGGAATGGAGTTCTTGACAGTGTTGTGAGTGGTATCCTTGGGATTCTTGACGTATACACGGCGAGGATCAACAGAAATGACAACAGCTTGCGAGCCGTAAGCTTCAGCAATAGTCTCAATGGCAGTTGTGCCCGTTTTCTTGCCACCACTGGCGATAAAGTTCTCTGCGCAGTAAACAGCATCGCTACCAATGGACACCTTATCAGCACCAGAACGGAAATATTCTCCGGCAACCTCGAATGCAGGGTGAACAGTGCCATCAGGATCAGTAACATCACGAATACCGCCACCAATAGTCAAAGGAACAAACACGCTTTCAGAAGTACGCTTCAATACCTCCAACATAGGTGTGTCACCCAAGGGACAATTACGGAAACTTGTGATGTTTAAAAAGGTCACTTCATCGGCACCTTCTTCAAAGTAACGCTTGGCCAATTCAACTGGCTTACCCAAGTTACGAACATCATTACCACCTTCAGTTTCACGCACATCGTATTGATCTCCCTTGGTCACCACCAAATCACCACTATCGTTAGCACGCACATCCAAACAAGCAATAATACGTCTAGTAAATGTATCTTGATCGAGCTTGGCAGGAGCTTTAGTGGTAACAGTAGTTTCATCGACAAGGCCAGTACCCGTAATGAAAGATTTCAACAAGTTGATACCAGCGTAACCACTCTTTTCAGGGTGAAATTGAGTAGCGAAAACATTGCCCTTTTGCACAGAAGAAATAAAGACTTCATCACCGTATTGTGTAGTAGCCAATACCCAATCCTTGTTGTCTTCAGAGTAACGTGCGCAGTAGGAGTGAACAAAATAGTAAACTTTGTCTTCATCAATGCCGTAATTGACAGGTTGGCCTGCTGATCCATTGGGTTGCTTTTTCAGCAATTGTGTGTGGTTCCATCCCATGTGTGGTACAGCCTTGGTGGTGTTGTCGAATTTGATGGTCTTTCCAGGAATAACGCCTAAACCGGGTTCATCGCTTTCAGAGGAGCCTTCAAACAAGGTTTGCATGCCAACACAGATACCCATAAATGGCTTTCCAGAAGCAATGTAAGCTTTCAATGGTTCAGCATATCCCTTTGAACGCAAAGCACGCATAGCGAAACCAAAATCGCCTACACCGGGGAAAATGAGCTTATCGGCAAGGGCAATATCTGAAGGTTCTTTGACAAAGGTAATGTCGAAACCCAAGTGGTTGATGGCATTGACTAAACTACGCACATTTCCGGCTCCATAATCCAGCATGTAAAGACCAGGCATTTTTTGTTTAAGTTGTTGTGGTGGTGATGGAGTATTGTTTAAGTCGTCTAAGTTGTTGTCGCTGTGTACAAATAATGAACTAGCTCAAGGTAGAACTAGTTGTTGTAGAAAGATGAAGGGAAAACAAAGATGATTTGAAATGTAAATGTTACTGAAATATTTAATTTGAACTGTAGTGGCTTGGATGACTCACTGTGATGAGTTTGATTTGATTTCTCCAAGATGATGATATTCTATGACAAGTATCAGTGCTACTATCACGTCAGATAAGATACAACTGATGCTGTTGACATGTTGCCAAACGTGTGTAGGTAGAACTAGCTTGGTGTGCTCATTCGTCATTGCGTTAAACATGGAAGTTTTGATTTCGTCGTAATTTGAGATGGATTACAAATACGGCAACCTTTAACGAGTTACAATAGCAATTTCCTTGAATTTATGTCAGGAACAACCATTAGTTTTGCAAAAGAATCATCAAATGATTGACCAGATGCAGTTTTTATGGCTCAACTCGACTAAGAACATGCTCTATTATAACAGGAGTGTTCAATTTGAAGGTTCAATTGATCTGCACAGCTGAATAATCCTCTCCTGAGTTTAAATTCGAAAAATCAAGCTTGGCATTTTTTCCCTCCTCGAAGCAAATTTGACAAATTTTGGAAAAATCTCAACCTTTCAAGGATTATTTATTGACCATCTTCAATCTGATAGGTTTTGTAGTTCTAACATGATCAGCATGAAATTAAAAGGGCTATCTGCCCGTATTTTTTGTTTTTCTGTTTAGCGCCTTCGTCCAAACCTATCTTGAGAAATTGACGATTTCATTAAATCAAGCAAACGTCAGAAAAGTCGATACGAAATATGCCATTTAAACATTTTCACATAAAAGAGCGAGTTTTTCTACCTATTTTGTCCCTCATAACATCATAGTGAAAAGTGTCGAATTTGGATCGAAAAACAGCAAAAACGTCGAATTGGTGAAAAACCATGAGAGGGTACCTCATGAAAAATTGTTAAATTTTGATCAAAAATCAACCACCTTGAAAATTTGTAAAAATGCATTATATGAATTACGCTGACTGAGACAAGTCTTTTGATGTGATTTAGAGCGTCAGGCGAGCTCTAGAAGTGCTCAGATATGGTCTCAAAAGCATTGAATTCTGGCCATTTTTGATCTATTTGGCATGATTTTGTACAAGCAAACCTTTCGGAATAATTATGTCTGTTGTTGAGAGCCGAGTAAAGATGAATAAAACCACTGACGAATCCGGCAATGGGGAGGAGGTTTGGAGGAGGCGCTACGCCCATCCACCAAGAACATAACGCATCTAATTCAACATTTAGTAACATCGACCTATGAGGCGGTTTTACTGTAGCGAAGTAAAGGTAAAAACCATGGCAACTAAGCGTCTAACCCAACATTTGGTAATATTACTCTTAATGAGGGTTTTACCGTAGCGAAGCGAAGGTGCAAAACAGTAGTATCCAAGCAGCATTTTCGGTTATTCATTTCCAGTGTTATTAAGCTTGCCAACAATACAGCAACGCATCAAAATTTGCATGAATTAGCTTTACCAAAATCAGTATGCTTTCTATTCAAATTAGAAGTTGCACAGGCCGCAGAACTACCCTTCCAGAAAACTTCAGCTACCAAAGATGTGATTCATGCCGTGTAAATAAAAGCCATAAAGCAAAACATAACCAAATTGGACAGTTTTCAAGCCTTCATATCTTGACACGTAGACCTTTCTGAGTCACCGGAATGACGCCAAACAATTGTACTCGAGTAGTAGTAACTTCCTGACACGTTTGCTCAACTTTTTTAGGACCTAAAAAACATGGTCAAAAATCGACCAAAAACCATGAGAGGTACCTCATGGTACCTCATGGTTTTCATCAAAAATTAAACGATCGCATTTTTCACCTTGAAAATGAAGACTTTTACTATGGTATATATCAAATCAAAATGTTTCTCTCGATCCAAAGCAACCTCTGAAGCTACTTTTATGAGGTCTTCATATGCAAAATTTCGACATTTTGGCCAAAAACCTTATTTCATATTTTATCAAATTACTTAATAATTTCAGTCAAAACATCTCTTTTACTTGGCACCATATGGAAGCGCCTTGAAAATCACTTCAAGAATGTATTAGGAAGCTTTTTTTTTGTAGCTAATATTTTATTTTATTCAAATATTATTTTATGAGGGACACATCGCAGAGTGGTGGACCTCGAGCAACGGAATAAGCACCTAATCTAAATTATGTTGTAGTAGGTAGCAGTCTATCAATTAGACAGACTGTCCTGGAGGAAAAGTGCTCTATGGAGGCGGTGGAGAGTGGTACAGGGTTCTGTGAACCGTGAAGCCAATACAGATTCCACATTTGCCATAAGGTAGTAGATATGACGGCGATATACTTGGATCGATCTTTTATAAAGCGAGGAAGATGTAGATACCGCATTGTGCCATATATGATCTCGGAAGTCAAAGGATATTTGGCGTAGTATTGTGAGATCACAGATTGCCATAGGTGCCATTTGACGGGACAGTCAACGAGGAAGTGTCGCAATGTATCGATGCCTAGGGCACAAAAGGGACAGATAGAGTTTTCCACAGTGCCAATTGTGTACAGGTATGATTTATGAGGGATGCATTTCGACAGTGCCCGATAGAGGACCGTTCTTGCCGCTGGATGAGCAGGTGCTGACCATAATGTCTTGACCATTGAATTGTTGAAACGATGGTCCGACGGAACCAACTGTCGTTGCTGCTGACGAAAGGTTACGGGATGGTACTGAGTCCATAGGTCTTTAGTGCCCAATTTGCTGAAGAAATCAAAGCTCGTCCAATCTAAGGTGGAGGCGGAAAGAGGCTGCAGAATGTGCGGCCACATACCAGGAACCAGTTTGACGGTTTTGAGCATGAGAATATCTTGATAGAGCGGGGCACAAAGAAGCGAGTAGCTCGAATATTCAGAAGCAACACGAAGACGCAGCCGTTGTTGTTGGCTATCAAAGATTAGGAACTTGTTTGCTGGAAATTTGGGATGACGCCGGAGTCAGTGATCATCGCTAAGGCCTATGAGAAGCTTGCGCAAAGGCAATTGCAGGATGGTCTGAACCGGAAGGAAATCCACTTGTTGAAGTCCACTGAAATCAAAATAGTTATACATGGCGAAGATAGAATGCCAAATAGAAAGATCCTTGTGTATCAGGGAGGACTTGCGGTATTCAGCATCGACGAAGGCCAAGTAAGGAAACTCTGATGACGCCGGTAGCAGTGATACGTGATAGAGCATGAAGGGACGCAGGAAGGACAGATATTTCTGCGGTTCAACGAGGTAATTGAGCCAGCGTGTTTGGAGGATCAATTGTTGAAGAGAAGGGTTGAGAACAGCAAGACCACCTCTGGACTTGGGTAGGAATATAAGTTCTTTGCGTAGTAATGGCCGCTTCTTCTTCCAGACAAATTGATAAACACAGGACTTTACGTTCTCTACAAACCGTTTGGTAGGCTTCAGCATGCGCAGACTGTACCACACCCAATTTTTGAGCAACGCAAGTAGGCCCTTCTTGGGTAGTAAACGAATACGCAGATCATGCCAGGAAGAGGGAAAGATACCCTTGAGAGCATCATTGTACAGCCGAAGGACAAGCTCTTTCAAACGGGTCATTTGAAATAGGAGCGATAGAAAAGGGTAGGCCAGACCATCACTACCAGGAGCTGCGGCCTTTGTTGAACGATTTGCCTGCTGCAGCAGCTCATCCAGAGTAATGGGATCCATCAACGATTGCTGTTCATCAACGGTCAGCACTTTCTCAAATGTCACAGTGTCCAAATATGCCTCAATGTCACTAGGCTCTACATGATCTGCTTTGTGTAGGTCGGTATAAAAATGCCATGCGAACGATTTCATATCTTCAGTATTGCCGGATACCCAAGGCTGCTCACCCGAAGTCTCTGTGCCTACCTGATCCACCTCATCACGATCTGATTCGAAATCATTGTCAGAGGAGTCAGTACTCAGTCCATCCAGAGATAGCCTCGTTTCATCTTGCTCGACACCAATATTGTCTGCACCACCAGTATCACCAGCATCACCAGCATCACCAGCATCACCAGCATCACCGTGAGCCACTGCAGTATCACCCAGATCGCCTTGAGCCGCATCTGTTGACGAGTTCCCGGTAACAACGTCATTGTTCACCACCTCTTGAGGGACCTCAGCACTTGGTCCACCATCGCCTCGATCTCTGTAGGAGTCGGAGGCTTGTAATGAAGCTATGTACTGTTGAGATGTTTGTTTTTGATGTAGTCGCTTCAAGTACCCAGCGGATTTCTCCCCTTTCTCAAGCCAAGTGTCCCCAGCCTTGAGTGCAGCAATATCCATCAGTTCCTGTTGTAATATCTGTAACATAGAGTCAATCCTTGGCAGTAGGATGCGGAGAGTAGCTTTGGGAGGCTTGGATCTCAATAGTCGATTCCGTTTGCGTTCCATATGCTTGATACTCATCCTACGCCAGTTCACATGTTTCACTCCAAACTTTTGGATAACCTTTCTAGTCACCGATTTGATGCGTTCCCACTGTTTTTGCGGTGTCATATCCACGTCCATTGTATCTATGGCTGTGTTGATTTTCTCTTCCAGCTGTTTCCTGAATGTTGGGTTGTTAGCGTAACATGGATTGCCTCTCCAAAATCCTGGGCCCAGTTTGGATTTTCCAAGTTTGAGAGCAACTTCAAGGATGGCATGATCCGACCAAGAGAGAGGAATAAATCCAACATTCGCATCGCTCAGCAAGTGTCGTAGCGCATGTCCAGCGTATATAAATCGATGGTGGATAAGGCACGTTGATAAGTTGGCACCGAATCCATGTCGTTAAGGATCAAGCAGTTGTGGAAGTGCTGATCTAAATAACTCAACCAATTCAGCGATGTCTTGACAATACGAGTAGCATTGGTGATGTCCCGCACATAATCATAATTGAAGTCCCCTGATATCAGTAGTCGTTCGAGTTCGATGGTCTCAGAAAGGGTTGAGAGCAGGTTGTAGATTGACTCGAAGAATTCCTGTCGAGGGCGATTGTCAGAAGTTGCTGGTGCATATAAGTTGAGTATGTAAAAAGGTTCATAAAAGTTGTGAGGGTGATGAACCTTGCAAAGTATGTATCTATCAGAATCATATAGGTGACTAGTAGCAATCTTGGTCAGTATAAAATCTGAAGAGAAGGAGGCAATACCGCAATAGTATGTCCATAAATATTGTGTAGCTTGTAGTTGTAATTCAATTGTAGTAATAGTAGTATCAGTAGCGTGAGTTTCTTGGAATGATATTGTGTTGAACTGTTGAAGTCGAATGTGGCGGAGGTATGATGATTGTGTTTGTGGATGGCCTACTTTCACTAGACTGTTGGAGTTCAGTGAAGCGTATTTAAATTGGATGTTCTTCGGCATAGTTACAACAATTTCTGGTGGTGAGCCGTAGAATCATTATAATTTGCGGGAGAAGCTACCGTGGAGTTGTCGTTGGTGTTGCTATCACCATTGTCAAAAGTCATGTGTGCTGGATGTTCCTCCTGTTCACGCTGGAGGTTGGCGACTTCGTCGTCAGTCGCTTCAATGTCGCTCATCAGTTCCGCCCCGTTCTCGGATTCGCTTGCTGATGGCTTGTGGTCATCATCGTCAGTATCCTCGTCCTCAGACATAGGCTTGACCTCTGGGGTGTTAGTTTGATCTGTGGAACCTGCCTGCTTCTCTGCCGTGAATTCTGGCTGCAAAATTGTCCGAGTTACTGTGGTGGTCTGATCACTTGACGTAGTGCCGAGTTGCTGGTTCTGGCGCTGCTGTCGCTGTCCCTGGGGTTGTGGCTTACCCGCATCCGAGTTCTGGATATTGCTTGGTGCCCACTTGGACTTGTCAGCTTCCGCAGAAGAGGTGGTAGATGGGATCTTTCGAGCCTTCTTGAATTCACGATCCGAGGATCCTTTCTTGGGTTTAGGGCAAGTATCTTGACGATGACCAATGTTATTACAATTGTAACATATAATGCGGGCCAATGCCTTGGGACATTCAAACTTCGTATGGCCCTCTTCGTGGCAGTAGCGACACCAAGTGGCCATGTCCGGGAAGGTTGCATGGCAAAATTCTTCAGCCTCAGAGGCGGTCTTCCAAGTAATGCTGTGATGCAGGGTTGGATAGTTGGCACCGGGTAATTGTTGAAGAATAGCATAGCCAGTGCCCATGAACCAACCCATAGACTGCTCGTAATTCAGCCCGAGGTCCAAAAATTCCTAGAGCCTTAGACAGTTCTTCCAACAATTGAGCTTGAGGAAGGAATGGAATATCCGTAAGAGAAAGTTGGATGAGCTTGCCTTCTCCATCGATTGCTTTGCATGGGAAGAGTCGAATCTTTGACTGTTCAGATTCGTAGAGAATACCTTCGGTTACGAAGCGATCGACAATCTCGTTGTTGGGATAGACTTCGATGTATCTTTGAGCATTCTTGCCCAAAAACTTGATGCCAAAGAAATTAGATGCTTTGTACTGTTGATCGATGGTCTGCAGATGCTGTTGTTCAGTCTTGTTAGGGATCTTGGAAATGTCAAGAAAATAACCATTGTCTGTTCGAGCATTTCTCCAAATTCGAGTCTTAATTTTGCCGTTTGTTGAAGTGGTTGTAGATGCGGTAGGCGTACCATTGCTGGCAGGAACAACCTCTCCATGCATGAGAGAGTGTGATGTGGTGGTAATGCGAGATTTGGCTGCGACAGCATAACTTTTTTTGACCAGGTACTGGTGTACCAGGTGGTTTCTGTTTTTTACTGGAAAAAGCCATGTGTATTAGGAAGCATTGGATGATAACTACAGTTTATATAGTCGAATATCACAAAATAGATCAATGAAGTCGAAAAGAGACAAAATCTGTCCAATCTTGAACAAAAAATAAAAATAAAAACTGAGTTTGAATAAATTTTGGCGGATGTCGCTGTTGTTGGCTAACCCAAATGCCTTTCTGATGATGACAATGATGATTGCGAAGCTGATTAAATGGGTATCAAGACTAAATTTTGAAGACTTGGTAATCAAAGCGAGGATAAATTATGGTCTTCAGAGAACGGGATACACTTTGAAGCTTTCCGGTTTGATGAACCATCGTTCCGCCAATTGTCTCATCAACTCCAGCATCACCAACTTGAACGACATCTGCTTCTGATCCAATGGCTTCAACAATGCCAATCTCAGCTCCACCAGCGCTTGATTCACTCTCTTTGATTTACCAGCATTTGATCCACCAACCTTTGGTGCAGCAGTTTGTGCCTTCGCTAGTTCCTTCTTCAAGTCGTCGATGAATGATTTGATATATTTCGCGACAGAAATTTTCTTCGCATTTCGTAATCGGTTAAACATGTGGTGAGTCCATTTTGATTATATGTCGTCCAGCTCTTTTTCCATCACTATTTGGACGTTGGGCACCACCTTGCTGAGTAACGACTTGGTTGAAGGCGTTATCTTACAGTCATCGACTGTGCTGGAGGATCCTGGCATTTTTTGGAACTCTTTCTATTTGTACTGGCATGCTATGTAGGCTTGAATCTTCAACAGCCCCATGACTCTATTGTCTGACTTTTTACTGGAAGAAACATGCTTGTGCCTCGTCTTTTTGGATCCTTCAACAAACTTTGTGGCCACAATGTCATTACTGACATTTGAGCTTTTGACAGCAGTAGCGGAAGAGGCCCTAAGGATGGAAGCATTGGGATCAAAACCTTGCTTGTGCATGAGAGAGAACCAGGTCGCCTTTTGCAGATAGGAATTGCGATGAACCAACAGTGCTGTAACAGTGATATATATATATCTATCTATCTAGAGCTGGTATAGCGTTGATTTGATCAGGTCACATATGCTGTCGTTCAAAAAGACCTTACATTATGTTCAAGAGCTCCATCTGGTAACATCAAGTCCCCACTATCGATGCTGTATATACAATTTCAGGAAATCATATCGAGTAAAAAGTGTCATAAGATGACTACACTAAAGTAAGATTGGTTGGATATTCTACTGTTTTCGCATAGATGCCTCTGTATCCAAAGCATGAACTATCGGTGATCTGAATCCCTACTTATGACCTAATTCTCCAAGCGCTTCTTTTTCTGAATATTTACCACCTACATAGTCTGCAGCGTATAGACAAATCAATGGAAAAGCAACGATAGAGATGCTTATTGCTTACATGCCTCCAATCAATCTCTTTATATTATCCTCTGCACTCCTATACGTTCTCAGACTCAAGCTACCATACAACACAATGTTGACATTTCGCAGCTCATATGTATAGAATATGCCAATGCAATACCAAATCATCTTGCAAGAACGACGTTCCTTAGTTGTGCACGGCGTAAAATTGAGAAGAGAGTGATAGCCGATGGTGCACATAGCAATATCCTGTAGGAAACAGGTTGCTTTTTTTTTTTTTTTTTTTTTTTTTTGTAGGGGAGCTCCACAATTTTTTTCTCTTCTTTTTTCTCTTCTTTATTCCTTTGAATATACATGAGTTTTGCAATGGATAGAGCCACAGAAGCAGCGGCCAATGACTTGGCTGAAGTGAGAAAGCTTATCGAAGGTATGAACGCTTTGGTGAACAGCCAACAGCAGCAACAGCAGCAGCAACAACAATTGCAAATGCAGCAACAGCAGCAATTGGAGTTGGAGAAGCAAAAAAAGTTACTGTTAGAGCAGCAGCAACAACAATTAGCGCAACAAAGACAACAGCAATTACTACAGCAACAACAGCAACAACAGCTGCAGCAGCAACAAATGCAACAACAACAGCAAATGCAACAACAGCAACAGCAACAGCAACAGCAACAGCAGCAACCAACCCCTTCTTTGAATGAGAATAACGCACAAACCTGGCCATCACAATCTACCCCACAAAGTGATGCATCTGCAAAGAGATCACAGTCTTTTAGGTAAGCCACGTTTAATCTATCTCTCTTTCCCCTGTAGTGTTAATGCTTTGATTTGCTTTGATAGCCCACAGCAAACACATCAACAACAGCAGCAACAAACCGAGCAATCCGTGTCTCAACAATCTCAAGCAGAGGCAGATGCACAACAACAATCTAATAATACCAACACTACTACTACAGCACAAGCTCCACCTAATGGCGTTATCATTGAGGTCAATCATTTGAGCTTTATCCGTACATTATATTTCCAATTATCTCGTAAGTACACTGTTGATACATCCCCTCCTTTTAAAATGTGCTTATCAGACAAAAATGATAGCTGATGCAACTATCGAGCCACTTGTTGCCTGGTTAAAGCTTTCGTTTCAAGACAATTCCATTTCTGGCATGGTGTTGCAATACAAAGGTTTTGATGGATTATGGAAATGTTTATTGAACAGGGACGATTCATTGAAGCGAGTGTTGAAGCAAAGCTTAAAGAACCATACTATGTTGCAAATGCGAGTGCCCCGAGAGCAAGATTTATTGAGTGTAAGTGTGTGTGTGTGTGTATGACTAAAGAGAGGCAGATGATATCTGACTTGATTTTCTTGTAGTCTGGGTATACCGATAAACGACTTTTAGCCTTGACAACTAGACCTACATTGATAGATCCACAAGCAGTGACATCTCCCACTGCCCCAGCAGCTACAACTACATCGCCAGCACCAGCTCATGCCTCTGCCAATTCGACTCCTGCTGCCAACACCGGCGCTTCTCCACCACCTCCACCTCGTGCTTCAGATGAAAACAAACTTCAATAAAATGCCATTTGTCTGATTGTAGTATTGTATGTCCATTCTCCTTTTGTGTGGTTGTCCTAAACGATGAGCACACATGAAGATTGTCACTTGTCCAATGTTTAATAGCCGCATAGTGTGTGTGTGTGTGTGTGTGTGTGTGCTGTGATTTATTGTTTCCCTTTTTCTTTCGTTTAATAAAAAAAACATGCAAAGAATCCCTTCACCTTCGCTTGAACCTCTTATCGATTCAAATCAAAACACAACAGCAGCCCAATCTTGGGATCAGCTTCGAAAAGAAGCCCGAACTCTGGAAGGAGAGATTGAGAACAAACTCGCGGTATTGACAAAGATTGGACAATCCACAGGTCTCGACAATACAGGACAAGAATCCGAGACAGAAGACTTGTTGAAAAAGGTAGTTAAGAACGATGGCACACAGCAGCAGCAGAATGGTGAATTGACACACAAACACACACTCTAGTTACAAGCCGTCATTACTGGCATGGGCGATTTCCTGGACAAACCCAGTGCAACACCCACCAATCCATCCATGATTCATTTATTGAGTCGACACAAAGACATTTTATACGACTATACCAAGGAATTTCGACGAGTCAAATCCAACATCAAGCAAGCAAGAGACAAAGCCAACTTGATGAACCAAGTGCAAGATGAAATCAGAACATTCAATTCAGGAAACAGAGATAATGCAGACTATTACCTGACAGAGCGTAATCGCATTGAGAGTTCGCATCGCATGACAGACATGGTGTTAGAGTGAGTAATTGGGTATTCAGAATACAAAAAGAGGAGCAGTAATTGACTAGCGTATATATATGTGTGTGTGTGTGTGTGTGTGTGTGTGGCTACATAGACAAGCTTATGCTACCAGACAAGATGTATCCAGACAAGGGCGTATTATGCACGGAGTGAATCAACGAGTTGGAGGCATCGTGAGTAAGTAACATTTCAGAGAATGGCTATTGTTATACATGTACCAACCAAACGACACGGTAGATCGTATACCTGGCATCAATAATATTATATCAAGAATCAATACGAGAAGAAAGCGTGATACGTTGATCATGGCAGGTGTCGTGTCTACTTGTACCATTCTCATCATTTTGTATTGGTTGCGTACCTAGATGTGTGCAGTTTATACAAATAAAAACGGAGTTTTTTGGGGGGCAAGAAATCAACTCATTACAAAAATCTAGTTGAAAAGAAAACATGTGCCTTGTTCCCCCTTTTAAAGTTTTTTTTTTTTTTTTTTTTTCATCACAAATCATGTCCAAACTAGCAAACGCTTTTGAACAGCAACAAGAAGAGTACATCCGTAGACCACCTCTTCATTTGCGCACATCGAAAAGCTCCACCATAAGACACAATCTCCTCTTATCGCCTACCAGAACAACCAGCGGTTCTTTGCGTGGAGGTCCAACCAGCAACAGCAGAAGAAGAACAAACAGTTTACACACAGCATCGCATCTCAAGAAGGAAAAGGACCTCAAACTGCTGCCAAGACTAGAAGAGGAGAATGCCAGTCTACCACCGCAGGTAAGCGTTTCGGCCACGACCCCACATTATCGATCCAAACTAACCCACCACACCCAGGATTCTGTAGAGTTCATTCTTGCTCAGATTGAAAGACAAAATGCAAAGCTAGACGAAGATCCAAAGTCAGTGTGTATTCAGTCAAATCAACTCAAATGCCACTTGTCTACGATTCAAAACCTGGCTGTAACTTTGCCGGATCAAGACGACGCTGCTGAAAAAGACAACATCGATTGGGAATTTTGGACCGCACTGACGGAAGATTTTAGTGCAGTGGCACTCAAGTTACCTCACCTCGTTTCAGCTAAATTACGAGCTGGCATTCCCGCCAAAGTGAGAGGTGTTATTTGGCAGGCCATGTCGCAATCTGCTTCCTTGAATCTGGAAACAGTCTATGGACAGTTGGTCGTGGAGCATTCGCCTTATGAGCGTATCATTCAGCGTGATTTAGCGAGAACGTTTCCTGGCATTGAAATGTTCAAGCAAGAAGGTGGTACAGGGCAACAAGCGTTGGAAAGAGTATTGAAAGCATACAGCTTGTATGACTCTTTAGTGGGGTATTGTCAAGGTTTGGCATTCTTGGTTGGACCTCTGTTATTGAATGTAGAGTCTCCCTAAATGTATACGTCTGTTTCATTCGCTCACCTCCCTCTCTCTCTCTTTTTTTTTTCTCTCTCTCTCTCTCTCTCTCTCTCTCTCTCTCTCTCTCTCTCTTTGTAGATGCCTGAACAACAAGCTTTCTGCGTATTTGTGAGGTAAGCAATAACAGGATCAGCTACACACATGGACGTCTAAACCCAATGCACCTAGAATTATGGAAACCTACGAAATGAGAACCATGTTTACCTTGAATATGGAGGGACTGCAGCTGCGGCTGTACCAATTCTCGAGTCTATTAGATCAGATTCTTCCTGATCTATCTGACTTTCTGAAGCTTCATGAGGTCAATGTGCCCATGTACGCATCGCAATGGTTTTTGACACTGTTTGCCTATGCGTTTCCTATGGAGCTGATCCTCCGCATCTACGATATCGTCTTTGCAGAGGGCGCTGCTGAAACAATCATGCGTGTATCCATCGCCATGCTCAAGCGCTCAGAAACAAAGCTCATGCAACTCACAGAATTCGAGGATATTTTGGACTTTTTATCAAACAAGCTGTACGACGCCTACAACAACGACCCCACTCAAGTCATTTCTGACGCCGTGGAACTCAGTGGACTCATTACAAAGGAAAAGATGGATCACATTGCAGAGACCTATGTCACCGAATTGGAGCAAGAACAGAAACAAACCGAGCAAGTGTTGGCAGTGCGATTCAATTTCTGGTCCAAGAACCCCAAAGAAACACGCCGAAACAGCAGAAAAAAGAAGACCATGTCCTGGTACAGCAGTGCACCACCAAAAAAGTCAATGGATTCAGATCGAGCCTCTATTTCATCGCTGCGAGAGCCCGATGTATCACAACTGCACCATCAAATTGAAGATTTGCTATTAGCACTCTCTCAAACACAGCGAGAGACGATTGAATTGAAAGACGATTTAATGCAAGCAAGATTGGACAAGATGGATGTGGAAGCAGAGCGAGATGCGCTCAAGTTGACCATGGAGAGCGCATTTCACAACACCAAATATGAGCGTGAATGCATGGAATTAAGAAAGGAAAACAGCCAACTCAAGCAAGAAAACGAGGATTTGCAGCACCAACAAGCCATGTCAAAAGACGCATTGACAGCACTGGTTGAGCGCATGTTGGATATGAAAAACAGAGTGGATATACTCGAACAGGAAAACTTCAAGGCAAATCAAGAATGCCAGCGCTTAGAAAAGGATAGAAAACGATTACAGATGATATTTAATACCAACACATCCATGCATGATTATACCAACAAGAGCAACTCTTCTTCTTCTAGTTCCTCTGTTAAGAGTTGATGATGGGATTATATTTATACAAAATAAAATAAAATACAAGTGATATATCTAGTTTCATGATGATGATGATAATGATAACTGTTCAGGTTGACAGCAATAGATATTTCTGACCCATTCTGTGTCTAATATTTCGTTGGAAGTAATACGCTTCTTTGGATTTGGATCCAACATGCGATAGACAACCTTTTTGGCCTGAATATCAATCCCTTCTAATGTGTCAAATCGTCCTTCTTTCGCCCTCTTTCGAATCGTCTCCCTCGCCTTGAGTACACCTGCTTCTCGCTTGGCTTTTTCTCGAATTCTCTCTTCTTCCGTCAAGGTCTTTTCCAATTTTTTTCGCTGGCAATGCTCTCGTCTGGCGTTTTCGCGCTCTTCGTCTAGCAACTGTCTGAATTTGAGATACTTGTCGTAGGATTGATCTTGGCCGCTTTTGGCCACTTGCCACAGATGTGTTGCTTTTCTCATGGCCATGTAAATGATACCACAGCTCCAGACATCGACTTGGCGCGCATCGTAGTTTTGCTCGATAAACTCCTCTGGTGCAATGTACGGCTCTGAACCAACAAGGCCCTTGATCAAGTGGATCTTGGAGCATGCTTCTTCATCGTCGTCTTCCTCACCATCACTGTCTACCGTTGCGCCCTTGAAACAAGCAGCTGATCCAAAGTCTGAGATTTTGAGGCATCCATACGTCGTCAACAGCAAGTTTTCAGGCTTCAAATCTCGGTGTGCAACACCAATATTATGCAGATAGGTAACACCCCGTATTAATTGCTTGAAGAAACAATTGGCCTCTGCCACCTCCAAACCATCAGGTGAATCATACAAGACATCAAACAGATCTCCACCGCCACTGTATTCCATGACCTGGCAGAATATAGGCGACACCTCGTTTTGTGGTAGAATATCAAACGTCTGAATGACATTGATATGGTGCATGGTGGATGAGATGTAGTACTCTGAGGTGAGTCGATTGATATAGTCTTTGGCTGTTTCTTGAGCTCTTTTACGGAGTTCCTGCGTGTGTGTGTGTGAATGTGTACGCAAAGAGAATGAGTGATTTATATAGTATAGAGTGAATTGAATGAGGCAATTTCCAACTAACCTTGACGGCGTACAAGCGCTCACCTGTTCCATCCACCTTGTGAGCCACCCTGACGACGCCCGATGTACCTTTTCCTATCGTCTCTTGACACGTGCCCCACTTTTCAGCCAGAGTTATTTCGCTTGGTTTGCGATGCAGACGCACATCTAATGCAGCTCGCTCCTTCATGATCTCTTCCAATGATACCTTGCGTTCGGCCCATTGAGTGAGACGCAACGACTTGTTGGCAATACCTGTCACCAGGCCATTCAACGAAGCAGCTATCCGATTTTGAGCCGGCTGTGTCAAATGATGTATATGCGTACCATCTTCTAAAAGTTGGAATCGACGCACGGCGTCGCTGGAAGTGCGCTGAGACAAGGGGGGTGAGTTTGAAGGGTGTGTGCTGGTAGAGTTGGATTGCTGAGGAGATAGTGGAACAGTGGGGCTCGTAGCGGGTAGAATGTGATGAGATGAGATGCTCTGGCGACTACTGCGACGACTGGCGATCGAAGGTTGGTCGGGTATGGTCTCTGTGGTGACTACAGTGTTATGATAAACTGGAGGTGCTGGAGTCTTTGCCGTTGTAATATGCGTATCTTTGGGTGTGATCACTTCCTTTTTTACGTGATGACCTCTTTCCTTGTTGAACAGCGATTGAAAGAACCCCATTGTGTATATGTGTATTTGAATGTTCGAAAGAGAGAAGAGAGAGAGAGAGAAGAATCCAAAACTCAAAAAAATTTATATCTCTATTCAAAATGAAAATGCTCCGTTGGTTTCATTGGATGGTGCTCTATGGATGGATGGGTAGATATTATCCGTTTTGAGAATTGATGATCAGTAAAAGGTGCAAATGACAAGAGAATGACCTGCCTGTTTTATGCAGTACAGTGTCATCAAGTGCCAGTAATCCAGCATAAAACAGTCTTTTCAGCCCTTGAACTGATGCTTACAAATGTTGCTTATTACTAATGGATGTTCCCTGTGCCATCTCTCCGAGCATTGCTTACATGACAAATCAGATCATGGAGTGTATCACACCAGATGCTGTGAAAAAGAACCGACATCCCTTTATTAGGCGGTGTTGCATTGTTAATCAATATTGTGTCATTGTTTATCTTCATTTTAGGCCTTTGGTGCCGTACATCTTGTACGCTCGTCTGAATCCTTGAGTAGAGCATCTATGATGTATTTGCATGTAACTGGAAACAGTTGATCTTGCATCAAATAGAGTGATGCCAAATGTTTTGAATGCTGCTTTGAGTGGGTCCAAAGAATGTCTCGAAATCATTTGACCTTCCATCACCCAAGCTTATTCGGTGCGGGGAGGTAGCTTTGCTCTCTAAACCACTCTTTTGTGAGAGATGCAAAATAGATCTATTGCTCGCTTGAAGATGGCTGACTCGAGTAGCATAGCAAGCCTCGCCTTTAAACATTAAACATAGATTTCTGTCAAAAAGTGATAAATTACTCACCACCACATTTGGATCCAGGATGTTTTTGAGAGCCTGGCAACGTAGAGACCAAATGCCGCTTTGAGTAACCTAACGCCTACAAACTTCAAAACGTCTTTTCCTTGTTCTTCTAATTTTAGGGTTTATTTCCTTTACCCCTCCTCATTGGCAAAGGAAATCTTTTTTACTTTTTGTTTAGCTCTTTGTATTTTCGGTTATTCACACATAGACGCCATGAGCTACAGCAAAAAGTACAACGAGGACGGGCCAAAAGGAGGAGGTAATATGACACTATACCACAACAACATCCAGATGCTTATCCTGTTTCATTTGCAGTCAGTCAAGTTGGGCAGTACTATCATATCGACAAAACTACCGTATTGCAACAAGCTCGCATCTTTAACGACTCTCGCATCAACAACAAGAAATGCAGAATCCTATTGACAAAAATTGTATTTCTGCTGTATACCAGCGAGCCATTCTCGGTGCAAGAAGCAACAGACCTCTTTTTCAATGTCATCAAGCTATTTTCTTCCAAAGATGTGAGTGAAGGGAGCGATTCTAGCTATGAAGCCTTATGGTTGACCTTTTGTTCCTATAGACATCCCTGCGCCAAATGATGTACCTTGTCATCAAAGAGCTTTCAGGTATTGCTGAGGATGTCATTATGGTAACCCAATCACTTATCAAAGACATACAGTCAAAACAAGACACTGTATACAGAGCTAATGCTATTCGTGCCCTGTGTTTGATCACAGATGTAAGTGTGTGTGTGTGTGTGTGTGCTGTTTCTTGCAAATCAAACGCTTATTCTCATCACGTTTCTATGATAGCCCGCCATGATACAAGGCATTGAGCGCATCCTGAAAGCGTCTATTGTAGATAAAGTGCCGTCTGTATCTTCAGCAGCTATAGTATCATCCTACCACCTCTACCATGTGGCCAAAGATATCGTCAAACGTTGGACAAACGAGGTGCAGGAAGCTGTCAATCAAAAGAAACCCTCGGGTCGATCAGCTGCTGCCATTTACTTTACTGCTGGGCAATCCAAACAGCCTCAACCAATTGTATCCAACAGCAACATCAGCCAATACCATGCCATCAGTCTGTTTTACTTGATCCGTCAACATGACAAGATGGCAGTGACCAAAACAGTACAGCAATATTCAGGCACAGGTGGATCAAACAACAGCCAAACACTCAGAAACCCAGCTGCTGTATGTATGCTGATTCGATTTGCGGGCAAGATTGTCCAAGACGACGCAGGGTAAATGAGAAGAGAGATGAGCGATTTACGACGCAACGTGCTCATAGTGTCTGTAGATCCACACAAAGAATATTCATGATTTTAGAGGGCTTTTTACGCCACAAGAACGAAATGGTCGTCCTGGAGGCAGCCCGTGCCATTTGCAACATACCTAATATCCCAGCCAAGGCAATTATTCCTGCAATTACTAGCTTGCAGGTCTTTTTATCATCACCCAAGCCCACCCTTCGGTTTGCAGCCATTCGAACTCTGAACAGTGTGTCTATCGAGATGCCTGCATCTGTTGCACCCTGCAATCTTGACGTGACCCAACTCATTGGCGACCAAAATCGCAGCATTGCCATATTTGCTATTACAACGCTCCTCAAGACGGGCAACGAGAATTCTGTCGATCAATTAATGCAGCAAATCAACGGGTTCATGCTAGATATTGCTGATGATTTCAAAATCATTGTGGTGAATGCGATTCGGTCCCTGTGCCTTAAATTCCCTGCCAAGCAATCCACTATGCTCACTTTTCTAGGGAATCTCTTGCGTGATGAAGGAGGATATAGCTTCAAAAAGACGATTGTGGAGGCCATAATGGCGATGGTGCAGCACATCCCCCAATGTCGAGAGGCAGCCTTGTCTCAACTATGTGAATTCATTGAGGATTGCGAGTTTCCCAAACTGTCAGTTTGTATTTTGCACCTGTTGGGGCAGCAAGGTCATAAGATGAGCACACCCACAAAGTACATTCGTTACATCTACAACCGAGTCATCCTTGAGAATTCAATTGTGCGCGCAGCTGCTGTGAGTGCATTGGTTAAATTCGGTATTTACGGACGTGATGCGTCAGTCAAACAGAGCGTGGTTGTGCTGTTGACTCGATGCTTGAATGATGTGAATGATGAGGTCCGTGATCGTGCTACACTGTATTTGGCCATGCTGAAGAATGAACAGCTTGCCAAGACTTACGCAGCCAGTGGTAAGCAGGAGGGACATGGACGAGCAGACACACTTACTAAGCGCTTTCATAGATGCCACTTATCCACTGGCAACACTGGAATCCAAGCTCTTGGAGTATGTTGACTCCCATGAAAATGCCAAGCAATTTAATTTAAGTGCAATGCCAGTTATCAGTAGAGCTGAAGAAGATCGTAAGCTTATACAGTTTTATATACATTGGATTTTCTCCCTAATATTCTTTGTAGACACACGTGCAAACACCACTTCATCTTTAGCACTACTGTCAAGTAATCAACAGGGAGGTTCTTCTTCTTCTTCTTCAGGCGCCAAAAAGAGCACTGCCCCTGCATCCGTAGGTTTCCAATACGGAGAAAAACTGTCATCTATTTCTCAATTCGCCCACTACGGTACACTCTTCAAATCCACAGCAGCGATACATCTGACAGAGGAGGAAACAGAGTACACCGTGTCCTGTATCAAGCACATCTTTGACAAGCACATTGTGTTCCAATTTGATTGCACAAACACACTGAACGATCAGGTATTGGAAAATGTTCATATGATGATGCAGCCAAATATCGATGAGGAAGGAGAGGCGGTAGGGCTTATTCAGGTGGCAGACATTCCAGCTGATCGACTCGAATATGGTGTAACCCAATCACTGTATGTTGCATTTGAGCAGCAAGACCCTGACGATGAGCTTGCTACGCATGCTGTGTTTAACAATACCTTGGTATTCCAAGTCAAGGATCGCGATCCCACAACAGGAGAAGCGGATCCTGAGGGGTACGATGATGAATACCAAGTAGAGGCTGTGGAAGTTGCTACCAATGACTATATTCGGCCGGATTACATTGAAGACTACGAGCTATTACTAGATCAAAATCCAGTGGTAGAGACATTTGCACTGGACAAGGCCAAGGCGCCCAGTCTCAAAGGTATGTGTGGTTGGGGATAGCCTTCAGATGTTGCATGGAATTGATTCAATTTCTAGCTGCCTGTACATCTTTGATCAGTCTCCTGGGCATGCAACCTCTGGAAGGCACTGAGGATCCTAAAAATAATAATAACCTACATGTCTTGCTGTTGTCTGGAACATTTTTAGATGGAACCAAGATAGCATGTAAATGTAGAATGGCCTTTGATGCCGCACATGGTGTCGCTTTTCAAGTTACTGTCTCTAGCCAAGATGAATATGTATCACAATTTGTGCTTGTAGCAATTTCATAAATATAATGACGTGAATGTAGCAACCTGGTGTCCTTATTTATATCCCTCGTTTCTGTTCTCTTCTTCCTCTTTCTTCTTTCCCTCTTTCTATCACTCTATAAAATTATGTCTGTCCTTGCTGTGCATCCGTTTGATAACACCAACCATGCCAATGTTCATACAAATCTTGTTAGCATAGGTGCACAGCATTCTTATTTCTTCTACCAGCAATTAAACTCAAACGCAAAACCCAGCACATGTCTTCAAAAGCCAAAGCAAATCATTCCTTCCATCCCAAGAAAGCACTTGTAAGTCTCTTGTAATGAGTGGTTTATTGGCATTGCAATTGACCTGTTTGATAGCAAAGCACCCAAAAACTCATCCCTATCACCTATTCGAAGCCAGAAAGTAATGCCCAAAGAATCCATCACAACAACGAAACCCACAGCGACCAAAAATCCCATCAGACTCATTCCAAAACGCCCTTATCCACTTGTAACAACATTTTCATCCCCTGCATCTCTTCAAACAACCACCCCAAAAAGACAGAGAAAAGTGAGTTTTGATGAAAAAGTCGTTGTTGTCTGCACCATTTTCGATGAAGACGCTGATCTGGATCAACAACAACAACCCACCGAAATGAGGAGACACTCGACTGGCGAAACACAGCCCAAATCCATCCTTGTTATACCACCACCGTCTTACAATACTGCATCAAATGCACTGACACTGCCACCCATCAAGCAGAAAATCACTAGATCATTAAAGCAATTCAAAAATCGATTACTATTTGTTTAATGAAAAGGGAATATCACATGTGGAATTTATCTCACGTTCTTGAAATTCACTTGACTTGTAAATTGTATAGTCGAATAAAAGAAAAATGGCATTTGATCTCTCTTCTGTTCATGATTCAAAGTCTCTGCATGGTTGCTGTCGATTCATTTCTGTGCATGTCTTTGATGGCAAGAGTGTTGGGTGTTGGCATGTATCAACATTGCAGTGATACAGCGGATACATACAAGGCAGTAGGACATGTTACATGGCCTTGTAAAAGATTGCTGGCTTTTGGTGTGGCGAAAGCATCATGAGACAAAGCCAACATTTCGTTGATACTCTAAGCCTTGGCCGGCATTGTTTCTGGATTTGCAATGTCGTAGTCCACAGTGTATGGAACCAATTAGCATGATGATTTCAGCTAGAATTTTAGCTCGATTAAAACGAATTTAATCGATCTGCCATGCCAAATTAGACCATATGAACTAGACTGCATGCTATTACTGCTTCTTTCTGTAGTATGGATGTTACGCCTGAGCAAACTTGGCCTGAGTATTGTAATACTGACGTTGTCTAAATAGAGCAGTACTCTTTGCTTATTCGCATAGCTTAGCATTTAGTCCAAGATCAATGATTTATCAAGTTAAGCTTGTTTTGAATCAGAACAGTAAGTAGTTGCAAGTGTGGCAATTAGACTACCGGTAGGTGTTTCGTTTCGTAAGCACAATATAGTAAATCAAGAAATGCGTTTGAATTAAAAACTTGAAAAACATCTTGGCTTTACTAAAGTGGCCATATAAGGATAATTTTGTAATTGTCTTCTGATTAAATCAAGGAGATTGCGGTTATTGACTTTTGACTACTATACCGTTGCTTTCGATTAAGGTTTTCATATTGATTGCAACCGTTTTAATCAACTTTATTGCGACTAGACAATCTGGTGCTGACGCTTGCCTGTTGGGCTATGCAGCTATTTGACACTGTGCCATTGCTAGCAAATATTGAGGCGTATCTCGAATCAATGCAGTGAATACGGCACTCACGTTTTTATTGATCTTAAAACCAGAACAATGAGATAATATGGGGTGCTTTAGATTAAGGCTTACTAGGATATACCATTGATGGTCGTAGGCTCGCAGCTGATTCAACTGGTTTGCAGCTTTTTGAAAAGAGTACTGAGTTGGTAGGATGCTCAATTAGCATTCTTCAAGGAAGAGTCTCAGTCAGTAAGCATTTCTCAGAAAGTGAAAGTGATTTACTGGTTCAACCGTAACGACAATGCCAAACATATATCCAGCGTAAAACTTGGCTGCTACTGTAAGACCGACTACTTAATACACATTTACACTAAAGAGTTGCTATAGAGATTTATATGGAAGTGTCGCTCATCACATGTTCATTGAAAGAGCTCCATATCGGCAATGGCCAAAATGAGTGTATTCAACGCTGGATTCGTTGTAAGCAGCAAAACTTGTTAAAAGCAACAATATATCATGTCCCGCTGATCCCAGCATTGATACTTTAGCTCACCAGAAACCCTCAGATCGCCAAGTTTCTGCAGAAAATTAGTGATATCGTAGCTGATAGAATTGTAATGGACAGCCTTGCTGCTGACGGCCTCGAATTAGTAAACAGTACTAGGATATGGCTTTATTCAAGTGCAACCCTCAGCATCGCATCTTCTCGTTGCCATGGTAACGGCTATAATCTCAAATGGCATGCTAGTGTTGCCTTGATCCGTTAACTGTATTTACCACGTATTGTACTTCTTCTAGCCAAGATCAGTACAGGAACCGAAAAGGCATTCAGAAACACACGTGACGCGCAAGATGCTAGATTTGGGACAATGTTATGTCAATTGATTCATATGAATCATACTTCGGATACCGTTATTGGTATTGCAGACCATTTATTCGCATCTCTGCTGGAAAGCATTCCAATGCAACAAGTGCCAAAACCAGTTCCATGAGAGTAAACAAGTGTCAGATAAGCAGTTTGCTGGCCATGATCAAAAACTCGTTTCATTCTTGTTGGCATTTACCACTTTACGGAGATAATTTTTTTCATTGTGGTTGTGTTAAAAGACTGATAGAGTCAACGCTCACTGCCTCGATTGTTGGCCACGGGAGCAATTGAGTCACTGAAAATTTAGGGTATTGTTCAAAGCTATTGATTGTTATGAATTAGCCAAAAACGGCTTGTCTTTATTGGAATTGGACGATAAATATTATAAGGCATTTTATTATTTGATCCTCCCTGTTTCTTTCCTTCTTCCTCTTGATGAGCCTTTTTCAATGTCACACATTAAAATTAGCAATAAGCTCTTCTTGTGCAATCAACTTTTTATCATGTCTGACCCAAACAATCCAACATTAAAACGAAAGAAGCGTCCTTTAACGTCTCCAACACGTTTAAAAAAGAATGACATGATTAGAATACCACAGGATAACCCTCAAAGCACGTCTCTGAAGAAGAGAAAACGCAAGTTGAATACTCTTGCCACAGACAAACCTCTTTTGACCGAAAGAACCAGTTCATCCTCTCCTCCACCAAATACGCCCACTCCTCTTGCCACAATCACTACTGCCTCTACCGCTTCATCACAACCAGCAGCTCCGCCAAAGAGATCTCTTCGTGCTGCATCACAAGCTATCGCAAAGAGAGAAAGGGAAAGAGAGATCCAGGAAGCAAAGGCTCCTTCTCCACCACCAACAGCAACTGAAACGAGTCCTGAAAAAACGCCTGTGATAAAAAAGAAACGAAAGCTGCACACTCAAAAGGTACTCATTCCCAAAACCTCCTCATCTCAAGAATACGAAGAAATTGGAGACGATAGCTACGATAAATATTTGGATAACAATTGTCCTGCCCCCATCACCACAGCTCCTACAAGAGTATCTGCACGACAGAATCCTTTGATATTACAAAATATACCCTCAAAAGTTGAACCAAAACCAGCAATTGTCATTGGCGTTCCCACAAGAAAGAGAAAGCTAGGGCGCACAACCTCTACTTCTGCTGCTAGATCTACAACGAGAAAAACAGAAAATGCTGGCGATGCCACCACAGAACCAGACGAGGAAATCACCAGGGCAAAATCTTCTATACTCGATTTAAGCCAACATACAATCATACCCAATGAAAGCTACGTGGCGCATTTACCGCAGAGCAGCACTAGTCGAAGAAGGAGATCCACAACTACGGAATCAGCAAGCACGGTGATATCCTTGTCCATTGAGAGCGTCACTAGCCAAAGCAACATTGATCCCGTACCAGCATCACCGCCGGATGCCATGTACACCATGGATAGTTATACCACAAAAAGCTCGCCTACTATATTTTATGATGCTATATCAGATTTTGAAGACATGAATATTGATGATAGTAGCATGGCCGATGAAGAGGCCATGATGATGATGACTGATGTGAAGGAGGAGATTTCATCGCAGCAATCCTCTGGTAGTTTTTGGGGATCCATATTAAAGCCATTCAAATAATAAAACGGTAGTTTATTTCGTAATGATATTCAAGCTAAATGGGAAAGGGGCATGTTTATTCCTCCAGTTGATCTTCTTCGAGCAAATCGTCCTCCTCAAGGTAATCTTCGTCTTCCAAGAGCTCCTCATCGGCAGTAGCTTCTTGATATTGTTGGTACTCAGAGACAAGATCGTTCATGTTGGATTCGGCTTCGGTGAATTCCATTTCATCCATACCTTCACCAGTGTACCAATGCATGAAAGCCTTTCTTCTAAACATGGCAGTGAATTGCTCATTGACACGCTTGAACAATTCTTGGATAGCAGTGCTGTTACCAATAAAGGTGCCAGACATTTTAAGGCCCACAGGAGGAATATCACAAAGGGATGTCTTAACACTGTTGGGAATCCACTCGACAAAGTAGGAGGAATTCTTTTGCTGGACAGCCAACATTTGATTTTCGACTTCCTTGGTAGACAGGCGACCGCGGAAGATGGTAGCAACAGTCAAATAACGGCCATGACGAGGATCAGAAGCAGCCATCATGTTGCGAGCATCAAACATTTGAGCAGTCAATTCAGGCACACTCAAATTACGGTACTGTTGAGAGCCAAATGCAGTTAATGGAGCGAAACCAACCATAAAGAAATGAAGACGAGGGAAAGGAACCATGTTGACGAATGTCTTTCTCAAATCGCTGTTTAATTGACCTGGGAAACGCAAGCTGGTAGAGACACCCGACATGACGGCAGACACCAATTGATTCAAATCACCATAACCAGGATTAGACAATTTGAGAGTTCTAAAGCAAATGTCGTAAAGAGCTTCGTTATCAATACAGAACGTGGCATCACAATTCTCTACAAGTTGGTGAACTGTCAAGACGGCATTGTAAGGTTCAACTACAGTGTCAGAGACCTTGGGTGAGGGGACAACAGAGTACGTGCAAAGCATACGATCAGGATATTCTTCACGAATCTTGGAGAGCAAGAGAGAGCCAAGACCTGAACCAGTACCACCACCTAATGAGTGGCACAATTGGAAGCCTTGCAAGCAATCTGTGTGCTCTGCTTCTTTACGGATGATGTCCAAGACGTTTTCCACGAGCTCAGCACCTTCAGTATAGTAGCCCTTGGCCCAAGAGTTACCAGCACCAGATTGACCAAAGATGAAATTGTCAGGACGATACAGCTTACCATAAGTGCTACCGCGAATGGCATCCATAGTAGCAGGTTCGAGATCAACAAGAACAGCTCTACAGAGACTGCATGTGAGAATTCATTGTTTTGCATATTTGTGTGTAAATCTCTTGCCTTGGCACGTATTTGCCAGCAGAGCCTTCATTGTAGTATACATTGATACGTTCTAATTGTAAATCGTTGTCGCCAGCATAGGCACCAGTTGAATCAATGCCGTGCTCTTGACTGATACTCTCCCAAAACTTTTGGCCAATCTGCATTGTGTAGATTTTGACGTTAAATGACGTTTGATCTAGATTGTGTTTAAGAATCATGACTTGCCTGATTACCACATTGACCTTTTTGTTTTCATAATGTTATACAGTGAGTCGTGTGTGAGATGGCATGCTTTGATTGTGCTTTTAATACCTGCTTGAACATGAATGATTTCTCTCATATTGATTTAGTATTTTGCTTGATGTGAAAGGGAAAAAAAAAGGTGTTGATGAAGGAAAAAGAGTGAAAGAAAGAGAAGGAAAAGGAAAAAAGAACGTGCAATAGTATTTTTTTAGTGCGGTTCCTTTTGCAGATACACACACATGCAAAAACATGTAAAAACTTGATAGATACACACTAAATTGATATCACCAATGCTGTAACAAATTGCTATTTTTATTAGTTGAAGTGATGGAAGGCCTGTCGGATTTCAAACGCAATCGGCCGTTGTGCAATCAAATAAATAAAGCTGCCATTTTGCAGGAAATCTCTAGAGACAAGGGGGACGGATTTAGAAAAAAAAAGGGGTACAAGGGGATCAAGGCACCATTTCTCATGGCTGTCGCTTTTTTCATTCACTGAGGGTTTTAGTATTCAAATGAACTGTCATTTAGACTAAGTTTTTTAGCTCGCTGTCGAGCCATTTAAAGAAGAAAGAGAGCGCAAGAGAAAAGTGTTTTAATAGTCATTATGTCATGTGCAATCCCGTTTTTTTGAGTCAAAAATAGGAGGCTGGATAGTCAAGGGGTAACTGCAGACTGAGATGTAACCAAAGATATCATGAGAGTGTAGTACAAATATTCTTAATTCATGTCAGTTTCTTTTTCAAATTAGTTGATGAAAAAGGCATGTAGAATGACAGGAGTACTGTCTATTGAAATCTAGCATCATTTCCAGATGTACATTTGTATGTAGCACAACACTTGTCAATCTGTAAAAGCAGTACATGGTATAAGGTTTGTCAGATGGACAATATCAAAAGTCGGTATTCTGATGGGATTTGATAGGAAAAGGTTATTTAGAGATTGAGGCTCTTGTTTCGACTGTAGCATTTTTCCTTTAAATAAAAAAGGCATCAAGATAAACTTTGTTCATTTCTCTGAATTTAGATGAATGAACTAAGGATTTCTTATGTTTCATATCTATGGAATAGTTTGTGCATTTACTTGGAAAGCAAACACTTGAAACTTTTATTATGTTATTTTATCCTGCTTGAGATTAAAATAGTTTCAAGGTGGTTACAAAATCATGTAAAAGTTAAGCTTTATATATATCACTGATAGATTAAAGAAAGTGTACAATATTGACCTGAATTTTGCTTAGTGAGGTCTTTAAAGCTGTCCGCCTGCACTAGATTGAGGTAGGGTATAACTCCCTTCTTCATCCTCTCTTTTTAACTACTTACGCTGCGACTAATTGATTTCTATCACTAGCAGACATTATGCTTGTCTAATCTAAATCAGACAATGTCAAATGGCGTTTGGTAGAAGTGTAAGTAGTTGAGAGTAAAGCAAAAGATAATAGATAAATAAGCCAAAGCAGATCTAATTAACTATCGGATGAGCACTAAGTTTATAGCTGTCAAATAATAAAAGTAAATAAATAAACAAGAAAGATGTATAAAGTGGAATATAAAAGACAATCAATGGTACAATGAATCGATAAATCAAGAGGGAATGAATATAAACGATCTTGTAACGAAATAAGCTCAATAGTATAACAGAAATGATGAGCTATAAAGCTATACAGACAAAAGTTTTGGTAAAAATAGAATAAGATCTCTTCATTAATGTATGTATTGAATCTCAATGTTTATAAGTGAATGTACGAAGCATAACCAAATTTGGCAGCTTTCAGTACCTCATATCTTGACATATAGACCTTTCAAGGCCATCAGAATGATGCCAAACAATTGTACTCGAGTAGCGCTAACTCCCTGACACCTTTGCTCAACTTTTTGGGCCAAAGAAAAACATGGCCAAAAATCGATCAAAAACCATGAGGGGTGCCTCATGGTTTTTATCAAAAATTAAACGATCGCGTTTTTCACCTTAAAAATGAAGACTTTTACTATGGTATACGAGCCTTTCATCATCGACAACATTCAAATATCAAGAAATCAATATTGCTTATTCGATCCATATCTAAAATAGCTAGAAAGAAAAAAATTAGTTTTGTCTTTTTTTCAGAATTTTATAGATAGCATACGATAGAAACGAGGCCAGGCCATATATTAGCAATGGTAGTTTATAGAGTGTCTAAATAAAACTTTCTTATTCCCATCATAAATTTTATCCATAGTGCGTTATAGCTCAATACCGTTGTTGTTTCATTGAACATGGTATTAATTGTAAGATTCCTTAAATTTCCTATATATCTTATTATACTAGATTCATTGTACTTTTTATATGTTTTCTACTTTCTACTTTCGTATGTTAGATTCAAGGGATCTTTCAGATGAAACAAGTTCAATAAGCAATAATAACGATATGAGGTGTAATAGATATATAGATTAGGTTGAGATAAAATTCATATTGAGCTAAATGATAACGTTTATTGATTGAAGTGATTGAAAATATCCCTACTAATTTTTTACTAAGAATTCTAATTTGAGTGAATGGATTACAGAATACGATTTATATGATCCTTATAGATGATTGATAGTATATGTTGGAATATAAAGCTTGGATAAGTAGACTAAAATGGTTGATAACATAGGTTGTGAAAAGATATTTGAGAGTTAGAATCATACCAATTCGTAGCATTGTAAATAGCTAGTAGCAATAGCTTCCGGTAAGGTATCCTGGAATTGCTGACACTGCAAACAGCAAAATTACCTCAAATGTGTCGTGAAATGAGATCCAGTTTCTTATATTAGACTTCAATAAATGCATAGAATTAAGATAAAAGATGATCTTTTATTGTTTTGCCAATTGACTTGATATTTATACTAAATTAAAAGTTTATACACAAAGTCTGCATGTACCTGACAAAGATGTCGTGATAATAACATAATATATAATATTGTTACGAATCGTGATATACACTTTCTTTTTTTGCCACTACAACAAATAAAATACATCACATTTGGTACCGTTTAATTTACACTCCATCCACAACTCAATTTGACTGGAAAATGCCGCATATCAAGCGGGTATATATTGTATAAACCTGATGCTCATTTGATAGTAGATCTGCTTTGACTAATTTACTATCTTCTCTTTTCAAAATCTTATATTAAAACTATACATACTACTGCCGACTCGCCTGTAACAATATAATAAATCAGTCATAAGTTAAAAGACGACATTTATTAAGTTTGGCAATTAGCTCTAATATTTATACTATCAGACTTGTATAACAAAACATGTAAACAGCTACTACAAAAAACCAACATAGAAACGTCTCATATTCAAAATCGCAAAAAAAATCAGTAATTCTTGAATCAAAAACAAAAGCTTTATACGGGGCTCGAACCCGTGACATTCAGATTAAAAGTCTGACGCTCTACCAACTGAGCTAATAAAGCATGGATGCTTGAATGGCTCACTTGGTTAGAGCTTCATGCGGAAGCAGTGAGTATGCCGAGAGGTCGTGGGTTCGAATCCCACCTTCGCATCCATATTTTCCGCCTTTCTAACCTGGCATGTTACTCGGTATTTGTGCTTGCACGTTTAGGTGTGCTGCGGTGCGTCTGGCCGGTTTCTACCTTGAGTCCTGTTCGTCTCCCCCGTCTTGCGGCGCGGCCATTGCCATTCTTCCTTCTGTTTCTCCTCTTCTCTGGTGGGTTTTGATGCCGTTTTCATTACTGGTCCCCTCCCTTTAGCAGCTTCCCTCAACCTTTAATTTAAAACATGCTTTTTCCCGCCGAATCACTGTTAGTCTTGCAACATATGATCATACCGATTCCGCAGTTGACTACAATTGTAAATAAATAAAATCCAATATTAAACTGAGCTAATAAAGCACCTTTCTTTCCGCTAAAGAATTTTTTATATACTTTCATAGCCCGAATTATATCGAAGATTCCTATAACCCATCATCTCTCATCAAGTACTTGCTATATCAATACCATAACCGAGCAAAACACTTTTAACAAGATTACACCTGCTGACACCCTTTCGTCCGGTCAAAAAAGGCCAATTTCAACCCTCTCTCCACCTTTCTTTGCTGCTGATATCTCTCAACATTTAAAAGCAAAGAAAATGCAACCTCAAGACCTCTCCAAAGCATCTCATTTCACATCCTCGATCGATGTTGACCCCAACTCGATTGACTTTGGTCTCACTTCCCTCCCACCTGCTTCGCCCACTGATCAAACTGCGTTGTCGACCTTTATGGTTGAGGTCAGACATCGTTTGAGCAGATTAGAATCTGCCCATGTCGAAATTGCGCAGTTAAAAACAGCCCTGGCTGAATCAGAGGCTGCTAGAGACGCCCTTGCGGCTCAATTGGCAGCTATCAACGCTCAATCCACCACCAATGTTGCTCCCACCACCATAGACGTTGTATCGTCGAACACTCCAACACCACCATCAACAACATCTGCCTCCAAGTCTACCCCCAGCTACTCCCAATCTCAAGTTACAGCACAACCATCTTTTGCTGCCGTCGTTGCATCCAATGCAGGTGCAAAGCGTAAGAAGAAGCCTGCTGCTAGTCCTCCTCCATCTGCCACCAAGGCATCCGCTACTCTTGCTCGTCTTTTTGCTCCTCAAAGTGGTATACCATCTGGTTATCAATTTGTGTACTATGCTACTCCTGTCCGCCGTCGTCTTTCTGAGCTGCGTCGCCTTGTTCAAGGCGTAGGATTGAATAACTCTCGTGTGCTGGATATTCAATATCCTGTACAGAATGTGATTTCTTTCCTTGTTCATAATGACTATGTTCTCACCCTCACCAAAGCCATGCATCTCCATGGTCGTGGCTCTTCTCCGTTGATTGACTTTGATCCATGTGATCCAGTCAATCTCAAAGATCCCAAATTTGCTTCTCTCTCTCGTGATCTGCGTGTCCAAAAGGCCATTGAGGTCGAAAACCTTCGCTGCCTTCGTTCGCTGTCCTTTGTCCGTCGCTCTGTCCGTGTTTCTGTTGCTCGTTCTTTTCTTTTGTATGATCGCATCAACCAAGCCCAATTTGATGCCATTTTGAAAGAAGAAATGCTTGCTCGTTCCTCCTCCT